AGCCATGTTAAACACCGCGCTCATGATAATTCTTCACCCTGTGAACTATTCAGTAGGAAGAGATTAAAGTTTCAGATGAAATAATCAACATTAAACAAAAGAAGGAATGAGAGGGCGCCATATGGCAATTTGCCTGTAACAGGAGGGTCAAAAGGTCAGTCTTAAAGGCGGGAAGGCAGCAGAACTCACATATCTGGAAATCAGCCTGTTTGAAGTGAGAAATGAATAAGCCGTGAGAGAGTTGGGGAAAAAAGAAAAAAGAAAGAACCGTTAGAAGACCAAGAAAAATGAAAAACCGAGGGAGAGATTGTGAAAAGCACTAAATTTGTAATCTTGCCTCCCTTTGGGGACACGGCTCTGAACAGCCTCCAAAAGCTTGTGAGCTTTTTTGAACAAATAGCTTACATGCCTCTGAACAGAGGTTGTTTATCTTGGGATGCAGCGCTGGACAGAGAGAGAAGACGGATGCAAAGGAAAGCCTGGGAGAGAAGGGGGGTGGTCAGAACACCGAGATGGACAGGAGGATTCAAGATTGTGCAAAACCCAGAAACCCAGAAAAAAAAAGAAAGATTAAGAAAGATGAGATGCTTGGGAAAGTGGTCCATAAAAAACAAAACAACTGACAGCTCTGGCAGATCTGCCGGGAAACAATATTTGTATTTCAAACTTGCAGCAACAAAGATGTGAGCGACCTCAAAACCAAGACAACCAGCAGGCCCCAAACAGAGCTTTAATGAGGGAATAAATCTGCTGCAGAGCTGAGACAAATAGTGACTCAAACCTAGATCAGTCACATGTTGGTTTAGAAAGATACAGAAAGACTAGACAGAACCAACAAGTATTCAGATGAATCATACACATAACAGTGAAGGTTTGCAGCAGAAAATGTACATATATGAGCATTTCAGTGATAAAACACACAGAAAAGAGTGAATTAATGTATTCCTCAACTAATGAAAGAGCTGGAAATGCTTTGTATTTCCACACGATCATTAACCAACTTGTTCTAACTCCCTACTTCTCTCATGACCTTTAGTGCTTGGCATCATTTTTTAAACCCAGCTGTGTAGTATTATTTTTCAAATAGTCTGACTAAAGTCCTTCAATGTCTGGACCAGACATATTAATACTGTAAACTGGATGTTATCCACTGATAACACTTTTCTGAGGCTTTGCCATAAAAAATTAAATCTAGATTGTAAGAAATAAGTACATTAAAAGGTAGGAAAGACAAATGGTGTATATCAAACAAAATAAAGTTTTCCTAAACTTTATATAGTTGTTTTGGTGCCTAAACATAATCAGATGTTGCCATGTTTGCCTATTCAAGAGTCCTACCTTATGTATTCTGTATTCATTTGAAGTATTAGATGTTTAATTGACCATCAGAGGAGACGTAATTGAAGCAGTTGCCTCAAAAACCAACAGCGCCATTTTTGTTTTGTTTTGTTTTGTGTTTGCCTGGTCTAAATTTAAATGACTGAACTCCTGTATTATTTCCATGTGACAAATGTAATACAGATGTTTTTAAATTTTCTAGTGTGGCTTTTAGCACAATCCTCTGGTAACTAGATTAAGATGTGAAAAAGACAGTGAACACACTCATTGAGAGATTGTTACCAATTTGATCACAAGGGGAAAAAAAGGACAAATTGATGGATTTTTTAAGAGAATATAATTTTTTAATTTGCCACCATTGTCGAGAAAAGACTGAAAATTCTATAGCTAAGCGTCATTTGAGGAATATCCTGAAAGCATCAATAGTGCCAACACCGCATATCTGTGAAGTGGTGGTGGGAGAAGACAAACAGGCAAAAAACAGCAATGCAGGGTTACACACATAGACACCCAGCGTATCAATCTTTTTAGGACATTGTATCGATTTCCAATAGATATGTGCGCTTAATCAAAAACCTACACCTAACCTAGTTTCAACTCACAGCATTTGGGAATTCCACTCACCCCACAAAACCCTATTGGTCCTCCCGAGGTCAGTCATTACACGACAGAAGGTCCTTATAAGGTATTAGGGCAAAAACGTACACACAAACACAAAGTTTGTTAAAAAGGGCCAAAGTTAATGTACACCCAGGCTCTGGCTGATCTAATCATGAATGAATAGCATTGAATAGGTGTCTTAATCCACTAGAGACACATTCGGAATGAATGACTCCATTCAGACTGAGTCTGGGACTATTGTGACCATAAATAATGTAGTGTAATGTAAACACAAATTTCTCCTGAGCCTCACTAAGAAGCCATCAAAGCTATTGAATTCCACTGCATAAAGGGAAGGATTTGTTTCTTTATGCACCATCAGCATCATCAAATCAGAAAGAATGAGTCTGTTTGTGAACATTTTTGGTTGATTTGATTTATAAACACAAGCGTAGACCCATTCTGACTTGCAAATTTCTTCTCCTTATAGACCAATGACAAAAGTTAATTTTTTTCCCTCCCTCTAGCTGATCAAAAAGTCACAGTTCAAAACAACGAAAAAGCTTTCTACATTTATTACTCTCCTGTTTACTCATATTTGTAGCAGGAAAGTGAGCCTCAGGTCTCAAATGGTAAATTAAGAAGTATTGGAACATGCATTTCATTGCAAGGACTGAACAAATGCAGTGAGAGCTGTCTACAAGCCCTAGAAGGTGATGGCTCAGGATCAAGCTTAATTCCAATCTGTAAACACAACCTTGTCGTAACCCTAACTCTCACCCACACCGTCACCTAAGCCTAACTAACCTTAAAAATATCCACCTCGAGAATAAATTATTAACCTCATGGGGTCTGGCTTCTTTCTGCTTATAAGGAAGAAGACATACCCACATATTGTGACTGTGTAAACAGACTGAGATTGTCACAACATGAGCAATATCTGGACCACTCACAAATACAGACACACGCACACACTTAGATTCATCCTCAGATGCCCTCTAATACAGATTATAGGTGTGTGTTAAACAGTGTCTGAGTGAGACGTACGCAGCCTTTTGTTCCTAAACACAACATTAATTTACAGATGCACAGGCATTAACCCACAGATGACACTCAATACTGAAGGCCACAATCATTACAGTTCCAATTAAGAGTCAAAATCGTTTTCCTCCGGGTCAATAAAAGTCCAAAAACCATTAACATTATTAAAAATGATTTCAGATAAAAGGACTCTCCTGATGTAATGTTACTTTATTGCTGGCAGAAATACTTCAAATGATTCACTCAAATATTTTTAAAGATGGTTATTTTCAAATTTGATAATGCTACATCCATTAACCTAAAAACTGTGCAAAAAGTGTGTGTTATTTTGCACTGGGGAAGAAGTACAGTGCTGTAGCTCGCATATTGGTATGTGATTGCGGTGTCATCGCTTCTGTTTAACACTCCCAGGCCTGCAGACCACCTCTGAGTTTCAATGATCAACAAACAGGCTTGTTACTGACTTTTGAGGATGGAATGGGACTCTGTTCCTGTTGATAAGGCCGCGTTTCCCGCTGAAGACTTCAGACTGGCACTAGAGTCGTGTTTGTTTGTGGTACGCTATGGCTCAGACGACTGTGGGTGCCATAGAAGGTTCCTAAGTGGGTATTTGGTTTGCGTCCAATCAATTTATGACTTATACGATGTGTTTATTGCCATCCCCGCATAAACAAATTACAGTTCCATGAGTAGCAGACATACAGTTAGTTACCAGATGTGTCAATCATACCATTCTCTCAACTGTGATAACGAGATCTTATTTAACATTGAGTCAGAAATCACCGGGTTAATCACTTTTGAAGGCAGACAACAGCACTTATGACCCAGTAAGACCAACATCTCTTTTCATTTCCAGATTAAACTAATTCATACTTTCCAACTAATACTAATCTGTACTTTGACAAAGCCACCAGGCATCTCCAGTTGAGTTTTTTTGTTTTGGTTTGGAAATGTATATTTTTTTAAAAGTACAAGGTGATTTTTTTGTAAACTCATTTTTCAAAGTTTGCACTAATCATTTGATTACAGTAAAATAAATGCGATCAGACCTCAAATACATTCTTTTTACAATGCAACTGTCATTGAGAGTCTTGCAGAATACAGTTGCTCACAAAACCACTGGAGGTTGCTGGCTTAGTGTATTCATGTTGTTATTTCCGTCTGTTCGCATGAAAGAAGGCTATAAGGGCCAGTTTTGGGAGATGGGCACAAATTTGGACTAACAAACAAGGTGGAAAACCTCTTGTGATTTTTTTATGTGAGTGGGATACCATCTAAATGCAGTCTCACACCTCCATCAGTATCCCATCTTCCAAAAACCAAGAGCAGGAATAGAAGCAGAATAGTATCCCACCAGAGCCAGACAAGCAAACCGCCAACTACTTCATATCTTTGTACACATCTTTGAATACAGGACTGTGCCAATTTCACATCATCTTCTATTATATTTTGAACTACTTGCTAAAGCTACTCATATTGCCATCTGGTGAATTTGCCATTGCAGTTTTATTGGGTTTGTTTATTTTTAATGGAAGCTAATTACTTAAGCTGGTTTGGCATCCAACTCCCATAAGGGTTAATCAGGCCCCGTGAACACGTGTTATAACTGAGTCATCATGAAACCCTCTCATAATTTTGTATTTCCCCAAGCATAAAGTCAGCAGATGCTCATCTGGTCAAGTCTGCTGTTCAGCACTTGACAGGAGTTTGCTGACACGTCTTTGCAATAATCTGCTGCAAGAACCACCTAGCAATTGACACATAGGAAACCATGTTTGAGCTTCTCAGACTTGGATTTTGCCATCAGAGCAAAAAGTTTCCTATAAAAAATAAGAATGAATAACGAAATAAATGCGCAATATAAGTTTTTTCTCCTTTTTTAAAAACTTTTCCATGGTACTCAGATATCCAGTAATGTTATGGTGAGACATAACGGTCGAGCACGAAGTGGTGAGGCTGTGTAGGGCTTTCTTTGGTTGGTATTTGAACCACAGCCCGCCCCTTTCCTCCGCGCTGTGGCGCTCCGCGCACCCGGCGCTCCAGCGGGACAGTCCCACTCCTCCGGCGGCTCACACGGATCACCCAAACCCGAATCCTACATCTAATGGGAAAATAATTCAACTGGAATTTTTTTTTTCCTCTAATTTTTTTTGTATGTGTGTGTTTATATGTGTGTGCGTGTTCTGCGTTCCTCTTTCCCGAGGTGAGTTTACACACTTTTAAACGTTTAGTCAGAGCGCACATCTCAGCTTGGTCTGTAAATCCCTGTTATGAGAGTTACATGTGTACTTTATATGAGCCTTATTAGCAGAGTTTGAATGGGTTTTTCTATGTGGAGACTTTTCGGAAAGTTTCTGATCTCCAGTAATTTTGCAGATCATTATGACGCGATTGTATGTTTCTGTGTTTTCAATACTATCATAACTTATTCGATTATGGGTGATTAGATTTTTCCTTTGTGAAAGTCTAAACTATACTGAGACCACTAACTTAGAGGAGAACCTGTCAGCTGATTGCTGACATCATTACAGTGTTGTAGTGTGATAATAACCGTGTGGAATGAAGATCTGCACCACAGAGCTGACAGTGAATAACGGTTAGTTTTAGATAATCCTACTCTTGAGACTCATAACAATGCTGACTGGAACCCAGTTGTTGTCATGCATGGTGTTAATGGCCTCGCTGTCTCATGTGTCCAACATGAAACTCAATCTGCTCTGCTCCATATTTATATCCAACAGAAGCAGGAGCAGTAAACCGTTTCAATTTCCACATTGCAGGCTTGGTCAAAATTAAATCTGGGAGTGTTTTGATTTTTTTTTTTTGCCTTTTAATAGCAGGAGTTAACAGAACTATAAATTTTCCTCCAGTGCATGTCAGGGACATTTACCAAGGTGTAGTCTGATCCAGTGGAACGTGACGCTGGGGGCCCTGACGTATTTTTATTATGGAGGCAAACAAGCAGCACAGTGTTTGGATCATTAAAAGTTGAGGTCAATGGCCTTCTGACCCCTCAACCTGTCAGTGAGCCAAGACGGAGGCCACCATGTGAAACATAGCAGACGCACACGCAAACAAAAAAAAGACCACATTAGCCTGCCGAAGCCTGCCAATAAACAAACATGCACAGTGGTGATCAATAAAAAAAAAGCCTGTTTCACTGGTGACAAGTTAACATCCAGCCTCAGTGTGGATGCGCACAGTGCATGACTTTTTCATGTTTAACTGGCTCTGTAATCTCCCCAGTTAATTTCCCCTATGAAGCAGTTCAGTATATCCTTCTTGGGGGTTTTGAAACACCAATTTGCCTTTGCTGTAGGCTACAGATGATGGTTAACACATGTATGTAATGTTTCCTGTACATCCCCCTGCACATGATTTATGCTAATAATACAGGACTTTTCAAATCCCGATGATATAGATGGAGACCCATTTTCCAGTTTTTAACTTTTTTTTTTCACCTGAGTCCTAACATTCCTCTAAGGGGGCCCCTCTTTGACCTTTAGGTGTCACTGATGCAGCTTATGCTGAAACAGTTGGTCAGTCAGTTGCAGAGGTGTGAACACAGAATCTGACTACTGTGTTTGTTTTCACACCACGGGGCTCCCCAGCATCTCACACCCCTCCCTTTTTTTGTCAAAGAGAAAGATGTTTGTAAAACGCGTAACATCACTGTGTGCCGTCACCAAATGGTCACAATTCACTCATCCCTCAACAGCTCCAACCCCCTTGTTAAAGACTGCGACACGTTTTTTAAGAGCTTGGCTCCGGTCAACTGGTAATTTGCATCCCCAGAACATCTGTAATAACAGAAAGCCTCTCTTGTAGCTTTGGAATTAGGAAATGTAATCATTAAATCTAGAGCGAAGAAGACATTTTTGGGTGTAACTTTATGAAATTGGTATAAAGATTTTAATGTGAATCAATAAATCAAAACAGGATTTGGATGTGGTTGTCCAATATTCCAGCATTTTTCAGGCAAAAAAAAGTGGAAGGCTATTCTATTCTTGGGGAATTAAATTATTTTGAATATTTTCCAAATGTATGGCTCATGTTCATACATATGGATATTGGCATGTATGCTTAAGTAGCTCACAACATGAGGGTTTTCAGCCTATTAGAATATTTTCATTTTGATTGAAAATGTTCTATGGGTTAAGCTTTAGAAAATTGTATCATTTTTATTGCTAGTTAGAACCATTAATTATTAATTATTATTAACCATTAATTAATAAGTTATTTTCTTTACTTCTGACTTTTATCAATCGCCCAATACTTTTTAGTAAAAATTTGAAGTTGCTCTTTGGAGAACTCTTTGTATATTGTATGCACTAACATATATTTTTTTAGCTGCTCTGTTTTTTAATTGAGACAGAAGGAAAAAATCTGAACAAAACAGGAAGGTTTTTATCAGTCATTTCTGATGAAATTTTAATGATCAACAGGCAGCTCTACTTTCAAAGAATCAAGGTCCTATTTATTTGTGGAAAAATACTCAATGAGCTACTTTCTTTTCTTTTTTTAACATTTGCTTCAAATTCATTCACCATCTTATTATAAGACTCTGTTTTTGTGCTGCCAAGTACAACTTAAATGGGAACCTTTGGAAGGTGGTGAAGTTTTTTTGCGATCATCTTTTGATTCATCCCCTGGGGGCAATGGCCAATGTTCCTGGCTTCCTGTACAGCCAGGAAATATCTGGATAATGGATATCAAGACATTTATGGAACTAGAATTTTTCCAGTTCGTGATCAGTTGACAGGATGTCGCCATTTTAGGGGAACTGTCTCTGTTTTTGATGACCTGTCCAGGACTGAAAACTATCCCTGTAAAATCAATTTCATTGCATGTTTTTAAATGATTCCTTCTTTTCCCAAATACAAATATCATACCAGAGGTCTTCAAACGAATTGTTGAGTTCATATCCAAGCAACAAAACAGTAAATCTCAATAAGAGTTTGTTACTGCCTACGTACTGAACACATATGGAGTCTTGGTGAAATAAAAACATACTTCTCTAATAGGTGGTTTAAGTCATATATCATAACAAGCACAACTGACAGGATAGACATACATAATTTAAAGTCCATACTTTACAATGCTGAATAACATGAAAGTTTACTGGGTTCAGAACAAGAAACTAACAAAACTGTTTTACAAATGCCATACCTCTCACTGGTGGAGCAACTAACAGTTATATATGTGGAAAGGCCTCTTATATATCCTCTCATCACTCAGGAAGTCAACAGGCTATAATCTCAAAATGTCTGTACTGTTACATACGAGGCATTGAAGAATGAGGCGATGTGCGTGAGAGCAAAAGAAAGGTGTTTACATATATGCACGCAAAAGGTACAAACAGAGAGAGGCAACAAAGCCGGAAAATTGCGGCAGCCAATTCCAGCAGATCCAGGGAGCACAGAGGCGAGGAGAATACGGATACTTCTGAAGCGTGAAAATGTTTTCTTGGCTGAAGAGGAAGTGTAGTAGTATTTTGCTTGGATTCTGTGCGGACGGTGAAAATAGGTACCTAATTGAAAGTCAGAGGCCGACCCTGAAAAATGTGGCCTTATCTTGTATGTTTGTTCACCTGGTTAATGGGGTTAGTGAGTAGAAAACACGGAGGGAGAAGGGAGGGGAAGGCCTGTGGCGAAACAGGTCTACAGTTGATTTTACCCAAGAAACATTATAGCTGAGTAAACATCATGAGTTACAGTCATAAAAGGTGAGGATTATGTCTGTGTATGTGTGGTCCAAAAGCTTTCTCCTTTATCAAACTGTTTTAGTCCCATAAGTCAGTCAAGACACTCAGATGGAAGAATAGGAAAGAAAGAGAGCAATTGAGTCGAAGGAGAGGGTAAAAAAAAAAAAGAACGAGGTGGAGCAAAGAGAAATATAAAGTAATGGAAAAAGAAAAGACAAAGAAAGTTTGCTGAGAAGTACTGCTAGGAAGGAAATGAAATGAGAGAGTAAGACCAAATGAGCAGTGAGAAGAAGGACGCTCAGTCCTAAGCATGGTTTCAATCAGTGCAGAGGTTGATGTTTGATGGTCGTAATCGAGAGGCAGACTGATGCTCTGCTCAGGAATGTGTTCCTACACACTCAACCCAACACACACGGCTCCCATTAGAGTGTGGTTGCTCTGGTTTATATCCAGCAAAGCCACCTCTAGAAAACCCTCTACATGGGACATGGGAATGTTGTGCTGAGTCCAGAAGCATGAATCCAGTCCAAGTCTTTTACCTTGAGTGTCCTGTGACAAGAATCTTCACAAGAGCAGCCTTGCGAGATGTCATAACAGCACTGGTTTGATGGGGTTTGTGAGTAGTCTGTTCTGCGGTTGAATTATCCCGATACGTATGCAGCTTGAGTTTCGATTGGTCACGTTTAGGCCCTGCACTTCAAGAAGTGTGCGTATGGGATGATGTCCACTTTCTGTGTCTTGCTCGTTGTGCAAATGAACGGACACACCTGTTACACACTTTTACGCCTGACTGGACCGAGAAAACAAGAAAGAAAATGTTGGTTTCTATCGCAGAAGCAGAAAATATTCATGATAACTCCCATTAAACCTTATTTACACATGCACTTATTGTACCGTTTTTTGTAATACCACTATCAGACTTTTTTGGGACATAAAGATAATTTGAAGCATATAAAGGTATACAGTGTCTAAATATAAATCATTCAGCACACTTGATATTAATAGTTGAAGGAAACTTTTAATACAGAATGCAGTCCATATATTTTCTGTGGTTCTGAGTTCAAGACCTCAGTGAGACTATCTCTTAAGCTCAGTTAGCTTCAACATATATTATGTAATTATGATGTTTTTCATGTTCCAATGATATCGCAATATATCCTGTTATAACTAAGTGATTTGAATGTGATTATGCTGTTGTGTCCTGCAAAACTGATGGTAAAACAGGGCATGAAACTACCACCACCATGCTTAACGGGTTGTGGTTGTGCTCTGAACAATGTTTGCCTTGATTGTGGACAAACAACTTGGTATTTTATGACCATAAAACCTCCCTTCAGATGGGTTTTTCTCTGTTCTTTTCACCTTCTATAAACTTTAGTGAAAGTTTAGAGGAAGTTATTCAGTTCTTTACTTAAGCAACAGCTCATTAATGGATGGTAACATAAACCGGGACCCTTGCATTCCATCAGCTCTGAATTTTGTTGCTGGCCTGTAACTAGACAAGTAGTGTTTGTACGTTCTGGGCTAAATGCCTTTCTTCTGTAGGTGAGAACTCTTTCTGTCCCTTGCTAAATGATCACACCTCCTAACAACTTGCCCCTACCCACATTAGTTCAACAAGTTGATCTTGTAATCTGAATTTGTTTGGAAACGGCTTCAAGAGATATTTCTGACGTGTGTAAAGCACAGGCCCTTTTCAAAAATATGCACTGAGCTTTTTGGAGTTTCCCGTAATACTGTGAGGGCTGTCGAAGAAACCCGTTTATGACCAGACTGAGAGGTAACTGCAGCTGCAGTCTGTAATGATCTCTGACTGGAAGTTTAGGGGATTCTCAGTTTAAAAGACAATTTGTGCTTAACCAAATTTATAAACTATTCATTACAGAAAACATGTCGTCCAGGGGTTGGTAACTGTCAGTTAATATCAAGGAGTATTTCTTCCTTTATATTAAAGCTTTCACATTTCACCCACATTTCTTCCCTTGGACTTTAGACGTTTGCCTCAGTATCCCCTTTGTTTTCTTTCTTAATCTGAGTCTCTGTCATCCTTTTCAAATCTGCAGGAACTGATTTGTCATCCCTGTTTCTTCCCCATTTGCCATCTTTCCCCTTTACTCCCTTCTGTAACCTGACTCTCCCTCCCTCAGCCTCATTTTCTGTTTATTATATCTTCTGACAGTGATTTGATTCGGTGACCAAGTGGCAGTCTACCAGCTACAATCGGGGAGACAAAGGATTAGAGGATAATCCGGGGTATGCCCAAATCCCTGCTGTCAAGTGGTTCCCTATTTTTCTGCTATCTGAGACGAAGGCAGGCAGGCTGCCGCTGGGATTATAGCATTAAACCTATTAGTTTTATAAGCATTCGACATATTATTGTTCCTTGTTGTGCTTTTCAGACCATTTTGTCAGACACCTGTGTAACTCAGAAGGCAGAGCGAAGGCAAAAAAAAAATGTTCCACAGTGCGGAAAGGAGATTGCATTGGATCTTTCTGTTTAATTAGCTTTTGCCTGGAAGTTTTTAATGCACAAAAGAAGTTGAGAGGGAGCAACCCCCCCCGCTGCTCTGTGGTAAAAGGTCCTTTTAACAGGATTACATGCAGATGCAAGAGACCGTAGATTTCTGTAAGCGCATAGAGTAATCATTCTTCCGTGTGTATTCTGGTAATTCTGTATGCTGTTAATTGAACCAAGGTTTTTCTGTCAGACCTTGAAAAACCACCACAAAAAATGTCCCTAATTCCCCGTGAATACCATTGTGTCCGTGACCACAGTTGGTGTAGGGCTGCATTAATCAAAGAAGTTGCCTGTCGCTGCAGCGCAGTTCATGGGAGCGTACTGAAAGTCCCTGTAGGCTCATGCCGTCTCGAATTTAAGATCACACCTCTGTATACTGGTCCCCAGTGCCCTTATATCGAGCCCCAATATGGCTCTGTGCAGTGCTGGTATTTGGCATGTTTCCTCTCTCTCTCTCTCTCTCTCTCTCTCTGCTCCCAGATGCCCCTCTTAAAACGGCAGCCAGGGGAAGTAAAGCGTTGGGCCTCGGGCCGCGGTCAACAAAAAATTAGAGTGGCTGCCTCGGACATGACGTAATCCCCGTCTCAAGAGCCGTAGCAGGTCATTAATGAAGCCAGACAGAGCCGCGTTTGAGTGGGAGGCCTGTGGACATTTAGCTGCTGCAGTGAAAAGCCTTTAAAGAAAAACACAGGCCCATGTTATAGCCCCTTTATGCAATAAAAGCATTTTTTATTGGATATCTATTACTGTGCTTGGTGGAATAGAACATATGACAAACGGCCAATTTTTCTGCCTTCATTAGGGAACGAAAAAGGCTTGGTGATCTCAATCATAAAAAGAGCAGTAAAAAGTTAACAGTTGAACAAAACGTGAGTCAATTGTCTGATTGGTGACATGTAGAAAGAAGCAAAAAGCTTTATTGTTCAAAGGCTTGACAAAGAACATTTAGTGCTTGAAAAAAATACAAAAAGTGGGCAGAATTATTATATAAGGAAGTCATCTTTGATCAGAATCAGCTCACTAGCCTAAAATAATAATAACAACAACTTCCTGTCAAGTGTGTATGCTAAAATTGCATCACTTCATAAAAGCAGCAGCATGCATGATGCAGCAGTAATGTCAGATACACACGCACAAAAGTTACCATCAGCTAGCTCATTTGGAAGTTAGCTCGAAACTCTAGTCTTTATCATACACCATCAATGCACTGAAACATACACACAGACAGTGAAAACAGAGATCAGTGTTGCCTTCATGCGGTTTGGAAAAAAAGGTCAAAGAAACAATTGTGAACTTGAATTGCAAGTATGTTTCACTGACCTAAAAAATATTATATTTGACAAAGTGGCTGCTCTCGTCTTGTAGCCAATTGCTCAAACGTGGAGGTACTCGCTCTGATCACTGTCCATTTATGTGATTATTAAGCCACTTTAAAGTGTCTTGCACATATAATCACCTTAACTATGAGTTCACTTATAAAAGTAAGATCGTTTGGGGATTGTGACTAAAAACAGTAATTAATTGCTCTTCTTTCAGTGAACAAATCAGATACTGTTGTGAACCATACTCCAGCTATCTGGCTGTACAAGTAGCAGCTGGGATTTTCTTATCAGGAAAAAAATCATTATCTCTTCATATCTCTGCGTTGGGCTGAATGAGGCCTGCCTCTTTGGTTTCTAGGCACGATAAGTCTTTTTGGTGAAAAGCACAATGAACTTTGCCCAACCTCAACCCAGACACAACAGGGCAAATGCTACATGTCACTGAAGAGGGGGAGATTTTTGGAGCGAATGTGTGACCAGTGCACCCTTGGGACGGGGAATCCTACAAACATACACAAAACCGATTTAGAGGGGGGAAAAAATCAAGAAAAAAAAGTCATTTCATAAACACAGGAACAGAGCAGTCAGTCGCTGAATATGAATTTCGCTACAAATATACACTGCCGTCTTCTATGAAGCTCACATTCAAATACACCCTTGTCTACAATTTAAAAACAGATGTTTTTCCCCGTTTTTTCCTCTCTCTTTCTCTATAGATGGTTCCGAAGTTCGACCACAGAACCATTTGCAGCTGGACATGGACCTATTTCTGAGCTGATGTTGACAAAACCCCAAGCCTAAAGCAAGTCAGGCAATCTAACCACATTCCAACAGCATCGACTGCATCCCCAAACACGACTGTGCAGCGCTCTCGTCAATTTGAGCCTGTTTAATTTAGCTAACTATGCAAAATAACAAGCTACAAAGAGAGGGACTGAATCAGACTTGCACATGATAAATAAACGTGACACTCCAGTGAATTATTTGGCACAGCAGACCCGGAGTTCAACTTTCCATCCACAGAAATAACACATTCTCACAATCTTGGGAGAACCTTTGCCGGCTGTTTTCCAGCTCCAAACTCTGGATTTCACCATTGTTTAAATTGATCGCCCAGATTTGATTTTTTGGTGAAATCAAAGGCAACTGCAGGAAAACACTTGATTGATATTAAAGTGTTATTCAGTGATTCCTCTGTTGCGATCATGAATCTTCAGGAAAAGCTGTCAGGCCTTAAAGGTCTGGTCACTCACTCCCACAGTAAGCGTCGCCATAAAGGCGACCTCACGGTGGACATGATAAGCCCCCCTTTGGGTGACTTCCGCCACACCATGCACGTTGGCCGGGGTGGGGATGTGTTTGGGGACACGTCCTTCCTCAGCAACCACGGAGGGACGGCCAACGGGAACAACGCGGAGACGGATTCCGTTTCCTCGCCCGACAACAAGATAGGAGCGTTTTTCTCCAAGACGCTTCGGCAGATCAGGAGAGGCTCTGACCATCGACCCAGAGAGGGCTCAAAGGATCTGTCCCCACCGCCTCCAGCCGTTTCCCCGATCATCAAAAATGCCATCTCTCTCCCACGGCTTGATGTGGACATGCCTAATGGGAGTCCCACCACCAAAGTGCTCTTTCCCAGTTCTCAGAGCACACCAGAAGACATGAAAAGCTCTTATGGTGAGTAGGAGATGTCTTTGTGTGTAACACTGAAGTGAAACATCTACAGACAATCCATTACTGAGTTATTTAGTGTTGTTAGGCTTTATCTAACTTTTTAATTCAGGTGAAATGTTGGGTAATGTTTGCTATCCCTCCAAACTGCCCACACTGGAAATTCCTCACCATGACGTCATCTGTTTTCACTAAGCAATTTCAGGATTAAGCTAAGACTCCACCAAATCCCAAAATTGTCTCCAAGCTTAAGTCGAGATGTTTTCCCTTAAATTAAACAGCGCCGTTGCCACACAGAGTCAAAGATGCAGGCAAAGGTCAAACCAGCAAACCAGCAAACCAGCGCTGACCAAAAAAAAAAAGATGGTGCAGCGCCGCTCTAACGTTCAGTCATCGGCCTTCCCAGAAAATCTGTAGACAGGGTTACCTCAGATGTCCTTATGAATCACCTCAGCTTATAATGAACAGCGCTGGTTTTGATAACACACAGAAATCCAGACAGTACTTGGCAACAGTCTGTCTGGGAGGCTGCCTCAGTGACCCCCGTTAACATCCTGCTCATGGGTCACGCAGGCTGGCCTCCAAGTGTGTGTTTGTGGCGTGCGTGTGTCAGTGTATTTGCAGCACGCAAAAAAACTAATGAGTTCACTTAGTCCAAGTTTCCTTTAATTATTAACGTATTTGTCTAACAGCTCTACAAAAATAGGCAAAGGCTGATTGTGACTTGCTGACAGGGGCATTATTTCAGAGAATGGGTCACAAAAAGAGGTTCGAAGTGGTTTACAACACAAACGTTTTTTATTTTTTAAATGACCGGTTACTAGATTTAGTAAAACCTTGCACAGCGCCGAGCTGGTAGTTTCCTCCTGTTTACAGACTTTATGCCAAGTGAAGCAAACCATCTCCTAATTGTAGTTGCTCGAGTAGCCCAAAGAATATTTTGGCCTCACAACGGCTTGAAAAATCCAGCGAGGCCAGAGGAAATGATCTGCCCAATTATGGCATGAATGCGGCCCCAGAACAGGCCCTGACTCAGGGCTGCTTAAACTGAACCAGGCTTTAATCTCGACTGAAATCATGTCACAACACATTGCTCGTCAAAATAAGGCTAACTGTGCCAGTTCTCAGCTCAAGCTGGTGTGCATCCACACAAACCAGTCCGGGCAAAATCTGTCAGCCGTTACTGGGCGTGAGCTGGTAGGACGTAGACAGACAGCTGACACTCGGATGCATTAGACACAATTCAGCTGGGATGTAGCCATCATTTTCCCAAAGTGTCTAATGGCTTATTTTCTATATTGTGACAAGGATCAGAAAACTCACGTTAGCTTTAAAAGCTTTTTTGACTTCCATGACTTTTTATAGCTGGTAACTTTATAATGGCACATTATAATTATTTTTTTTTCACTCACCAAAGTCCCAACATACTTATCTAAGCAAAGCATTATTTGTCCTTCTCTGAGAAAAGTCTGTTTTCTTTGGGTGAAACATCTCAACTCTCGACCCTGTCCAGCTCTGGCTGAGAAATGCTGCGGTAATTTATCCATTTGGTTGACAGCCAACACTGTATGTGTGTGTGTGTCTGTGTGAGGGAGAGAGATACCCTGTTGAGGGATCTGGCAGGGTCAGGCAGATGATTATCCCTACTGTTCACAGAGCAGAACAACTCAGCACACCACATGCTGGGCATTTAGCTCTCCTGCCATCATTTAATTGGATGGCTTCATTTCGCCTCCTGCTGGAAAAAATGTGTTAAGTCAAGCTGAGAGTTGGTCTGCGTGAGATTCTCACTTTTATGGAGTTTGGAAAGTTTTAGGAGTACATAAAACCCATGTCGTAAAAGCCTTGTAGCATATTAAAGAAATCAAATGAGTTGTGATTTTGAGTTTCATCCAAATCTGAGGTGTGTGGTAGAGATACGCTCCCCTTGAAAACTCCCAGAAAACACATAAATATGACATTAAAATGGGATTATTAATGATCGCCGGTTGCGTTTTTATGTGTTCCTCAGGTCTGGAGTCCGGATTCGTCACTTTGCCTCGCCTCTCGCGCTCTGAGCGTCAGCAGCCGTCTATCTCCATCCCCACCCCCTGCTCCATGAACATTCACCGTGGGTCTCTGACCGACCCCACCGAGGCCATCTTGTCCACCTGCTCCGCCTCGGCCGTGACCTCTCCGCCCAAAGGCAGGGACGCCTTCTCCGATTCCCTCCCCTCCCTCACCTCCCTGGACACCTTCACCTTTGACCTCGGGCCCTCTCTCATGAGCGAGGTTTTCAGCTTGATCGACGGCAACCCGGAGGAGCGAGTCCCCGCGTGGGAGGGAGAGGAGGCGGAGTCTGCGTGCGGGCTGACCAGCGACGGGTCAGAGAAGGGCTCGGCCACCATCTCGTACGTGGATTCTTTGCTGAGGGAGGACTGCGGGGGTGGGAGGAGTCCATTTTCAGCTGATTGCGAAGAGGAGGAGACAGGTGCGATGGAAGTCAACAGAGTCAGGCTCTCTAGCAAAGTACCCGATGTGTTACTGGGGTCTCCTGAACGGGTAGGGATGAGAATGGAGAGTGAGAGGTTCCAGAGTGCAGCGGATGTGCTTGCACGCCACTATGGCGTCAGCCCCTCAAAGGGACAGATCAGGATGGAGGCCGGAGATTCAGGACTGGCGTTCACCAGTCAGCCAAAGAAGAAAATGTCCTACAACTTTATGGACGATGAGGACGAAATCAAAGTCTGATCGGAGCAGGTTGAAGAAAGGACGAGAAATAAACAAGAAACATACTTTTCATGTATCATTCCTTTGTAATTCCAATCAAATTAATATTTCCGCAGCTTACAAGGTTAGTTCTGTTGACAGGACGGCCAGCATGAACCCAGTGTCCTTAATACTGGACAACTCCCCCTCTGTGCAATTGTGCTCCCGGGATGAACAGTTTTGGACGCAAACCTGCTTCTGAATGTGTCCACAGGGAGAGAAAGAACCGTCTGCCCAGCACGGCATGGATTTTAAAACTGAAAAACAAAGAGGACGTGTGAGAGAAAGTTCCAGAAGGTTATCTGAAGGGAAATGCCAACGTTTCTCAATGTGGAAGCTCCAAAGTCTGTAACTCACTTCTTCCTTTACACGCTTCCTCTTATGGGAAGAGCACAAATTCTCATAGCGAGTCTACATCACTACAAAGAAAAAGTGGGCGCTTGATGAATGGAACCGTGTTTCCACATTTTGGCATCGCTGCAATCTATTGTCAATGTTTGACTCAGGAATATTTGACACGGGGTTAGAAAAAGGAAGAAAAAGCTAAACATGGGAGATCAGGAATCTAGAAAAGCAGGAAAACATGGCAGTGAATACACTACATGAGGGAGTATAAGAAGTGGTATTTGCTAGAGGCAACTAAAGCCTGAATCATATAATTGTTCATTTTATGCTGCAGACTTATTTAGTTCAAATGTGCACCTTTTTTATTATGAACTCCAACTCCTGTATTGCTTTATATGGAAGAATTTATAAGTCCTTTTAAATAACTGTACATGAAAATATTAACTGACCTCCCATAAATATGTACTTACCATATGAACACCTGAAGTAAGTACCAGTGATATACAGTGATGATATGAACTGACAATAAAGATGTTTTAATTAGCTGTGTATTCATTGAAATTGAAAATATTCCGTCCAAACTCCTCAGAGACATTGAGGTGGTGAGTTTTACCCCAAAAAACCCAGAGACTTTAGAAGAAAATTTCCTTCAAAAACTGAAAATCAAACCAAATTCTACTATTCAAAGTGTTTTTTTAATTGCTATTGTGATGGAACAGTCCAACCTGGTATCTTTCCTGATAAATGTGCGTTCATTTATTATTGTTCTCATTTCTGTCAAGATGTGGGACAGGAGGGACAATAGAATAAATAAATGATTTTGGGTACAAACATACGGGAAAATCCCTTAAAAAAATTCATTAAACACAAGATGCCAAAAGGCATACAATGGAAGACAATAATGTAACCATAAGATTTAAAAAAACAAAAAACATTTACACTCTCATTGTGCTATACTGGGAACCTGCTGTGGCTGTGATGGTGGAGGAAGCGGAGGCGGGCAGTTTGGGGCTTTGACCGACGGCTTTTTCAGCTGCTTTTTGACGGCGACCGGCGGGGGTCGAGGCGCCGGCTTCATCTCTGGACTTGCGTCAGCCGCTGGTTTCGCCGGGGTCGGAGGTGGAGGAGCCGGGCACTTGGGAGGCACCGGAGCTTTCTGTTTGGAGTACTGAACACTAATCTGCTCGTTGGCTTTGGCCGGGCAGAACGTTCTCTTTGCTGAGTGGCCGTGGAAAGGACAGCAACAGAAAAACAAGCAGGAGAGATGATGAGATTTGCACCAAAACGTGTGTTACTGCATATTTAGTATGAAGTTAAACAACTAAATATCTTACACACTCTAATCATAATAATACTATCATAATGATAACTATCTATATTGCTGACAGGTATGTAAATATTTTAAAAGATCATTTATTCTTTCCAGTGTAACAAATTATTTAATTCAGAATCAAGTTAATACCTTTAAAACAGGGTTTCTTAATGATTAATTGATGATTAATTGCTGCAACACAGAATCATTCTCATGTTTCTTTTTTCGTGGAAGTTCTCTGACTTTTTGTGACTCTAGGGCTTTTCTTAGCATTTTTGCAATATTGCTATATTTTCACCTCACTATTCCTCACTATTCCTCAGCTCTAAGGACAAAAATGTGAACATTCTAAGATACTGCATATTAATATCAATATATATATCACCTGATATTAAGATGACACTCAAAGTCCATGACAAAGGGAACAACTGTTAGATGTTAAAACATGTAAGAGTTTGGCTGTCCGACATGAAGGAGGAAAGGGGCTTATAAGGAAAAGCCCGCCAAACAGTCAGAGATATGATGCATGCTGATATTTTGGTCAGTAGAGTCAGACTTCCTGTTTACTGTGAACATCCCGGTTCTAACAACCACTTCAGGTTTATTTATTTGACGCCCTTTCTAGCAGACTCTCTTGGCAAAAAAGGGCAGAGGTAAAGAATCTGTGAGGCTAATTTGGAAGAGAAAGGAGAAATCATGAGATGCCCTAAGAAAGAGAGCAAATTAGAATTTGGTGTGAGTCAACTTAAAAGGGAAGTCTGGAGGCACAACTTTTAAATGAATTCTTTCTACATTTCTAATGCTGTCACTCTTATTTAGGTAATTAAATGTTGCTGTGGTTAAGTGGCGCCATCGGCAGCTTTGACTTACGTTTGAATGGGGTAGAGATTTTCACTAATGCTTTGGGAGAATCTGGAGGTGCCTCCAAAATAGGCTCGAGCTGGCTCTGATCTGTGCTCTGCTTCTGAGCCGGGTTTGGTACCGATAGAGAAGCCCTGGGAGCCGGGGCCGGCTTCTGGTTGGGCGTAGAGCTACACCCAGCTGGAGGAGCGGGAGCCGGATCCAATCCCGAAACGGGAGGGGGTGGGCTACTGGGTGCTGCATCTTGCTGGGAGGACTTCTCCACCTCAGCTGTAGGGCTGGCCCACGTGGTGGCACTGCGACTACCCACGGAGCCCGATTTGACCAGGAAAAAGCCTCCGCTGTCCTGAGAGGCTGTGCTGAGGGAGAGAAATACAAAAAGAGTATTTAAAAGTATCAAACTAGCAATCAATGCACCAAGCTTTTGCATGGTTTCGACCCTTTGATGTCTTTCAGTTCAAACATTTTTTTGGTCTTCACCGACTGCATTAAACAGCACTTAAATAAAAAATTGAAGCAATGTTTTCCCTTATATTGTGCGAGAATTCTGGCACTTTCTTTTTACGACATTGCTTCAGTATATTGAGTTTATAGATATTTTCACTGCTATCTTGAGGTTCCATCACATAATTTCAATCAGCTTGAAGTCTGGATTTTGACTGGATCACTGCAAAATGTTAATTTTTCTTTTTCTTAGTTGCGATCACTGGACTGTCCAATGACCCAGTTTCAGTCAAGCTTCAGTTATTGGTCAGATGGTCTTAGACGGTGTTCCAGAGGTCCTGGTGTTGGTTTGTTCAGGGATATATGGGATTAGCAGGACCATATTAATTTAATAACTAGACTCTGTCATGGTGCTGTAGTTTTTCTTCATTTAGAAACAGTGTGTTTATTCTTTGTATTTTAAATGTGTAAATATATTTTTCAAATATTTCTTTGCCAATTGGCTCTTAAGGTTCAAATGGCTTTTTCACAAAATTTAATTTGCACACTAAATACATGATTAGTTGAATATGTACAAAATCGTTTTATTTCAGATTTCAAACGTTATTGTCTTATTGTGTTTACTATGACGCAAATAGGTTAAAGATGAAAAAAATTAAGTTTCAATGTACAGAGAGGCAAAAATGCAGGGTCTGAGGATCTGAAAACATGAACATTTTAAATTGGGACAGCAAACACTTTTTTTTTTGTCTGTATATGATGGTACCTGTTTGTTTTGGATAGAGAGCGATGATAGGAGGAGGATGACGATGTGGAGGAAGCAGACGAAACCGTTCTGCTCAGTTTCTCCTTCTCTGAGAAAAGACACTGGGTGGTAGGAGGAGGGACCTCTGCAACCTCAGGTAGCTCTGGGATCTCAAAGGATTCAGCTGGCACCAGGAAAACAAATAGGGAAAAGAAGAAAGTTCATCAATCAAATGCGACAAACTTTTAGCTTTGGTGACCATTCGCAAAACTTAAAGGTATATAGCTCAGATGGAAAAATTAAATGATCTTGACAGCTAAATGTCCCAAACCAACAGGCAAGCTGCTTACAGGCTCACTTATGGGTAAAACTTCACCTGCAGAGGTGGTGTCGTTTCAGTTTCCGGTGTGCTGCTGCTACACAGACTAGAGTGGGTGTAGCAGCAGCAGCAGATCAGGGTGATGTACAGACTTAACTTCCTATTTTAACACCGTTCAAAAGGGTAAAGGGACGATAAAAATTATCAACTTTACAGTAAACTAGCTTGGGGCTTTTTTCCAGTAGCTGTCAGCAGTTCATATATAAAACAAACAATCCTCTTAAGATTAGTAGAGTTATGATCACATCAGAAAAAAAGTGGTTCGAGGAGCAGTTTGTTCATACTGAACCTGAATGTGTAAAAACATGTACTGTCACACGACATGGTCCCAAAATATGCTGCAGATACAAACCAGGGTAACACCATAGAGGTGCACACTTGTGGGCAGCAAGACTATTTGGTGTTTGCATACCTTCTGGAAACAGACTATGGCTGTTCTGAATCAGAGGCTCAATGACCGTCACCACTTGGACCGAGGATGCTGACGCCATGTCAAACAGAGCGGCTTCTCTACAAAAGATACAGAAGGCATACAAGAACGAACAGCATTAGGTTCTCTAAAAAATATATGAGGACTATCTAAAGAAGTAACTTTCAGGAAGGTGTTATTAATAATATTTGGCTGGTAAGTGAATTAATGCCTGCTTCCTGTTCCTCAATATGTGCATTCGCACTCTGTCGGTGCAACTCGGCATCCTCAGTGTTGGATAAACACGATGAATGACTTTCATTGTGTTAAGAAACAAAACATCCTTATTATGGTTGGCATACAGGCAAGATTGAAATTCAGAGTCAATGTCTACTCCTTAAAATTCAACCTGAGTCTCAAACTGTACTTACAACACTCCACAGGTTATTAAAAGCAATGGGGAGAGTAGAAAAGTCAATTATATATTGTAGCCGTGTAACGATCACTATTAGTACATGTGAACGGTCTCCTCATTTTCTTATTTTTGTACCTTTGATGATTAAGAGCAGCCCAGACCGGATGAGTCGCAGTGGGGTAAGATAACACAGCACACAGGTTTACAACACAAGGACAAGTTCATTACACACCCCTCAGCTCGTGGCCAGAGCAGGTTTGGCCCCAGCACGATGGCAACGTTACTGGGTGTCATCTTGTTCACAGCCTGGTGCTCAGACAGCAGAGACAAGAACTGGACCAGATACCTGCCAACAAAAGCAAGACAAACAACAACAGAAAAAGAAAAAAAAAGGGTGAAGTGGACTCTGGTCGAAAGAATGAAAGCATGTAGACGTTGTAAGGTCCACGATTTAAGCCTCATTCCTTAATCCACCGTAAACACTGTGCATTTTCAATCACACTGAGCTTTTTTGGAGAAGTGAAAAGTCTCTCCACTCCACCCCCTCTGCTTTACAGAGTCAGGTTCTTGATAAAAGAGGCACTGAGGAAGTCCTAAAGCACATTTGCAATCACATGACAGATGATACAGCCGGTGAAGCCAGGCCAGGCAGAGCTCAGACTAGCAACACACTGAACTGATATGGCGGCTGGTTCTGATTGCTTTTTAATGCACAAGGTGCAAAGTAAGAAAAATTACTACTACTTTGAGGTGCTACTTATCACAGAAAATAAGTTCATTTTTTAGTGTGAACAAATGATGGTGCATACACTAACAGCTGTGAACTTTAAATCTGAAAAAAGACCCCAGTTAGAAGTTAGATTTCCCAAATGGGATGCAAAGAAGACAAAAACTTGGTGATTTATTATCTTCGTTTGTCATAATGAAATAGTTCAGCGCAGATAAGATTGTTTCATTAATATAAAAAGAAATCAAGGTGAATCTGAGTGGAGATATCAACTCACTCCCTTTTTTGTTACCTGTCTGCTTAAAATAATGGACTTTCACAAAGCCTCACGATTAGCACATTTAAAAGTGAACTCAGTTTGAAGGTAGGTAGGTCATAGGTTTGCACTTCCTTTGTCTGAAAAAAAAAGGTAAGTCTACATCAAACACTGCCCTGTGATGGCGTCTCGCCCTACTGTGTTAGGCTCCAGTCCTCCCGCGACCCCATTGGGGAATAAGCGGTTATGAAAATGGATGGACGGATAGATACATCAAACACCCACACACCTGAGGTTGGCGTAATTTTCGACCGGTAATTTCTTCAGGAGTAACCTGAACTGCTCCAGCTTCTCTGTCGGGTCCTTTTCCCTGTGAGGACAGAAAGCAAACTGTAAACAAATAAAAAAAAAAACCACTATAAAGACATGCTCATACTCTTGTCATACTCACCCTGCTGCTTTAAACCATTCACTGTAGAGTTCAAAGGTCATTAGAGGCTCGGGAAGTTCTCGAAGGTAACACTTCAGGGCTCCTGCCAACAAATCCAGAGATTCATTTCATGTCACTGTTGACTCTTTTCTATTTGATAAACCACAATAATCAGTCGGGGACAGTAATTCCCATTAAGATCTCCTCCTGCTTTCACTAATAGCTTTATATATTGTGATACTGGCAATTACCTACCGTTTACAGAATGTAATCACAGTACTGATGCAAACACACACGTCACATTTTAAAGCAATAAGTCAATTTCACATGAATGGAAACTGCAACAGGTTGATGTGCTTAAGAGTAAGAGGAACTGAGTGGTTAAATGAGCTGTGAAAGTCACAAGGAACTCGGACAGAAACTCAGGTTTCACAGACATTGAATGTAAGTTGGAAAACAAGTGCAGGCAGCTGACCGGCAACCGCGTGAGGGTCCATGCTGAACTCGTTGTGGTCCACCGTTCCCTGTTCCAGACAGTTCTTCAGCCTTTTCACCACCGAAGCTGCAGCAGCCAGACGAAACAGACCCTGTCGGAGGGCAAATGTTTATCCAGAGAGATGCAATGTGGCTGAAGTCGAGACCGAAATTGCATTCATTCGCCAATCAAATGACCCCAGATAAGACCAAGTTGCTCCCACCTCCTCCTTCATGCCTGTTCTCAGCAGCATGTGAATACACTCCTGGATAGGTGCTGCGATTTCTCTGTTGCTTTGAGACAGGTGTGTGAGCAGGGCCTCTCCGTACACCTTGTTGTTGGACAGGCTCTGCGCCGGCCCTGTGGGGTCAGACAAGCAAGCTGACCGTGTGACGGCGCGCCTCCAAGCATTCCATCACCGCGGCACACTGAGCAAGCTCACCTTTTTGGTTGTGATTGTCTTTGAGCTCGTTGATAGTCCTGTCCAAAAACTCGTGCGATATCTTGTGGTATTCTGCTTGGAGCTCAAGAAGCTGTGGTTGGGGAAATAGGCAACGCAAGGCAAGTTTATATGTATAGCACATTTCGTGTACAAGACAATTCAAAGTGCTTCATGGAGAATTTAAAAGCAGAAAAACAAGAAAAGAAAAATAATAAAAATTAGACAGATGAAAAGTGAAGGGGTCAGATCAAATACACACAATTTCCATATGCACAGTTAAACAGAAGCGTTTTCAGCCTGGATTTAAACATTGTCAGAGTTGAAGCTTCTCTCAGATCTTCAGGAAGACTGTTCCAGATTTTAGGAGCATGGAACTGGAATGTAGCTTCACCTTGTTTAGTTCTGACTGTGGGCACCATCGGGACAACAGAACCTGAGGTTCTCAAAGTCTGACCTGGTTCATATGGCTCTAACATGTCAGAAAGGTATTTTGGTGCTTGCACATGAAGAGACTTGTACACTTGTAAAGACTTGTACAGACTAGTAAAATAAGAAATGTTAAGGACGCAACTAAAAGCAGTGGGAGGTTACTAAATGGACATTAAACAGGAACTCACACGAATGAAATAATTGGCATAGTCGTCTTCCTTAGTTGCAAAGTGATACAGGTCTGCGGAGTACTGGTCCTACAGAAACAGACAACGTGGAGATTTTAACAGTGTCAGAGTCTCGGATAGGTAACACAGCCGCCACCTTTCACACCTTGATGTTCTCCAACTTCCTCCAAGCTTCTTCCACTTCCTCCCTGAGCCCGTCTTGCTTTGCCTGTGGCCCAGTGCTGGCCTGACTCCTGTAAACGCCCACAGAATCTCTTTGGAAATGATCCTTGACTTTAACTCCCCCGCACACATGCAGCCTTGACCGAAATTGTGTCGCTCACCTGATTCTCGCATTGTTCCAGTCCATGGTGAGTTTTGCAAACTGCTTCTTGTTCTTCAGGATCTCTGGTAAATCATCCTGGTAGGGGAAAAAAAATGTGGATTAAGCTGGGCCATACACAGTGAAAAAAAGCATAAAAAATTAGCACATGTCAATCTCAGTCAATGGATGGGTTTCTAAAAAGACCCTCCCTTAGGTTTCCTGATGAGGGAGATGAAGTCTAACAGATCGGTCCAAAATCAACTCAGCTGAGACTTGATAACTGCAAAGAAACTTTAGAAAGATAAAATTTTCATGCACATCAAGCCTTTCAGTGGCTCTTTGTGCGCTATGGATGAGGATGCTGTAATCTCAGGAAATGATCACTGGGCAGGAATTATCATCTAAATCATTTAAAAGAGGAATAAGCACTTAAAGTTACTGGAAAATTGAAAGAATGCAATGGGAAACTGGTAGTACTTTATGATATTTTGATTTGAATCACCAGAAAAATAAAAGACAGCGACAAAGTTGGATAGCTGGAAAACTGTTTGGGGTATTCTATTAGTACTGTGTGAACATTTTCATATAGCAATGGTTTTTTTGTTTTCATTTTCAGGGAAAGAACACAGGAGACCCTATTGTGTCATAAAATGCCCCCAATTTTCCTTTTTTCTTGTAACTGAGCTACATTGGCTTTTTCATTCAATTGGTTTCTTATCTGTAGGCGTGTTGATAGCTGTTAATACAGCAACAGTTACAGACCAGAGAAACTAAACCAAAAGTAAGCCTCAAGCCATGAGTTATTCTTTACCTCGCTGAGTTTATTGAGCGGCTCCAGAACTTCTTTCTCCATTTTCATCTCAAAGTCTGCCAGCATGTTGGCCAGCATCTTCTCCATGAAGCAGCACATCTCTAAAACTTTTCTGTAAAACGCAGAAAGACGCATGTCAAACCTAAAAACTTTTTTTTTTTACAAAAGCTTTAAAAAAAAAACACACTGATGATGAGATCACAAGAAGTTTCCACAGTGTGCGTGTTATACTAACCATGCAAGTCAAATGGAGGTCAACAAAGTTGAGGAAGTAACATGATTCTAAATGCAGCGTATGCAATGAAGCATGCTACAGCCCCAAACTCAAACAGCTCAAATCACAAGCTCGATCACATCCACTGAAATTCTCCACTCTGGTCATAGGTTTTTCTTGTACCGAATGTAAAACACAGTGGCAGACTGAAGGATGCATAGCTGGGGAACAGCTATGTAACAAAAATGAAACCTGCTACCTGATTGAGGAGCTGGCGTCAAAGTCTTTGAGGCATTCTGCCATGCTGACAGACAGTAACATCAGGGGCAGCTTTTTCTGCAGGGGGGAGAAGCACGCGTGACTTTTTTTTTCTTTATCCTTTTTCTTTTTAAACTCAGTAACCATTCTGATATTTCGGGACAGGTGGCGTGCGCAGTAGTCTCACTACCATTCGTTTTTCAGCCTCCAGTCCCGGTTGACTCTGCATGCACCCCAGCAGCTTCTTATGGAGGACCAGGGCTGCCTTCCTGGCCGGTTCCACCCGCTGCTCCACCTTCATCGAGTCACAGACACACAGAGTAAGTAAGTTTAAGGAAACTGGGCCAGAGTCCGCCCTATCAACTAGTACAAAAAAAAACCTGTAGTCTGATCATGTCATTCTCTGATCGTGTTTCCTGTGGTTTTTAAAGGTCTTTCTTGTGTTAACCCTTTAAAGCCTTATCCAAAAATAAAACAAGACAGAAAATCACTTTTTTTGTTTTAATTTCTTATTTGCCCTTTTAACAAAATATGTAAAAAGAAAAAACAGAAATACATTTTTTATATTAAGGATTTATTACTATGCGATAAGTCAAGATTATTTTTTGTGTAGTCTTCTTCCCCCTGTTATCAGGTTTATCTGAATGTGTACAATAGGATTTTGAGCAAAGTTTTTACCATTAAATTATGCAAAACATTTCAGAAACCGTATGTATCAAATATGATACATTTGGAATTATAGGGTTAGATTGGAAGTAGTACCACTTTGGCCCATGTGTTACTCTCTCCCATATCTCACGGTTTATGCAGCCCAGTTGAATATACTATAAAATAAACCAGAAAGGTTTTAAAAATAAAAACTGAATGAAAGAAAAGAATAGTGATAGAAAAAAAAGGTTTATGGGTCATGGAACTGCGCTCTTAGGTCCAGTATAAGTAAATTCAGTCACTAGAGGGAATCTGAAACTGGAGACATGTGTCAGCTCTCTACAGACACAGCAAGTTGCTTGGTTTCTGTGGACATGGGTTTATCTTAGATGGACAGAAAGTCAGTGGCTATTTTTCTATATATATGTATATGGGAAGAGAGAGAGATAGATAGATAACCCACACGGCTAAGATTAGAATTTATTCTTGCTGTTACTGCTATAGTAATAAAAATATTTCTCACCATAACCAGGTCCTCGTGTAGAAGTTCTGTGGCATCTTGTGACCTACAGACATGCACATTAGCAGGTTAAAGACTATTTTTTAACAGTTCGTCAGCAACAGAAACCCATCTTATGGTTATTCAACATTATATTCACGTCATTTACTGTTGGTTTGTTTGCTCTGCTTTGCATGCCTGTAAAATACACTATATTGCCAAAAGTATTTGCTCACCTGCCTTGACTCACATATGAGCTTAAGTGACATCCCGTTCCTAATCCATAGGGTTCAATATGACGTCGGTCCACCCTTTGCAGCTAGAACAGCTTCAACTCTTCTGGGAAGGCTGTCCACAAGGTTTAGGAGTGTGTTTATGGGAATTTTTGACCATTCTTCCAGAAGCGCATTTGTGAGGTCGCACACTGATGTTGGACGAGAAGGCCTGGCTCTCAGTCTCCGCTCTAATTCATCCCAAAGGTGTTCTATCGGGTTGAGGTCAGGACTCTGTGCAGGCCAGTCAAGTTCATCCACACCAGACTCTGTCATCCATGTCTTTATGGACCTTGCTTTGTGCACTGGTGCACAGTCATGTTGGAAGAGGAAGGGGCCAGCTCCAAACTGTTCCCACAAAGTTGGGAGCATGGAATTGTCCAAAATGTCTTGGTATGCTGAAGCATTCAGAGTTCCTTTCACTGGAACTAAGGGGCCAAGCCCAGCTCCTGAAAAACAACCCCACACCATAATCCCCCCTCCACCAAACTTTACACTTGGCACAATGCAGTCAGACAAGTACCGTTCTCCTGGCAACCGCCACCCCAGACCCGTCCATCAGATTGCCAGATGGAGAAGCGCGATTCGTCACTCCAGAGAACGCGTCTCCACTGCTCTAGAGTCCAGTGGCGGCGTGCTTTACACCACCGCATCCGACGCTTTGCATTGCACTTGGTGATGTATGGCTTGGATGCAGCTGCTCGACCATGGAAACCCATTCCATGAAGCTCTCTGCGCACTGTTCTTGAGCTAATCTGAAGGCCACATGAAGTTTGGAGGTCTGTAGTGATTGACTCTGCAGAAAGTTGGCGACCTCTTCGCACTATGCGCGTCAGCATCCGCTGACCCCGCTCCGTCAGTTTACGTGGCCTACCACTTCGTGGCTGAGTTGCTGTCGTTCCCAAACACTTCCATTTTCTTATAATACAGCTGACAGTTGACTGTGGAATATTTAGGAGCGAGGAAATTTCACGACTGGATTTGTTGCACAGGTGGCATCCTATCACAGTTCCACGCTGGAATTCACTGAGCTCCTGAGAGCGACCCATTCTTTCACAAATGTTTGTAAAAACAGTCTGCATGCCTAGGTGCTTGAATTTATACACCTGTGGCCATGGAAGTGATTGGAACACCTGATTCCGATAATTTGGATGGGTGAGCAAATACTTTTGGCAATATAGTGTATGTTTGAACTGTGATATTTAATCAAGCTTTTTCATCATAATTAAAATATAAACTGCGATCCAAAGCCAAAATCGATAATCAGATGAAAAGCAGAAGTAGTCAGCTGCAAAACAAGGTTCAATCAGATAACTTTTTAAAAATGTCTGACATATCTCTTAGAACATCTTCCAACTAGTAAAAAGATGATTTTTGGTCATTAATCTGGCTGTTGAACTTTTTATTTAACACTATGGCCAATAGCAAATGTAATTTCAGCAGATGGCAGATGAGCTCTGCAGCTTGGTTCATTTTCAAGCTGGACTTTTATATTCTATATATGTTTTATTTATATTTTTTTATACTTTTTATTTTTTGTAGTTTTTTTTAACAAAACAGGAGCAGCATCCGCTCTGTGGTTGCTCTCTGTCGAGTTGCTTCCTGGTCAGACTGTAGAGGTCTTCAGCCCAGTCTGGTCAAACTGCAGAAACGTGCAGGACACAATCCCCAAATGCACTCTCCCTGTGTGTTGATCCAACTTTGAGAGACCTGAGGCTAAGGCTCAGGCTCTGCCCATGCCTTCTTGATGTCCAGTTTCGGCCGAAGTCACAGAGTGAAGGTTAAACTTCGACTGCGAATCAGACAAAAAGGCCAACACTCTACCACTTTCTCTGCTTTGAAGCTTTAAACAAAATACCTACCGCAGTGCTTAATGTAGGGGCCTTTTACATCTACTAATAAGCAAAGACAAGATCTGTGGCTGTGAGTTTGTGCTGCTGCTGCTGCTGATTTAGTTCAAAGCCAAAACAGGAGGGCAGAAAACACAGATATGCTTATCAATCTGGGCTTAGCAGCAGAAAATTATATATGAAGTGTTGAAGACCAGCTTTGTTGCAGTTACGTGTGAAAGTATTCATGGTTGGCGATGTGCTCGATAAGCCCAACTCAGTTCACTAAGGGGTCATATAAGCCCCCACGCTTCTGGGGAATCCTGTATTTCCTCCAGTGAATGTGGGGTGTGAGCTTTAGAAAGACAAAAAGGAGACAAAGATGGAGTAGGTGGCTCTTAAAAAGGTAGCGTGGCTTGTTGTCAAAACCGAGAGCGTCAAAGGAAGAGGCAGCACGGCCTACAGATCCATTCTTGCATGATGTTGTGTGCAATAGCACCAACAAAACCAGTCCGGGGGAAGGTGTCAAATTTGGTCACCCGCACATTTGAAAAAAGTGCGTCACTCTGTGGTATTTAGCCTGTTGAGACGGTACAGCTGGATAGCAATACGAGAGCAGTCGTTTTGCTTTGATACTGCAACACTGAAACATGTTTAGTCTTTTTTAGTTTAATCTAAATGAAACTAAAAAAAGGGTGCCTTCGTAAGTGTGTGCAACGAACACAATCAGTGACCTTTAAGTAGTTTGTTGCTTCATGTCTAATTGCAGTCAGAGGTCCCCCTCCCCACCACCACCAGTTTTGAAGAGGAACTGGAGTGCAAAGCGGTTTGACACACCATCTCTACGGCAGCGAAAAAAGGAGAACACCGAAAAACCAAAGCAGAGCAAATCCTTGTCTGTAAAGGCTGCTGGCTGTTGGGGGCCATGAAAAGCCACGAGGGAAATGACATTAAAAAGAAAAAAAGGCAGTTTGACGGAGACGGTTTTTCCAATATCTATTCAAACTACTAATGAAACCAAACCAAAAAGGGATTTTAGGCAGTAGTAGAATAGAAAGCTGTCCTTAATGGGGCCTACTTCAAATGACTGGGTGAGAGTCCAGATTACACAACAAAACAAATACAACAAATGCCACAAAAGAAAAAAGTCTTACTTTGCTCCTGAGCCAAACTGCTTCAGGATGCTCAGAGACTGTCGGAGCATGCCGGCGGCGGGGTCCAAGCAGCTTCTTCTATCTGGATGCGTCGGTCCCGTTCAGCCCAACAAGATTATCCTCCTTCAGGGACGAAAAAACAAAACAAAAACCCGGGTCGCCTCTGTCAGCCGCCTCTCTTCAGTGGGTGTGAGAGGGCGCGTCGGGGGCCGTTACTCCCCGCCGTGCGCCTGCTCGTTTTGGCTGTTTCACGAGTGTGCTGTAAGGTCACACAACACAAGTGAGCGAAGGAGGAAGTTGCACATGTGTTATGTCAGTTTTGAGAAGGAAGAGTTTTTTGTATTTTCTCTTTTCCCTCCTCAGTTTTGACCGTCACACTACAGTTTGACCGTCAGAATCCAGACAGCAGAGGCCCAGCTTTTTGGATTTATACATTTGATGGTGAAAGTGAAGAGCAGAATGACTTTTTCAATGCGCTGAACAACTTCTGGTTATTGTACTGACAAACTGCGGTGTAAACTTCTGTAAGCGCTTAGCAGAATGTGCTGAAGTTGACGGGATGTGAAATGGCTAAAAGAGGAAACTATCAATGGCGTTTCTTGTGACATTTTTGTCATTTTAAAAAAAAAAATTGATCCTCAAGTAATGACTTTTTACAGTTGTGTTATTTACCTTTAGAAAAACTTGTTTTTAGCCATTGAAAAAATACTTTTCTTGCCTAACTTTAATGGTATTTATTTCAAAGCTTTTCATCTTATTATTAGAAAACCAAAGATATGTTTTAAGGTAATCGTCTTCCGTCTAATAACAGGACTCGAAACAATGGGATAAATGTAAAAAAAACAAAACATGGAAACATAAACTCAAACTAAATATAAACATCTGACCAAAAGTGGATGCACTTGACGGGGCCAGTTTACCCAATAAAACCAGTTACCAAACTTTTTTGCACTCTCAATCTGCAACACCTCAGTTCGCAGCGTCGAGACTTGTGATCCTGTAGATTTAAGAGACGCGACTATGACTTTGGCAATGTCCGGAATTCTTCGGCAGCAGATCATTGAAACCTTAACAACTTTTGCTCCCTGACAGACGCTTTTGCTCAGTGGTGGTACTGACTAATTGAACGGTAAGTGTAGGATTAACAATCCCCCGGGGCTTGCATTTCTACAACGTCCTACTGAATAAGCCTTTCTTTTACGATCCGTTTGAGAACATCATCTCAGTCATCCAAACTAAAAATCCTTTCAATTACAGACAAATCAACCATTTAACAGTATTGACACAGAATTTTTATTCTTTAAAAAGCCTTCAATTACAGGATGGAAAATGAGGAATTGTCACACTGTGCCATGCTACGTTTCTTACATTTTGTGGTTCCAACGATTGTTGCAAACCCAAAAACGACATGCTAAACGAACACAGTTCTGATGCAATAATGTGATCTGCAAATTAACTTACTGTAGTTGTTTTATTTTCTATAGCTCTTCCATAAGTGGAGAAAAACAGTGACTTGGTCAAGTATAAACTTTAGAGGGGGGGAAAAAAGCAACAAAAGAATCTCTGCACATGTACACAGGACCCATCCATGATAATCCAGTTACTGAGGCGGTCTGAGACTGAGTCTCCCAGTTATGATGCTCTTCAACTAAAGAATACTAGTTTAAGGAATTTCAAGTATTATTCCTGAAGCTTTGAGAAGTTATATAGCTGAAACTTTTGAATGAGGGGACATATGTTGACTGAAAAGGAGTAAAGGATGTTGGAGAATATCTTTCAGATGGTAAAAGACACCAAATTGTTTTGCAACATAGCCAAACCTACGGTAGAACAAATGGAGAGGGGGGGGAAAAAAAGAAGATTCTGGTTTTATTGAATTTTCGCTGTTAGAAGAGGGGGGACAAATACATTTTATGCAACAAATCCATTTAACTGTTGACTCAATTAAACGCTGTGATACAGCATGTGGTTATAAATCCGGGACAAACCAGTGAAGCCAGAAACTGAGTGTATACATCAAATTTCCTTCAGAATAGTTTAATTTGCTCCACCATCACTCAGTTTCCAGTCGCATGGAACAAATTAAAGGAAGAGTAAAGCACCAAAGAAATCCTCACTGTAATACCCGCTCAGGAAAGCTCTGTTACATAACCTTTGTAAAAACATATTAATCATAAGGAGTGGGACTTTTAGCAGCTTTTGAATTAAAATCCTGGTAAGAGAGGAATGAAAAGGCTGCAAGGCACATGGAAAACCTGTCAATGCCTCTCTTTGAACCTCAAAAAAAACAAAACAAGGCATTCCAAATGTTGCATCCCTCTTCACCTGTTTTCCCCTGTTCTGACGGCATGGCCACAGACGATCCCCGTCCCCCTCATATAAAGCGAGGGACAGGAGCTGTCCAGCAGTAGCCCTGATCTGACGTTGCTTATATTGGTCCCCTCCAAGTCCTCCAGATCTCCTCCTCCTTTCACCCCTCAGACTGAAGTGCATGTCTATGCTTTCAGGTGAAGCGCTAGCGCTTTGCTTTGGCCTCTTCAGCTTCTTTTTCTGAAGGAAAACAAACAAAAAACATATACATGACGATTATTCTCCTCCTGTCATAAAAACCAGAGCTTGTCTATAAAACCTGGTCAAATCAAAACTCTATATCCTGACCATTAGGACAGTCTCACTTGCTGCTGTTAACTGAAACATTATGGGACCATAGAACTTAATTTGGAACACTTTATATTTGAGATGGAGTTAAATTATTTAGTTGAAAAGCAAAGTAGTGGGGTTTTGAAACATGAAAATAGTGTGCACAGAACGGTGCTTTGCAAGATGAAAAACATTTAGCATCTTATTACTGTCGTCTGTGCGACTTTTAGTTTATTTTAATGCAACGCATTTCTGGGAACATGAGCCCATTTTCACAGGGATAACGGGTTTTTATCTAGACGTCACAGGAAAAACTTTTTTTTCTTTAAGAAAAAAAGACTGAACACTATGAGTGTTACATCATCAAATGCCTGAAGATGTAGGTTTTTAAATCATCTTTAGCTTGGCAATAATTAGAACTCAGCCAGCGTACTAGGTCATTTTTCACTGAGGTTGTTGTGATCAGGACAACGAGAATGAGCAACGCTCACTTTTCCTACAGAGACAACAGCTAAATTTGATTTGCCATACAGATGCTTTGAAGCCAAGAGCGAAAAGGGAGTAAATAAAAAGATTTATCTTTCTTTCTTTTTTTAAATTCTGATTAATACAGCGGGCTGCATATTCACTGTCCCGCTGTGTAGTCTGAACTTGAGGTGATTCTTTGTGAAATTTTCAGACATGACAGTTTAGAATTTTGTCCTTATGAATATCTAAGCTGAGCTCACAGATGACAAACAATATTTGTCTTCAGTCCTCCCTGATTAACCGAGGAGAAAGACACAGAAATATAGTAAATGGCTAATCTAATATCTTACCTTTCCTGAGTTCATCTCTCTTCTTGGCAGCCTCCTCCCTCTGTTTCTTGATGATCGCCAGTCTGGCCAGGTCAGCCCTTGCCTGATCAGTTTTACCCTCCAGATGAAGCTTCATGTAGCGTTCCTTTGACTTTTGCTTCTCTATCTCCTCTCTGGAAAACAGAAAAGGAATGCGTATCAAGAGTATAACTTAAAGTAATTGCGTGACTCAAGGGCTAGCTGAATCGGAGCATTTAAACAAAATAATAGATGCCAAAAGTCCTATTTGGCTTGGTACCCACCTCTCTCTGCGAGACAGCTCTTTGGGAGCACTGACATCTATTTCAGTCACCTTCTTGCTCTTCTGAGACACGCGGTTGGGATTCTCGATCTCTATAAGCCCCTCAACGCCACTTCTCTTTTTAGACTGTTTGGGCAAAAAATAAATAAAATCTAAAAATCAAAGCTACTGTCACAAAGATAAAGAGAACATAAAACAGTTCCAACCACCAAAAAGCTAATCCTTTTGCATCCATGAGGTCTAGTTTTGAACCAATTCAAAAAAGTGCAGGAGCGCCTCAAAAGGCTCAGCAAGTAAAAGAATAGAGCCTATATTCACCACCACAATGAGCAAAGTTAAGTTAAAAATCACCAAATAGCCACCAGCACAATAAGACTGATTATCCAAAACAAAAGGCCATTTAAACCTCACAATACACCCCAGATCTTTTGGTGGCAAAGAGAAACAAATGATCCTGAATGATGCACTGATGGAAAGAGTTGCTGTCTCCACCCTACCAACAATGTTGACCATCTGATTATTTTTAGCCACCTGCTCTTCTCCCAGAGGAATCTTAAAGCTGCCTGCTCTCATGAGATTTGTGCTAAGGATCACTCCCAATGAAGGGTTCTAAGTTGTTATGCAATATCAAGATACATTACCAAACGATAACATTCTGGTCAAAGTCAGTTACCCTTAGCCTTACTTACGTCTGATTCCTCATCACTGCTGCTCTCATCAGACCCAGAAGAGTGCTCCTTCTCTGCACCACCACTTTCTTCCTGTGGGGAAAAAAACAACAAACACATTACATCACATAAGTGACTTTTAGCTTCCTGCAGGTCTTTTTTACTCACCAACTCTTTCTGGGCCCTCATCTGCCGATCAATCTCTTCTGGGTTGCTGAACTGCTTCCCTCTGCCCTTGTGGCCCTTTTTCCCTGAAATAGAATTTTCTGCGTTGTCATGGCAAGTAAACACAATTCAACAGGCTTACAAGACTCGTATTAAAGAAGGAATGATAGGAAAATGTTTTTAAAAGTTATGGAGACTATTGAGTTCGGGTCCATTTTTTTTATCCCGTAAACTCACCCCAGCTCACACTTAAACAACAATTGACATTAGATGTCAGTATAATGCCTGAACACCACCAAAGATTTTGTCTCATGACGTTCTCCGTGGGATGCTCTATTCACTATGAATCCCATGGTCAGGGAGAGTTAACGGTGGATATCGGTTAAAAAAATGTTCTTGTTAGCTACCAGTTAATACTTTGATCAAATAGTTATGTCTTTATTGTGTGATGCTATTGACTTGGTCCAACTTATGTTTAATATAAAAGCTAAAATGTTGACTCAAACCAATGCGGTCACATGTGCACATGGGACAGGATATTTAACACATACACCAAGCTATGTAATCACAATGATAGTTTCATATGCCGAATTAAGTGGTAGGCTTGTATTAAAATACGACTATGATTTTTTAATTGTTACCCATCATCTGTGGTATCTTACCAACCCGCATACACCAAAAAAACGTGAAAAAAGCGGTTCGCTAACCTTTAGCATGCTAACCGCTAAACATATGGCAGTTCTATGAGAAATCGTGCTATTTGAGCTAACGACGCGCTATGAAGAAACAGGTCACTGTTGGGGCAATATTACGTTAGGTCTAATACCAACAATACTTACCACCACGCGGCATTGTGTAAAAAAGAAATGAAGGTAGAGTACACCACAAGACCTCGATAAGAAACAAGTGTAAAGAGGCAAAGCCGGTTGTTTAAAGTGCTAAAAAAAGAGGCTAGAAACTACTTCGTCTCTCCCGCTAGTGGCAGCAACAACGTCGACGGCGTCTTTAGTCACTCCAGGCCGCTGCCGCATGCGCAGTGAGGACCATCAGACCAATTGCTAAACAGTGTTCACCTGAAAGCTAAACCTACCAATCGAATTCAGATATTTCAGTTCGTAACACTCATTCATAAAAGATCCTAGTATCATTATTAGTTTGTTTGTTTTTAATTACTTTAATACTAATAAAATAATTATGCGCAATTTGAACCCCTGTAATGTATTGTTTAATACATCTTTGCTGAAGAAAGCAGGATGAAATGCAAGCCAACCTATGTACAATTATTTTAAATCAGTGGAATTTCTAAATAGAAATTTTTTAAAAAATGTACAGAACATAGAAGAAGATTCCTACTCTCACAAAAGGAGGAGGAGTTATGAATAAAAAAATATGAATCATAAATAAAAAGCATTTTTTACAGACATTGAATTTACTGTTTGCAAACAAAGAAACACAGCAAGTACAAAAACAATATGCTGGATACAGTTTTTAAAGACAACAGCCATGTACAGCTTGTAAAAATTTGAATACATGTTGGAGAGGGATTTTTGATGGATTCAGACACAATCACATGCAGCACAGAATAAAGACGAGGAACTGTTTTTTGACATATCGTCATTGTGATAAAAAAAATCATTTTTTTATATTATCAAACATTTAATTATCAGTAAATACAAAGATTCTACAACTTTAATTGTATCTTTTCACAGAGAGACCAAATTAAATCTGTCATTTTTTTCTTCGATGCTGAGTCTTTATATCTTCAATTTCCTTCTCCATTAGGTGGTAGTCTACTGTAGTTTCAGTAAGCTGAAAGAAAGACATTTAAATATTATTATCCAATCATCCTTTTAAAACAATAACCAATACTTAAAAAAAAGATCAGTGTATGGCTCAAAGGGATGTTAGATAAACAGGACATTGTATTTAACTTTCTTTCCACAGAGTGTCATACAGTATCTTTATTATCACTTAGAAAGCGAGATCCTAATAATCACGGCTGTTCAGGTCTCACCATGTCCAGGAGAACTTCAATCTTCAGTTTCAGGAGGTTATTTTCCTCTTCTAGTTGAATATTTCTCTTTTTTAGCCGCTGCAATTCTCTCCCGGATGTAGTTCCAAGAGATTCTGGATTTAGGAACAAATGAAAGAATACATTCAATTTGTGCTGTGTTGGCGGTTCAGAGTGAAAGTAAGAAAACCAACAAAGAGAAAAGCATCAGGAAAGTCACAAACTCCAACTGTTTTTGTTTACCTTCAAAGTTAGAAGAAATATTACCTGTAATCCATTGCCCATCTTCAAATTTCCAGCTTTGTCCTCCAATGTTCATTGCTGGAGGTCCATACTCCAGGCCAAGTTCTATTTCTCTTGTTGAACGATCCAGCTTTAAGAGAGGAGAGGGTAAAATCGTCAAAATAAACCGAATGTGCAAAGAACGAGCAATACTAACTCAAAAATCTTTCGCTTAGCCCCTGAATTAATAATCAAATACCTATAATTATGTACACATAATGTAATAATAATTTTAAACTGACCCGATTAACATGAATTTAATGCGTAACATTACGTAAAGGTTATTATAATGCCGTATGCCTAAAACAACAGATGCTGCCCAAGTTATACTACTTGTTCATCTCACCGTATGAAGGCTGGACAGAGATGCAGATTTACGAGGGGGAGTCTTCTTCGGACTGAAAGTGTTTCCAAAGAGAGGCATCTTCAAGGATTTTCTAAAGTCCTGTATTAGACATTGCACAACAATAGCAGTTAGAAATGTTTATTTGCGCTTCCTCTCATACAACTACTCCGTGTTTATTGTTGCTAACGGTACTAATCCTAGGTAGCTAACACAAGCTAGCTATATGTAAATAACTCATACCTGAAATTTAACTGAAACTCTCTTCTGTCCTTCAGATGTGTTAGTAGATTTTGTGTCACTTAAAATGTAGGACTGATATATTTACCTCCATAGAGAAAATGTAAGGCTTTGGTTAAAATTCCCTTCTCGCCAAACATGCTTGCTACTGCGCAAGTGCGAAAGTTCCATTATTCTAAAGTAAATACAATCCGTCTTTAACAATAATACCCAACTGAAGTGTAGATTAGTTTGGACAAAGCTGTACAAGACTTTGATAAGTTAAATTGCAATTTAAGATTTTTTTTTTGTTAAAGAAAGTGTTTAAACATTTTAAACTAATCAATGAGTGTAAGGCAGACACCTAATTTTGGTGTGACAATGGAACCGTCCCTCAAACCAAACATAGTCGCCATAGTGATCCGTACAAGCTTTTTCTGACTTTCGTAATGTGTCATTTTCTGACCACCACAACTATAATATTTAATACATTAAAACCAATGAGAATAATCACTAAGATTTGTCCGATGGTTGTTGCCGTAATAACTATGACCTGTGATGTCATCCGCTCGTCGTGCCCCAGTGGCCTAATGGATAAGGCACTGGCCTCCTAAGCCAGGGATTGTGGGTTCGAGTCCCATCTGGGGTGACCGAGCATTTTTGCGAATAGAAATGTCCCAATACTTTATTTGGAGTTTATGTTCTCTTTTCATTTAGCCTGTCTCTGGAAACCAAAGGACACATTTGCTGGCATTCATGGCCCCAAGTACACTCACTCCATCACAGTAACTCTCACAACAGCAGAATTATTTAATGACGGGCGACATTATTTGCTGACATGGATACACGGAGCATCACTTTATCGTTGCTGCTGAGCACCATGGCTATATCGGTGCAGCATACGGACGTTTTCAAAACAACATCCATAAAGCCAACTTACCGTAAGTAATTTAACTGTGTTGTCGGTAGATACCATTTCTGTAGGACTTGGTTAACTTTTTCATCCCTCTAGATATTCCCCTCAACGCTACGTTCAAATACCTCTTGTATTGTAGATATAAATAAGAGACATTCCGGTAAAACAAAACAAACAAATACAAATATAATCTTTTGCATGGAGCTTATAAAGACATACCAGTAGCATCATTGAATATATATGTATATATTATTCTTTATTATTTCTTTGCTTTTGTTTTTCGTTTTGTTTTGGCCCTAAAGTGCCTCTAAAACATTTATATTTTTAGAAGGGTTTTTTTTGTACTTATTCAAATGTGTGTTGTTTTATGGTACGAAGTGTTTACTGACAGCAGTGTCCTTTTATTCTTAACTGCAGAATACATCAGTTTAGTTCATAACACAAAAATTCTACCAGGAGCCGTTCCACCATATAGATAATTGGTATATGACAGTTTAAGGTTTATTATATATTTCTGGAAATATACAGATATATACAGGAAAATGTCAAATTTGAGGGGAAATGCTGTAATTATCTCATAGAATATTCTGTCAGTGTCATGACATTATCTTATATAATGTGCGTTATCTAACCTCAACCCTGTAACCCTGTCAATCCTCCTACAATGGTAGAGCTCCAAGAGGCCACCGTGCTCTGGGATCCTGCCCAGAAACGCGTGATCCTGAAGGAAGGGGTGATAGAGACTGAGGGGGGGGCCTATGGTTACTTCAATGACACTCTGTTCCTCTCTGGATGGGGCATCTTGGAGATCAGAGCAGGTTATGGGGGAGTTCAACTGGAAGATGAAACCACCTTCTTCCTGGCTGGATACCTGGAGGGTTACCTCACCGCTGGGTGAGCAGCACAGCGCTCGCAGATGTTAAATCAAATTCTTAGTTGTTTGTTTTCTTCATTGGGGGGGTGGGAGGTCAAAATACACTTACCCAATACGTAATATTGTTGTGTTGTTGTGACTATAAATGTTAAATGTGGGAGGAGGGGAAAAAAGCGTGTTCTTTTTCTATCTCTATTGTAGGCAGATGCTCAGTCATTATTTCAACATGTATCCCCAGCTGATGAAGGATGAGAGGGTTTTAATCTCCTTGAAAAGCTTTTTAAGGTACCGTCCATATAAAAGCACAAATATCCGTATGTGCAGGTTTGCCAGAGAAGACACAGAAAACTGGATTTATTGTATTTTCACTTATATTTCTAGTTTTCAATGCAAGACAGACATTCTTAAAATAAATGCCTTCATTTTTGTTGAATTTATGGTTGACAAACAAGGATTTTATTCTGTGATGGGCAGCAGTTTACTGACAAAACCAGATGTAAAGCTGACATTTTATGCGTGCACAGGGCTGGTGTAATTCAGATCGTAAAATATCTAATGCAGTCAGAAGAAAAGAGAAGATTGGAGAAGCTTAATTGTTCCAGCTTGTTGTGTCAATGACCCACAGAAAACAGGACCAGTGGGCCCGAGAGCAAGTGAGACTGAGGAAAAACAATGACCCCCTGTGGAAATATTTGGGACTTATCTTGGCCCAGTTGGATGGAATCCATGCTGGAGCGGCTCAGTGGGCCAAAAACAAACATAGAGAGGTGTGTGTGCGTTGGGAGAGGCTGTCTAAGAGTTGTCACAATTTACCAGTCCATTAATCACTGTCCTTTCCCCCCCTCCATCCTGCTCAGCCTCTGTCAGTGTTTGCAGTCCAATTCCTGAACGGCGTTGGTGACCTCCTGGACATTGTCCCAGCTCTGACACTTCGCTCCAACTCCTCCGCACAGACTGGCGCTTTCAGAATGCCAGGAATGGGTCACTGCACTGCTCTCATAAAGGTTAGGCCAAGCTCATTTGGCTCAAGCTGTGAGGGAAAGCTCAACATAGATCTAATTGCTTCTTTATGAGAAAAAGGCCAGTGTGAGGGGACATTTCCTCCTCTGTTTACGCTCATTCAGCGAGAAAAGACTCAAAGAGGAATTGAGAAACACAGAGCATTGGACATTAACTGAATGAAGAGCATTATAATGTTTCATACTTGTACGCAATTTTGAGATTCTTTTAAGATATTTTTCCTTTTCTGTCTAAGGTGCTGCCAGGCTTTGAGAACCTGCTGTTTGGCCATTCTAGCTGGTACACTTATGCAGCCACTATGAGGATCTATAAACACTGGGACTTCAGGGTATCTGACACACATGCCGCCACAGGAAGGATGTCATTCAGCAGCTACCCTGGTACACACTCAGGCATAGCTTATTGCTGATTTGAATGGAAAAAGGAACACTCCACTTAGTAGACATGACAACGTGTATAGCATTAGTAAAGTGAGTAAATAGATTCACTACAAATGAAAAGGGTGCTGCTTGTCAACTTTGCCAACCCAAAAGAGCTGTGAATTCCACTTTTCCTGCAAACAGCCCTTATCGGGAGTTGGACTGCTTGTCCTCAGTCCACACGGTCACATTTTCATCTGGGAAAATATAAACACAGACATCCAGAAGTGAGCTGTAATCCCCTCGAAAAACATTTCTATTCAACGCCGTTCTCGCACCAAGCAGCTTAGGAAGATGAAAGGTAACATTCAACTCCACGAATGCACAAAAGGAATCCACTCCGGGATGAAATGTTCCCTCCGAAGTGCCGAGGCACAGGAGACCGAGTCATTTTTTGGTCAAATATTTCGTCAAGTGGTTCAGGCCTTGAAAAATCCTCTTATGGGCTCCAGTGCTATCAGAGCACAAGTAGTTTTATGGTACTATTTTTAGATATCTGCAGTCTAAGGATATCCCTTCACTCCAAAAAACTAAAGCACTAAAATACGCTGGTGTCAGTGAAGTTAATGTGGACTTTTGGAGCCTTCTCTGTCAACAAAAGTACAGAGGAGATTAGAAGCAAGAGTAAATGTTAAAGAAGAGGCCATAGTGGTCCAAAAATATTGTCTTTCCTCTTTTTATTACTGCCAAAGACGTGTCTTCTTCTCCAATTAAGTTTTGTACCTATTTGTGATTGAGCAGTTAGTTAAGATACCTGATCAGATAATTCAGAATATAACATTGCTTCACTTCACCCTTAACATGTGAGAGTGATGGCCTTTTAACTTCTGGAGTACACAGTTGCTTTGAAATGTTTTCTTAAGCAATTCCCTCACATCTTACTTTCATTTATCAATGGCGCCAATTACAATTTCCTCCCCCTCTTTGACATACACTTCCTCATTCAGGGTTCCTGACGTCACTTGATGACTTCTACCTCCTAGGAAGCGGCCTGCTGATGACTCAGACTTCTATTGGTATCTTCAATGCATCCCTGTTCTCCCAGCTTAGTCCTTACAGCTTACTAGCTTGGCAAAGAGTCCGCTTGGCCAATAGTCTGGCTCACAATGGAGAGGAGTGGGCAAAACTTTTCTCCAAATACAACTCAGGTGAGATCATTGTGCTCTGAGCGACAATAAGTAGATGCTTTGGTTTTATGGAAAAACAAAGCACATCAGTAAACGCTGAATAACACTGACCAGTTAATTGACAAGCTCAAGTCTGTGTATTACATTGAATAAAGATAGCGTTTTGCTGTTTAAAAATTATTTTGAGATTTAGCATTAGCAAACAGAGCATTGTTCTCAACACACATTGTGCGTGTGTGTGTGTGTGTTTGCATGCGTGTGTGTGAGTGTTAATCGGGGGACGTCTGATCTTCCACGTCATGTTGCTATGGAAGTGCCGTAGGAGAGTAGGACAGTGTGTTCTTGGGACTGGCGGTCCTTTCATCATCCAGGAGACTCCCCTCTCAAATTCAAGAAAACAGCCAAACATGACTATAAATGCATGTGATCCATGTGCTACATAATTATATGAAAGGCGCATTTCTGAACATTCTATTGAATTTTTTGTGGAAAAATTGTTTGTCAAATTTGTGCTAAAATACTGTAATCTTCCTCTTAATTTGATAACTATGTACATAGAAGTTTTCAAATGCAATTGCCCCAAATGTCCTTTTAGAATGAAAAAACTTACACCAGATAAAATAGCCTCTTTGGTTGCCCCCATAATTCGCACATGTAACAGAACTAAAAAAAAAAAAAAGGATTTTTTTTTTTTTTGGTAGTTTTACCAACAGAAAAGGAAAACATGATAAATTAATTTGAGAAATTATAACAGCAATACAGGTAAATGAAACACATCATGAGACATGAATGAGCATTAAAGTGAGATGGAAACTTAAATTTAGTTATTTGGGCCATCTTAGATAAAATAAATTATTTTTTCATAATCCCTTTCTGATAAGATGCTCCTGATTGCAAGCTGCTCAAGAGAACTGCTTGATGTGAGAATTCAAAAGACAAATGCGCTTTTTATATTAGTTTGGGAAGCAAAGGTAAAGAGGAGTTAGATAGATAAGCTAAGGTCATTTAGGTCTTTATATCTCCAAGACAAAGCTTCATCTTCCACATACATATAGCGTGATGTCATCAGCATAAAAAAGTAAAAATATATGTTTATGTATTTAGCAAACGCCTTTATCCAAAGCGACTTACAACTCACAACATTACAGTTGAGGTAGGTAAACGGTAGCATGCAGGGTCTAGCCTGGGGACCGTTACTGAATAGTTGCCCTAGGCAGGATTTGAACCCTCAACCTGCTCTTCCTGTAATATGCTCAAATATCTGAAATGCTTTCAAAATGTGATCAATGTGTCACATTTTGTTGGAGACAATTACACATGTGTTTCAGGTACATATAACAGCCAGTACATGGTGGTGGACCTGAGTAAGATTTCTCTGCGTCATAGCATCAGGAAAGGAGCTCTGACAGTGGTGGAGCAGATCCCAGGAAAGGTGCTGCATTCTGATCAGACGCCAGTTTTACGCAGTGGTAACAAAATCATTTTATTCTCTGTTTGACCACGTCTATATTTTCCTCTTTTATCGATTGTATTTATTTTATTTCAATGAAATCCAGAGTGTCTACTTGTTTAAATAATATTATTGGGCATCCTCTACCTTCAGTGTGCTACATTTGGCAGGTTATTGGCCATCATACAACATACCGTTTCACACTGAGATCTACAACCTCACCGGATACAGCTTGATGTGGAAGAGATACGGAGAAGACTTTTCCTATGATCTCTGTCCAAGGGCTAAAATCCTCCGCAGGGACCAGGCCAAGGTGTCGGACCTTCGCTCCCTCAAACATATGATGAGATACAACAGTAGGTGAAACAAGATTCCTTAAATTTTAGCATCCTTGCCTGAGCTCAAATAGCCAAAGAAATGTTAAAGATGTTTTTAAAAAAAGATGTGTTTACAAATTAACACAAGCTTAAGTGGTTCTCTTTTAGACTACAAGAGAGATCCCTACTCCAAAGGTCATCCATGTAAAACCATCTGTTGCCGTAACGACTTGAGACCAAGGAGACCACGCCCAGGTGGTTGCTATGACACAAAGGTGAAAGTATATTAGAGTGGGGCCACTACAGGCCATTAGAGTTATATATTTCAGCAACATGGATTGTCATTTTGTGCCTGATACCCTTTGTTTACACTTCTAACTCTTTAAGTCTTTGATACAAAATAGGGTCTTAATTCCAGTCAGTCATCCTATAAAAAGAAACTAAATCTATGTCTATATGTACACCATTGCAGGTTCCATAAACATAAATAAATTATCCCACTTTCTGTAATACCGTCCCTCATTTCTGATTCCCGGCACAGGTGACGGAATACCAGATGGCCCTCCAGCTGGCGGCAGAAGCCATTAATGGCCCCACAACTCAAGGTGGCCTGCGTCCATTCTCGTGGCAATCTTTCAACCTCACGGCTCATCAGGATCTCCCACACACCTACAAATTTGACTTTGTCTCCATGAGAGCTACGCTGTGTTCGCCCTGAAAGCTCAGAGAGATGCCATCAGTCCAGCTGGAATTCCCACACTTCCAGGGAATCTGATCGCTAGGGGATGTATCGTAATACTGACAGTCCTGTCAGTACATGTCCAATTACTGAATACAATGTGAAGGAATGCAAATCTTAAATAATGAAAAAAAACGTTGTTTTTATCCTCCAACCATTTATGTTCAGTGTCTCATGGTGAAGCATGTTATCTATGTTACACCCCTTTATTTCACAATCAGTGTGCCTCCTATAATTATATTAAGTTGTTTGTCATTAATTAAATGTCCCAAATCAACTTGGAGATAAATTTGCTTCTTTAACTGACCACTAGCCACTTGACTCTGTGAGATGTTATTGATTAGATAACTATCTTATCGGCTATATATTGTCAATTTGTTGGCATGCTGATCGTCCATTTTCACACATTGTTTCCCCAATTATTTTACTACTTTGAGATATATGCATTGTCTTCTCAGGTTCATAAAATGAAGAGAATAGTTTTTACTTAATTTATGTTCATTTTAACAGTAAAGGTTGAATATTAAATGTATTGTCGTTCAATGTCCAAACTAGCACTTGTTTCTGGTCTAGACCTAAGTTTGGCAGATTGATGGAGAACAATAAAATAGGAATTGCTGAAACAAATGCATTTTTGAATTGTATATTTTGTAGATGATATTTTGAGTGTGTATATGATAGGTACACATGAAGACCATTCAACTGACCAAATACAATCCTGATCAGAATTAATCACCTGAACTGTAAGCACAGAATATTCAAATGGAAAAAATGTTCTGCATGACTTAAGACTTAAGATGAATAAAGTCATTGTGTGAAATAAAGATATAGCCATAATAGACAACATAAAGAGTAAGGATATTTTAAATCAGTGCCGTAAAAACACTTCAATTCAGCAGGATTTTTTAAGACATTCAAGTGTTATCAGTTAATCCAGGAGTTCTGTGATGGGTTGTGGTAAAACTAGAGAAGATAAGTAAAAAGGTTTAAGCTCACCTGGAGTGATAAAGGGATAATTGCCCATAGCATACAATCAACTATCAATAACCTGAGTTATTGTGGAAGACAACGGAAGAGAGGGAAATTCTTATGGCAAGAGCTTCATAATAACATATCAACCTTTACATATTTACAGCCACGTTCATCTTAAGACTATTTTCCAAATTCTTCTTAAGGCGATGTTTCACATAGAGCAAGCCCAATTTAAACTATTAAGGCATACAATGAATTCATGCTTATGGGTGATTGTGAAGGTTACCCACAGTCAAGCAAGATAGAAGTTTTATCATGGCGTGGCATTGTATTTTTAAATATCAAGTATCAGTGGAATTAAATGAATAAATAATACGAAATTGTTTGGATCTCTGGAGAGCTTTTTCTTTGATCATCTTGTTCGACTGTGCCCAGACAGAAACAGGAGCAATCATTGAGATACAACGCTTGATTTCTTAATTTGAAAGTATTATCCGGATGTCAGGAATCTGACTTCCGGAGGCTTGACGCAGCTGATCTTTGAGCTCGTGCGGCTTCTGGGCGGAGCGTTTCCACAGAGAGGGAGAAGAAGCCAAGCCAGCGAACAGGGAACGTGCCCGTTCGTAGTTCGCTCGTGTCGCGGCTTTTTCCCAAATGGCAACGACCGCCGACGACCAGCGGAAACCGGCACACGTTGCTGGGCCTTCGACGCACCACGGCTGCCAGCACCACAACAGCAACAACAATAACAACAACAACAATAACAACAAAGACAGCGAGGCGGGAGAGAGCGCGAGCTCCACGACCGCCACGGCGTCCGAACCCGGCGGGACGGCGTCGCAGGGTATCGGCAACGGCTCGGTCATCAATCCCGGCGGCGGGAATAACGGGAAGTGGGTCCGGTTGAACGTCGGCGGCACGGTGTTCCTCACGACCCGACAGACGCTCCTGAAGGAGCAAACTTCGTTCCTTTACCGACTGTGCCAGCAGCAGGACCTGCACTCAGACACGGTGAGTACGGTTGAAACATTTTTTTTATGAACGGTAGTTTTTGTACTGGCGAAAAATACCCGATACTCAGTTATAACGAAGGCTCCGAGCTTCTCTGTAATGCTTGATAAAAAAAAAACCTCCTTGTATGTTACTGTCAAACGGTAATGGCATGCAAACAAATACATTTTTGTAATAACATTTTTCTATCTATCTCAGTTGGCTTAAATTGAAAATTTAGTAGTGTGTATATTGCTGTCAAATCTGCGTAAAGACATATTTCCAGGATTCCCATAAAGACGCAAGAGGCTTTTAGTTCAGAGTTTAGCCATGTGTGTTTTTTAAATCCATTTTAACGCTGTTACAACCTGACAGACAGCTTAACAGCAGTTGTTTATCTAAAAAAGCTTGGCTTTGGGTGACAGGTGGCTCGTGTCCAATTGTCTTGCTTTTGTCACATTGTCTGTATTGTTATGCAGTGAAGCCCTGTTTTTTGCCCAATGGTGATCAATTTCCATACATCAAATAAGATACAATATTAAATACAATGGTTTTGTTGTGTTAACTAGGTTATAATCCTAACTGCTTTTGCCTAAACCTCAAAAGGACAATATTTCGTGTATAATCTCTAACTATGACGCCACTTGGAGCCGCTGAACCACATTGCCACAGCTTCAGAGGATGCACAGAGTTACCTAATGACTCTATACTGTACGTGCAGCCTCCGCTTCTTGTGTATGCATCAGTGTGTGGAGTGAAAGAAGCTTTGCTCAGATGGATGGACACGTGCCGCCTCTTCTGCAGGGGGCTGCTCAGTGGGTTGCCGTACAGCTGGCATCTTATGGGAACAGAGAGAAGGAGATGTATTATGCGTCTGCCAATCAAACGAAGACTGAACGCACAGTAAGGCCTGGAGAGAGATTCATGAATGATGCAGAGTTTTATAGGGGCTTTGGCCTTTGATATGCACGTGTGTGAAAGGGACAGGGGGAGGTAGTTTGTAGCCCATGTCTGGCAAGCGACTCCCTGTTGACGTTTGGTTCTCATCGCTTTGATGTGTAATCTTTTAACCCCTGTAAGGTAAAGAAGATGGGCATCAGGTCACGGTGTGTGTTGTTTCAGCCCTCATGCAGTTGCTCTGCAGAGAGCTGATAGGAAATGAGGAGACCTATCGTAAACACTCAAGAAGAAAGGCTAAGCTAAGAGGTTTTTCAAGATATCTGAACATCCGTCCATTCATATGAATATTTGACGGATAGCCCTGACGATAATCGCATAATTGCCCCTTTTCAGAGATTTGATCAATGTTTCTTTGAATGATTATTACAGTATCCATTCTCCAGCACCACTTTTTGTGTTTTTTTGTCGGCCTTCACAGCACTGAACTTATTCTTCTTTTAGATCTGCAGCAGAGCTAAGAATATATCGACTGTCTCAGGAGCACAGCAGAATAGCATGTATTTTTCTTCACAACCCGCTGAATCAGCGTGAGGTTTCTGCTGCACAGCAGTGGTGACTGTTCCCCCGCTGCACCACCGGGCAATATGGAAAGAAAACTCTCCCGTGACCTTCAGCAGCGAGCTGAGCGGAGCTCCCTCTGCATCACCTTTTAAAACACAAAGTAGCACACTACATCTCTCCGTCTTCCAAACGTGCAAACATGGGCTTTTCATTGTTTTTTTTCCTCTCTATCTCTTGCTCCTGTTCCCTGTTAATCCTCCACCTCAGTAACTGATAAACTCCGATTCTATATCTTTTTTTTATTTTTCTACCCTCAACCACAGATTGTTGAATCTCAGAAGAAAAAAGAAATAGGCTATATTTAACTTTTTTGTGGCTCCACCAGACTGTTGTCAACTTAACAACAGGAACTGAGCTGTCAGCAGGGCTTTGAATCCTCCATGACTTATAACTGAAGAACAAGATGGTTGCATGGAAGTCCAAATGAGTGTTTAGTGTTTATACACTGAGACTGGGCTATAGATAGATCTCACAGAAAAATGTTTTCATGTCATTATGAGGACTTTAGCTGTGGTGGAGTGCTTTTGTTCCTGTGTAATGCAGGCCTTCGCTTCCTTATTTTGTCAATTAACCGATTTTTACTGATATTGACAGTCCATACAGGGATGAGACTGCAACCATAGAAAGATTGGGAGCTGAAGTCCATGGAATCATAACCCTGTCTCTATTTAATTTGGTCATAGCTTTAAAAAGTTATAGACGGATTAGGTAGCTTAGATGGTTAAAAAACTGCAGCACAATGGGTGCATGGTTTGATGGAAACACATTAAAAAATCAAAGTTCATTAAAGACTATTAACTTGAAAAAAACAACAAATAAAAGAGAGAGAAAAAATTAAGTCCAAGGCAGCCTTTATCTGTGTTCTTTAGAGAATCCCCCGACCAGCTGTGCAGCTTTTTCCTCTCAGAGCCTGTCAGACATTAATATCAGAGACCAAGACCAAGGAGAACACAAGCCAATACACGCTTCTAGCTAAATGGGTCGACAGCCGACAACAAACATCTCTACTGTAAAGAGCCGCCGCACATGGTCTCCCCCTATTTGCGAGCCACTTCACTCAGAGCAAAAGAAAGTCCACTTGAAAAATGAATTAGATGAAAGAGAACATTAACCCTGCGGGTAAAACAGCTGTTGGTGTTTTTGTTGTGTTGTTAACCCTGTGGCTTCCTGTGTCTGTCCCTAGTTGACCCTCTGCTATCATCATTTACAGTTAATAAACCGAATGCAGCCAGCAACTGTCGTCCCAAAGTCGTGTCTGGAAGTGTATAAAGTATTGTAGTGTATAACTCCTCAAGTAGCAGAAGTCAAGCTTCAACCGGTCCCTGCTCAGGTTGTTTGCACCCATAACCATGAGAAGCTAAGTTAGACTTTTTTTTTTTTGTCTGTGCTGAAGTTCATGTCAAATTGTCTCAGCTTAGGGGTTCTGCACTCTTCTTAAATCCCCACATAGACACAGACAGTTTATCTGTCTCTCTGGGGCTATATAATGAGATTACAATCACTTCAGCTACCGTGGCCCCACCCACTAAATCTAGGGTTTATAAAAACCATTAATACAACCCAAGCTGACTCCATGCCATCCCAAGGCCAGTTTCTTCACAGTTCCGTCAGTTTCTGTGACATGCCCTGTGTGTGCTAACTGCTTTTGTTATTTTCTGTGTAGGTCTTTTTTTTATTATTAACTGGAAGCATCTTTAAAATGTTTCATCATGTAGACATGGATTCCATCACCTGCCTAGACTCGTATCATAGGCCTATCTGTGTTCAAAAGGACAGAGCCAAGGTTTTCGTTTGAGAGCTGTGTGAACTTGCCATTTTGTTAACGGCGGGATACATATTTAGACTTTTGGTCATGTAAAAACAAAAAACAAAACAAAAAAAAAGACTTTTGGTCCTGTCTCACAGCCTGCTAGATGTTCACGTTGAACTGAACGTTTTAGGAAGAGAGTGGGGAATTTGCGATTTATCCTCCATTCATGATCACTCACTCCAATATGTCGCTGTTTTCTTAAGCTGAAGTACGATAGAAAACAACCTAGAAGCATTTATAGAGACCAATCTGACTTTTGTATCTGTATGTTAAATCAAATTATTGGAAAACCAGTGGTAGAAAATTAGCACAGATCTATATGTTTTTATGTGAGGAGCCGCCTTGATCCCTCCTTTTATTAAAAACGTCCCCATAGCTGAGGAGTCAGTGACTCAGACAGACCATCTGTGATCTTAGAATGATAAATCCCTGATTAGAAAAACACCCATGTGGAGTTTTCTCGCATATCTTCACCTCTGTTGGATTACGTGGGCAGATCGGTATAAGCGTGTCTTTTACATTCTTCAAATGGGTAAGTGCAGGTTATACACCTGCAGCGATGCTTGGATTACACGGAGGTCTGAAAAGAAGGGTTTTAATATACAAAGTAATTTGAAGACTATGTCATGTATTTTGAAGTGGATGTGGATAACTGCTACATCAAATTGGGATCAAATGTACAAATAAATGTAACTAGCTTGAAGGTTTATTTTGACATTGTAGACATTCATAAAAAAGCCCCGAAGCTGTTAGACAGCTCTGAGCCTATAAAAATTATTTATCCCGTTCAAACTCGTGAATCATGGAAATCCATGAGTTAAATAACTTTCTCAATCTCTACATAAACCTGATTTACCCAACATTTGAGTTTTCAGCTATCTGTTGAATAAGCTAGATGTTGGAAGTCCTACCCTTGTCTCTGCTTTAGAACAGATATTTCTGAATGGGGATACACCACTTAGGCTGTAAATACTGCTGTTGGTCAAACCGAATACCAATCGAGCTCAAACACAGCAAGGACACGGAGCAAAACCAGTGCTCAAACAAACCTTTCCAGTTCCATTTAGTCCCAAAGTTAACAAAGGCTCCTGAAACTAAAAGATTGTAGGTTGAGAGGTGTGCAGTGAGAACTGAATAAGGCTTTTGTGTGCCCATTTCTAATGAGATGTATTCAGTTCTAAAAGGAGACACTGTGGAGCCACAGCACATTTCCTGGAACAAATGTTTTGTGAGTTAGCAACTCAAAATATGATTTGAAGGATGAGAAAACTTCTAAAAATACTAAAAAATAATAATCATTGTTGGAGACACACATAACGCCTCCCAGGGGTTGGGGCACATAACTTTCCAAATTACGATCGCGTGTTTGCAAATAGTTTTATGACTTTGCATCACACACCACAGCAGTGCTGTAAAATTTGCATTGGTGTAATTTGGAATTTAGAGATGATATATTAAGAATTTTCATTCCGTGCTTTCACAAAAATCATGTTTTCCTTCACTTTGGAGTTTCTTTTGGAACAGTCATGTGATCAGCTGGGATTTATATCAATAGAGAATCTGAGAGATCGAGCTTTCATATAACCTACAACTCTCAGTACATTACACTTAAGATATTAGAATGGAGTTAGGTATTGTTTTCCATCAGTGTTTACTAAACAACACATGCCAGGCTGTCAGCTCAGGATTATCTTGTGTGAGGCATGTTAGGAAGCACTCGTTTGAATCATTTCTGGGAGCCAGTGTGGGCATGCGATACTGCCCTGCTGGTGCGTCAGAATGTTTGCCAGGTATCACGTTTATGGCCAATGCCAGATGGATTCCAACAGCCCTGCGTGACATTGCTTTTCATTTACTCAGCAAGAATGCAAAAGCAGGAAAAGGACGACAAGAGGAAGCACTCACATGAGACGTACAAGAAGCATCATTGGAACTATTCGTATGAAGTGTTATCAGAATCAGAAGGCTCAAGCTCCAAATTGTGTGTGTGTTTAAAATAGAAAGCATAGAAACTGCCTCTGACACCTCCAGAGAGCTTCTCCCTATGTTGTCATGCACACACTGTCAAGTCAAGACACGTTTTTTTAGGCGTCAGCCTGTCTTCTACTGCTACTCAGCTTATTTAAGAGTGTGTGTGTGTTTAAGCATTAGCCCTTGCATGCTCTCTGTGCTCCAGTAACAACCCCTGCCACACACTTAAACTTGTGATCTTCAGTAAAAACCGTGTTTGCACCCAGCGCATCTTGGTCTTAGTAACACATCCCTCCATCTTGTTTCTTCTTTAGCTCGTTTCCTGCTGTTTCCCTACGACAGTCGCACAGTCATTAAAACCCTATGTGTCTTCATCCTCTCTCTGTATGACACAGTCGCCTGTGTTTCTTTTTAGCTTGTCTGATGTAATCATTTCCCCCTTTCTTTTCTCTCGGTATATTCCTCACCTAGCCTCCTTGCTAACTCACTGTCTGCCTCTCAGTTTGAATTTGTACAATTGTGTTTGTCGCAGTCCCTGCTCTTGGAATTTATTTCACGTCTTCCGCTAGGAAGAGGCTCAGAAGATTGGCTGGGACTGAAAAGAATATTGTCACGGACAAAGTCATTTTCCCCATGACAATTAGGCTGGCAGCACACCATCTATCATGCACGTATTTCTGCCTGCTGCTGAACATTCTGGGTCTTCTGTCTCTGTATTTTAGGATTACATCTCTCCCTGCTGTATGGAGAGTCTACATTTTGGAGATAAGCATCCCTTAAAAGCAGAATTTTCCTAAAGGATAGGAAGACTAGGTATTCCATATATCCCAAATGTATTTAAATATAAAGGGAAAGGCCCTCCATACATTTCATAGTGGGTATTGTTCATGCTGACTATGATGCTGCTCTTCATGTCGAAAAGGATTCTTAGCTTTCCCCACTTTGTGCTTAAGATCTGGTTTGTACTGTGAGTCTAGGTTTTTGATCAATGTAGGAATCTTTAAATGTCTTCATCAGAATTTGTAATGAAATTACTGGCTATCTGGAAGCATTCGAACGAATTATAAACAGGCAGTTTCTTTCACTTTATTTTGTATTAAAATAAGCCTTCTTTAAGGTTGGTTTAAAATCTTGGCCCTAGTGTCCACTGACAGCTCTCCCTTTGCCCCCCCCCCCCCCCCAAACATCCTGTAATTATTTAGCTAATCATTCAATTGATGATGATAAACATTTTAGAGTAATTTTCCATTTAGCAAAATGTGATTTGTAAGTGTGGAGATGCCAAACATGATGGTTTTTTCCCGATCAGTGTGATCTATGGACAGCTATTGTAAGTCAAGAGCGACTACATGACATGTCAGCCATGGTTGAAAGGCTTTTCCTTATTAGAAGCTGATAGTGATATCACATATAAATATTGGAGGCTGGGGGTCTTTCTGCGTGGATTTTGCATGTTCTCCCTGTGTCTGTGTTGGTTCTTTCTCCAACAGCTCAATAACATGCATGTTTGGTTTATCGAAATGCCTGTGTAGTTGTGTGTCTCTGTGTGACCCTGTGATGGACTGGGTGCACCCAGCTTCTCAACCAATGACACTCTGGATAATATATTGTCAACAACAGGAAGACCCAAGGTAAAATGATACTAGCCTATTGATCCAATTGTTCCTACTTCATCCATCTGATTTTACCAGTATTTAAAGCATGAGGGATGTTTCCTTTAGCATTCCAATCACAAACTCATGTGGGCTGTGGTTAGAGGAAGTCACTATAACAAGTCAAACTCTGGCTCCCAGCCAGCTCATTTGCCCTATGTTAAGCTGCGCCATCGCAACAAAAAAACAAAACAAACAGGAACTCTCACATTGAGGGTGATGTTGGTTATGTCACAGTTCCACTCAAACAAAGAAGGTGTTGTCTGAAAACCAATGCTGGACCTGAAAAAGGTGTATATGTGTTACAGTTATACAGCAATTTCTAAATATAGATGTTCCATTAAAAAAATTCTCTGCCAGTTCACGTTTTCTATTAATTTACTTTTTCATTTTTTACCAGTATATTTCACTATATGTCTGATAACTATCACACACCATATACACACTAAATTAAGTAAAACATTAAACAGTTCTAACCCTTATCAAACATTGTCTGCAAAACACCAAAATACTGAAGATTACAGTTTACAAGTGGTGAAGCTTACTCAGTCTCTGAGATATGAGATGAGATCTTTGTGTATATATATTTAAATCCAGCTATAAACAAATTCTGTAGTTGCACTATGTGAGTGATTTTGGGGCCTTTTACTCTTTATATTGCATCCTAGAGTGTAGAAATATCATACAAGAAACTTATTATTTTTTTATAAACATCCAATTTAATATGTATTTTTAATTATTAAATCATGTGAAACTTTTTAAAAGTATAGACAGGCATAACAAGATATTTGTTTTGTCAGTAATTCCATAGCTTGGCTCAAAGGCTTTCTTTTGCTGAGATATTAATTTGTCATAAAGATTTGAATATATGTGTTTTTTATTTGTTTTCTCTCTGCTGTTAAAGACTAAGAGTTATGACTGTCCCTTTCATCCAGGGCACAGGCCTCTAATGTACAACAGCATGAAATGGATCAGAAATTCAGACAAACATGACTTTCTCTGATAATTATGCTCCTTTATCATCAGTGACTGGACGTCTGACGTCAGTCCACGCAGCAGAACTGATAGAAGTCGAACAGTCGTTTCCATTTTCGTCCAAAAACTGTTGCTGTCTGTTTCTCCCCGTGAGATGTTTTGAATGGCAAACATGTTTTGTAAATGTGTACTTCACCGGCTCAAAAACTTTCACATTTAGGTTTTATTGAGACAAGGTGTGCGTCATTTAAAATGAGTAAATCAAAAGCTTGGCAAAAGTACGATTTGTTTTGTTAACCATCTCCGAAGGATACAAAAGCAAGAACAAGGGAGGGTCTGTGTGCGGATACGGTCCTTCGGATTATGTAATAATCAAATAATGGAAGGTTATGAAAATCACTGTTATGATGTTGCTATTTGTGCTAGTTATTTTAAAAGCCATGTGCAACATGCCTCCAAACAAGATGCTGCTTTAGGCCAAGGTTTTATCTTTCTGCCTCTGTAAGCAGCCAAACAAACATGTCACATGCATTTAGCTGGTTTTCCTTATCGAGCCGGGCATCCACCAGCCAGCTGTGAGAATGATAGTTTGAAATATGTGCATTTGACTACCTCAAATGTCCATGTGTGTCTGAGAGTATTTGTGCAGGTAAGATTTGTCTGCTTCTTTCTAATTTTAAGGCGCTTTAGTCGATGTCTTTGTAAAGTGGAAGCCCGAAAATATTTAAAAAAACACATAGTCATCCCCTCCTCTTTCAAAGTTTGCATCTCCTAAAAGGCACGTGTGTTTGTATAAATTCCTCCAGCCGTGACTCTTTTGTAAAGCCATCTTCAAAAGGGAGCTGTGCTTCGAGCAGCTATCACGAGGGTGAACAGTGGGAGGATGTGTGTCGGTGCGTTGGAAGAGTAGCAGTCGTGACATAACAGCCCGGCAGACTCAGGAACGGTCCAAAGGCAAAAACGGGCATATTGTCAATGCACGTGCGGGCACAAAAGTCAATACCAGCCACTCGCGCCCTGGCATCTGCTTTATGTAGCCCCAAGCAGCTTTTGTTGCGGGCAGCTCTGAGAGGAAACTCCAAGGAAAATTCAATTTTCCCTCAAATTGTGTGCAGTCTGTCTCTTCCACCAGGTAATTGTCTTATGCATCTCATACAGGGAAGCTATTTAGAGGAGAAAGGAAAATGAAAGCTAATTCACATTTGACAAATGATCTGATGACCCACACAAATCAGTGCACAGATATCCTGAGTGACTTCTTACAACACTGGCTTTTTATATTAGAGCATTACAGTAACTGCCTTTGCTGTCCTGCGTTTTTCATATTCCTGTGCTTCTCTTTTTCTGTAACAGGACGAGACTGGAGCCTATGTGATTGACAGAGACCCCACCTACTTCGGCCCCATCCTCAACTACTTACGGCATGGAAAATTGGTCTACAACAAGGAGCTCGCTGAAGAAGGTTTTTCATTTAGTCTCTTCTCTGATGGGTTTGGGGGAAAGCTGTGTTTAGTTGGATTGTATTCCAAACTGCTGTCAAGTCTGAAGACGTTCCAGTCTGGTCGAGATTCATACTATCAGGAGCAAAAAACAAAGAGCAGAGAGGCAAAATATAAAGCTATGCCTATGTTGTAATTATTCAGGTTCATTTGAACTGCATCTCACAATCCAGAGAGCTGGAAAGTCACAGCAGCTGTAAAAAAATAAAAAAAAATGTTTAGAACACATAAAAGGCATGACATTGTAGCAATTCTGCTTATAAAGGCACAAGCCACAAAAGTACTTGCTTTATGTTTTCTAATAAGTTTGATGCCAGCACTTTTGAAACGGTTTCTCTTGGTTACTAAATGGACAGTAATCTATCGTACAATTTATGAGACCCACACTTTTAACCTATCATTTCTCTAATTTGGAGGAATGGTACATTAAATCCTATCGAATTCCTCGCTGATTTAGCTTATTTTTTACCAAAGTTTTTGACACTCTGATATGCTAAAAAACATAAACAAATTGGGTTGTGGGTGTGACATTACAGTATCAAACAGCAGCCGATTGTTTATTTTTTGGGGGACTTTTTTGTTTGTTATTTTGTAGGTGTCCTGGAAGAGGCAGAGTTTTACAACATAACGCCGTTGATCAAACTAATTAAAGAGAGGATCATTGAGAGAGACTCAAAAGCCACACAGGTAAACACACAACCCTGTCAGACATTTGCGTGATGCGTCAAACAATGAACTCTCATTTCCAGTCAATTTGAATAATCCAAGAAAACCAGCAAGGAAATGGGCCTTAGGATTTATGTGTGCATTAAGGACTTTCCTTTTTAGGCCAGAAAGATGGCCCTGGCTCTAAAATGGCCACAAAAATAAAAGACAGAGTTGCGCTATGTCCAAATTCCTCAAACGCTCAGACACATGCAGTAAAGCGTAGACAAAGTGAATTTCTATCAACTAAATACACTATATTGCCAAAAGTATTTGCTCACCCATCCAAATTATCGGAATCAGGTGTTCCAATCACTTCCATGGCCACAGGTGTATAAATTCAAGCACCTAGGCATGCAGACTGTTTTTACAAACATTTGTTAAAGAATGGGTCGCTCTCAGGAGCTCAGTGAATTCCAGCGTGGAACTGTGATAGGATGCCACCTGTGCAACAAATCCAGTCGTGAAATTTCCTCGCTCCTAAATATTCCACAGTCAACTGTCAGCTGTATTATAAGAAAATGGAAGTGTTTGGGAACGACAGCAACTCAGCCACGAAGTGGTAGGCCACGTAAACTGACGGAGCGGGGTCAGCGGATGCTGACGCGCATAGTGCGAAGAGGTCGCCAACTTTCTGCAGAGTCAATCACTACAGACCTCCAAACTTCATGTGGCCTTCAGATTAGCTCAAGAACAGTGCGCAGAGAGCTTCATGGAATGGGTTTCCATGGTCGAGCAGCTGCATCCAAGCCATACATCACCAAGTGCAATGCAAAGCGTCGGATGCGGTGGTGTAAAGCACGCCGCCACTGGACTCTAGAGCAGTGGAGACGCGTTCTCTGGAGTGACGAATCACGCTTCTCCATCTGGCAATCTGATGGACGGGTCTGGGTTTGGCGGTTGCCAGGAGAACGGTACTTGTCTGACTGCATTGTGCCAAGTGTAAAGTTTGGTGGAGGGGGGATTATGGTGTGGGGTTGTTTTTCAGGAGCTGGGCTTGGCCCCTTAGTTCCAGTGAAAGGAACTCTGAATGCTTCAGCATACCAAGACATTTTGGACAATTCCATGCTCCCAACTTTGTGGGAACAGTTTGGAGCTGGCCCCTTCCTCTTCCAACATGACTGTGCACCAGTGCACAAAGCAAGGTCCATAAAGACATGGATGACAGAGTCTGGTGTGGATGAACTTGACTGGCCTGCACAGAGTCCTGACCTCAACCCGATAGAACACCTTTGGGATGAATTAGAGCGGAGACTGAGAGCCAGGCCTTCTCGTCCAACATCAGTGTGCGACCTCACAAATGCGCTTCTGGAAGAATGGTCAAAAATTCCCATAAACACACTCCTAAACCTTGTGGACAGCCTTCCCAGAAGAGTTGAAGCTGTTCTAGCTGCAAAGGGTGGACCGACGTCATATTGAACCCTATGGATTAGGAACGGGATGTCACTTAAGCTCATATGTGAGTCAAGGCAGGTGAGCAAATACTTTTGGCAATATAGTGTATGTAATATGTCCCACATAAAGATTAGTTTTTTTCTCTCCCCCCCCACAACTTGCAACTCCAATTACAATGACATACAGAATTTAAGTGAGTATGAGAAAACTGCCCCACATGTACACTACCTATGACATCATTCAAACTGGATGAAAAAAAAAAAAGGAAGCATACAGGAACACAACCTCACGACAGCAATTAATGACTTGATTCTTAATCTCTTTCCATTGTAATAGCATTCTCACTTGCTACCGGAAATCTCTAAAGACAACAAAACTTCCTCTCCTTCCACATCCACTATGTCCTCTCATCTCCCTCTTTTCTCATCCTTCAGCAGGTGCCCCCCAAGCACGTTTACCGAGTGTTGCAGTGCCAGGAGGAGGAACTGACCCAGATGGTCTCCACCATGTCAGACGGCTGGAAGTTTGAGCAGGTCAGCGTGCGCACCTGCAGAAAGCCCCGCACCGGACTGCTCTGGACTGTGGGTTGGACTCACGCTGCTGCTGACCCTTCAGTTTTGACCCTTGGTCTGACCCTTCTCTCCCCCCCCCCCCCCCCCCCCCCCCCTACCCGATCCTGACTTTAGCCCTTTTCCCTGCACTCCCCAGACTGAGTTGAACCAGAAACAGATGAATTGTGCTCACAGTGGATACAGAGCCAGTAACTAAGATTTCAAATCTGAGAACGAATCGTGAGAGTCATTATATTGAACTGAGACAATTAACCCCTAAATGTTAGTGACTGAATCTAGAAAGTATTGAGGTAGGCATTTTGTGTAGGCAGTATCAGTAACAACACCTGATACCTCTTATATCATCACCCCCTGGGATCTTTTTCTTTTTCATATGCCCAGCAAAATAAATTTGTGATTTTTAACATTGCTCATGATAAAAGCACTTCGACGACGTCAACTCCAAGCCTGCAGACAAAACTTAAATCACTAAACTCATCGGAGCGGAATACGAACGGCTCACCCACGAAATCTGTAAGTGGCGGAGAGTGACGACCAACTTCGAAGTGGGTCGTAGCTCTTAAAAACCACGACTTATGTAAGTCGAACCAACACCAGCCTCTTTATTGATCTTTTGAGATATCATAAGATGTGCAGACCAGCTGAGTTTTATCTGTAATTCATTTCACTTCCTTTCCAGCTGTGGCACGCAGACTCCCAAGTTAGAGCCATATTGAGTTAGTGTTCAGCTAATCCAATGTGCAGCCTAAAAAACCCCATTCAGATCCACATCCCTGCCCCACGCCTCTGCTTTGGCACCTCTCTCCGCTGCATGCCGCGCCGCTCTTTTATTTGCAGAAGCTGACTCTCCGTTGTTTGGCCAGTAGTAAAGGCAAACAGAGCCCCAGCCCCACTCAACCTCGCATGTGCACCGAAATCTTTCTTTTGCTTTTTTTTTTTTTCGTACAAGATCTCTCGTTTTCCTTTTTTTCTTTGCATCATCCTTCCTGACTCCCACTCTGTCTCTTTGTCCCCGTGAACCCTCTTGGGTCTGTCTCTCTCGCTCCTCGTGTAGATGGTGAACATCGGCTCGTCGTACAGCTACGGAACAGAGGACCAGGCAGAATTTCTGTGCGTGGTGTCCAAGGAGCTCCACACACCCGGATCTGGCCTGGGCACAGAGCAGAGCCACAAAACCAAGGTGAAATATTTCAGATAAAAACACACATACAAAAAATGTTTTTTTTTCTTTCACTGTCAATCCAGTTTGAAGCTGGCAGGCTTTGTGGTTAAGCGTGCCTCCTAACTCGCTTTGTGTGCGTGCATTGATGTTGGATGTGTGAGAGAGAGAAGTGGGCCACCTCCTCTCGCTAAAGTAGATGCGAGTGTGCTTTGATCCTGCGCCATCCGCCAAAAGCTCCAAATGTCATTTGCCTCCAAATGTCATTCACAAACACATCCACTCCATCATTCACACACAGCTCTGCATCTGTTTCCTGCAATTATCGACCGTCTTCTTCTCTCTCTCACCCAGTCAGCTGGCTTTCTCTGTGGCATGAATATATTGACATATGAGATCTATAGATCTGCGTTTGCCTCACAGCATCTCACAGACCACTCACTGACGCTCATCAGCGTGTTCATTTTTGTTGTTTTCTGTCCTGTTTTTCTTTCTTTTCCTTTTTTTTTTCCTTTGTGTCCCCCCCCCCACTCCTTCCCTCATGCTGAGTGAAGCCGGCAGAGATGCAAGAAGAGGAAGCAGCGAAGGAGGAGGAGGAGGAGGTGGAGGAGGAGGGAGGGAGAGAAACCACACCAAATGAGTGGATTAGAGAATGAGGGAGTGATGTTTCTTTGTTCCAAAGAAATGCAGGAATGGGTGAGGAACTGCGCAAAAAGATGTCTCAGTGGGTAGATCTGGTAGATTTTAGTCTGTCCTTTATATGTGTGTAAACGTCCGCCGAAATGCAGGGAGATTTCATGGCACAGCATTGAGTAACAGCACTGTTACAGCTGCTGTTACAGATATATATACATATAATCCACAAGGTGACATTGTTATTCGTCAGCGTTTTTCGTCAGCGCTCCTTTAGTTATAAAAATGTGGAATAGAAATGCATGCATTGAAACTTGACTAAAATTATACAGAATTGAGAGAAATATAGACGGCAATAAACAAAGAGTAACATTAACTATGGAGTAAAATAGGAAATCAGATAATATTCACATAGATGCAAACTATCCTAATGGGATTTTTCAGCTGCCCAAAAAATAACTCTGGGTATATACTTATTGTTCTAAAGCACAGGGCTTTTTTTCCCTTTGTAATCGGCTGGATAAAGTGCAAAAAAAAAAAGGGTGTAAAAAAATGATCATTTAAAAATGCATTTAAAACTAGAGGTCCTAATCCACCAGATTTAAAAAGATGAACTGTTCCAGCTTTGCTGTCATTCATTATCTTCATGGTAAAGTCTGCTGTAATAAGTGCAATTAAAGCACTGGCTAACAGTCAGACGAGCCAAGCTCACAGCAGTTTTGTGAGAACTTGTCATGGTTCAAATCAAAGGGGAAATCGGTTCATAAAAATGTGTATAAATGTATAAACACACAATGCAAAAACAAGATATAATGAAAGAAAAAGTTCAGCTCATTATTCCAGCATCGCGTTTCTCAGAACTTGTCGAGGTTATTTTTGGAGTTGTTGCTTATCTTTTATCCCAAAAATAAATAAATAAAGGCAAAATCATGTGGTCTGTAATGCTGCAATTGCCCTCTGGATGGCTCCGAACACCAAAGAGAAAACACATTCATTTTCATTGCAATTACATATGCTATGAAATGACTTCACCTCCTGGTCAGTACGATCCTAAAGTTGGATTAATTGCTCCCGATGCCGCATCTAGCTGATTAGACGGGAGGTTAAAGTGTCCTTTTGATGCAGGTCTGCTGATATCGACCGCGCCCTGCCTCTATGCGGGCTCTCATTACCAGTGCTGTGACATGGAATATCCCTGACCTTTGGGCGCGGCTGTAGTGTTAGGTGTCCCCTCCAGTCCGTGCACGACCGTGCCGTGTCAGTGTAAACCCTCACACAGTGATACACGCCACATAATGCGCATTCAGGTGTGGTCCAAGCGGGCGCGCGCACTTAAAGATGTGATAAATGCTGAAGGAAGCTGTGTGTGCTTGGCCTTCCAACCATTGCAGTTTAGTTATCTGCCGTCATTCTGTCACCTTGTCCATCACTGTCATCCCAATCATGGCGACTAAGACTATATGAGAGGCTTATAGGTGGCACTTGAACTGCAGAATCTCATGTGTGCTTTTCTTCCTTTTTTTGTTTTTCTTTCTTTTTTTCTTTTCTTTTTTATATTTTTTACAGCTTTTCCAGATCCATGGGTCCCGCATGTAGAAATGGCAAGACTTAAATCCTTCCTACGCCAATGAAATTCTTTATGTGGTGTACATTTGTGTATTGTAAGCCAAATCATTAGTTACCCAAAAAGAAGAAAAAGGAAAAACAACGCTAAACGTAAAAGTCAATCGCAGCAATATCATCTGAAACAGTACGTCACACGGATTACGTTTATATCGCCAAGGCCAGTCGTGGAGCTTAGTAAATCCTAACCAAAGATTCATATTTCGGCTGGCTGAATCAAGGTGCTGAAAAATAATGTCACAAAGGACATGAAAGCTGCCCCCAGACAATTGCCCCAGTATCGTTGCGCAGAGCTGTTGCCATGTCGAATTGGCAGATGGTGTCTCATCTGTGATGAGCAGCATGTGGACGCCGGCATACCCTGATCAATCATCCATCTTTCCTCACCCAAGAGATAGATCAAGTTGTCCCCCAAAATGCGAGTTAGCTCCCCTTCAGCTCTGAGATGCATCCGCTCCAGCTTCTGTTTTTCCTGTTAGTCCGTCAGCTGGCACACGAGTGCACTGCAGGCACAAAACCTTCACACTTCTATATATTTAAGTTTGGAAGAGAGGAGGGGGGAGCAAATTAAGCGACAAAACACAGACAAGTCAGCTGGACTTCTCTTTCAAACATCGATTACCACTTTGTTCTCTTTTTTTTTTTTTTTATAAAATGTGAGATTGGTGGGATTTTGTTGGAGGAAAACCTGATGGCGGTTAGTTACAAAGCATGGGACCCTGAGTGTTGTCTTCGGGTTACATACAAGGTTTGCAAGAAATAGTACCTGCTGTAAATTATGTGTGTGATTATTATCAGCAAGTGCGTAAATGTGTACATAGGCAGTTAGACTAATATCTGTATGTAAGTTGCTGTAATTCATCAGAGCACCGTTCACCAATTAGTAGGACCAACATTAATAGAATTAAGGGCAGAATGTGTAACTAGAATAATGGAGTGAAAACTGTTGAAGTTGTGTTGTCCTGTGTAGATAATTGGATGGTAGATGGGACACTTTTTTTAACTTAAAGCTGTAGTCCAAGTAGATTTAGCTCCCCCCATTTAGAGTCCTGTTCTCCCCCCTGCCGTTATCCCCCCCCCCCCCCCCCACCCCCCATTACCCCCACTGTCCAACAGCTAACAGCCAGGTAGCCCAAATGCATTCAAGCACAGGAATTTTAAGTAAAAATTAGAGACAATCGAGACTTTAAATCATAGATGGTGCTTTTTTTCCCGTCCTTATTATGAACATTTTGATATTTCTGTCTTATCTAAAATAAAATAAAAAATTTGTAACCTGTCTGATCTATTTATAGCGGTAGGTAAAGATGTCCTGATAAAGATCTCCAGATCTCCAGGACCTGTTGGATCTTAGCAGCATGCGATAAACGTTAGACTGGTTGAGCCACAGTAACTGAACATGCATATGATAATCGTACAAACGATGTTAGGAGAGCAACTCAAAAGAGGCGTATTTAAGTGTTATTGTTATTTGTTTAACTCGGATCTTTCAGTGCCTTGAGTTCAAGCAGCAAAACCGACCAACATGTTGGAATGATCTGGTTTTATTCCGCTTTGTTTTTTTTTAATGGTTTTAATTTCTTTGTGAAAGAATGGATAGTTTATCGTCTCAGTTATATGTGTAAATGACTTCCTCTGTGGTGTTCAAGTAAAGGTGGAGAGTAAATATGCACTACAAGCAGCTGTGTGTGTGTGTGTGTGCGGGCGTGTGTGTTTGTGTGTGAAGTGAAGCACGTAGAAGTTGGGAACTGTCTTGTATGAACTGAACATCTTTTTTAAACAATTTTTTTGGTATATTATTTCACAAGGTTTCTCTTGTATGTGTTTGAGCTTATTTTTTTGGGGCGGGTAAGTTCTGTTTTTTCTACTATGCTGAAGTATAGGTTATTGTCAAGTTTGTAGAGATGGGCAGCATATTAAAGTTCTATTCTAAGGTGAAAAATAATTTTGGGAATCTCCATTTGCATGTCCACTATTCTAGTTTCGTTGGCAGGATCCACAATTGAATTTTGTTTTGTGATTTCTGATGTATGACGGTGTGTTTTCACATAGTATTTAATGCAGGAATGGTCTACCTAGCAGTGCACTTTCATTATTCTTTGCAAAAACATTAGACTGGTCATTATGACGTGGATAGAAAACGACTCTGATGCTAGAGTTTTCTGCCATCTGCTCTCCACAGAGCCTTGACGTACTTTGTCTGTAACATGATACAAAACAATGTGACACATGAATTGTAACGCCTCAGATTAACTGTACAATTTCTAAGAAATGCTCTGTGAGTTTAGTTTTTTTTGTTTGTTTTTTTGTGTTTTTTTATGTCATTGAACCGTGTCTCATCAGGACCTGTGCAACATTTGACATCTTCAACAAAGTGACAGGAGGGGAATTCTTTTTTTCATTTAATTTTTATTTTATTTTATTTACATTAGACTATTGTCAACTGTTGCTAGCAAAAATAAAGCACTGTTCTTTGGTTTAATATATGCTCTGTTGTCGATTCTCTGTTTCACTGATAACAATGAGCCCACGGTTTGCCTTGAACTGGCACCTGGTGCCTTCTGTACAACGATTAGTCTGCATTTGAGAGCAGGCCTGTGGTCCTCCCCCATGACGTCCATGGCAGTGATGTTTGCATGTGCTCCAGCACAGCACAAGAGATGAGTGCTAGATGCTAACAATTGCGTAAAAGACTCACTTTGCAAGAAAGAAATCAATACTAATAAGATAACGACTTCCAGGGTGAACAGGGGGTCATCATTTGTAAGGTGGCTGGAGCTGTACATGTGTCTCCAGACATGTTGAACATAACATACATGTAGCCAAACCAGGCAGATGTTTAAAAAGAGCATGAATCTACTGCAGGATGCGTCCATGTCATTATTTAGGCAATATCTGGGGACATGATGCTCCAGCGGCCACGGTTTGGCCTCAAAAGGGTGGAAAACATTCATTTCTAATAAAATAGAAGGATTGTGTCCCTGGTTGGTTGTCTATCAGCATCACACCCCTGCTTTTGGCAGTTTGTTCTTTTAGTGAGTAGCAAAATATTTCCTGATGTTTTTATTAAAAAGAAAGAAAAAGCATGCCTTTTAGCCAAAAATCTACACTCACAACCACAAATGCGGGTTAAAGTGTAAAGAAGTGGGTCCTCGCAGTTCCTACGTTCTTACTCGTGCCTAACGTTTAACTCGCAGCTCTTTTAGTGCAATTGCCCGAAAGATGTTGACGCTGAAGCTTTCCACAGAGGTTTGCCCTACAGGAAAGTGCTGAGCGTGTTGTCCACCGTGGCCATCTGCAGGTACTCGGGTTGGCCGTTGTCAGATTCCGCCTCGGATCCCAGATCCTCGCCATCCTCCTTAGACTCGCCTGAGCCCGACTTCCTTCTCCGCACGGAGCCCCGGGAGCGGCGCTCCAGACACGCCAGGATCATGTGGGCGAGGTCCTGCTGCAGGCGCTGGAAGTTCTCACTGCAGATAAAGACCAAAGCAGGAAGTGAGGGTTGGATCCAGTGTACGACAGCATCTTTGTGATTTTCTTTTTTTCCAAATGCTCAGCAGGACCAACATGTTCACAAACAACAGGCTGCTGGCCGTGGCAGCATATTTATTGACCTCATACTCATACTAAACATGCTCAACCCCATTTAGACTGAGTTTTACTTGGTTACTGAGTCAAACGAGTACGATTCAAGTTCATAAGCTTAGGCTGACTAAGAAAGCACAAGTGCTTCTAATTTTGCTAGTTTTACTAAGCTTTGACTTCACGGCCCAGATCTTTCATCATGTTTTTTCTACTATGCTGAAGTATAGGTTATTGTCAGGTTTTTTAAAGATGGGCAGCATATTGAAGTTCTATTCTAAGGTGAAAAATGATTTTTTGAGTCTCCATTTGCATGTCTTCTATTCTAGTTTCGTTGGCAGGATCCACAATTGAATTTTGTTTTGTGATTTCTGATGTATGATGGTGTGTTTTCACATAGTATTTGATGCAGGAAGGGTCTACCTAGCAGTGCACTTTCATTATTCTTTGCAAAAAACATTAGACTGGTCATTATGACATCTGTGTGCTTGCTTACGTCGTGGGTGGAGCAGGAAGGTCGTAGTCTTTCCCAGTTTCTCCTGTCAACCAGTAAGTTGTCTCCATGCCTTTACCCTGAGAAGACACACGTACACACACATATTCACGATGTGACCCGCTTTAGCGTGGTCCTTTTTTTGCTATCCATTTCAGATCTGTGGGAGCGGCAGCCTCTACCTTCAGATACGTTTCTCCTCTCATCTCATACTCGAACATGCAGTACGTCCTTTGGAGGATATTTATAGTAGGCTCGCTGACGTGGATCCGCAAAGCTGGAGCAAAGAAACACAACTGAGATTGTCTGGGGGGGAAGTGACTTAATCGGGTTTACGGCTGGCATCTATAATTTCTCAAGAGCAACATCCAGTGAGATGCTCTCTATTGAAATAACTAGAGCACGGGGAGCTGGCAACAAGAGCTGTCCGTGTCCTATAATCTGCCCCTCAGTGCTCATGTTTGATATTACACTCACGGTGTCCCGTTGACTCCATACGAGACGCGGTGTTTACCGTGTCTCCAAATAAACAATATCTGGGCATCTTTATCCCCACGACACCCGCTGCGCAGGGGCCTGGACACACAGATACAGCTATTCGGCAAGTGTTCAAAGCAACAAAAGAAGGAGTGGAATTTTTCAAAAGAGGTTGATCAACTGCACAGAAACACAAAACAAAACAAAAAGTGAAGATAAGGATCCACCTGAGTGCACTCCGATGCGTATCCACACAGGTATGCCAGGCAAATGCCGGAGCTGGAAGGTGCCCATAAAGGCCAGGATGTCCAGCGCCATGCGGCAGATGTCCACAGCGTGCCTGTTTCCGTTCCTCTTCGGCAGGCCGGAGGCGACCATGTAGGCGTCGCCGATAGTCTCTACCTGGATTTGGGGTGAAAGGAAGTAGAATGTAAGCGGGCCGAACGGATCCATCCGATTCAGGTCCAGTCGAACCCGGGAAACACCTTGTACACGTCGTGGTGGTCGACGATGCTGTCGAAGCCTTTGTAAATGTCGTTGAGCATGTCCACGACCTCCATGGGCGTGCTGTACTGGCACAGGGTGGTGAAGCCCACGATGTCGCTGAAGTATATGGTCACCTCGTCGTACAGCTCTGGCTCCACCACCCCAGTCTCCTTCAGGCTCCTGACCACCGGGCTTCGTACGGGAAGACATTTGCAGACAGATGAAAATGGAGGAAACCATAGCGGTCCAAATATTTCAACTGGATTTTTCACACACCATAACAGATATTTTCGAATCAAACACATGTGGCAGGTATTATTTCAGCCTCTTTGCCCTTCCCCTTAAATTTTTGTAACTATTTTTTCAGTACCGCATTCATCCGTTTATTTCCTCCAAGCTAGCTTCTTTTATCGCTTTTTTAAACACGTTTAGCTGTTCGTCTGTTAGTTTTTCACTTGAAGCAACTTTAAAACTTATATATTTTTCAGATCTACGTTTTCAGATGTCGTGACTTTTGCCACTCTGAGCCGTAAATCCATACTTCTACACATGTAAAAGTAATTTTTGAAATAGTTCTAAATGTTCATCCGTTACTAAGTCCTTTATTTGACCAACCTGTCTGTTTGGTGTTGTTGGCAGCGTCATATGTTCAGATCATTTTTAAATAGCCTCTTATTTTAAAACTTGATTACTCTGGGAGTTTGTGCACAACAATACCACATTTACAGTCTCAATTTTTGTCATCATGCTACCGTATGCTACGGGATGTTGGTTTCAATTTGCCCTTCAAATGTGAACACACCCAGGAAGCAGCATGAAGTTGAGATAGTCGGCCCGATCCCTCTCCGCCTTGTACAGGGCCGTTCTCTCCTCTACCAGGTACTCCAAGTTTCTGGAGTACATCTGCAGCCTTCGGATCATGTTGTCCATGTAGCTTTCATTGTCTTGGTTATGAATTTTACTATAAAAGGAAGGGATGAATGAAACACATTAGAAATCCACCTGTAATACCTTGTCATGTCCGTGCTCTCACATTTCCAAGCACACAAACACACACACAAGCTGAGCCCTCACCTGATGATTTTTCCCAGGCAGCTTTCTACCTTCTTAAAGTCGGGCCTTTTTTCTGGGTCTTCGTCCCAGCAGCTTTTTATCAACGCGTACACCTGTAAGGACAGAGGACACTGAGCTTCTGGTACACGTCAAAATGTGGGTGTAGAGACAAAAAGATGATGGAGCCCACGGGGGGGGACGTCACCTCTAACTCTTTCTCGGAAGCTGTCTCAAAGTTAAGATCCGGCCTCAAGTAGGATGAGATCACCCTGGACAGCTTCTCTGTTAGGAGACACAACGTAGTAAAAGTCTTAGTAAAAGCACAGGCTCTTTAACAACTCTGGGAGGGGATTGCAGCGCTTTGCTTTTGAGCGTTGGTCACCTGCTCGGTCGGAGCAGGACTCTGTGTAGAAGGTGCTCTTCCTGAGAACGATCTCCTGGCAGATGATCGCAAAGCTGTACACGTCTCCTTTCTGGGAGGTGCCCTGTTTCCTCAGGTGCTCTGGAGCTGTCCACAGATCTAAGAGAGCGAAACACAAGAGGATTTGGAGTGGGTGAACGGTCATCCGGCGGTGAGCCGTCCCCGTCCCCGGTGCCGTGCTTCTACCTTTGCCCCGGCTGAGGAAGGCGTTGCAGCCGAAGTCTGTGATCTTCACCACCATCCGGTTGTCCACCACACAGTTGGTGGACTTGAGGCGGCCGTGCACCTGGATGTCGCTGGCGTGGAGATAGGACATGCCCTGCGCAAAGGAGCCGGCAAGGAATGAGGACGCAAACCAGGAAGATCATCTGTGATGTCTAATGATATCTGGTGGCAGAGCGGGGAGCCAAACTGGAGCCAAACCTGGAGCCAAACCGAGTCTCGTTCGGGCCCTGCAAGTTCTAACAGCCTCAATGCTGTGTTGATATGGAGGATAAATCATGCTCGGTTTGTGTTTCAGTAGGAAATGAATTACCATCCTCATGTCAATGTAATTTTTTCCAAAATATAATTTTCAAATGCTGATGTGTCTTCTATTTTGGACTTTTTTAAATAGCTCAACAGTAAATAGGAGACTAGTTTGATCATAACGTAAGACTTAAATGAGTTTTTAGCATAAAAAATTCAGTCGTGTTTGACTGTTGGAGATGTGTCTGTAAAAGGTGGGACATTTGAACAAAAGATGGACCACATCAGTCCTTTTTAATCCTATTTAACATCGACATGCAGAAGAGCTTTGAACTCCAACTTTAGTCCAATTCAGTCCAATTCAGTTTCACATGATCACATGCATTTTTTTTGCTCAATTTACAAATTATTTAATTTTTGTCGACTGCCATGTTGCAATTCGCTCAAGATTGCAATATAAATCTATATATAAAAACTTCTGCATAGTTTTTATTTATCCACGAGATGGCATAACAATCAGTATCATGACTTTTTTTGTTGGTTTTATTATGACCCCTCCCACACACACATACACATCACAGAAGGGACCTGACCTGGGTGACAGTGCTATTTCTGTCCAGCAGTTTTGTGGATGATACCATGGACATACCATGGACAAAGCAAGGAGCCAGTTCTCACCTTGGCGATGTCATACATGACGGAGATCTTGAACTCCCAGTCCATGAAAGTCCCCTCCGGGAATGACACCTTGTCATTCAGCACATACTGAACAAAAGATGCAAAGATTGGGGGATTCAGAGTGTCTCTGTGCACCTCCTGCTCTGTCGGCCGTGTGTTTTCACCAGGACCTCAAATTGGACTCGAATTTGGACGTGGGGGCCTGCTTTACATACCCTGAGCGACCCCCTCTCGCCGTATTCAAACACGCCGAATACGCCCTGGTCGAACTTCACCGTGCCATAAAATTTAGTGAGGCTGTAAAAGTCGATACGCAGAAGCTGCGGGAAAGGGGGGAAAAGGGCGACAACACCTGGTGATTTTGGACAAATATTACAGAGAGGACTCTAAAAAATGGGAAATCAATAAACGCCACACACCAAACGTGCATGCGCACCTTACCGCGTTAAGGTCTATCCTCTGGGCTTCACTGAAGTTCCCATCAAAGTGTTCCAGCCCCTTCAGAATTACAATCTGCAAAAAAAAAGTACAGCAGCTTATGGTGTTTTCAGGGGAAAAGGCTGCACTTGAAAACGGCGGCACGTCTGCCTACCTTTCTATCGTACAGTGCACGGCGGATCTTCAGTTTTTGCTTCCTCTCGTTCTCTATCTGATCAAAGAGGGTGTAGGTCAGTTTAAGAGCATTCGAGTCATAAAAACGTGTGATTAAGAATGCGATTTACTGTGAAGTGTTCTGTGTGATTAGATCCATTACTGCCAATGACGGGGGCACAAAGTTCTAAATGAGGCAACAGCTGGTTGAAACAGGGCTATTTTTATTAGACAAACAGGTTTGTGGATCCTTTACCTTAAGGGAGATAACATTGTGCTCGTTGTACTCCAGGAGCGTGATGAGGTCAGAGTTAATGTGGAACCAGCGCTTCCGGAGTTGCCGATCTTTCCTATTCTGTCTGCATATGAGAGCAAAAACCTACATTACTCACTTAGTAAGGCACTTATAAAAAACTATTAAACAAAGACTTCATTCACACCAAAGCATAGAACAGTTGAAAGTCAGACATTTTTTTCAGCCAAATTCTCTAAAAATGTGGGGACAAGTATGTGGGGACAAGTGGGGAACCACTGTGTAACATCCCGTCTTCTTTTAAAACTCTTCATTTACACACTGCCAGAATAGCACATTTGTAGTAAAATGTATCATTTTGTGCTTTCATGTTTTGCCGTAATATATTACCTACTTCCATTGCGTGCTCTATCTTGCTTATTTTGTATTTACACTTGGCTATTTTTTGGCATGGCAAATCCCCCCCCTAGTTCAGTTTTGACAAACAAAACTGTCATTTATTCCCTTTTAGCATTTCACAGTTTCAAATTATTTGAATTGCCTCCTCACTTCAAGATACGCGTTTACAAAAGCATACCTGTAGAAGATGAAGGCGATGGTGGCCACTACAACCACTGTAACGGCCAACACGCCCACAACGATGTAACTGCTGTCAGGGTCTAGAGCAAGAGAAAGGTTTGCATCACACTCCATGGATTATTATTTTCAATTTTTTCCGTTATGATTAAGTTATTTATTCTGGCTGCTTGACTTAGATTATACTTATAAATAAACAATACACTACTTTTCCAATAAATTGGGAAAAAAATAAACAAGATATGCTTGCTATGCTTTTTTCAATGTTTGTAAAGGCTCTGAGACAAAAGGCCCATTATCCTGATCTCAGTTTCCTCTTCAATGAGTCAGTCTTGTTAAGGTGCCCCTTCACCTTTAGGGATTAAGGAACTGATCTAGCTCGTCCACAGAGGCTTCAGAAGGCCTTTTGGGTGGAACGATATATACCGAGCCCAAAATGAAAAGGAGAGAAGAAAGAGAAGGGGGGTAAAGCGTTAAGCGTTTTAAAAGAAATCTCTTTCTCCTTTCCATCAACCTCAACAACTCTTAAAGTTGTGATAAAAATATAGTTTCTTCTTACTCCAATGTCATGTAATAGTCAATGTCAGGGTCCAAAACTGCCATCCCTGTTCTTAAACAAGTTTGTTTTAGGTTTACTTCTCTCTTGTTGGGACTCAGGAAGTCTTTTTCCCCAGATGAAGGAAGGATCTGGGTCCACCACCGTTGTTCGGTTGTATTCAGTGTCGAAGGTGAATAAAATCTTGTACTGAGGATGACAGGAAGACACCATTTAAACTGCTGCATGAAAGACCCACATGTTTTAAGATCTTTGTGCAACATTCACCAACACATACACACAATAAACATTGTCTGATTGATTAAACGAATGCAGAAAGATTGGTTCCAGATTTTAATAGAATATCAAATATTTCTATGTATTATGGCTCTTGGTATTGCAGACATATGATCATAAAGTGATAATTATATATGCTAGTAAATCAATTTAATTTCATTTGTTCAGTCACATTCATAAAATTGATTACTGATAAAAAGCCAAGGAAAAAGAATACAGAGACAAATACCTTATTATTTGTAGTGGTGTAAATGACAGTGAGATTCACATCTCTGTCTCCATGAGAGTCCAGCTTGTAATATCCACCAAGTCCTAAGCAGATCATAAAAGAATCTTTACTGACCTTTGTTCCCTGTAAGATCTGCTCTGATGGTTGAAATGCTCATTTATTGTTGTGGCTATCCTTAAATTCTTCCAGTCCTGGAATGAGTTATAGCCACTTTTTTCACCATTACTCACAGAGTAGTATCAGAGCAGTTTGTGTCGACTATCAGGCTTATTGAAAGGAATTTATAAAAATGTTTCTACCATTTTTTTATATTCTCCGTCCTTACCACGAAAGGATGTGTTCCTGAAATAGTTCACATTCACAAACTCCATCTCTTGGATCTCCGACTGATTCTTTTTTGAGATTTCTCTCATCACATCGCCTATTTTCAGGACAGCATCATGGTACGCAGCCATGTAATCATTCATCTGAAGAGAAAAAGTCAGATGGTAAAAGGAATTTCCTCAGTTTAAAAAATTTGGAATATTTCTATGTTTTTTTTATAGTGCAGAAGAGGTCCATTTGTGCCATATTTCATATATTCCTCATTGTGATGTTTGAAATCGGAGTCATGACTACATTTAGCATAGTTTTGCAACCAGAAGATTTCAAGTTGATTTCTTTATATATTCACTTTTTAATCATTGTCTTATTATTTTTCTTTTCTTTTTTCCTATTACCCCTATTTATTTCCCAGAAACATATTCCTTTTGTTACTTTTTTTTGTCGATTTACAACAATTTTCCAAAATCCATCAAATACATTTCTGTATGAAATTTTCATCATTATGCAAATTATGGGTTAAACTGCAACTGAAATTGTACAAACACATAAGTGTATAAATAAGGGCATTAGCATACATTTAAAGAGCCAAGGTTGAACATTAAAGTGAAAACATACATTAGTTTCTGCCTTTTTTTGTGTTCTTTTTTGTCAAGTAAATTCATTTATCCATTCAGCTTTTAGATGTTTGTAACTGTTTGGTATTTTTCCTGCATACAAAAATGCAACAAGGCAACTTTTTTAAAAACACTAATACATCCAAGATTATAAAAGTATAGTCTCCATTAACATATACAATGTTTCCCAGTGATGAAATGTATGGATTAAATGTGGAATGAAAGGTTGCACAGGGAAACATATTGTAGGCACAAATGGAAGCTCATCCCAGGATGCCTCTGGTGAATTGAAATAATTGTTGAAGCTTTTGAAGGAAATTCAGAAACAGGGCCCTCAGAGCAGGCCAAATAAAGCTAATGTTGTCTGTGTGACAAAATACCTCTGCAAATACTCGTTTTGTGTTTGTAATATGACCTTTGAGAAAAAGAGCTAACTCAAATAAAGCAGATGCTTGCCTTAAATTTGTTTTTGTTTTTTAAAAGACAAAACAAAATCAATTAATACATTGATCTGCCAAGTTTTTAGTTCTAAAATAACCATCGGCGTTTAGAGTTTTGCAAAACTTGGCATTTAGTAGCATCAAAAGTCATTTTTCTAATGACTGTTATGGCTTCACAAAGTAAATCTATAGAGTTAGTTGTATAGCAATAGAAACTAACTCCTTTTTCCACCCTGTGTCCTCACCGTGTTATTGTTTGAGAGGTTTGCATTGATGACATATTCTCTGGTGTCGGGCATGGTCACCACCAACACGTTCCTCATCTCTGGCATTGACGACTTGTTGGTATAGTATATATCACTGTTCAGGGGAGGCAGTGGAGAAGTTATTGAGTAACTACTGCATCCTATTCCGATTCTCAGACAGTTCCATGACAAAAACTTGTATTATTGATTCCTTTTCCAGAAAAATTAAGACCTGGTGAAAATGTAAATATTTTCTATATTGTGTAAAATAATAATGTGGAGCCCGAATTAGATTTTTTTTTAATCCATTATTTTCACATCAATTAGCTTAATTTATACATGTGACGCCCTATAAATATCTGGCATAAACCAAATAAACCAATAAAGAATTCATATACTGAAGTTTAAGAGCAAAGTACTAACACTTGTTAATTGTATATGGCCTCTTTTGCTGTGACTTCAATGCTATCAGGACAGTATAATATCTCTCCGGATTAAAAAGTAAAAAACCCTTCCATAAGTAAGACTCCACTGAAAAAGTTACATAATTGAATTAGTAGGTCATAAAATCTGTTTATATATCAGTTAGGATTGGCATCTGGACATATACTGCAAAAGAACATTTATGTAAGTTGTTTTTACGGAAGATATACATATTCAAAGATAATTTCTAAATTAAACTGCTAGGTCAGTTCAAATCAGTAGACATATGACATATATGTATATACATATATATAGTTAAATTAACTAATAGCACTGACTTGTAAAGATCGATGAGGATGAAGACAATATCACTGCTATCTGCTACTTGGGAGCCATTTTTCAATTGCAACAAGTCCATCGGTGAGCCACACATGATGATCACTGCCAACAGAGAGCATGTGTTCAAAAGTAAAGACCAACACTGGGGGGGATTTTTAGCCTAAGGCATCGCGTGGGGATTCAGAGCCTGATTTTCATTTAAATTCTCATTTCAACCTTGAAACCAAAGTTAATACCAAAGCTAGAGCATGCTCTTTGATGTCTGAATCAACATGAAACAAAGGGGGTGGGTGGAGCACATAAATGCAGGAACACAGTTAATGAAGTTAAGATCGAACTTTAAGGGTTAAACATTCTCATTCCTGACATATGAGATTAAGAATTACTCAAAAGAAAGAACAGTTCTCTAACAAATGCTTTTTCCTTTGTTCATAATGTGGTGGGTTGATGACTGAAGTATTCAGGAAAAGCTATCAATCTATCAAGTCTTGCTGCACAGGAGATTTTCAAAGCTGAAAATAACATCCATCGAGCATGTTTGAGCCTTGTCTTAAGAAAACAAAAGTGCCTCCTTCTCCCCGTACAGAAACGTACCGTTGCTCGACCTGTTTTCCGGTGAGTTGAGCATGTCTACCGCCTCCTTGTAATTACGCAGCATCGTCCGAGAAACATTCCCAGCAAACATGCCATCAGCCTCGAGTGCATTTATATACCTGAAAAAAGATCCTGATGAATTCATTGTAGATTAAAAAAACAGTAGTCAGCAGTGGTCAATTTCACTTTTAGATTTGGTTTGGTGGGTGGTAGTCTGAGCTCATGGGTTATACCTGGAAACCTTTTCAGTGATTGAAAAAACTACCATAATGATCACCGTAGTACCATATGACTTGAAGCTTTATCAAGTCATGGAGCTTTATTTGAAACATTATATCAGTTTTTCACACCCTCCTTCATAAAAAAAACTTACGACCACCAACTTATCTGTTTTATGGACTATCTGTTTTATAAACAGGTTTGTGGGCAAATCACCACCAACAATCTTCGGCGTCACTTGTGTTTTTCTTAATGTAGGCTGTATCCCACGATGGCTTGATCTTGTTTTTGTGCAGAAAGAAGTGGATGAAAAAGTCAGAGATCTTGCGTGCCGGGGGCAGAACCCTCAGCAGGTTGACCGCGTAGTCGCAGGAGCGGCCGAAGCTTCCCGCTGAAATGATGGGTGTACTGAGGTTAAACCCTTTTTCCCCACTGAATCAGAAAAAGATGAAGGGTATGTGAGAGCGGCAGGCACGGGTACAAGTTCTTGTTTTCAAAGCCTGTTATAAAATGTGGGTCATGTTGAGTTTTTTTTCTTTGAAACAACGCCGACTTACTCAACTATTGGGAATGTGGCATACGTGCAGGTAGGTCCGAGCACTGCGCACCCCAGCCTGCCAAAAAACTGCGATAAAAAAAGTGCCGTCAGATGTTGAAAGTGAGACATTGCATTGCAACTGTAAAGCTCTAACTTATCAAAGAAGTACGCATATTCTACAGGCTTTACAGATCTCAGTAACTTGTGAGACTTGCTTTGCACCACATCCCTGGTTCTGCTCGAGGTTTCTGCCTGTTAAAAGGAAGTTTTTCCTTGCCTGTGTCGCCTAGTGCTTGCTCATGGTGGGAATTGTTGGGTTTCTGTAATTAACTTCAGAGTAGGGTCTGACCTGCTCTGTTTGGAAAGCGCTGTGAGACAACTGTTGTTGTGATGTGGTGCCATATAAATAAATTTGAATTGAATTGAATTGAATCCCCAGTGGAGACCTCCGTGGTGGATAACTTGATGAAAGTAAGGTTGGCTACATGTGAAAAACGAGCAATATACAATATCTAGGGATGGTATGAAACTGGGGTGACTTACCAATAGCTTCTTCAGCTTCTCCACTCCCTCACACGGACTACTCATGCACCCTCTTTTGCGGTAGAGAGTCGTGTTCAACCCTTCAAAATTCACTGTGAGATTGAAGTCCATACCTTTGGGGTGGCAAGGTGTGGAAAGAAAAGAAGAGAAAATTCGAGTGTTATATTCAATCATCTCTGCATACACAGTCCAGTGTTCACGCTTCTGAAATTGAGCATTTTAAGGAGCAAAAATCTCCAGTCTGTGACAACTACAACAAAATAAAAGTATTTGAATTACTCATGGATTAACGAATAACTTGAAAAGGTCCACGCTGTTCAAAACTAGGCATCAAACATCTCATTTTGCTTATTCACTTCTTTTTCTTTTTTTTTTGGCATCCCAAAAGAAAGATTTATCTTCTGTAAGGGTGAAATTTGACAGGAGGAATTGATCGTAAATAACATGCATCTTATTGGGTGGTGTAATTGAACATAGGCAGGACTAAAAGAGGAAGAAAAAAATGTAATAAACCATGATTGAAAATAAAAACAGTACATGTATTTATCTCAGTAAATCATTTGGTATCCAGTCAGATACCATGTGATTTCTTGTCGTGATAATAGTATACATTTGCCTTGTATGATTTTCTAAAAATGGCGTCTGAATAAAAAAAACTCAGGAACTGATACAATGCCTTAAAGTGTCATTTCATCACGACCGTGAAACTATAAGCTGTCAGAAACACCAAAAATCCTACAAAGACAAATGTAAAGCCTTGTGAGCAAAAATGATAAAGGCCTAGTTCTGAAAACGAATTAACGCACAACAATGCTCAAAACAATAACTCAGCTTCGAAGTCATTCATGTACAGTTTTGAACATTATTCTGGGCCTGGTTGCTTGTTGCGCCGGTGTTCTCTTTAAATTACCTTCCGCAGCGTTAATGGCTGAATCTTTCTCCATGGCTTCTCGTATTTCTTCTCCCACATACTTCAGGCTCCAGGGAGACTCCTCATCCTCCAGTAGGATCACATTGATTGCGATGCCATCCACACACTGTCCATTGCCTGGACAGGAAGCAGCAAGAATCCCTAAGGTCCACAAACACAGCCACAAAGTGCCTGGATTCATTTCCAGCTTTGATGTGAGGGTGTTTATTGCTGAGCTGTTAAAGAAAGTCCATAGTATGGCGAAGGCTTTCGGTTCAATCCATCCACTGCGCAATAAAATCCTCAGATGATTCCTCTAATATGCTCTGATTTCCACAAGCGAAGTTTCGTCAGGTCCACAGCAGTAAGGTAAACTTAACAAATCAAATCCACTCTCTATGTCTCAGTTTCACACTTCCTCAGTTTCTATGAGCCGTCCTTTCCTCATCACCGTGTTAATATACAACCTTTAAAGACACAGGGGCAGGCCATATAACCTTCTCCATGTTGTTGTGCAAAGGTGTGCGTGAATTATAGGCTCCGATCTGGTAAACACAAGTAGAGCGGCTTTCAGCTGGCGTTAAACGTGTTGGCAACGATAGCAAATTCTTTTAAAGCGGATTTCTTCCACTAATGATTTTACACATCCAGGTTTACATTGAAACAATCGGATTAACTTGATTTTACTCAATCAATTACAAGTAGAGATTTCCACTTGTCCTTTACGTACTCTGACCCAAATAAAATAGCTGATAGCAAACTTAGGAGACGTGCACGTGTAATGGAACTCTGTTCGAAACTAAACATTTGGATTTGGCTGACAAACAAGCTAATGGGAAATGCTACAGCTAGTGCTTTTTAACCTTGAGGTTACCCTTTGAACAACTATTGGTGAATATTTAGTGGAAGGAAAATGCATATATAAGTTCACCTGATGTCATTGATACAGTTAGCTAGAGGTTTTCTCCTTGCACCCTGTATTTGTTTGGCTGGTACGCTGTTTGAATTTGGCTATAATTACTCACTTTAGCATTGTATGCTAGCACATGATCTATGTAAATTACTGCTTGTTTCATTCCTTTTACAACTATATTTTGTGTTATGGTGTCTGGCTGTGTCCTCAGAGTCTCTCTTCTCTCTTTTTCTTTCTTTGTTGCATTAGATCCAGACCTTTAGGTCAACACATACACACATCATTTTTTTACCACATCCCAATGTCATCTGCATGAATTAGGACCTGGCCTGTTTGTGACCCGAGGTAATTAGCCAATAGGACTTGATTATGTCCAGCCCTCTTTTGAGGAGGCGGATCGAGCCAAAGAGATAATGCCCATCACACCCAGATCTTGGGGCTCTTTGCCAACTGAGACCCTGAGAAAGAGGTTTTGTCTGTGAAGAGCACAGCGTTTGCCTGTGACCTAATAGATGTAATTTTTATACTTTTGATCAACTCTGGTTTATTCTCAGGTTTCCAAATAAAGAATCAGGCTAACACCTCTAATTCCATTCCATTCTTTGTTTTTAACATCTTGCTCAACATATTTTTTTAATATATTGAAGAAAATAAAAGCAGCTTTTCTTTTGCATTTGTTAGCTGTCCATGTTCTCATGGAACTGGAGTTAAAATCCATAGCTTCTGTTAGCACCTGTTTTAACTGAAACCCAGATGAAAGCACGGGGCCTGTGGGGATTTAAGAGCTGTTTATGCTGAAGTGATTTATTCCGTTTATTCTGCTAATACACTCCGGCAAGGTGACTGTAAATAATGTTGCCTGCAGACCAATACTGGCAGGTTGTTGCTCAATTATGAGCGCTGACAAAAACAAAGGTCACTTGCCTAACCTTTGCTTTAACCTCTTTGTCAATGGGATTATTAGTTATAACACAGCCAAACTTCAAGGCTCAGCTTCTATCTCTAAGAATTCCTGACCAAAGAATAAAGACTAACACCAAGCAAAGTAGACCAAACTAAAAAAATCAGCACTTATGAATAAAGACAGATGGGTTGTAAATAGATTCATACAGATCAGAAGGAAATCTTGTTTTTGTTTTGTTCTTTCCATAGAAAGCATAGAGGAAACTACAGAAAATGGACCAATAGTGCATGAATTTCTGTGTGACACATGAAAAGTAAAGCAAAGCAAAGAAGAGCAAAGGTTGATCAGGCCAATAAACTCCTCATAGATAACACTGCTTTGCAGTTTACCTGCATTAGCATCCATGACTATATCGCTTTCTGAAGAGATTATTGGCACAACATCTAAACTTGACAGCCAGACTCGGTTGGCGATTATTAATCTAATTTTATTCATTAAGAGCGCCGTGACTTTGTTGTACAAGCTCTTAATCTTGAGTAAGCGGCTTAAAGGTTTTTTTTTCACAGTCAGTTGACTGAAGTCATCTGAGCCTGCAGGCAAACACTCAGGACGAAAAAAATGAATGCGTGACTTCATTTCCAGCACTTCCTCTTCACAGCACAAATGTGATGTTACTCGTGCGTCACCGTGACATTGAGGGGGACCAACTTGAACTTGGCAATAAATCTTATATCACATGCTCAGCTTGCGGAAGACAAAATTATATAAAGCTCATTCAATTTGAAGTCTTGGTTCAAATTGCAAAAATGTTTGCATATTTGCTTCCACGGGTCAAACTTATTTATTTCAGGATTATCAAAAATATGAGGAGACGTTAAAAAAGAGATTATGATCAAGAGACGTGGTTGATTATTTTAGGAAGCTGTAAGACTTTTTTGAGAACCAAGAGGAAACCATGCAGATCACTACTCTTTGCAGAAATATAGTCAGGCTACAGAATATGGCATACAAGGTAATGTACATAAGTGAAACCGTTCTGGTTAAAGTTATAGAGAGCCCTATCAGATGGGGGGTTCAGTCCGGATTTGTTTTTTGTGCCTCTGTTTTAAAGTTGTGAGTTTGGGATTTAACTTAAACAAACAATATTCTTTTTAGGCCAGAAGAGGCCACAATTCAATGTTAAATGGAGGCAGAATTAACATTGTGATAAAGCTATTTTAACATCTTGTGCATCAATTTTATCAACAGATGGGTTTGAATGACCCATAACTCCAATCCACAAAAAAATCAAATTGTTTGATTTGATTTTGCGTGGAAAAGCACTTAAACTTTTTACAAAACAGACTGATCATATTCATAAATCATCATTGTTTGTTTTTTAATGAATAATTGAAAGAATTTGAATTGGTTGAATTTAGTGTATGGTGATTTATTGAGTTTTCCATCATATTTGTTGGCTATTTTGAGAGGACACCACACAACACACACACACTGTATTTACCTGATTTTAAATATTACAGAGAAAAATAGATAAATGTTCCACTTAGCTTCATAATTAGCCTTAATTTCCCAATTAGTGGCCAAATTAGTTGCCCAATTAGTTGCCCAATTAATTGCGCAATTATATGCACCACAACTGCACCATTATGGGAGTTAGGAAAAGGAGAAATAAAAATATAAAAGATTCATTTACCATCTTTGGTATAGTAAAACATAAAAGTTATGAACAGAACCGGTGACAAAGGGCAACCTTTACGTAGTCCAACCCTCACTGGAAACGGGTCCGACTTACTACCAGCGATGCGGTAGTAACACCGGTCGTACAGGGACTTAACAGCCTTTAACAGAGGGCCCAGATCCCCAGACTCCCGGAGCACCCCCCACAGGATTCCCCGAGGGACACAGTCGAACATCTTCTCCAAGTCCACAAAACGCATGTGGACTGGTTGGGCAAACTCCCATGCACCCTCCAGTACCCCGCTGAGGGTAAACAGTGTTGGTGGAGCACTGCTTCCCCCGCCTGTCACGCCGGATGGTGGACCAGAATCGCCTCAAAGCTGTAAGGAAGTCTTTTTTCATGGCCTCCCTGAACTCCTCCCACAAGTTTTTGCCTCGGCAACCACCCGAGCCACATGTGAAAAGTATACCAACTGCTGCTTGACGCCTCTCACCAGAGTAAAAGAGTGTCCAACCCCTCTCAAGAAGGCTGGTTCCAGAGCTGTGCGTCGAGCCAAGACCGACTATGTTCATCTGGAATCTCTATCTCCACCTCGCACACCAGCTCAGGCTCCTTCCCCCCGCCAGAGAGGTGACATTCCACGTCCCTAGAGCCAGCTTCTGTAGCCGGGGATCGTTTTGCCAAGGTCTCCGGCCGCCACCCTGAATGCACCCGACCTCTTTGGCTCCTCCTATGGGTGGTGAGCCCAGTGATGGGGGGACCCATGAGGCCTTTTGGGGCTGGGCCCGGCCGGGCTCCATGGGTTAAAACCCGGCCACCAGGGCGCTCGCCAACGTGCCCCGCCTCCGGGCGAGGGTACACTTGGCCCATCAATAATTTTCATCATAAGGGGTCTTGGGGCTGCACTTTGTCTGATCCCTCATCCAGGACCTGTTTGTCTTGGGTGACTCTACCAGGGGCTTGAAGCCCCGGACAACATAGCTCCTAGAATCATTGGGAAACTCAAACCCCTCCACCACGATAAGGTGGCAGCCCAGGGAGGGGGAAAGATACTGTATTTGGAATATGCAGGTTTAATCCGTTCAGGTTTGACGCTTTTTATGAGCGTGAGATCCAATCAATGCTTTGACAGTAATCAAAATCAAGCACCATATATGAAAATTAAACACAGACAGTCCGAATTAATCTGACCAAAGTCCACTCATTTCTGCCTCATTGTGCTTCAAACTGTGTTTACTTTCATTTTTTTATGAGTGTCTTTAAAAATGTAAAGTTAAATAAGTCAATTTCATTTGCTTTATTGCCTGGAATCTAGTGCACATTGTCAAACAAATAAAAAAACATGTTTAAAGCTTAAGTTATCACGGTGAAACAATGTAAAACTATACAAATAATGTAAATCACACACAAGGGGATTATGGTATGTAATGGGGGTTTAGCTGTAACATGTCTCATCCAGACGGGTTCATTTTCCTGGTTTGTCTGGGAAACCAGCATACTAAACATTTAGTCTTCTCAAGCTGTTTATTGAGAATACAAAACGAGTCAGAGTCATTGATGTGAAGATGTTCAATTTCAGATGTCCATTTGAGACCCTACATTTGATTGAAAGCCACTGTCTGCAAAGAAAAACAGATTTTAGAGCAACAGCGACTCAGAGCCTTTGCTTGAGTTCGATTGTGCCGTCCATCCATTATCTATACCACTTATCCAAAAGGTCGAAGGTGGCTGGAGAGCTGCCCATTGTCAGCTGGGATAGATTGAGATTTTAAAAGTAGCTGACAACTGTCTTCTACAGTGCCGAAAATGGGTTTTTAGAAAATAAATGGGACAGCTACTTACTTCAAGCTTCTCCTGATGCTATTTCAGAGAAAGACTGTGACCTGAGTCCAAACTGTTAGTGACATCTGCTGGTCAGGGTTAATCAACCCTTCCCTGAAAAAAACTGACAGATGGTCGTCAGGGAAATTGTGGTATTGTGGTACGATATTTAAGGCACAATTGTAAGGTGTGTATATACTTTATAGTGGCAGTGGGGAATCCAAGCTGATATCCATAATTAGGAAAGATGGAGTCCATGCATTAAACTAACATTAAATCCTCTGTATTATCACTGATTGTATCTTCTTGAATTAATATTTTCTGTCATAAATTAATCCTTCATGCCAAGTGTTCCATACAAAGCATTTGAGATCATGAAATGCGTAAATTATATCCTTTTCAGAATTGTTTCTTATTTTCTTTATAATTTTCTTTATAATTTCTTTATAATTATTCTTTTTATTAAATACCTTTTCCTGTCTCTTCTACAGACTTGTGTATCTTTCTTTTTAAATTTACCAATGGCTTCTGTTTACTGCTAAAAAATATGCCCACTTGTACGACCTGTGTTGACTTTAAGCATGTGCTGGACATCTGACGTGATTTAAACACTACAGGAACAGTAACGTATCAAATCAGCCAATTATTCATATAAGGAAACCCTTTATTAGAGAAAATGAGTGTACAGTAAAAAAAAAAGCACAAAAAGAGCATACATCTGTGGTCTAAGAAGACAAAAAATAGGTTATATCACAAGCTTAATCTAGATTTATTGGCCTAGAAACAAAGGAAATCTGATTGAAAGAAAACACACATTGAATGCAACTTTAAGTTTTATTCAACCTTTCCTTTACCACAAAGACAAGTGTCACAGTGATCCGACAGAAATAAAAGTGCAAACAATCAAACTCATTTCTCCCACAGTAAAGAAATCCAAAGATACAGTGCTACCATGACATTAAGTCACACTGGTGGCGAGAAATCAAAGATGCATAGGCGACAAGATGACATCTCTATCTGGAGGCTCTGGCCCTGTTACTGCATGATGAAACAGAAATCAACACATTCTACACAAAAATACCACAAACAGTACAGGACATGCCAATTTCGAAAACAACAAAATGCCTGTTATTTTGAATGGAGTTTACTCCTACGACACATGACAAAGATTGTTTAGAAATTAGAAACTCGGGTTTTGCATGTTTATGATGAAATGACAGTAGCAAAGGGATTGAACAGGGTAGTATCATCAGAGTGAGATGTACAATGTTTTTTTAATAGGCTTTGCACAAATACCTAGAAATGCAGCGTTTAATTACCAAACACCTGATGTTTTCATTGTTACAAATTGAAAATAAATAAATAAATCAATAAATAGCTTCTTAAAAACTTACATCTGGAAGCTTTTGCTTTGCTGAATAATCATTCTCTTCTACTCTTCACAGTCTTCATTTGTCCTACAAAAAATACTTTCGAAACCCAAAAGTGTTATGCCTTCCACCTAAAAATCAGCAGATCCCCAAACATTGATAAAGCCACCTTTCTTTAATTTCCCATGGTGTCTTTTTTAAATTAATCTTAACATATATAAAAAAAAAAATAATTTGTATATTTCACAGTTCGGAAGCATATCTCAGATAGACATGAACGTATCCACTACTTATGTCAATAGATTCAACATTTTGTCAAATATGCTTACATGTTAAGAAATAAATGAAAATTACAGCCCATAAAATCCAAATGTGCTACAGCTAGCCAGCTGGGTGTTTAGTTAAGCTTACCTTAGCTACTGTTTCAATGTTATGGAGCCCATTTTACAATAATTCCTATGTGAGGAAAAAAAAGAATGACTTTTTTTTATTATTGTAAACACTGGTGCAGAACCTGTAACCTGACAGCATTTAGTTTTAGTCTCTTTATGGGACTGGGCTGTGTATGGAGTCGCTAGTAACTGTCTTTTCAGTTAAACCAAACCAGCTACTAGGCAGATTATGTGCAAATATATGAATATATATGACATGTCAATATAGACAGCCAGGAAGGCATTTCAGACAGTTCAGGAACAGTATCATGGAGGGGAGAGAATAACTCCCTTTGATGTAGGCTTTGGGCTTTTTAGCTCTGCTGACTTTTTACTAAACAAATCTATCTGACATACAAAATAAAAGAGGGGAAGGAAAAAAATACCCTAATATGTTCTTCTAAATAACACCGCGCTACTGCCTTTCCTTTGTTTTCAGCCTTTGTGCTAAGCTAAGCTAACTAGCCACTGCTAGCTGTTTACCACTCAAATATAGAGAGTGCGGCGAGACAACTTGGCAACTAACGTCTCGCAATAAGGCAAATATTTTTTACTTGTCAAACATGTCGAGCTTTTCCTTTAAAGGAATCATCCGTTTTTTTTTTCTTGCGTTTGTGTGAGGTATGTGTGAGTATTTAAGTGCAGGTGCCAGCAGTTCAAGCAAACAAAATTATTCTGGGTTTTTACACCGCATCAGTTTTTGAACAGCAAGGTAAATATTGACCACAGGTCGTATTGTGATGTTTGGCAGCTAAGATGCTATAGAGACGAGGTCAAAGTCCGTGATACCGCATTCATTTAAACTTCACTTGCTTGAGGTCTGAGTTGCTCTATATGGCAAAAGAGATGTTGCACTTCTGGTGTCAGAAACTGTTTACTGCTTAGATTTGCTTTTGGGCTCATCAAACTGAGAACTCTGACATCTGACGACAGCGAGTAAGACAGTTAATACTCGAATACTTCACACAACCCAATCTGAAAAAAAAGGTATACCCCCTTAAAAGTTCACCATCACTGCTGATTTTAAGATAAATCTTCCTCTTTTACATCATTTCTGATCCAGCTGCGTCCATGTGCATGTACCCCACAGATTATCACTCCTTCCTCTGCCCTTTCGCTGTTCTTCCTCCCCTCTGCAGATTCATCCTCCCGACCCCAAACCCTCTGGCCTGGTTTTCCAGCAGCAGGCCGAACGACATCCGTATTCCGTCTCTACCACTGAAATTTTAGACCGTCATAGGAGCTGGCTACAGTTATACTGGATTTCTACATAGGCCAAGTAGACAAAACACAGAAGTGCTACAATATAACGAAGGAACATGATTCTTAACAGAGAGCTTGACGCAGCTCTTGAGGCAGAAACGCATATAGAACAAACCAAATGTCTTAAAAACTGACTTGCTTCACAAACTGGGAGTACCGTTTAAAAAACTTTGAGCCTTCAAAGCCCACTGTAAACTATTTAGTTTTGAAAGCATCTTTTTCTCCAAAGCATTAACTTTGGCTGTAAACACACCAAACATAACCAATTTCAAATTTTAATGCCATTTCATTAAATTTTTCAGATGACTTGGCAGCGATAGGATGCAGATTGCATTAGTTGAGAGTTTGAGTAAACAAGACATCTCCCTCAAGCAGGTCTTATGAAACTAAGACTCATTTAACCCTAATGGAAGTCAACATGGCAAGATTGGTTTGAGTTTGCTCTAAATGCATTTGGGCCTTACGTTCATCAGTCATTGACATCTTAATCCCGAAACATGACCATTCCCGTGACCAATGACTTCCCAATCAATTCATTTAATTTGGTCAAAGACATGTCTGCATAAAGTCCTGAACCCCAACTTTCCAAAACCAACTTTAAATCCTTAACTAAGTCTTTCAGAACCAATTGAAGAAACCATGGCTTTCTTGGGTTAACATTCAAACATATACATTCAAAGCTTAAATTCAACCCTGACTTTTTTTGCTCACTTTCAAAACCGAACCATATAGGGCCTAATACTTTCACTTTACAGCGAGCTCACAATCCCCTCTTGTCCCAGATTTGGTCCAATTCATTGTGCCCCAGAAACATAAAACCTAAAATTAAATCCCAACTTCCGTTTCGCTTCTGCAGTCGTGCCACCTGCAGCCGGTCTAGGAGCTGATGATCTGACCTGACCAGGTCTCGTGCTTGGTGCCCGGATTCAGGTGTGTGATCACCACGTCCACAGCCTGGATCTTCTGGTTCTTGGGGGGGATTGGACACACCTTGTACGTGACTTCGTCTCCTTCCACGGGAACGTACTCCCCTTCAATGCTGACAAAAGACACAGAGATCACGTTGAAAATAGGGCATGGAATCATTTAGAAAGTTCTCGAAGTTCTGCATTGGGTGTCTGTAACATCAGGATCAATTTTCTCTGGTGTGCTGTGATGGTTTTTTTAGGGGTTTTTTTTGTCACAGGTTGGGCTGAGCGGGTTCTGCAGTGCACCTGTGCGAAGTCTGGCTACCTCCTGCTCCCACAGCTGAAAGACATCAGGGCTCATTGACCTTCTTTCTCAAGGAGCAGCAGGAAACTCAGCCTTCGCCAGATTGTTGTACCTCTTCTGTGGTAATTAGGGCAACTCTGGCGAACACGGTGACAATCTGGCGAGGAAAGTCCTTAGTGATATTCTCTTCCTTAGTGTTTTCTCTCCGCTTTACAGCATCTAGGTTCCTGGAGCTTCGTGTTCCTCCCACGACAAAACGTGGCACTACTAAGGACATTCAGGCCTACAGAAAGCACGGGCCTGCTCACTCTCCGTCAACTACACCCGCCCTGCCACGGCCTACCTGAGGTAGGCTTACCAGAATTACTCAGTTGGAACTGTGAGACCCAGCTGGGAACCTTCAGTGCGCAATTACTCAGGTGGAAAATTTCCGTGACCACTCATACCCTCTGTCCATCACCGGCCTGCTTCTGAGTCATCCTCCCAGATCCTTAACCTTCTAGTGCTTCCCACATTTTTGAATAAAGCCGTTTTGCATTTTTCTAAGAGCCCCACTGTTGAGTCTGTTCATGCTCTGGTTGCACTACACATTACATGTAATGTCAAACTTCAGAGTGCCTTTCCAAGCATTTTCCATCGGAAAGAAAGCAGTTTAATAAACGCCCGATGCCAAAAAAAATAGGGTAAAAATTCTATCATGATCTAGGATGTCACTATTTCCAAACAAATGCCATTTCTGAAAGCTTAAAACATGATGTTGAGCTTCTTAAATGGCGAAAGTGTTAACATGTTACCTACATAAAACTACTGGCTTTAATGGTAGTAATAACTTACTCCATTTTGCAGGGTTAAAATGTTTTTATGAAGCTAAATATGTGGCAATCTTACCATTTTATTTAATATATCCAAATCTAAACTGTGTCCTCTTAAGATTTTTTTTTTTTTTATCCTAGCAAATGACAGTGCCAGACTTGAGGTGGTTGTCAGCACCAGTTTATATGATGGAGATGATATTTCTAGATAAATTATCACAGTCTGACCAGCCTCTGAAGCACAACACCAAAGCAGTTACTAACATCTCCATCACCACGTGTCACAGCTGGCGTGAGGCTTTAAGTCTGGAAACATGTCTCTTGGTAATGTGGCTTGAAAGCTGAGGTTCATTGGTCTGTCCAGTACTGAAGGATTCAGAACGCTTCACGAGATATCAAAAGCTCCTAGATACAGAAAAACTAGTGTTGCGGGACAGTTCTCTTTGTGGTTGATGAATTTTGTAGGACGACATGTTGGACGCCGTCTCTTTAAATTTGGAGTCACATCCTACTTCCTTTCCCCTCTGATCTTTTAGACCTCCAGATGATAATGACTCAGGTTCCAGGGAACAGATGTATGATCAATAACCAGATTTCAAAATTGTATACGTCTTTTCCTACACAATCCCCTGGGAAGTGTGTAGGAAGAATGCGCATACCTCACACAATCCTCAGACTACGTGTACACGTTTTTACTGTATTCTTATTTACAGTGACTATGGGTGCTATAAATAACTTCAACTGTGCATTGTATATAACAGCCATTATGCACAGTCTCATAGGCTTTCATGAGGCGGAAAACATCCAACACACCATCCCCCTTCATCTTTATGCCAGGCTGCGTACTGCCCAGGCAGGGTGCTCATCATCCATAGATAAAACAGGATCTGCTAGCCCTGATGCGACGCACAAGCTGATGCAACTTTTAGTTGCTGGCGTGTTATCCGACCACTCCTTTTTATCTCTGCGGGGTCCTCTCATTAGATCTTCCATTGGATCGCTTGTTACTTTCCTACTTCGTTTATGATTCCAGAGCTGATTTCTTGTTTCTCCGCATCTCTGACGAAGTCCAGTACCAGAGAGAACTTACATACACACAGTTTTCGTAAATCAGGTGAAAACGCACAATTCCGGCACGCAGTTTTTGTTCGGAAACTATGGGCAGTTTTATCCACCTGGCCTGTTTCATGGGTTCATGGGTTAAAATTCAATAGATTTCAACCGCCATTCAAAATTTATAGACTTACAGATCTTAAGTTGTGTAGACTCTTTTTCTTTGTAACTATCTGCTTTGAATTAGTTTCAATTCAGGTTGTTTTGTGTGATTTTAAGTGTTTCCAGAGTCAAAAATGTTTATATTTGCTAGTGATCATCACTGTATGTATAATAGACAGTTTTCTCTTGCTTTTAGGTAAATCTTAATAGGGTGAACTACAGAAACCACTTGTAAGTGGAGTCACTTACTCAGAGATGTGAACAAAGATGTCCTCTCCGCCATGAGAAGGACGGATGAATCCATGACCCTGAGACCTGGAGAAGTTTTTACATACTCCTTTAAATACAGGACCTGATCTGGCTCGCACTGTCCTGCAGTCAGAGACAGACATCCACACAAAAATGGTAGATCATTACAACAAATACTTTAAACTTGAAATGTTTTTTTTTCCAGGGATTAAGATGCAACCCCTTAATGATGTTACATCCTACGCGTCTACTCACGCCGAGTATGTTCGAGTACGTTTCGTAGGCAGCGGGCTGGGCAGCTCTCCCGGTTGTGGAGGTTTCCTCTCCCTCTCCCAAATGCGGCTGCCTTCCCTCAGGAAGGGGAAGGACAGCTGGAGGGGAGTGCGTGGGGAGGTCAGGGGGAGCGGGGGGTCCGAGGGCAAGGAGGAGTCTGGGTTGGCCATCTCTTTTAATCACAAAGTGGATTTTTATTTTTTTGCTTTTGGATTTCCTCCACTGGTTGAAAGAGAATAAGAGGGTGGAGGATTACACCTCCTGCATGGCACAAGTGTTTGTGAGTGAGATCAGAAGTTGAGATTGAAGCTCTTCCGGGCAGAGGAGCGCAGCAACAGAACCCTGCAATAAAGAGAAGGAAAGGTATAGAGTGAGAAGCCAGAGAGAAAAATTAGCAGGATTCCCAACCTTTCGCTTCGGTTGTCATGGTTGTGCAAAGTTTTCCCACTAACTTGCCTGGTGTTCTTTTTCAGTCAGACCTTTCAGAGCTGTATTTATCAAAATGGGAAAAAAACGTTTAAACTGGTATTTAAAAATTAATCTGAACTGTAATCTGGGAGACAATATTATAAAAAATTGTATTCTAGTGTCTTCAAGGATGCACTTAAATGCATTCAGAAAACATATAGATTAATGTCAGCAACATATTGTTTGTTTTTTCAGATAAAAGATACAAATAATATCTTTATTATTATAACCACCTATCTAAGAATCTACGGTGAACTTATTGATTGGTGAAAGGTGAGGGTGCCAGAATTGGGTAAAAATGATTTCTTGCTACTGTGTGTTTAGTTTACATCACTGAAGTTGTATCCATTTCTCCATTAGTTCAGTAATACAGCAGAGTCTTACAAGCAAAAGTATAAGAATAAAGTTTTGTTCTTGTTATTCACCCTAAAATGATGGAAAACATATTTTGAAACTCTAAACCTTACCATTTTATCCAGGAGAAGTAAATATTATTTCACAAAGCGGTTCGTCCTATTCCCATACTGGCTGTTAAATAAAGCCTTTCTGGTTTTACATAATCTTTCTTCAGGCCACAGACACAAACAGCCCTGTTCACACGCCCTGGCCTCAGATTGGATAGATGGTTATGCTCTGAGGCTGGAAGACCAAATATGTGGAATCATTTAAATGAATCCTCATGAATCATAAAAGAGGCCATATGATAGCACTAGAGGAACATATTGTGAACTACCAATTAAATATTGGTGCTACTTGCCCTCGAGTGATGAAAAGAACTAAAATACATTTTAAAGAAAAGATTTCAGAGCATAATTAGGCTCTTTTTTTCCAAAATTTGAACTTAATTTATGCCATCATTAATGGGTAATGTCAACATGAAACATTCAGGAGAGGGTGCTTAACCCTCCCAAAGGGTAACTTCTCATTTTGTACAGAGTTGTGCGTGTTACAATTGAAAGCTGCTGCGACAAAATGAAAACAACAGAGGAAATAAAAAGGTCAAACCTGCGATTTCAATAAAAATCCCCTCCTGGCTCAACTCAGACATTATTAAATAAAGACCGTTGCTTCCACAAGAGTGACATTCATCGTGGTTTATTGAAAACGATAAGCTCTAAACCGTTTCATACTGCCATTCCAGAGCGAGAATTTGCTCAGTCACCCACTTGACACAAACTCAATTATCATCTTGTAACGAGGAGTTCTGATATAGGCATCGTTTAGTCGGATCACCGGTGAAGCATTAAAAACACAAAAGGCAACGGGGCTTTGCTGGATCGAGGATCAGCACCCACACTGAAACCCGGTTTGAAATGGAAAACACAGCTGTAGTCTGCGTTAAATTCACAGGCACTGTCCGATATCAGACTGTCAGTCTAAATATAGTGTACTAGGGCTGGAGACGCTCTTTCTGAAGTGGACCACGGGATCCGGGCAGGCGCCTTCCCGTGCCAAAGGATTACTCCCAGCATATTTAAGTATGTATGTGAGCCATTTGTGGGAAACAGATTGATGTTCTAGAATAAAAACATATAAGATCACGACTCCTGGGGTGTGTAACTCCGGTCCTCGAGGGTGAATCTTGAATGATGTAGAGCATGCATTAAGAACGAACAATCTACAGCAGCCTTTCTGTCCCAACAGGCCTCAGTGCAGAGCCTCACGTGGAGCAATGTCCTGTTTTCAGGATAGCTGGTAGAATTCTCATGGCTTATTTCGAGTATTATTTTGTCATTCCCCAACTTACCCCGTGTATGTGTTGAGTTGGATGATGCAGAGCATCACATTAGAATCAGTGTGTTCTTTACTTATGAGTTCCTTTGCATAAAAATGTCCAAACATCTCATCATGCTACTCTCATTCCGATCCAACTGAATGTGTTTGCAGACACACTTAACGCCCACTTAAATTCTATGTAGACTGTAATCATATCATATTGCAGCTATATTAAAATGCATTAAGCTGACCTGGAGAAACTACATAGATAATAATAACAAGCCATATGGAAGGGAGAAGAGGGAAAAGGAAACAGCTTTGATGGCTGTCTGATATTAAGAGGGGAAGCTAAACAGTGTAAGATTTTTTACCCACAACTCTATGGAACTCCGATCAAAGGGATCTGGTGATGTAAAAGAAATGTTGATGTTAAAGCTCTAAAATACTCAAAAGCCATCAAGAATTCTCTTTTTGGGGTAGGTTTTTTATTTCTTCCCTGGGAAAACAACTGTCACAAATCAGTTCTGCCAAACTGCCAAGTCGTTCACATGACTAATCACATCAATAATCTGCTTTTTCTGCATCAATAATCTGCTTTTTCTGCTTCCAAACAAACAAAAATAGACAATATATGCAAACATATACCGTTAAAGCCTGTTTCCAGTCGAATCTGTTGCCGTTTTCTGTCATATTTGGCAAAGGTTTAGTCTCTCTCCAGGTTTTTTTTTTTGGTTGATAAATGGTTTACACGCCACCTGTTGATTACACAACTAAAGTGTATTGCAGACCAGGTTGTGTAGCAATGCCATTCTTATGCTCAATTTTATCACTCCAGCTGAGCCAGAATCTAAACTAATAAGATGCTAAACAAGGAGAAAATCTGACTTTTCCCACCAAAAGCTGTGCCACAAGTCACTCAAATGTATTACCAGAACGTATACAAAGGCCATAACAGCTTCTAAAACTAAGCCTTCTATTGGTAGAGTTCCAACTAAACAAACCAAAACAGGAGTGTTAGCATAAAGTAGACTCGGGCTTAAATTCCCTGACTTTTTTCCAATTTGTAAAGTGTTTATAGGATAATTTGGGAATATAATCTAAACGTTATACTATCTAAAAAAAATACGTAATTCAGACAAAACTTAATTTTGTATTTCAGGAGTAATTAATCACAGTTGGCTTCTGTGTCTTTCATCAGGTTTTAAAGCCGTGCTGTCAAACTCTGATCCCTTTCAGATGTTTCACTGCTTCAGCACAGCTCAAATAAGTGGATCTTTAGAAGGCTTTTACAGAACTTAACAGATGGGAGCTCCATCTCATTGGCTTGGCTTGTGTGGATCAGGGAACAATCTCAGATCTGCGGGGCACTGGCCCGTGAGGGACCGAAGTTTGACCACGCCAGCGGACAGGAAAACCCTTGGGGGTGAGCCTCCTGACCTCTGGGCATGGCGACCGCCGGCTGGTGCTGATGCGGAGGACGGGACTGATGGAGGCCTGAATAATTCAAAAGCCCGCGACAGGGTGAGGACCCCTTTCATCTGCCCTCTTTATGAGACAGATTGGCTTTAATGGGCCTGCAGTGAATGTCTCAGATGACTTGTAGGAGCATTTGAATCAGGATTCTGCCAGCCTCCTCTTGGAGGGGAAGGAAAACAGCTTATGGAGATTTGAGAAGTCATACAAAAGGCCAAAAGCACCTCCCTGTGAAACCAAGCCACTGGGATCATTTCCATCAGCACCAGAGACGCGTCAACTCTCCACATTACGCGAAATGATACAGTCTTTAATGGCACTTTATCAGGCTATTTGCTTGTCTTAAAGCGGGATTTGTCTGAATGAAGGGATTGCGGGTACTAAATAATTCATGGTTGAGTCGGAGGAGCCCTTCAGGCGGGTTGTTTCCAGAACATTCTCACACTGTGGCAGCGTGAGACAAAAAAAAAAGGCGAGAGGATGCTCCGCTGATGCCAAAAAAATCCGCTCACAATCACGCCTGGGCGTTGAAAGATTAACCCAGTGAAAAGAGCAGCAAAAGACTATTGTGACGCCGAGCAGTCTGTGAGGAGAATAAAATACCAAAACAAAACACGAAAAAATAATAAAAACAAAAACAAAGATCGGATGCGTAAAAAGCCGGATCACCCCCCAGACCCGATCGCTCCTACGGTTGCTTACCGTCAAATCCGAGACCAGCTGTCGGTCAGACTGGAGATGGCTCCGACTTTTGAGGCGTATTAAGGCAATCTTGAGACGAGATCCGGCTCTGGCGGCGCGGACATGTGCTGAATAAACCTGGAGGATCTTGGTATGGACGCGGCGCACACAGGCGGGATGGAAAAGCAGCAAATGAAAAGGAGGCAGCAGAGATGGGGCGGGGGGGGGGGGGGCGTGGGGGGGGGGGGGGGGGGCTCAAAACAACAGCGGGTTTTCACCCTACTACAGTCAATTCTTTGTTCTCTGCGGACTGGAAATATTTTACTTTATCACCCCGGGAGCTCTAATTGCATGTGAGCAGAACTGGGTGATCCACAGACGTAAAATGGGCCGTTTGGAGTGTGATCGTGAGCGTTTTTTTAATCATCTAAACATGTCTACCTCCTTTCCCTAAAACCCCAAGCTTTGTGTGACGGAGCTGAACTGATTGGGCCGTGCTTTCATTCATTCTCCGCTGACCGCTTCCTTCCGGGACGCTTCTGATGACGTCATCTGCAGTTCTGACTGAAAAAGCCACAGAAAGTCCAAAGCAGCCTCTTTAGTGGTCCTCGGAATTAAAATGTCCTCCCACGTGCAGCAAAACATTTCTCCATCCTTCTGAATGTGCAAGTGAAATAACTTCCAGATTTAATCATTATGAGCAAAATAAAACTAAAATAAATAGCCATCAAAAGTTTCCTAGTTGTGGTTTTAAATAGGAGTTTGACATGTGGACGAAAAAATCTAGGGCAAGGCCCCTTGTGGCCTCTTTGTAAAGTTTGTTTCTCACTGAATGTTCCAATTTCTACCACTAAGGGCCGAAATGAACTAAGGGATCTTAACAAATGCCGTTTCCGTATGACAGAAGCTTTTTTCTCAGATGCTTAACCCTGTTGAGGACATGTCGGAGAGACAGTTGGTGGATTCCACAGATCAAAGGCACACCATCATCTTGGCCAAGCTTTGACTGGGTTGGATTCTTTTGACGGCTTTTTTTGAAAAGGGTACCTTTGTTTGTCCTTTAGTGTCATCCGTTTCTTGTTGATTTTATCTTTTATCCAAGACACTTCTAACCATGTCTGCAACTATACTTTTTTTAAAACTAAAATAAAAGAGGCCACAGATTTCCACAAGTGTGACTTACTTTTTTTTTCCTTTATGAACATCCACAGCAAAGTGTAAAGGAATTGAGATTTGTGATTTCTTTTATTATTATTTTACAACCCATCGGTAGTTCCTTGATACAGTAAAGATCATCTGGGAGAAAACAAACACTTGTATGCACATAGAGCCAGACTCTATACATAGAGTGGTCTTACAGGAAGCGGATGGTTTTAGTCTTTGTACGATTTGCAGGGAGTTTTAACCAACCGGACAATTACCAGCAGACACAACATATGGGTTTACTTATGAAAGGGCCTGGTTGCTTCGATAAAGCAAGAGGTGTACATCAACTTCCATTTTTCTTCTGCTCTTAACATTAATATACAGACCCTCTCGTGTAAAATGTTGGATTTTTTTAGGGTTCGAAAATCACACAAAAGTGGCACAATACCCTATAAACCGGGCATTCATTATTCAGGATGGAAGCTTACCCTGTGTCTGAGAAAGTGAAAAAGCTTTGCCTGAAATGTACGCAGGGTTTCGCCCTGCCGCGGAAAACAAAACAGAAACAAGAATATAAATAAATAAGAGGAAAGAAAACATACTGGATGATGTGCTTGATCTTGTAAGGAGGTGAGGACAGATCAGGAGAGTCCCTTTAAGAATGGTGGGCGTGAAAGCAGCGGGGAAGAAGAGGTTGAGTTTATGTATCCATAAGTGTTAAAGCATGTGTATTTGTGTGCCACTGTGTCTGTCACCATTGTAACACCGACGCTGTGTAAAGATAGAACAGACTTTAATACAGAAAATGGATACAAAAGTGACCCCTAATGGCTTCAGACTGTTAAATATACAGTAATCTAATATATAGTTAAACCCGCAAATGAGCTGGCTGAACTATTTCAACAATTCTTTGACGGTACCAGGTCTCCCAGTGTCCACCAGGGGGCAACATAACCTTTGGTGTGAGTGAATGAAACAGAAGCTATGTTTATTTTTAGATCTTTGCCAATGCAGCTTCTCTAAATGGACCCAAAGATTTTCTTTTTAAAGGCAGCAGTTATCTGTAAATGGCAATATGGAAAAGGGAAGGAGTGTCTTATGGAAGCTGTTTTTAATGCCATGCAGCGGTCAACGTAATCCTTAAAAACCAACAAAAATCAAGGCCAGACTTGTGGGAAGTGGCCTCTGTTCTGAGAGGTTTGAACAGCTGGGTGAACAAACAATTTTTTATTTTTTTATTTTTTAACAACCAAGCGTGCCAGCTGGCAGCGTACTATGTGACCATTAGGTCAGTGTCAAATTCTGCTTGTTTGTGTGCGTCTCCACCACGATGGACCGTGACCGCTGGACTGAAACATGGCGGCGCGACAGAACTTTCACAGATACGGCGTGATAATGAATCAAGTTTTACCCAAAAATCGGACCTCAGACCAGGTGCTGTTGTGCCATCACCGACATTAGCTCGGCAATTGGAAGTAAGCCTACTTTGATCTACGCTTCATTCCCAGAGGTATACCGACACGTTACTTCAGTCAAACTGGCGAGCTAACCCAGGTGATGAAACGACTGTTAACAATCTCTAACCAGCTTCTCCCCCGCGACCCTCACCGCCCCGTCACGTTCGCCCCGTCCTGTGCTCAGTGCTGCAGCTCCTTCATCCTGTTGAGGGCGGAGCCGGCCTTGAACCAGTCGATCTGTGTCTCGTTGAAGCTGTGGTTGAGCTCCAGCGTCTCCTCGCTGCCGTCACTGTGCTTCACCACTGCAGTCAGAGGCTGCGGGACATTAAAAAGACGCTTTCAGCTCACGTTCAACTGGCAGTTTTTGATTTGTTTTAGGGTTGGGTTTTTTTTGGCATTATTACCTTTCCGGGACTGAATGTTTGAAGTCCTCTGATGGAAATCTTGTCGTCTGGGCGGATCTTGTCGTAGTCTGATGGTTGGCTGAATGTCAGGGGTAGCACACCCTGCTTCTTCAGGTTTGTTTCTAAGGATATGATGTAAAGATGTGTATTTAGAATAAGATCTCATCCATCCTTCTATGTAGGTCTTTGGTTATCTATAAAGCAGGAGCTTTGTACAGAATGACTTGCAATAACGACAAATTCTTGCGCTTTGAGCATTTTCTACACTTATCGGGTGCAGTGCTCGTACAGTACCGTGGATTCTGGCAAAGCTCTTGACGATGATGGCTCTTCCACCTAGATGTCTGGGCTCCAGAGCCGCGTGCTCTCTGCTGGAGCCCTCACCGTAGTTGTCATCTCCAACCACCACCCACGAAATGCCGTTGGCCTACAGAAAGATGGACGAAGACAAAGTGTGAGCTGAGGGAGGTACCACAACAGACCCAAAGCAGTCTAGGCTTCCTCTCCGGGATGCCCACCTTGTAGTGGCGTGCCACATCTGGGACTCCGCCGTAGTCCCCTGTGAGATAGTTCTTGATCTTGTTGATGGCGTCATTCTCGCTGTTGACCGCGCCGATCAGCATGTTGTTGGAGATGTTGTCCAGGTGGCCGCGGAACTTCAGCCAGGGGCCCGCGGCGCTGATGTGGTCTGTGGTGCATTTTCCCTTCACCTGCTCAGAGAGAGGGCGGTCATGTTTCCAGCAGCAGTGAAAGCATCAAAAACCACAGACCCCAGCAGGTGGGCGTCAGTCACTGGGCTCACCTTGATGAGGACCCGCAAGTCTTCCAGGTCATTTCCGCTCCACCGGTCAAAGGGCTCCAGCAGCTGAAGGCGGTTGCTTTGAGGACTGACGTCCACCTTGAGTTTGATGCCATCGGGGGGCGGGTGCTGGTAGGTGTCCTGGCCTGGGTCAAAGTCCCTGGCTGGCAGCTCATCTCCGTTGGGAGGCTCCAGCTTGAACTTCTCTCCGTTGGAGGCTGTGAGGTAATCCTTCTCAGGGTTGAAGCTTAACGAGCCGGCTATGGCGAGGGCAGTGACAATCTGAAAAGAAGAGGGAAGAAGAGGGAAAGGGGATTGGATTAGCTATGAACTGTAATCCCGCGAGTCCCAGGCGGCGTGGGCGTGGATGGGTTTGCTCCGGATTCACCTCGGGGGATGTAACAAAGGCATGTGTTGCGGGGTTAGCGTCATTTCTGGCAGTGAAGTTCCTGTTGAAGGACGTGACGATCGTGTTCTTCTCTCCCTTCTTCACATCGCGCCTTAAAAAAAGAAAGAAAAAGACACGTGGCATAATCAGCACAAACAAAGGCACTCGATGAGTGACGAGTCGTTTCACAGACACTTGAGTCTCTGTTGTAGCTACCTGTCCCACTGGCCAATGCACGGTCCACAAGCATTTGCGAGGACCACACCTCCAACAGCTCTGAGGATATTTGACTGCAGGAAAACACCACATTTTAGCCTGTGAAATATAACTTTGAGGGAAGAGCAGCCCTTTGCTTTGTGGACTCACGTAGCCGTCCCGTTCGATGGTGGCGCGGATCTGCTCCGACCCGGGGGTGACGGTGAACTGAGCTTTGCACTTCAGGCCTTTGTCCAGAGCCTGTTTGGCCAGTGAGGCGGCGCGGCCCATGTCCTCGTAGCTGGAGTTGGTACAGCTGCCAATCAAACCTACGAAAATAAGGTAGGTAATTAGGCTTTTTTAAACAGCATTGGTGTGTATAAAGAGTCATCCGCCGCTTCTTACCAACTTTGACCTCCAGCGGCCAGCCATTCTTTTCGGCCACGGCACCAACTTCAGACACTGGGTGAGCCAGGTCAGGGGTGAAAGGACCATTAATGTGGGGCTTCAGCTGGAAAAACAAACAGGAGGCTAATGAAGATTCACACTGACAATAGAATAAACTATGTCCCGAGTGTCACTGCTGGGGTTTATCAATGACATGTTTGGCTCAGGGATGTGATCAACGCCTCACTGAAAGAAATATTAATACAAATAGAACCTCTGAAAAATGGGAAAGTATTAAAAGTGTTTCTCTGGCTCCACTGTAGGGAGGGCCATGAAAGCCATAACCATCAGTGACATACCTCGTCCAGATTGAGCTCAATAACTTGGTCATACTCGCAGCCTTCGTCTGGCACCAGCAGGTCTTTGTATTCATCAGCCAGCACTGCGATCTCTGAGGGGAAACACAAAGTAGGAGGAGAAAGGAGGAGCATCTCAAAGGCTTCCAGGAAAACCCAGTCAAAATAGCTCAAAGACTTAATTTAGAAAATCCATAAAGTTATTCTGTGAGACTGTAGATGCTTTAAAAAATATTCCAAACATACCTCCACGCCCAGTTTTCTCCAGGTAGGTCCTCATGCGGTGATTGTAAGGAAACACGGAGGTTGTGGCTCCGATCTCTGCTCCCATGTTGCAAATGGTGGCCATTCCTGCAAAAACAGGTAAATGACAGAGTGTATGTGTTATACATTATAAAGGAATAAAGAGGCTGAATTTTAAACACGTCAGGTTATCAAAAGTGTTGAAATACTGACCAGTGCAGGAGATGGAGTCCACTCCTGGGCCGTGGTACTCTACAATGGCTCCAGTTCCTCCCTTCACTGTCAGAATGCCTGCCACTTTCAAAATGACATCCTTAGGGGACGTCCAGCCGGACAGACTGCCAGTCAGCTTCACACCGATCACCTTAAAGAATTAAGATTGGAATAGTTGGAGTTGTTTATTGGGTGCAAAGATATGAAAGGGAAAAAGAGTGAGAAACGAGTCATACAAACTAAAGAAAAACAGCAGAATAAAGAATTAGTGGTGCTTTTGTTTTTTTGCAAACCTTGGGACACTTGAGCTCCCAGGGAATTCCTGCCATGACGTCAACTGCATCCGCTCCACCAACTCCGATGCAGATGGCACCAAGCCCACCACCGTTTGGTGTGTGAGAGTCTGTGCCAATGAGCATCACTCCTGGGTAGGCATAGTTCTCCAAGATGATCTGTTTAGATGAACAAGCGGTGTTTTTTTAGTCTAACCATTGCACTACAATTCCAGAAACTCACACCAAACTCCATTGACAATCATGTTCATCTTGATACCTGATGGATGATTCCAGAGCCAGGTTTCCAGAAGCCAACTCCATACTTAGCCCCAGCACTGGACAGGAAGTTGTAAACCTCCTGGTTCACTTCCTATGGAGAAAAGCATGCCTAAACCTCAGATTTTATTTTTGACAACAACAACAAAAACAAAAATTGTGCTAGAGTATGCAAGCCCACTCACCTTGGCTCTGGCTAAGTCCTCTTCTCCTCCAATCTGGGCCTCGATCAGGTGATCACAGTGAATAGTGGAGGGCACAGCCACCCTCGGCAGGCCGCTGCTGATGAACTGCAACATTGCCATCTGGGCTGTGGCGTCCTGCATAGCCACACGGTCGGGACGCAGGCGCAGGTAGGTGCGGCCGCGATCGATATCCTGGTTGTGGGGGTCGTCCAGATGGCCATAGACAATCTTTTCTGACAGGGTGAGGGGCCTGTTGAGCCTGGCGAGGACGGAAACTATTCTTTACTAAAGGTGGGAGGATGGTACAATTATAAAAAAAACAGAAAAACTGGAGATGGGATTGTGCTGATGGCTCGCACGGACTGCTAACAGTAGCTCAGTACAACATTATGGCTGATGAGAAACTGTGGTAAAGGGCAAACAAACATACGCTGATAAGGGAGTGCTGGGGGAGACAGAAATGTGTGCCAGAGTAAATATAGAACAAGTTGGGTTAAAACGTACCTTTTTCGCACGATGTCAACATTGGACTGGAGCTTCTCGTAACCAACAAAGGAAGTGGGCTCAAAGCGACTCATAGCCACTTTGGCCTTGGCTCTGTAGGCCGCTGACACATGCAGCCGGCGCACGCCATGGCCCAGGGCCAACTGAGGATAGATACACCATAAACACACAATTGAGAGCACATGACAGAGGATTCACCTCAACTGCAGAGAAGAAAGATCATTTACGTCCATAAGGGTGCTCGTCAACCTTTTAATGATTCCTTAATTCAGTGTTTTCATGTCCAAAGTCTTCATTTGACGCAGCCGACCAGGCATAAAACCAGTCGCCAAAGAAATTATACTTCCATAAAGGGAAGCAAACTTCTGAATGGCATGCTGATGTGCAGTCCTCGCATGTGTGTCATCATTTACACATTTACTGTGTTGAAATAAGTGTAACAAGAGGCGGCGCGGTGGGGGGTGGGGGTGGGGAGGGTATCCTTGTTTGCCCGCTGTTTGTCTACCAGACACCAGTCTGACCTGCCACCTGGAATCATATTGAGTTAACTTGCCCTTGAGCAAACCAAAATATTTTGCAATAAAAAAGACGGTATCAAGCTGCTAAAGGCCAAGAGGTTACAGATCTTCTCCAGATGCTTGTTAGTTGGAATAGGCTTTATCTGAATGGAGGAATTTTTGGCTCCGGACCAAGCAAAGTCACAGAGTCCAAAGTTTTCAATTTTGTGACTGAGTTGATTTATTAGCAATCTTATAAGCTTGTTCCACACCTCCTGTGCAAATTTAATGTGTGATCATTTCTTTTTTCCCCCACTTAGTTATTGTTTTAATCATATTACATCCTACTATCAGCCATTACTCGGTCAAAGGTTACAAACAAGTTGACATGCAGCTTTCTGGGCCTGTAAACACTGTTGAGAATGTCAACAAGACAGAAAGGTGAACTGGTTTTCTTGCCCTTTTCCTCAATAAACCTAAACCTCTGATAAAATGAGTGGGTGTGACATCTAAGAAAGGTCAAGCAGACTACCCTTTTCACATTTGGAACGTTTTAAAAGAATTCAGTTAATCGCACGGATAATGAAAAGCTTGCGTTGTGTGAGGCATAAAAGCTCAAATCAAAGCTTGGCAGGAGCTTTAAATTTGACCACTCCCCATTCAGAAGTAGCAGAAAGTGTTGGCGTTGAATGCTTTGCTGCATATATACGTGTCTGTTGACCGCTGCCTGCGTGCGCGCCTTTCTCGAAGCTCTAACCTTGTGGTTAACCTTGTTATTCTGAACCAAACTCCTTCACTAAGGATAAACGAGCTACAGCCATTTAAAGCCAACGGATACACATGTTTATATAACATACATTGAGACATAAAACCCCTAATTTCATAAGCCAAAGTCGGTATAGTTGTCGCTCGCTGGATGCGCTCAGTGCAGTCGGGACACGATGACCTGACCAGCTAGCGGGGAACCGTTTCACAGCCTCTTTATCCGCAGTCACGAATCTCAGATTTCCGACTGTGCCAGAACGGCGTTATACTATAAATATACAATTTAAACTAGCAGTTGCCAACTCGACCCGGGTAGAAAATAAGCTTATAGGCTATTTTTTGGTCTCTTACCTGTAGCCGGGCAACTGTGAGACAGTAGGTTGCCATTTTGTTCACTGACAAAGATGTGAGGGGCGGTGGTGACGTCACGCAATTGTAAACCCCTTTTTCTTCTTCTTCGAATCTGTGTAGTTCACAGCTTCCGTGTTGCTGCCCGCTACCGCAGCAATCCAACAGGGCAAACCATCATCTGCCCACATTTTTTAGGAAACTGTCAGGAAACCCTGGTTTGTTTTTTTACATTAAAAAAAAATAATAATTATTAAAGATTGTTCATGAAGGGTACGACTTTTGTTTTGGTTAAATCATTTTGTATTTATAATTAAATACTGTTTGTTAAGAGAACATTTTATGATTTATCAATGATATTTTTTTTACTTTTATGTTTTACAGTATGTTTTTATAATTAATCAGATCTCACTTTTAATATGTACTAGTAATGAGTTTGATGTGCAAACTGATAATGGCTTTAACTGCATCTTTGAGCTTTTACCCATAACTAAAGGCACATTAAATGAAAGCAAAAAGTAGTTGTGAACTCAAAGCAAATACAACGTACAATGCAATACAACGTATGTTTTAAACAAGTGAATCTCTTACAATAACCGAGTAATACATTTCAACCATGAAGACATTTTTATGGTGCTTATGATGGTGATTCTTATTTTATTTTATTTTTTACTTGCAATTGGTTGTTGTAAACGCTAGGCGGCGGTAATGCCACAATTTGAGCTAAATTCACGTGTCAAGGGTTACAGTTGAATCAAGCTAGCAGCGTTTGCCATACGTTAGCCGACAATGGCTAAACATCACCCAGATTTGATCTTTTGCCGAAAACAAGCCGGTGTTGGTATGTTTGAATCTATTATGCTTTTCAGTAGCTTAGGGTGCTGTTCCATTGCGCCGCTATATATTGAATTTCGCTTTTATATCATAAACTGCTATGTTAATGTATACAGCATGTATCTCAGTCAGAACGTATTAGCATTGGCGTTAGCTTTCCCTGGTTATATTAAGTTGGAAAGCAAAAGTTACAATTTCCAGGTATATTATTTTAGGGATATTTACTATGGTGTTGATCACACAGTAATGCGTAGTAATTTTATTTATGTACGGTAAAAATGCAATCTAAGTTGCTTCGTTTTATTACTAACTGGTGGCTTTGTTTTCTTCCTGCAGCCATCGGCAGACTTTGCGAGAAATGTGAGTTTTTTTCTTTAGCTGATATATATATCATAAATATTATTTATTTTAGAGGAAACGTGATGGTCTGTTTCTATTTTTCTGTAGGTTGTATTTTTGTTTTAGAGATGGTCCGGATTTTATTGGCCTGGTGTTATCAGATTTTTACACACGATTCTGTAGAACAACGCGGCAATATTGAATAAATTAAACCGTTCATGCAATATAATCGCTGTAAAAAGCGACTATTTACTGTTCCATGAACAAACAAGTGTAATATCATTGTGATTACATGGGGCATTTAAAAACAACCCCAGCTAATTTACGAAAACCTAATGCAGTGTGTGTTTGGGACCTTATTCTGGAAGTCTTTACGTTTATTGTTTCTCTAGCATGTGAAAACATAGCGTGTAATTCTTGTTTGGTCTTGTATCATTACCCTACCTGTCCTTTTAACTTTCTGGTGGCGTCTAAATGTGTCTTATCATTGCCAGATGAAAACAAACTAATGTATATGAATGTACAGAATCAGGGCTCAGGGATGTTTCACTGCTGGGTAAACAAATTACTACAGAACTGATCCATTCAAGCCTCTATGGCCATCCTGACTCTATAAAAGCTTGTGTTTGTGTGTATCAGTCATAATGTATGTGTATGTAGTCATAATTGGTTCTGGAAATAATTTTTGTGTGTATTCAGTCAATAACATCAAAAATACATTTCCATAAAATACAACACTCAACATGCAATCCACAAGTAATCTGTTTGTATGGGGATCATTCTGGTTGTTTCTCCGATTCCTTCAGGTGACGGAAAGTGTGTGATCTGTGATTCTTATGTGCGGCCTTGCACGCTGGTGCGCATCTGCGACGAGTGCAACTATGGGTCTTATCAGGGGCGCTGCGTCATCTGTGGAGGGCCCGGCGTGTCCGACGCCTACTACTGCAAGGAGTGCACCATCCAGGAAAAAGATGTGCGTGTTTTTGCAAGTTCACGGTTGTGTTTCTCAGGCTTCGTTTTCGCCTTTGACCTGGAAATGAGCAGAACTAAAAGCTTTTCCAGTCACAAACCATTTTTCTAAACTGTCTTTTACCCATTTTGTGTTCGTCTGTGCAGCGGGATGGATGTCCCAAGATCGTCAACCTGGGCAGCTCCAAAACAGATCTGTTTTATGAAAGGAAGAAGTACGGCTTCAAGAAGAGGTGAAGAAGCCCCGTCCTCAAGCTCAGGCTTTGTTTTAGTTTTTCAGAATTTCTTTAAAACTTCCAGGCAACATGTTTTTTGACTTTTTCATTCAATAAAGCTTGCTTTTATATTTGTTTGGGACTCGTTTAATGATCTGTTGGAGAAGTACATTTGGACTCATAAGAAGTGTCCCAAACTGCATCCACATAGAAGTCTTTCATTTGGAGATATTATTTTATTACTTAATTTTCCTTATTGGTCTGACTCTTACTCGCCAGTTGGTGTCATTCAACGCCTAAAGTTTGTAATTGCACTAACTGAAACTACAAGTTTGTGGCAGCACATTCATGCATCAGTCTGCATGGAATCTACTATTACTCAAAATTAGTTAGGGATATTGTTATTTACAAGAGTGCTTTTCCTATTTGGGCTGAATTTTAATTAAGTCAAAGTTGACTTTGATATTATTAATAATGAATGAGAAGAAAAAACATTTTCATTAGTTTAGAAGAAAAAACTTTTTAGTTTTTAGTTTAATATTTATTACCCCCAAAATTTAGAAAATAACAAGGAGATTCCCAAATAACAAAAATTGACAATGTCAGTAGTGGATGTTTATACTATTTGCTGCAACATCTCATGCTCCTCATGATGTTCTGAGGCAGCGGTCCTATGGGGGTGGGCTACTATCATCCAGGTTCTGCTTCAGCTGGTCCCAGACGCTTTCTATGGGGTTCAGGTCAAGGGAAGTTTTTCCTTGCCTGTGTCGCCTAGTGCTTGCTCATGGTGGGAATTATTGGGTTTCTGTAATTGCCTTCAGAATAGGGTCTGACCTGCTCTGTTTGGAAAGCGCTGTGAGAAAACTGTTGTTGTGATGTGGTGCTATATAAATAAAATTTTATTTAATTGAATTGAGGTCAGAAGACATTTTTGGCCATACTATGTGAGGCGCTCCAACTTCCTGAAGCCAAGCTGTGACAATTCTGGCAAGATGTGATGGAGCATTGCCATCCATGAGCAGAAGGTTGGGGGTGTGCTGGCAGAATTGGGGGGGGGGAGTGATATCTCTGAGGTGAGAACATGCAGTGACAGCCATTCACGATAACCAAATCTGTTTTGCACCCACTGGTGAGGCCTTACTGGTAACATGAGCTTTTTATACCCACAGAATGTTTAAATTGATGCCTGAAAAGGTTTGTCGTTTTTTTTTTTTTTTGGTGTTGGCCCCAATATGTAAGGCACACTGTACACAGTGAGACCACTAACCAAAAACACAAAATGAGGGGTGTCCATCACCCCGATACTATTGGCTCTATTGGATACTAAGTGAAACAAACACTGTATACATGAAATCAACGAAGTCTCTCATAATATTCTTAACTTATTGTTAGCGTGGTTGTATCGGAGGATCAAGAGCATCAATATGGATGATTTTCAGAAAATAGTTATGGTGTCTGTATGTTCAGACTATGACGTTATCAATCAGTTATGTCAGTTTATTCCATGGTTTGTAATTGATGACCACTTTAAATTGGGAATATAACAAATTTTGAGAAAAATAAAAATCCTCATTTGTGTCATCAAGGCTTTAATTATACATACTTTATATACATGACAGCCACACTTAAAATGCCAAAATGTTTCTTACAAAGAAATACAAAGACGTAACCAGAAGGATAACAAATTGACCTGTTCCAGAGAAGGCAAATGCAGCCCCCATTACAGCAGAAAGTTGTAAAAAGTATTTAAAGGAGACCAAAAGCTCATCGTCTGTCGTTACCCTCAAAAGGTAGTTTAAAAAGAAATAGAAACACGTTAATGCATAATGTGCCTGGTAATGAGTCAGGCTTGGAGTGAAGCTATCTGTGGAGCATAGGTCTGGAATTTTTCCACAAAAAAATATTGCCGGTGCTAACCTGTCGATCCGTCTCACAACACTGTATGTAGCTTTAAGAGCTGCGAACATTTGGAAAGCCTTTCCAAAGAAACTTCACAATATTCTGTTCATTTTGCTAAAAAGTCTATCTATGGATGGAAGCACAGCAGAAAAAATAGATATATTTTCCCTTTTTTCAATGTTTTTTTTTTGTCAGAGCTGGACAGGAAATCAACCTGAGGGTAAGACACAGCTGGGAATTTTCTGGCATGACGTACAGTTAGCTCCCCTGTAAACTGGTAGACTGCGAGCTGCATTGAAATGGCTTTAAATGTAGAAGACACTTTGAGAATATTAGAGGTTTCTTTGTATATGAAAAAGATCCCCAACACCCCATGTATTATTGACTATAATTGAGATGTTTGGGATTTTATGTGTTGTAAATACAGAGTTTTAAAAATAATCTTGGAAGAAAAGGAAAATAAAAGCAACAGATCCTGTTGCTGTACACAAATCAGTATGCCAGAAGAACCGAGGCACAGGAGTAATGCAGGCGAGTGTTAGCTTTGACAATCTGTCCAGAAGCATGCCGAGTGTTCGACTAACGCCCGACTAGTGCTGCGTACACTTGATGATTTCGCCGACAACTATTTACAATACACACACTGAAATCTACACACCGACTTCTGGGGCGTTGCTGACGTGAACGGATGAGTCGAGACTGAATTTCTGCAGAGAGAGAAGCGCAGGTGTACATTCAGCTGACAAACACGGCACAAGAGCGACAGACAGATGCGACATCAGTACGGTGTGAACACAGCGTCAGCTCCGCACTGGCAATGAGTGCTTTTACATAAAGATATGTGAACACGGCTTGTTTTTGTTTTTTTTCATGTTGCCATGTCACTGTAATCCCCTGAAGAAGCTTAAGAAGAAGCTTTAAGGAAATGTCACAGTCAGAAGTTTTACAGGGCAAAGACAAGCCCAGCTCTAAAGACGATAAGTTACTTGGTAAATGTGAAGCTTAAAGAAAAAAAAAAATCTGAATTCATTCAAAACTGAAAGACTGCAAACCTTATTCAAGAACTGGTCTAGACCATTGCATCAACTACCAACATATTGCCTATTGAAGTTAAAAACTTAAAACCCGAGTTCCTCCAAATAAACTTCACAAATGATCTCTTTCGGCCCCAAAAGTGTACAAAACATGATAAAAGTGCGCCTCATAAACGAGGCGGTCTACAGAAGCACTTGAAAATTCTCTCACATTCTTCGTTTCACATAGTACATGAATGAAAAATAAAAGGAGAAAAAAAAAGACGATCATGTCAGTCATGCCCTCCAAGCATGCTCTTCTCTTCATCCTCGTCGTCATCTGATCGATTCTAGCCTTCCCATGTACCAACAGTTTTGATTTATTGATTCATCAGATAAAATAAATGAATAAATCAAATGGAGTCTACTCGTCATCTGGCACAGCACTTGAAAGAGAAGAGAGAGAGGATGAATGACACGGGGACGAGGAAGGAGAGGGGGGCTAAGTTAAGCAGAGGGAAGAGAATTAACATTTCTTTACTTTAAACCAGCTATGAACTAAGAACCTGGCTCACAATGCATTTCTGTCCCATAGGTGGCGGTAGAGAACCCTCAAACAGAGCCAGCATCTCCTAGTCTGTTTAACCCATTTTATTTGTCTCCGTTTGCTCTGGCCTTTACTTTTTGATGGTGTTTAACACAACTTCTTGACTCAAGCATAGGCCCCACCCCACCCCTAGCCCAAGCCGTTTTCACTCATGTGCAGCCAGTTGCAATCTTGAAATCACAGATGTTGTCAAAGGGGACTGGATGAGGGAATACGAGTCCCAGACTAAATATAGTGGCTGGAGCGAGCAAAGACTACAGCACAAATTCAGTGGAACTTGCTCTGTACAAAGCCAAACAGGATGTTATCCAGTGTAACTGACCCTTCTCCCTCTCTGTACAAACTCTTCCAAACACCTTAGCGACATCTTTTCCTTGCTGTTGGTGATCAGGCGTCTAGCATTATGACTGAAAAATCTGAAGTCTGACAGACAATGACTAAACCCATCCGTCTGCTATCAATGTCCATTTACACCTCAGAACATTTTCTCCTTCTGGTCCCTTACAGTGGTCCGAATTTGGCCTCATAGCAGCCCACGACGTTCTTGAATCGACCGCATTCCTTCCGGAGGTCAGCCACCTCCGACCGCAACGCTGCATTCTCGCGCTCCAGGAAGGCTGCTCGGACCGTGATCTGGTTCTCCTTCAATCTGCGGGCGTCTCGCGAGCGTTTGGCGGCCATGTTGTTCTTCTTCCTCCTCTGCCAGTATTTATCGTCCTGGAGATGCAAGACGGGAGACAAACAGACAGGGCTTGGTCCAAAGTTTTGTCTTTTTACTGACACAAATCAGATCGCAATCAGCCGCTGGCTAAGCCGCATGGCGGACAGCCAGGCTCTTTGTTGGATGGGAACAAAAGCCAGCTCTTGAGTTCCAGAAGTGAAGTACAACGTCAATTTTAGGATTAGACTGCTGAGTCACTGCAAACTGCTGGAGCAGCATTAAGAAACTGGCTGATGAAATTAAAAGGCTTTACAGAGGCATTTCCTCTCAGACATTCAGGCCTCAAAGTTCCATTTCAAAATGCGTAGAACCTGTCCATGTCACTCATAACATAACCCCTACAACGAAACTAACACTTCTAACTTCAGATTAAGAATATTTTCACAAGTATAAACATTTTTATATAATCTTAATCTTCCTATATAATAGCAGTCTAAAAAGTTACTAACAGCCCTTGCTGTGTCAAACCGCAGAACCACAGCAGGAAGTGCGTGTTTGAACCTCAGAAGAGAGGTTTGAACACGCACTTCCTCTGATTTGTTTACGCGTGCTGTTCTGTTATTGGTGGCTCATAGACGTACGACACATACGGAAGCTGACAGCACAGCGTACCTTCTGTTCCTCAGGCACAAACACTTTCTTGGCCTTCTTAATCATAGGCTGTGGCTTGAGCTCGTCCTCGCTGAACTTGTGTTTGCGTGGGTCGAACAGTTCGCCGCCAGGAACGCTGGACAGGACCAGGTCTGTGGGGTCCGGCTCGTAGTTCATGTCGACCTCTATCTCATCTGGGTCGATGGGCTCAGGTGTCACTTTGCCAGTGCTCACCTCTGAGTAGACGAGCAAAAAACAGGCGCATTTAAAAATGATGGAGCTGCAGACAATCGGCACAGACTAGCCTTATTGGGAATTTACCAACTTTTTTCCGCACAATCTCTCAATTTTTTGGTCTTGGTGTTAACTTTTTTAAAACCCTATTTATGTGAAGAGAAACATCCTTTCTCATCATCCTGCTTTTAAAAAGCAGTGTTGTTGTCCTTGTGTTTTCAGTACTTCCCCACTCACCTGTGGAATCGTCACATGTAAGGTCGGAGTCGCTCCTGGTGAGGGTTACCACTTCCTCCTCACATGTGTCCAAATCCTGAATGGGCATTAGAGCAACTGGAGACACGCTTGCCACAGTTTTAATTTTGGTCTGTGTGGAGGGAACGGCCTTCACTTTCTCTGGCTTGACGGCACTTTCTTCTGTACTGTCCTTTAAGGCGTTTCCGTTGGGTGAGGTCGGGATGCCATTCTCCATGAGGAACTCTTCCAGGTCCATGTACTCCAAATGGAAGCTCTCGCCATCATAGGGAATTGTTTTTTCCCAGATGGCAGGGGTCAGGGCGGCTGAAGGGCCCATGTCACTGCCCCCTCCGCCAAGGTCATCACTATCGCCAAGGCCCAGCTTCTCTTTGTCTGTGTCTGAAACGTGAAGCAAATACCAGTAAGCAAAATGTGTGCAGAAACTTGAGCAGGAAAAGAAATTTACAAGGCACTTGTCAGTCAATCAAAGAGGGTCGGCTACAGTTTTCAACTTAATAAGACACTGTATTTTGGCAGGAGGGACCAATTCAAAAGAGCTGACACAGTGCAAAAGGAAAAAAACGGAATGAGTGTCAGCTGGAAGCACCAAAACAAACCCGTCTCGCCGAGGCCACACCCAGCACCCAACGGGAACCAACCGACCGGCTGCCACCCAGTGCCAGGAAGCCCCCTTCTATACCAGTCGAAACATGGCGGAGCTGCGCGCGAGGGGCCGACATGTTTTCAGGCCGGCGGTGCATATCACTGCGCGGTCTAAACGGCTCCAGCAGCACCAGCGAGGACTGTTCGTGTTACCCTTCCGACACAGCAGTATTTTAAACGATAGAAATACGGGGGTGTACGAAATTGGTCGTTAATTATAGTTTGCCTCTTCGAAAACATAATTGGGGCATAACCTATATGAAAAGGGGGGGGCGTTCGCAATGTCCCGCGTCGTGTGCTCTGTGTACTTTTAAGAAAAACAGACCGTGACACATTTAAATATCAGCGCTTCGATGTTTTAGCCGACGGGTTTTGTTTTTGTGAGGATGCCTTTAAAACCCGGGGCGTGTCTAGAAAAGTCCAGACTATTGGTTTGTTCGCAGACTCCGGAGAAAAAAAGGCCACAGAGACAAGGGACCTAACATATAGACCCGGTATAATAACCAATATCTTTGCATATACGGTAAAAAATAAGAAAAAACAACAACCCCCCGCTGTCAAGCCTGGTAAAAGTTATCAGCCTGGATCCAACATTTCTCGCAGTTTTATCATTAAACACAACATTTTCCGCGCTTTTCTAACCGTCTGTTTATTGCTCTTACCATCATCTCCGTCCAATATATTCGGCGGAGGCATTTCCATTATTTTCTTCAGAACCACGGGGAAAGAGCTCGGAGCCCCCGCGGCCGCTTCCAGCCTGATAACAATTGGCTCTCCCGACATGTTTGCACCCCACTGTTGTGAACGCCAATCCTCGGAGAAATAACGAGAAAAAACAAATTTCGCAGTCGTCCCGTTGGCTTGAAAATGTCAGCTCTACTTCACCGCCGTCACAGACCGCCTCAATGCGCTTTGGAATATAACCTAAACCGTCCGCGTATCTTTAACAGCTCGCTTCTTTGACCCACTTCCTCGCAAAATTGGTTAGTCGCGAGGTTTTGCTGTGTGGAACAAACCGCACCCCCTGACGGAAAAAAATGTCGGCTCTACTTTGTTTTTGATAGGCGTTCTAAAACTCAACTCATTAATATTAATGTTTTCAGAGCAGAGGGCGGGGACTGGAACAACGAATTGAGCTCTCATTGGTTGATCGAGTTATATATTTCATTGAATATATCAGAGAGACACGTGTCACGAGGCAATACAGGACATGTTACACTTTTCAGCGAGACTTTTGGCCGTCTGTTATTTGACGCCATTTAAGAGAAACACTCTTGACATTTCTAAGCTTTTATTTTGCTTTTAATTTAAGAACCGATAGAAGATTCAGTTCAACCTCTGTCACGATGTGAACGATGTCGAAATGGTTGCCAGCGTTACTGTACAGTCCACTAAAATATGTCTTCAACCGAAATGGATCTTTTAAGTGCCGGGGTTATTTTTGGTTTCTACCATAAACACCAGTCTGGTTGCACACGCAGCATATTTCCGCCATGTGTCCTCAATGCTGCAGCAACCGGGCCTCCGCTCACATGAACCGCCACGTGCGGCGGCCTCGCTTACATATCTCCAAACTCCGTCCAATGACGAAGCCGCGCGGCTGACAGTCAGGCACGTGCGAGAAGTGTAGTCGTGCAGACGCGGCACCTCGGGGGTTTCAGTTCCTTTTTTTTTTTTTTTTTCACACGTTCCTGCAAGCGAACCGACACCCCCAAGGGCAAAGATCTGCATGTACTAATGTTGGCCAGCAACCTGGGCACAGAACATACGACTCTAGGTCTGTCACAGAACAAGCTCGATCATGATGGCTGTTGGCAGACCTCATCTTCATATGGGGCACAAAAATCACATTTTAACCTAACCAAATAAATACATAAATAAATAACTTGAATGAAGCATCAACATACCCCACCTTAAACTAATTGGGAGCAAAGTGCACCCACAAAATGTAATCACATAAGTTTATATTAACATAAAAACACAAATGTGAAGTTAAAAGGGTGTAGGGATTTCACCTTGGATGGAGGACATCTTTGTTTTTTTTTAATCAAGAACAGCACAAGTTGTTTCCATGTTTGTACCTGAACATTGGAATGATGTACTGCGATGAGCATCCATCCACCTGCTCCAAAGTCATTTACACTGGTACAGTGGGAGGGGGACGGGGGACGGGGTATTTTCCCAATATGTCCTGAAGTACACGTGTCCCATGTTGTGGGCACAACACCATGTCTAAAGTCAAACCTTCAATGTCATGGACTACAGTAGCTGCACTCGAGCTCACCAGAGGTTGTCCCACTGAACCCGAAACATTTGTGAAATGTCACTCAAGTCTATGTTTTTCTCTCCAGGTCTGAAAAAAATAAATGAATGCAAGTAGGCCCATCAGAATTTAAAATTCTATAAACATAAGAGACCCAGAAAAAGAGGCATTGATACCAAAAAGCTGAAGTTTCAAAAGCGATTTCCACATATACGCTCTTTCCGTTCATTTGACTGCCTGTCAAATGTAACTAAATGTGTGTGTGTGTGTTTCTTGTGAACACCAAATGTCGTTTCCTGTGACACAATGAGTTACACACACAGGGTTTTGAATAGAAAAAAGGAAAAGCTTCTAAGAGGGTTCTTTAAAATTGCATTTTAAAAGGTAATAAAGTGTGTTGTTATGACAGAAACCGGATTTCCTTTTTGGTGTATAGAAGCAGTTCTCCATTTTTCTTCATTGGATGACCAACAGACAAAATACCAATACTTGAAGACACTTTAAAAGGTTAAACTGAGCCGCTTAAAGTCTGTTTTTTATCCTAGCCAGAGTGCAGCAAACCCGTGACTGACCTGACCCATCCAAAGTGTCACATAACATTCCAGATAATTGGAAAAATATTTCCGTAATCCAAAAGAAGAATCCTCTCCCTTTTCCTGGTGGATTCTCATTGCAGAATTGGTGTCATGCAATATTTTTCCATCACTCCGACGACACCATGCAAATTGGTTAAGTTAGCAGTTATTTAGTTATATTCTGGGAGCTGTACGACAAAACACTTTGGATTTAATTTCAGTGTATGAAAATGCAGATATGAAAGTTAAGTATTTTTCCTTTCAGTGTACAACTCCAGCCCACTTGTTGGACTCATAAATTTGACTGAAAACATAACTGTGCAGGGATGTTGTGGCTCGCTATCCAACCATTGCAGGCAAGCCTGTCTGAATCACCACATGTAGAACAGACGGGTGAGTCTGTTTGAATGATGACCTCTCCGTTTTCAAGAGATAAGTCCAACAGAGACAGCAGATGAAGTCTAGTTTTTGATTATATCTCCTTCTCAAACATAACTAAACAGGGTGGAAAAGCTTGACTTTAGCAAAAAGGGGACATTTTGCTGATAAGGGCCAACTGTAACTGTTAACAGAGAGGAAAGGCAACTTCAAGGGAACAAATTTGCTTTCAACGGTCACTTTTGCTTTCAGATGAAATATTTCCATCTTAATTGGAGGGGGTTTGCTCCACTTTGCACAGACCCATAAGGCATGAAAGCCAATCACCTGCTGTAATATAATTTCTTCCTGGTGTTTGAAGATGGAATATCTTCTTTGGACAATTTGTACTTCAGCCAACAGATGTCACCAAATCAGCCTCTTTACATATTCCAACCAGCACATCATGCACTTCAAGCAACATGCAAACAAAGTCACAGATGTGTGCAACAGCGGCACTGATAAAGGAAATCTGACTGTTACGTTGTGTGTGTGTGTGTGTGTGTGTCAGTAAGTCCAGGGGCAAAGCTGAGCTCTGCTTACAGTCAGAATGTCAGCCTGGACTCACCGTTTTCTGGTACACGGTCTTTGCACATCTTGAAGCACCTAATCATGGCCAGGAAAATGTATAATTGGATAAACAGAACAAAAGACCAGTCCACCGTCAATGTGATTATGTTCTATGCTTGTGTGACTGCCATGAACACTTCTTATAGGCCCCTATAACTCTGTCACAGACACTTTTACAACTCAGCTAAGTCTGAAGAGCAAAACTGATACAATCTAAAGACATTTTAGCAAAAGGAATGATAGTATAGCACAACTGACATGTCCCTTTAAGGCAGAACTATGGAAAAATACACACAAGACTAAGAGTCTGTACGAAATCCAGTTAAAAAGGCCTCACCAGTAACATCACAGGAGCTAAAAATAATGCAACAGGGCCACAGCTTAATTTACTGATCAACACATAAAGGATCATGTAGAGATCAAAGGAGAGGTCTGCTGATTAAATCATGTCACCTCACCCCCTTCACACACCCACCCAGCAGGAGTCAGGTCAGGGCACTGAGAAAACAGAGAGCAATCCTGGTGCCTGGGGGCTTGTGGCGCTTATAAAGGGTATCAAAACATTGACCCTCTGCACTGGGAGGTGGGGGAGGTTGGGTTTGAAAAATCCCATTCCAAAATGTGCCTCAGATAAAGTTGTAGTTGAGTGCTTTAGGATGTTAATACGCTTTGAAAAAACACAAAAGCAGCGACGATTCAAGGAAGGGAAAATTCCATGAATTGGGTTACTACAATAAAGGTGACCAGAGGTAGCGAAATAAAGTTGTGATGGTCATTAGAATAACTTTCTACTGACCATAAAAAATCTTTTAAAAAAAGAATGACTTTCCTCCATGCTCCTAGGATGATATTACTATAAGGGATTGACCGCTCCTTTTCTCAGAGCAATGGCCCTTTCTGCAAAAAAAAAAAAAGTTGCATGAAAAGTATCCACCACTCCTGTTTGTTCTAAAGTTTTTGCAGAAGGTGTTAAAACTCCTGGAAAAGGGTATGAGTCGAAACCCATGCAGCTTTGGGCTGGTTCTACGGCCAGGGGGGCAGATCCCAGGAATCTCATGCTGCTCAGCTGACAGGAATTACACAACAGGCGCGCAGTAGTTTATGGAAATATCGGGAATTGCTCTTAACTTTTAAAAACCAAACAAACTAAAAAATATATATAAAAATAAAAAATCACATTGCAGATAAACTTAAGCCGAATCTGGACGTGACTTACCATTGTCAAAGTTCGGAAGAGTGAATGGGTGCTCAAGGAGAGACCTGAAAATCTCCGGGATTTCGGAAGTCATTTTGCTCTACTTTAAACTAAACTTCGGAAACTGGAGGTAAAAAGAGAATCCGACGTTCAGAGTGCAAAATTTGGGAGGACAGTTCAACGTCCCGTGGTTACACGGTCAAACCAGTCACCATGAAAGGATTGAAGGATTGAAACTTCAGTTTTTTCCCTACGGACTCTGGGTCAAGTTATTTAATACGTCCCACCCCTCGGGCAATTCAGGCAGCCAATCGAGAGCATGTAGTCGTAGGCAAAGGCGCTAATTGGATGTTAGTTGTGTCTATCAAAGAGTCGCCGACCAATCCCAATGCGCGCCTGCGTTACCTAAGGTTGAAAAAAACGTGTGAACACCGAATGTGGCTGCCCGTGACATAATGAGGCAGATAATTAGGCCCAAAGTACAACTTCGGCTTAAAACAAATTTCCGAATTGTGTGCCAGAAGAAGCTCCATAGGCTTCAAAGCAGGCATACAAAGTACCTAAAGTTAGGCCTAAAGGTTATTGAATGGCACCAGGATAGGATTGGAAAGTCTTGTAAATCGGGTTGAGGATGCTAGCCTCAACCTTTAATCCCAAAGTGAGGCAAGGTTCTTAAAAACACCAGTAAAGTCCTCCCTCCCACAAAGTACACCTTTACCCTGTAACGGCAGAGCTAGGGGGGGAGGTGGGAGGCAATGCTGACACAGGCAAAAAGTGTTTCAGAAGATCATTGAAGACACCAACTTTAGACAGTGTAACAGTTTGTTTTTGTCCATCATGCCATGCAACAATGACTGATTAACTATTGTAAAATCTTATCTTTATGAGACTGTTGACAATATCTTATCAGTATGCCCAATTGCGAAATGCGAAAAAAATGCAAAAACAAGAGTATTTTTTTCTAAAACTGTTTATTAAATGCTTTCAAGAGATTTGGTCCACTTGTGTGATCATTAACGTCCAACCAGGGAGGAGGAAAAGAGAAAACAAAGTCAAGAGGAACAAACAAAAAAACACAAAACAAAATGTAAAAATACAGTACAAAAAGAGGCCTTGTTTTTTCCACTTCTTACAACCCTGGTTTCTTTAATGAAGTTATTTTAAACTTAAATAGTCAATAGTTCTTTAACTTATTGATAACCGATTCATTGACCGCTTGTTTTGTGGCTGTGTTGGTGTGTGTTGTTGCTTTGAATCAGTGCCCACAAAGTGTGGAGGGGGAGGGATGTGGAGCAAAAGGGATGGCATGTCAGAGAAATATTTTTTGGGAGTAGGAACTTGTTTCATAAACCAGAACTGTGTAACCGAACTGCACCAGGGTGTGACAAATAGAACGGGATCACAAACTTGCATGTATTGCCTTCGGATTAAAAATAAATAAATAAATAAAAAAAAATAAAAAAAAAGAGTTCTCACATGTGCTGTGACTATCATATCAAAGACAAACAATTCTTCTTCTCTGTGACTGGATGTCTGAGTTTGCAGCCATTTCAGGGTGTTCTGTGGAATATAATCACATTTTGACTGTGATCATAATGAAAAACGTGACAATAAAGGCAGGCATAACTGATCCTATTGGATAACAAATGGCTTAGAATGGCCAACCTGAATGGATGCCTTGCAGGGATCAAACTGTGGAGTATGAGAGACCAGCAGTTTACCACGAACGACACAACACAACTCCAAATTTCTACTTATGATGTCCTGTAAATCAGCTAGTTTTACCATGGTCTTTTCTATTCCTTAAGATAAAAGCTTTTTGCTATGCAAACCTTAAAATGCCGTCCTCACCTTCTCAGAAAGGCTTTAACTTTAGCAAATATACATTTGTGATATACATTTATGATGGCTACATGCCTCCCAATTAAAGATTTTCATGATTCACAATCCTTCAACACACCCAGAACAAGCAACACCAGCATCCAGTTTCTGTTTCTTTCTTTTCTCTTTCATCTCTTATACAATTACTTTTGGCCTGTCTTCAGCACACTGAACAGGAAACTCACCTCAAATGCCTTCTTTTTTCTGAAAGGACTTGCCATGTTTTCTTAAGGGGTAAAAAACGCACACAGTTTTTGTGCCAGTTCAGGGTTTTCCAGCCACATCTACCCTTTTTTTCTTTTTCTTTCCTTTTTTAAGGGTGTCACTTATTCCTGTACTCAATCTGAAACAAGAGCATTTGAGTTTGGATCAGTCTCCTGTCAGCTTGTTCTAGTTAATCCAAATACAAACGTTAACTGACCACAGCAAACTTTTCCACAGCCACAGAACAACAACAAAAAAAAAAAAACAAACAAACAAAAAAAAAGGACAGGCCACCATCTCTTATCTAATTAATCTTATAAAGGATGTCTAAGTATTATAACAGGTATCAATTTTATATACTGTATATAGTGAGCAGGATTATACAATGAGGGTATGTATCATCTTATAGGTGTAGTATAAGTATCGAATAAGGCGCTATACAGGAGTATATAGGCCTCTATGTATGCTTGTGTTCCAGATCGGTCTGGTGAATCAACTGAAAGTGCACAGATGGAGCTGTGCACCGCTGCATACATAGATGCATATTTACTGTCAGGTATCATATTCGTACATGGATACATATATAAAGAGAGAGTTATACATTGCAATTACCATACATATATCAATAGCATATAGAAGAGAAATAGGACTTGTCAATAGATAGCAATCATTATAGTCATCATATTCATCATAATACTAGGAGTAGTAGTAATACAATCCCTCAAAGAAGCTAATACCTGGCTGTTCCAGACGAGGGCTGAATGGCCGATCAGTTGCTTGAGAGTGACGCGGCAGACTTTTGTGCTAATCGTAATCTTAACCAGCCAGACGGTCTTAAAACAGCTCAGGCTGTTGGGTTTAAAACTTCTTAGTCCTCCAACTGGAAGCAATGCAGATGATGAAACATCCCCTAACCAGAAGCGTTTCTTTTAGTTTGGAGCTCTTTTACCGTCAACGTAGACGGCAGCTTTTTCCAGTTTTTATTTAAGTTTGCAAAGTGGGAAAATATTTTGTATTCTGGACAGCTGCTGCTCTTTATGTGAATATAATTTTTTCTCTTTCATTACGAAAAAAAAAAAAAAAACTTTCCGTGGGGATCTCATTTTGAGCATTTAGCCACCAAATCTAAAACTCGTTGCATCATCTGCAGAAACCCTGTCAAACTGCCCCGTCTGGAACAACCCATACAGAAGCAAGATTTCAGAAATAAAAAACTTTTATTTAAGAAGAAGGAAAAAAAAAAATCACTATAGTCATCTAGTTCAGCGGTACATGTCATATAGCAATACCTCAATAACAAGAAGTTCTTCTATGTAATCAATACAGGTTTTCAGGTTATATATTTATTTAAGCTTAACTGCTAGGTTATTGTTTATCATTAGTTGGATGTATGTATAATATGCGTGTATCTGAACATAGGCATACTTTCACCATGTCTGTCCACAATAAAGGCTGGAATAAAATGGCAACAAATCCTGCCTGTGTGTGTACTTCTCTGTGTGTGTGCATTTCTTTTCATGGGCATTGGTATCATATTGATGTGGTGTTTATAGGCACGATAAAAGGGTGCGCATCCTCTGCTGTCTTGTGGCCACCCTTTGCAATCAGGAACTAAACATCTGGTAAAGGAGGAACACGACCTTCCTTCTGAAGGCTGTGGGAAGATTGTTATTTTGTTTATGTGTTTGGGGTTTATCTTTTTCAAACTGATCTCCATTTAACTCGAGATCTATCATCTTAAACCTTCAATTCTAAACTCTCGAATAATTCTAACTGTGAGCTAGAAAAATACAAAATTATCTTTGTTACCAGGTTTGAAATGAACTTTCCTCGTGGACTTAATTTCTTTTTCAATTATCACAGATAAATCTCTCCTTTTGCCAATTACGCGCTTCAATTCTATCTTCTTTTTTAATTTTTTTTCGGGGTTTCCGAAATCTGAACTGATCGTACTGTCCGGAGCCTGCATGGTTTTCTGGAGCTCTGCTACATCAAACTTTCTGCCAGATGCACACCGGTACACTCTAAACCTTCATATTGTAAAAATCTCCATGATTGCTTTAGCAACAACAGCTCCAAGCAATTAGTTTCTCAATCATTTCTGCTGCCAGCTGATGTTCTACATCATTTAAGACCCCTCTTTTGTCAACCTGAGAGGAACTGATGTTAAATCAATCATTGATGACTAACTTGCTATCAAGCCAACATGTCTGTGTGTGTCTGTGCTCATCGGATGCAGGTATGGTGCGATTAAATAACCAATGAGGAGCAGGAACAAGTTCCTTGTTTTGAAAGGCCCATGCAGGCGTTACATTCATAATGTTCTACCAATATGGCAGACAATATTGCAAGGAAACGTAACTCCCCTTGGAAAAAGGAAAACATGCTCTCAAAAGAAAAAAAACAAAGAAAGAAAAAAAAAAAACAGAAGGACTTTTTTTTATCTCAACCCTCTTATCAGATTCCTGCAAAGCAAAGAGAGGAGGATTTGGTTGTGAGCTTAGTAAAGTGTGTCCACCAAGAAGCTCTTCTGCCACTGCCTCTGTTTCTTTAGTTTCCATGGCTGTGAAAAGCTCTGAGAGCTTTTCCAAAAGCAAATATATGGGCTGCGACCAGCGCACCCACCATGCAACATGGATTTCTTCATTCTTATTTAATATGAAGATAAAGGGGAAAAAAAAGGTTCTGGTGGACACACATTCTCAAAATTAGGGACCACAAGTCATTTATTTAAGTGTGAACAGAGCTAGAACTTTTGTCTGTGGAACTTTTGTGGCAAAAGGCCCCAAAAGGTGCCATGTGTAGCATGACAGAAAGCAAAACGCTAAAGCCACAGGTCTTACTTACAAAGCCTTCTCTTTAGGATAAACGTGAGTGTTGTGTGTACTTGAATGTGTGCATACATGTGTGTTGGTAGGGTCGAACGTCTTCTGGGTCCGTCTGCCTCCTCGCCGGCTCGATGCTAAGGGTCACCAGGCCTGCGGGACAACAGACGTCTTCAGCTGGAGCTGGTCTGGCGGGCCCGTCTCTGTCCGCAGCTCAGCAGCTGCTTTCAGTCAGCGGTCACACTCAGAGGTCGTCACCGTCCGACAAATGCCGGCCTCCCTGCAACCATCAACGCCAGCGCCTTTTATCTCTTACAAACCAACAAACCGGGCAGCATTAGATGCATGTGAGAAAGAATCTGGGACAGAGAAAATATCTAGGGGGGATAAGTGCTGAATATTTAAGGGGTAAATATTGAGATTGGGGCTGGTGACAGGGGGTCAGACCTCTAAAGTGAGGGTTTTCCAGCACTTACCAGGCCTTCTGTGAAATCTGCTGATATGGTGACCTGCTTATCATCTGGGGGCGGGGTCACAGCCGAGTTATCCGACCGTCTGCTCTGATTGGTCAGCTGCAGCCACAGTTCGTACATCTGCTGCATATCTCTCACTAAGAGAGAGTGGGGTGTGGAGAGGGAGAAAGAAAACAGAAGAAAAAAAGAGTTTTAGAAACTTAGAGGACAGCCTGCATAGACAGTAGTAGAATTCAGGCAGTCTTTTTTTTTTAAATTACAATTTAAAAAATCAATCATGAGAAAAAAAGAAAAATCACATCAATGTGTATAGTGGTTGATGCAGCTGAAATATAATATAAGAAATATGCACCGATATATGGCCAAAGCAAAAATTCGAGCTTTGCCCGGATTCTGGAGACGTCTTAAATGTTTTGCTGAAATGGATATCATGTGGAATTTAATTTGATACACAGAATATAATTATAAAATGTAGAGTAACTTCTATTGAGGTACCCTTTTCTTACATGGGTTTTTCCTCTGGTTTTCAACAAGGATAAAACATTTCAAATAGCCATTAAAAAAATTATTTTTCCCTCGTGGAAATTTTAAGAAAGCCCAACCTAAACGTGTAATGTGTGTAATGATCCATACACATCATGCACCAACATGTTCGCTACACACTGAAACTTTTAAAGGGGAAGCAGAAACTTACGGTTGTTGTTCTTCATGTACGTCCAGACGTCCCGCTCCTCGAGACTGTGGGCAAAGGAGCAGTTCCCAATATAGTGGCACTTCTTCTGCTTCATCACATGCACACACATCTGGTTGAGACAAGTATGATTTTATTTCAAGGAGGTATGGAAAAGGGTTAGATTGGTAATGACATCTTTATAATGTCCTCTAATCAAATACCACATCATCATTTCTCTCTTATTTGTTGGAAATTAAAGAAAACATACAGTTCTAGACCAAAAATAAATAAAAGACCTACATCATATTGCTGTGGATAGGAACGGGAGAAGGGAAGAGGCCTGACGACGACCCACTTCTTCTTCTCGAATGATTTCACCAGCAAGACCCTGCGCTCCTTTGTCCAGCTGCAATTACCAAGAATTCAATGAGCCTGACTGGTGAGATGCATTAAGCTGCGTCTGCTGAAGTGGTGAGCCCCCCCCCCCCTCACCTGTGTCTGGCCTTAGCGGTGCAGTATTTGAGGTTCTTGTCTGGCTCGTTGACCTGACCCTCTCTCCAGCACTGACCACAGACGAACTTCATTTTCAGGTTGAGGGGGCGACCCCTTCCTGCTCCTAAGCCTCCCACCCCGACAGCTCCCACTGGACCCACTCCGCCGGCCCCTACACCCTCTCCACCCGACATACTGCCAAGTCCCCCGAGCCCTCCGCTAGGTAGGCCGCTGCTCGGATGGGGGATGTGGATTGGCTGGAAGAGATGCAAAGATAAAAACAAAAAACCTTTCGATGTTAAGAATGACATAAACCACAATTTTCACCACAATAGCAAAGTCTAAGTTTAGGACATCCTCACCAATAACTCCCAAACTACTCAACCCCCCCTCCAATTCTCCTTGAGTTACACAGGTAATTAGTAACTTCATGCTCTGAATTGTACAGTTTGTTCTGTTGGGATTTTGAGGAAGGGAAAAAGAGGATCCTTTGGATGTCCTTCGTTTCAGCGGCTGCTCAGCGCTCTGATGGACTCTCAGGCCTACTGGACGCACAGGTTCTAAGAACTAGACGTACTTTGGCCGAGTAGAGACCTCACCTTTTGTTGCTTCTGTGAATTCTGCTCCAGCCTTTGCCAGTGTCTTTTAGACTCCTGGACCATCTCTTCGTGAGTGATACCTGAAGGAAATGGAAATCTCTGTTAGATACATCATCAACACGGCTGGCAGCCTAATTCTTACATTGTCTGATAAATACCTGGGTAATTTATCTTTTGTTTAAGACATTACTGTGACTCTACCCACCGGTGTCCTGCTGCAGGACCCAACATTTGAGCTCTATGACAGAGTGAGCAAAGGAGCAGCTGTCCTCGCGCTGGCAGCCGTAGCGAACCTCGTGGCGGCAAACGTCGAACTGGCACAGGGGGTGCAGGGGGCGTATTTTACTGTAACGAACGTTGGCCGACCTCACCACGTGGACCAGGCACCTGCGGGTGAGAGTTGGGGGGTGAGAGGGCACAGTATAATACAACTGTCTGATCTCTGCTCATGGGTTAATTGTGCTTGGTGTTGGCTTTGGAACCCAACAACTTCCACGTCATATTTCAGACATGCTAAGACGACCTCCCTGCACTTACTTGTTGTCATCAAATGGGTGTCGTGCTGTGAGGTTCGAGCAGACTGCCAAATTCTCTTTGCTCCGTTTGCTGATGATGCGAGGCTTACTGTCAAAACATTCCTACAGAAAAAGGAAGAGTGTGGAGACACGTGTTGGATTTTGCCTTGAAATACAAGGCATTACAGAGAAGGTGTGAAAAAGAGGAGTGCGTGCCAGGCTGTGGGCCCACCTCACAGAGGAACATGAACATGCCCATGTGGAGCTGCAGCAGTCGGGTGACGCTGAGCGCCCGTCTCTCTGTGCTGCCCAGTGGATCAAAGAGCAGCTCTCGGCTCAGTGCACCCTTTCTCTCCTGCGTCCAGACATCGATCTCCTCCTGGCAGTACGCAAACGTGCAGTTCTCCCCGTACTGGCACTCCTGGCGCTCCTGCACCTCTGTGGGACGCAGGAAGAAGACGTTAGCACGTGGACATTCGGAACGAGAGCGCGGTCATGAAGCAAACCCACCTTTACAGAGTACAAACGCCCCGAGGAAGTTGTTCCGTGCAGGCCGGGGACGAATCCTCTTCCAGGTGGGGTCGTCTGTGTTTTTGAGTCGACACAGCAGCACGTCTCTCTTACAGCGGTGAGCCGCCTCTGGCTGATACTTGTAGTCCATTACTCGCGGTCCTAAAACCCCCCCCCCAAAAAAAAGGAAAAAAAAGAGAAAATGCAAATCGTGACATTATGCCAGTGCTTGGACCACTACTGATATCTCTGATTAACACTTCAAGGTTAACAGGAACAACATTCCAACTTAAACTTTAAATGATTGTTCAAATAAGGTAAGTTCATCCCACCTATTCTGCTGTAACAGGCGTGACACGCCTGCCGAAACTCGTGTGTGGCTCCCAGGGGATTTCTGGAGAGCAGCGAAAGGTTGGTTCCTGCTGGTCCATTCTGGGGAAGAGCAAACAATGAATAATGGCTGCTTACATTGGCCAACGAAAATGGCCAGACAATAAATGTTCAATAAAATGAAAAATTCAGTGCACAGAATAACTGGTTAAAGTGTGTGTGTGTGTGTGTGTGTGTCACTCACAGCATGTGCATTACTGTGGTTGCGCATTCCAGGGATGAAGCTGTGACACACTCGTCCCCCTGCAGACAACAGACACAAGGACACTGATGTCAGACAGTGTGTTGTAATGGTGCTGAGTCACGCAGTGGGCTGCTGATGCACATCTAAGATTACATCCAACTCCATCCAAAGCTAAGGCTTTGCAATGGGTCAAAATGACTCATCATTGGATGCAGGATTCGACTTGTGATTAGAATCTGTACCGTTTTACCTATTCTGGACCTTTTTTGTTTAAATGGGTGCCAAAAGCATGCACGAAATACATGGTTTCATGTGTTTTTCAGTGCTGGGCACAGAGCTATCATAACATTTCCAAATTGTACTTTTCCCTAAGGCCATTCCCTTGACCTAGTAACAAAAAAAGCTATGTGATTGGGGAAAAATGGGAGGGGAAAATGTGTTAGAACGACTGCGCTGCATTGAGCATCTGACCACACCTTAGCTGCAAGGAGACATGGAACTTCAGCCAGTAGCTTAAACATATACACATGATCACAGAAAGAGAGGATGAGGCTCTTTGCCTAGTGTTTTTTAACCTATTTCCTGTAGTATATATGGGATATATAAGAAAAATAGATTAGGTGAGATATCTATATAGATATTAATATAAATATTTAAAGAGAAAAGCTTGGTAAATGTCAGACTGTCATACTTGAAATATTGAAGAATGAGTTGGGGAAAATGATTTTTTCCTTTCCCTAAAATAGCATTTGAAGCAGCTTTAACAATGAATGTTTCGAAGCCTCACCAGGAAGAGTGTACTCTGACAAGGAGTCCAGCCCGCCAGCAGCGACACCTTTTCCTTCTCCATCCGTGTCCCCAGTAGAAAAGCCTCCCAATGCGTCCAGCGCCTGGGTGGAGCCCTGGTCGCGCAGTGTTGAGTAAGGCTCCAGTGGGCTTAGGTCAGAGATGGAGGAGCTGAAGAAGGCCGGGGGAAGCTGAGGTGATGGCGCGGGAAGGTTGGGCGAATAAGGAGGGCGGAGACCGACGGCCGTGTTGGGAAGGTTGGTTGGGATCACGCCCTGAACCGGACTCTGTAGGAGGACGCAGAAAGATAAGTACATGGTTTTATGATTATACCACCTTTACTGGTGATGATGTCACTCAGAAAGGTGGGCTTAGCAGATGATTTATTCATATACTTGTCCCTCTTTCACCTCACTGACTTTCTTTGGGATGCATTCCAAAATGCTGTCCAGCTCGTCCTTCATAACACTGCTGCCACACTCGTCCATCTGTTCCGACACGGGAACAGAATACGGCATGGGAGGCAGAGCCTGGCTGCTGGGGCTGTCCGACAGGTCCGAGCAGGAGGTCACCACGTTGGTCGCTGGGTCGTCGCTGACGGGGATGGGCGTGGCCAAAGGAGCCGGGATGCACTGTGCGCTGGACAGGTCTGCTGATGTGGGAGAAGGGCGTCATCAGGAGAGGCGTGACGATGTGGGTGGGAGCAGACAATTTCAAGGTTTGTACGTATCAAATACCTTGTCCAATGTCACCCAGGGACTCCAGCCCATTCGAAGACATCTGAGGGGGAAAAAAAGAACATTAGTTTTTCTTAGAGGGTACATTCTACCGCGTATCTTGTTCCGAGGCCTTAGCTCCTACTTCTCCAGTGGGTGGAGAAGACTCCCCGTGACTCTCCCCTTCTGTGGACGACGACTCGGTCTGTGGGCTTACGTAGGCCTTTCGTCCCTTCAAACCCAGTTTGGTGGCCAGGTCTTGTGCCAGGTCACTGACCTGCCTGTCCTGCAAGACCAAAGATGCACAACATAGGCTTCATCTCAGGTTAAGTCTCATTCTCTACCAGGTGAGAAAGATGCGCTCAGTCCATAAAGTCCCATACTAAAGCTCATCAGTGTCCCTGATACTGTGTGATCACATACGTGTGGGGCTGTGAGGAGGCATTTGGTTCCACACTCGTAAGCCTCTCTGAGTCGACCCAGCTCCCGAAGGCAGAGAGCTTTGCGGTACAAAGCCCTGCGACTGCCCTCTGACACACACAGTGCATTGTCACAGTCCTGACCGCCACGCTCGTACTCTCTCTGAGACAGGGGCAGGGGTGGGGTTTGAAAAGAAATGAAAAGGGTGATTACACGGAATTAAAATATACAACAATAATTTATGAAGTGTCATTTCTAATGGAACAATTCAATTATATTTACACACACGATACATGTGGTAAATATATCCGTATTATTGTTTTTTAAAGACAATTGCACCCTCTACCCCAAATGTGTAACGTTACAACATTGCTTCCATTCTCAGAAGTGTCACTCGTGTTTAGCACAAGCCTTCCTGTAACGCCTCATTTGCCACAAGATTTTTGGCAGGATTTTTTTTTGTTTCCCTCAAAAAGACGTCCATGTTGTCAAATCTAAAAACCAAAAATATTTCCAGCATCCCTTTGTTTTTTTCTCATCTTTAAGAAGTCAGGCATCCTTAAGTCCTGTATCTATACCTTAATGGTCTCACAATTGACTTTTCCCTCACCAAATTATAGAAAGCAGCTGCCCTGTTAACGTAGAGGCTCTCAAGCAGCTCATAGGGGATGATGAGGGCTTCGGCCTGTGCATAGCGGGCAACGCTGATACCCTCTCCATACTGCTGACTTGCTTGACGCCAGTCCCCGTCTCGAAAGCAAGAATTCCCTTCATCCAGCAGGTTACACACCAGCTGTGTCAGAAATGCCTGAAAAGGACACGAAGAAGGAAAAAAAATAAAGAGGACAAGCAGAAAACAGTTTCACAAATCTTGTGCTTGTTAAAAACTAAAAAGAAAATACAAGTGTTATTTTGGGGGATAATCACAAATTATGCAAAACACGCAATAGGTGAAAAAAATGCATTCAAATGTGATTTAAGGGTCAAGACAAACCTCATAACTCTCCGGTTCAGGGAATGGAAGCGATGATCTGGAGAACAAGAAAATAGAACAAATTAAGTATGTTCTGTACATATCTAATTTCAGGTATGGTGTTTTTCATCAGGGTATACTCTTACTGGATGAAACCCATTGCCTTCTGAATCTCCTCTCTACGTTTCAATCGATCAGGATCCATAGCCTGAAGATGGGAACAAACTTGACATTCAATAGCTGAAAATTCTGTGACAAGGACAGTCCTTTTTGTTAGTCTGTGTATATTTTATGTAAACATTCTGGTTCAAAAGATTGTTATACAATTGCTGACCTATTAGTTACTACTTGAGACTACTTCTATGAGTTTAAGACAGCCTAAGGCCTGCCACAAAAACAAGCTTGGCAGTCTCAACGTAAAACCAACAGCTCGGACAATCAAAGCACTAATCTGTTGTTTTAGAATTGTCATCGACGTTGACACTGTAATATATTTGATGATGACACCTTTTAGTTACATATATCGGTATGCCTTTATCTTTCAAATATGCCCAAAAATGCAAATTACAACGTTCTAGTGTTGGCCACATTAGCAAACGTTAAGAGTGGGCTATCGATAAGTTAGTACTCTTTATCTCATACTAAATGCCAAATTTAAATATTCCCACATAAAATAAGATTTCTTGTTGTGGATAAGCCGCTAATCGCATTAAGGTAAGGAATGTTACCTGAGTTTACCTGCCCGAGGTTAGCAAGCTACCGCTGCTTGCTAATTCAGGCTAACTGCTAATAACTCTCATTTAGCTTCACTGCACAGAAAAATAAAGCAAATGTAGCTCTGAGCTTATGCTTTTTTCAAAGTTACATTTAGTACATGCACAAAGGTGCATTTGATATATATTCGGTTCGCCAATTCATCTGGCTATGCAGCATATCAACCAAAATTCCACTTGATACTGGGTGGGTATTTGACTCGATGTACAAGTGCAAACCTAGCAAATAGCCGAATCTTCACTTAGCACGGCAACTCACCCAGAGTTAAGTTACTGCGCGTTACAGATCAGGGATAGCTTCAAGGAACGTTGATGGTATACAGTAGGAAAACAGCCAGCCAAATATCAGCGAACAACCAGGAGCATGTTTGTAAGTTAAGTGTCCGTGTCATTGGTGGGTGGACGGAGCACGAGTTTCTCTGCTACAGATATACTACTGACTGGCTAAAGCTAACGTAGCCTCCTGCTAGCAAATTCAACCACAACTGAAACTGCAACAAGTTTCTAAGATAAAAGCGGCCACAAGGTGGCAGCAAAGACTCCACCAGAGTGTGGGAAATGTGCCTGCTACCAAAAATGGCCTAACGTTTAAGTATAAGAATTTATTTCTGTCCAAAATCTAATTGCGGCATGTTTTTATCATTATTGGGTCGCTAAATTTAAATTCCGAGTTTGTGACTTATCCATGTTCCTCAACACAAAAGGCATAATTAATTATATCTATATCGATATATATATTTATATATATATATAAACAAAATCGTAGACACACAATTGTGCTTAAAAGCTTGTGAACATATTAAAGGTGAACACATTCTCCTTAATTGTATTTCAAGCAACGTCACACTCTTATAAAAGTACCACAGTAGTCGATTAAAAAGCTCAAGTATTATGGTTATTGGCAAAGTAGACGCACCTTATAAACCAATGCTGACTAATTAAATAAGTTGTTTTCATTGATGAAACTATGACAAAAAGAAAGAGAGAAAGCAGGGTGTGTAGGGACACATTGACCTCAAGTTGACAAATCGTTCATCTAAAGAATGATGCAAGAAGAATATACTAATTCATTTCTTGTTCTGATGAATAGCTTCTGTAAATAATTCTAGTAATTCCAGCATAAGAGACGTCACATCAGACCTCAAAAGCAGAGATTAATATCTACACAGCGCTGTATTTTTCCTTAAGAAAGGCATGTCTTAGATGTTTAAGTCTGATTTAATTGGTTGTTATTTACCTATGATCATTTAAAACTTGTATGACACAGAAAGCTGAAGAGTTTCCAAATCACGCTGTATCTATTTTCAATTAACCTGAAATGCGACGTTTCTCAAATTCATTGAGATTGAGCACAAAGGTGGCTTTTGATACAGAGGGTTTACAGATCAGATTAAACTAAGATCAGCTAATAATGATTCAATATTTACGTGAAAAAAGTAATTAAAAAGAAAACATGCCTTGTGTAAAAGTCTCTGCTCTCCACTCTGGGCTGGATGGTCCAGAAGGAGTGTGTCCTTGGTGTCTGTAGTCTGCAACTTCAGGTCAACCCATATGTCAGGGTCAAATTCAGTGCTATCAATGGAGGACTGGCCCCCTGCAGCCTCCATCTTTATAGGGGTTCCAATGATATCTATCTCCATCTTCATGGGCAGCCCTGTGAGGTCTGGAATACTGCATTCTGACTCCTGGATGACATCTGTCTCCATCTTCATGGGCAGCCCTGTGAGGTCTGGAATACTGCATTCTGACTCCTGGATGACATCTGTCTCCATCTTCATGGGCAGCCCTGTGAGGTCTGAAATACTGCATTCTGACTCCTGGGTGACATCTGTCTCCATCTTCATTGACAGCCCTGTGAGGTCTGAAATACTGCATTCTGACTCCTGTAAACCAGGAAGTTCTGGGTATGTTTCTGTAGAGGAGGTGAACGGATGGCCAAGCATGTCCACCCCGTTTGACTCGCTTTCTGGATTTTTATATTTTAGCCAAATCTTTCTAGAAAGGAAAACTAAGACGTTGGTCAATGCGAATTTGAACAGCAATCCACACCTTGCAAGAGCATGATAAATTACGTGAGCTATGGGCCGAGAGGCCATGCTGAGTGAGGACACCAAATTAAACTCTCCAAAAAAAACTCTCCAATGGTTTCTTCAACATCGTCGTCAAAGCACTCAGCAAACGAATGTTAGCTTGTGAATCATGTCCTATTCTAGAACAAAACGACGCTTTCGTAAAACCAGAAAATGTGGCCTTTTGAGAAAAATATATACGTAGTTTGGGGTGTTCGCAACGATAGGTGGCGCTAATATTCCTGATAATGAGCTTCGACATTCTCGACGAATGAGAAGTCGGGGGCCAAATGACGTCACATAGTTCGTCAACCGGCGCGCCTCGCGTAGGAAACCGGGTGTTTCGTGACGGTTAACCGGCGGAACTTTTCTTCACGGTAAGTCCGGCCAATGTTGTTGTTAATCAGACCTCTACTTAGACTTGGGTTGCTTTCTAAAGCCGGAAAGACCAGAACATTTGACTTAAAGGGTGGGAGTCACTTTTAGATTGTTTAAGTAATTTCTACGTTTTTTTTCTGTTGCGCGAAACGAATTGTTAGCCGATTGAAGCTACGACAGCTAGCTGGATTGTTTTACTTGTTGTTGCTTTGTGACTTTAGGAAATGTGTGTATAATGAATAAACTATTACTGGGTTCTGTTTACAGTATTCGTTAAAAACAAACAGTAAAACTGTTCATGCTATGCTAAATTGGTAACTTAAACTCGCTCCTTTCAGTTGTCAGTCTTATTCCCGCATTGCCAACATGGCCTCAGATGACATCGCTCAGCTGGCTGATGCACTTTCAAAAACCCACGTTGGGGATGGAGAGTTGAGCTATAAAGGATGCGGTCTGAAGCTTGACACGGTGGAATCAGGTCAGAGGGGGTTTAACCCTATTTTTTAAATCTAGTTACTCGTACTCTGATGATCGCTTTTTTTCTTTCGACGGATTTGATGATCTAAAACTGTGTTTTTCAGTGGAGGAGCTTGTCCGTGACATAGAGCAGTACCAGGATCTGAGAGCTCTGCGTCTGGAGGGAAACACCGTGGGAGTGGAGGCAGCTCAAGCCATCGCTAAAGCTCTAGAGAGCAAAAGCCTGCTCCAGGTAGCCCTCGAATTGTTATGCTTTCAATCAAATAGAAACAGACATTAAACATACTACGAAATTATCTGTGTTTTGCTTGTTGGAATGAAGACAGGATATGTTTTCAAGCTTTGAGAGACTAGGGCTGAGCACCAGTCCTGATGTGTTCACTTAAATGGAGTCTGTAGGAATCCATTATAATAACATGTGTTCAGCCAGTTTGGATCGTTAATATTTTCTGTCTTTCAGAGATGTTACTGGAGTGACATGTTCACTGGGAGGCTGCGCTCTGAAATCCCCACAGCCCTGGTGAGAACAGAACTCACAGCTTTACTGTTCAGTCACAGAATTAAAGGATCAAACTTCAGATATTTGGACTGTCTCTTAGACACGTTGAATGATTAGATCTGATAGTTTTTATAATTCCATAAGCTTCCTTGAAGTGTTTTAATAGATTCGTAAATGTTTTTAAATATATGTATGTTTTTTTGTGCTGTCATCAGAGGTCCCTGGGCAGTGCGTTGATGAGCGCCGGTGCCAGGCTGACCGAACTGGACCTGAGTGATAACGCCTTCGGGCCAGATGGCGTCAAGGCAATTGAGCGGCTGTTGACGAGCCCCTCCTGCCACACTTTAAGGGAACTTCGGCTCAATAACTGTGGTATGGGCGTCGGTGGAGGAAAGGTGAGCTCCCGCACCGCTGCTCTCCTTCCATCGGCCAAATTCTCCTGAACTGTTTAACACGGTTTAACGTGTCCGGTGTGAACAGATCCTGGCTGAAGCTCTGATGGAGTGCCACAGACAGTCGTCAGCTGCCGGAGCTCCGCTCAGAGTGAGAGTGTTCGTCGCGGGGAGGAACCGCCTGGAGAACGAAGGAGCCCGTGCCCTGGCTAGGGCCTTTCAGGTAGAGATCAGTTTGTCTTTTATTTTTGCTTCCCCTGATCCCGCTGGGTCTTCTTAAGGTTTGTTGTCTTAAAACAGTTTGATGTGCGAGTGTGATTTAATGTGGAAACTTAAACTCAACCTAAAGGTTACTTTTCCCTGAGTGATCATTACAGTTCCGCTTATTCCACCATCAACGCTGTCAGAGTTGTAGGTCTTTAATCGGACTTTGTGCTCTGCTTATGTAACATTGAAGGACCCAGACTCTGATTCGCCCGTCACAAAAAGCAAACAAGAAAAAAAGATATAAGCAGTGAAATTGAAATCCCCAACTCAGCTAGAACATTCAGCTCCACTGATGAATTTGTCCTCCTTCTTAATCACAGCTTTGATTAAAAAAAACCTAATAGAAACAATGGATTCTGAAGGCACAATGAGATCAAATTCAAATACGGTGAGCTCACTGTATTTGAATTTGGTGTCATTGTGCCTTCAGAATCCAATGTTGTTGTTTTTTTATCTTGAAATAGCTGCGAAGCCCTCATTCAGAAAATAGTCCTGGTGGGTATTGTCTGCTCCAATAATCTGATCCGAAGCTACAATATCAGGAATTGCAACTTTCCTCTATTTTAAAATGTATAACTTTTGACTGTGTCAACCAACAGAAATGTAACTTTTTTAAGAATCCTCAAAGTTGTCCTTTGTTTCTCATAAGCTTATGGGGAGCCTGGAGGAGGTTCACATGCCCCAGAATGGAATAAACCATGTAGGCGTGGTGGCGCTGGCCTCAGCCATGAGACACAACCCAGAGCTTAGAATCCTCAACTTCAATGATAACACCTTCACCAAGAGGGGAACGCTGGCCATGGCGCAGGTGAGGCCGATTCTTTCTCAGGAATTTCCAGGCAGCACCAGTTTAGGTTTTATCACAGCTAATCTTTTTGGTTTTGCAGGCCCTGAGGCACCTCAGGAATGTCCAGGTGATCAACTTTGGTGATTGTCTGGTCCGGTCGGAGGGAGCTATCGCCCTCGCTGCAGTCCTGAGAGAAGGACTGCCCATCCTTAAGGTTAGTTCACAGTTAAAGCTCAGGTCTGCGTGTCCTCCCTCTCTCAGCTCCACTAACGGTGTTTTTTGGCCCCGTCTCTTAGGAGCTCAACCTGTCGTTCGGTGAGATCACAGAGCCGGCCGCAGTTGTGGTGGCTCAGGCCGTCATGGACAAACCTAACATGGAAAGAGTGGATCTTAATGGTATTTTTGCAAACTGTTGAATGTGTGGCAGAGTCCTAAAAATACTTTTTTGTTGATACAGAAAGAGACATTGGAAGCTTTTAAAAGTACAACTATGTGACTAACAGGTAACTGTCTGGGTGAGGAGGGCTGCGAAGCTTTGAGGGAGGTTATGGAGAACATGGAGAAAGCAGATATTCTGGCATCACTCAGGTACAGTAGTCAGAGTCCCACTGCAGCTTCAGCTGTACAAATAGGAAACCCTCAACGCTGTTTTCTTTGACTACACTGCAGCGAGGACGAGGGAGAACCTGATGAAGATGAGGACAGTGATAACGACGACGATGCCAGCGATGAGTCTGAGGAGGAGAACGAGGAGTACTGCGGAACAACGATGGAAGACGCTTTGAAGAGGGAAGACAGTCCCGAAAAACCTGAAATCCATGTAAGGTCACACAAAACCTACAAAACCATCCAATTTAAGACCCGCACAGGTTACATTTTCAATGCCAAGCGGCTTGAAGCATCCGCCCGACTGGATTGTTTTTGCTCAAAAATATTAAAAAGGGAGGCCGTGTCTTTGTTTCCACCCTCAGGCAGAGATCTCGACTTTCCTGCGCTGCCCCTCCACAGAAACGCTCCTTCAACTGACAGAGATGAAGACGGTCCTTCAACAACAGGTGTTTGTTCGTTTTCTTGAACAAATCATTGGAAAGTGTTTCGCTGAAGCCTCGCTGACGCTCTCCTCCGTCCTGAACAGGTTAACGCATCCAAGCCCGACCTGGCTGCCGACCTCCTTTTGACCATCGGCTCCCTGTACGACAATCCAGAGGCCAAGGCAGCAGCTTTAGAAGCATTTGGTGAATGAAATAGTCGCAAAGCTCTCAGAGCAAATAGCGCCGGCGGGGTCTTTGCCACATGTAACCGGTGCCGCTGTGATCCACAGACGCTGTTCTGGAGAAGCTGCTCTCTGGCTCTGCCCTCCGCTCATACGGCTTCCTTTCCTCCCTGCTGGTCATGATGGGACTCCTTAAGGTAACGGGGGCACAGCAGAAACCCCAAACCAGGCCCATGGTATTTCATCTAGAAAGATGGAATCTACCATTTTCAAACAACACTTCTTTAGTTTTTTTTTATCCACCTGATGTCATAAAACCTTCCATCTCTGAGAAGGGTTTTCGCTTAAATGTGTTTTATTCGACATTTAAACACATAGTTGATAATGAAAAATGTATCCCCGGGAGTTTTTTTTTTTTTTTAAAGCCGCCTGTCCATTTTTTGCCACCCCTCAAGTTGTTTAGTGAATGAAATAGGTGGGAAGCTGCTTTTTCTCATTCATGTTTGGTTGTCAGGAGGACACGATAGTTTGTCAGGTTGTAGTTTTGTGTGTGTTCCTTCCACAGTTTTATTGATCCTTTTTTCTTTTATTTTCTTTTCCAGGGGGAGGGGAAAGTGAAAAAGGTGTCTGTGGTCCCAGGCCAACTGTTGTGTTTGGAACATGCCGTCCAGCAGGACTACTTCCTTCAGCACCATGCCTCACTGCTTCACAGCTTCTTTTCCAGGTAGATCTCTCTCTCTCTTCTTTTTCTTTAGGTAATTTGTTTTCCTGTTTAAAACGGGTGAGCTGTCGGGGGAAATTATTTCTAAAAACCTTTTCGGCTCGCACATTCTCCAGAAACGGCGAAGCACTGAAGTCGTGCAGCAGTGCCACAGAGAAGCTGAGTTCCGCTCTGGAGAAAAGATACCACAAGCAACTCTGACCCAGTCAACAAACATTTCAACGCAAGGACACACACACTGGACTTTATTTGTTTGTTTGTTTTTCCCCCTTTTTATCATCCAAACCAGCAGGGATGCTTTCCACTAAAAGACAGGACAAGTACTGCCAGTGTCTGCTTCTTACTTGTTTTTTTGGTTGTTTTTTTTAAATGAAGAGATGACAATGACTGCCTAGAATTTCACATCTTTATTTTTCTACTTTAGCTTGTGATTTATATTTTTGTAACTATTACACAAATGTAAAAAATGTAGGGCTGCACATCCTTTTTTAGCCACAACTTTTTTAATGCATTTTATTAACTACAAAAAAAAAAAAAACATACATGTCAATCAGGGAACTTTTGAAATGTGCAGCAACATAAAATACAGCCACGGCTAATTTTATTGTCAGGGAACTTTGGTTTAGCAATGTCGACACTGAAGAGCGGTGCGGAAATCACCAAAAGTTCTTATGAAAAGTTATTTGAAGGGAATGTTAAGCTTCTCAAGGTCAGAATCCTTTTTATCCTTCCTTTCTAAAAGTTTGGATTATCCACAATCAAACCATGCTCGCCTACTTTTATTACCTCCCATCTTTTTATGTAACGGAGAGTTAAAGGGATGACAATGGGACTTCTTTTCATGCCATGTACTGCTGTGAATAACGAGAGAGCTGCTATAAAGGTGCACTTACTCAGTCAGGATCATGTTTGCTGAGCTGGTATTTTTCACATGTACTGAATCTTCTGTCTTAAATATAAACAATATCACAAACTGTAGTCTGTGTGTCTGTCTATAACAGCACGATGTGCCTCTTGGTCTCTGGTCTGTCATAAGATTTCTAGTGAATGTTCTCAGTGGTAATTAGCTCTGGTTTTGATTGGACAAAGTCCTCTGATAAAGGAAAAGGAACATGGCACTAAAGGGAAAACGACTTTTCTCCTCGGGGTGAGCCGTTTCCTTCACGGGAGGCGTGCAGACGGGGAGAGCCAGGGAGGTGGAGGTGACAGCCCCCCAAAGAGGGAGCTGTTCCGTGTCCAGAGTTTGTTTTGGATGAGAGCAACGGGGCCAGTAAGGACGCGCAGCTGGACGGAACCACAGCCGAACCACGGTGAGTCTGCGCAACAAATCGGCTCCATCTAGGACAGAACCGCGCTTCTGGGTTTTAATCTCACGGGTGTATTGGTTGGGGATGTTAATAGAGCTCAGTTATCCTATGTCACTGCGTCTTTTTTCCCATTTTGTGCGTTTTTCTCGTGAATACAGTGGCGATGCGCACCGCATACTATACAATGTTATGCGCAATATGTTAGGCGATATAAAATTTGATTTAGTTCAATTGTTGCTGTAATGCAGACGAATATAGGCTTCGCACCTTCTCCAGTCAGGTCAGGGTTTTTGTTTTTTCTCTGAAGGAACGCGTTCTGGCACACCGGGCTGGGATAGACACTGTGCGTCTTTGTGCGCGGCGGCTGCTCTGCGGTTTGGATAGTTGATCCCCAGGAGAACTCACACAAACAGTCCGGCCGGAGGAAATTCCTCGGTCTCTAGTTTCTCGGCCCCTTGCTTTGTCTACGGGGTCTTAAACCAATTTATGCTGCTCCCGTTGCCATTTCAGGGGACTTTTCTATGTAATTCATTTCAATATTTTTGGAGAGGTCAAAGCTTGTCATCGCTGCACAAATCAACACTTCATGGCGCTGTTAAGCTTTTCATGTCCATTCCCGAGGATCAAGACTGTTGATCCTACGGGAATGTGGTTTTAAGGGATTCCAGTGAAGACTAGAGCGGAACTAGAGCTGGACTTGATGACCCTTTTTATTGTCAAATAAATCGCTTAAAAATGGTATGAACCTGACACACATGTTTTTCCCCCCTCAGAGTTAGACCTTCGATGTGTCTGTAGCTTACAGAATATAAATTATCCCATTATGGGCAGTTTTTCAAAAAAATTAAATAAGTAAATAAAATAAATGCTCTTTTAAATAATGAATAAGGCATGATTTGATCTTGGGTTTTGATGAAATTGCTTATTGAATGTAAAATGGAACAGTAAAAAAGCTTTACAAGTTTCTTTAAATGCATGCTGAGCAAAATTGTTAATGTAATATGGTCTTAGCTTACTGACATTGCTAATGTTAAAAAAACATTAGTAATTAGTAGCATCTTAGTAAAATATGATTATATGAGAGAAACTGTTTCTGTACACAAAGGCACAGTTGAGTAAACAGGTCAAATGAAAATAATTCTAAACAATGTTCTTGCCAGAATAAGTTTTCTCCACTTTGCCGTCTTCCGCTGACGTTTTTAAGCCTTTGTTCTTTAGCTCTGCTTTTTCCAAATGAACTGCAGATCAGTCAGAGGTCTTGTGGGTGACAAAACACCTTGGGGGGAATGAGCAACATAGAGATATCTAAAGAAATCAATTTCCACGTATTCTCACTATTTTCTTGGGGTAGTCCTGCACACATCTGATTCTTAGTTGTTCCAAGCAACCCAGGCTCCCTTCACATGATTCTGGTGAGACTGGTCTTCAATTAAGAATGTCCGATAATTATGTTTCAATGCTCCTCTTTCTATTTTCTGAAGTGTATACTGGTGAATTTTGCATTTGTGGTCAATCTCAAGTTCATTTGACCTCATCTTCTGGGTTTGCTGTTTAAACCATTCAAGATAGCAATCAAGAAACAATGTAAAACACAAAATGTTCACATATCGAATCCTTAGCCTGCCCCCCATTTTGAATGTCAGTTGAATGTGAATTCAGTCAATTTAGACAAAGAAGGTTTTGGATTTAAGGGGATAGCAAGAGTTTGTTTATGAAAATCAACAGGGGAATTGGAAAAGAGTGAGAACATCCCTTAAAAAGCACAGTATGCAGCGCACACTTTGTGCACATTAATCAAAACAGAAGCCACGTTGTGGCGCGGAAGACTGCTTAATACAGAAGACTGTTATTTTTCCACCTCAGATGCTGCTGCTCTCCGTGCTGCTCCTCTGCATGCCTGCAGCTCGCGCGGCCAAGTGTCCACAGCAGTGCGTCTGTGACCAGATCCAGCTCACCGTGGCCTGCGTCAACAAGAACCTGACCCAAGTGCCTCCCACTGTGGATGAGGTGATCTGTCCATTCACAACCCGTCACTTCCACCAAGCCCGAGCTTGAATGATTATTCCATTGGTATTACACAATTAAGGCCCCTTGGCTCAAACTCCTGTGTTATATTTGGTATTGTCCTCTGTCTGATAAGTGACTTTTCTTCATAGATCACAGTGAAGCTGGATCTTCGAGGAAATGACATTCAGGAGATTCCCACCGGGGCTTTCAAACACACTCCCTATTTGACGCACCTGTCGCTGCAGAGGTCGAACATCGGCAGAGTGAAGGAGGGGGCCTTCCGCAGCCTCGGCCGCCTCGTCTTCCTCAACCTGGCAAACAACAAAATTGATATCCTCTACCAGGTGGCCGCAAACCCCCAGACGCAAACAGCCGCAACCAGCGGCCTGTCGCCGTCCACGTGCGCTTTTTTTTTCAGCATGGGCTTTTTCTTTTCAAATCCAGGAGTCGTTCAATGGCCTGTCATCGCTGAAGCAGCTCATCATTGACCACAATCGCGTGGAAGAGATCCAGCCCGGGGCCTTCTCCCAACTGGGCTTCCTCAACCTCCTCTCCATCACGCACAACCAGCTGGTCTACATCCCCAACATGGCTTTCCAGGTACAGAAGCACAGAAACGCATAAGTTCGGTCAAATGAAATAAAAAAAATACCTTGTGTGGTTTGAACCTTACCAGAACATGGAACATTTCTCTTCTTTCAGGGTTTACAGAACATCAAGTGGCTTCGCCTTAGTCATAACTCCCTAAACTACCTGGACATTGAGGCCTTTGCCGGTCTGTTCACGCTCACCAGACTCAGTCTGGACCACAACGAGTTGCAGTTCTTCCCCACTGAAACTATGACGAGGTGAGACCAGTCTGCAAACTCGGCACTCTGCCTTGAGGGTCTTCTCTATCGCTGACATTGAAGTTATTTTTTCAAATTTTCTTTACTTGTTGACTGCTGACTTCTTAAACCGTTCATGTTAGCTCTTTGATGATTCTTGTTATAGAGCAACAGGAACTGAACTTTACCACTGACTTTAAATGAACCATTAACCAGTAACAGACACAGGATCATTTGTATTTTTTTTCTCTTGGCTGTCAATTTAACATTATGTCAAACAACTAGCAGTGCCTCTAAACTCTCAGTAAGAGAATGACAAGAGTGAGAAGCAAGTTTGCAGGACAATGTCATGTCAAGCTATTGTTTATTTACTCTACTGATGGTTGCACTTTTAGATCTTTAGAATGTAAAGCGTGTTTTAAATAAAATTAATTATTATGTTTGTCATATAAAGAGAAGCGGGTTTCTGTCTTCTTCCTCTTTAAACAGGACACCCACAATTCCAGCACTTTAATGCACAGGTTTGGTGGATTTGCAGTAAAGAAGATATTGATCACTGAAAAAAGCATAAAAAGCAATAATGGATTCAAAGAAATTGAGCTAAAGGTTTCTTGGCTGAAACAAGGGTTTACGTTTAAAAACTGCAGCTATCCAAAACTTAGTGCCAAAAAAAAAGGAAAGTAGTGCTTCATATTTAATCTTTTAAATAAAGAAAGATCTGTATCTGAAAGGAGGGTAGAATCTCAAAATAAAAGTTGGGAAAGTAAGATATGCTGAAGGTTTTTGAATGGAGAAATTGAATTAAGTGACAAGGTATGACACTTTCTGTGTTCATTTTGCAAATGTAAATTCCAACAGTAATGCATTAGTGACATGCCTTTTTTTCTCCTCGCGTCTTCATTCACATTTTCAGACTGTCAAGCGTGACTCGTCTCGATCTCAGCTATAACCCCATGACATATCTGGGAGAAGATGCCGTTTCCATGGCCAAACTCAGCCACCTGTTCCTGGACCACATGTCCCTGCAGGATCTGGCCAACACAGCTGTATCTAAATGTCCCAACTTGGTCCTCCTGGACATCAGCCATAACCAGCTGCGTGTCATTCAGCCCTTTTCTGGAGGCACACCCAAGCTGGCCCGCCTGAACATCGCCGGAAACCCCATTTACTGCAACTGCTACCTGCGTCCGCTCAGGTACAGAGGACATTTTACCGAATGTGCTTTCAGTGAAACACGGAGGAGTTTTTTTATTCAACCATCTCTCTCATAGAGAGTGGACGATTCGCCGAAAGGTGAAGCTGATAGGTACGTGTGGAGGGCCAGCGCATCTCTCAGAAGAGACCCTGGAGGCCGTGTACCCCGCAGAACTGCGCTGTCAAAGCCAGGAGGCCATGCTAAAGGCGGAGTATGAGGAGGCCACCAGGATCCTGCCGCCACCCACCGAGGAGCCGCAGAACAAGATCAAGTGTCCTCTCAACTGTGTCTGCGAGGTGTGTAGCTTGTAGGAGATAGGGGTTTCAAAGGGTTCATATTTTCTTATTTTAAGTGTATTGATATTCATATTATCTACAGAATTGCTTGTTCGTTTTTTTCCCCCCTTCTTCTCAGACTGAATTTAATTTCCTGCTTTTTAAATGCACGGTTTTTGTGGTCTTACCACAGATAGGAGATGGGTTTTCTTGCTGAAATTGTAAAAACAACATTTGCATTTCTAAGGATTTAGTTTAAACCAAGTTATTTAATTATTTTAAGACTTAATACATTTTAAAACACCAACATTTTGACACCGGTATCGATTAAAAGAATAAACTATTTTTCAAATTGATTTGGATTTCTGACAGCAACTGTGAGCACCTACTTCCTATTGTCTTCTTGTTATTTGAAAACATGTTTTTGTTGGAATTCTTTCTTTTCTTTCTTCTATAAACTTGTCTTATGCAAAGCCTTAAAGAAAAGCAGCTGTTGTAAACATCAAAGTTAACATTCACCTTGTCACCTTATGAATGGAACATTTAGATTATGGACAAATATATCTTAATAATTTTTTATCATTCAGTGTTTTCAAGGGTTTGTTGCTACTGCTCTATTTAGCCTAGCAGGCTACTGCTAATAGTTTAAGGAGGCTAAAGTTAGCAAACGCAGTTGCTCTTATCGACACATCTGAGGATTATCTTAAAATATGTCATAAAATTTTTTGCGTTGCACCACACTGAAAGCACTATCTGTTAAAATCTGCTGAAGAAGATTTAGACCTTTCCATTCCCCCCAAAAAAAATTCTTTTTAGAAATGATTACTTTCAGATTTAATTTGGGGGGCGGGGTGGACTTCAGGTACATGGGAGGAATAGTGGCAATCATCTCTGTAACAGAAAAATGGCAGTTATGTGAACTCCATTCCCATTAACGTTAACTTCCGCCTACAGGCAGAGACCAACCACTCGTCGTGTGAAAACCGTGGCCACACAAAAGTGCCCCGAGGTTTCTCTCCTAACACCAGTCTCCTCGATCTGCGTGGCAACCACTTCCATTACCTCCCTAGCAACAGCTTCCCTGGTGTCGCCCAAGTTGTGTCCCTCCATCTGCAGCGCTGCAAGATTGTGGAGGTGGAGGGAGGGGCCTTCAGTGGGATGAAGGGACTGATATACCTGTACCTGTCCGAGAACGACCTCACCTCCCTCAGCCCCGATGCTTTTAAAGGTTCTTTATACATTTTGATCAGGTATGTTATGTTTATATAGTACTGTATCTCTTTTTAAACAGTTGTTTCTGTGAACTGCGCTCACAGGTCTCCCTAAACTGACTTACCTCCACCTTGAGAAGAACCGCTTTGCCGATTTTCCCAAAGGAGCCTTCAGTGTTGTACCCAGTCTGCTGGCACTTCACTTAGAGAACAACACGATCGCCAAGCTGGAACCCGGTATCATGACCGGGTCCGAGGGCCTTAGAGCCCTTTATCTGACAGGAAATGCCATCAAGGATGTTTCCCCAAGAGCTCTGGATAAAGCAAGCGATCTGGATACCTTTCACCTTGGGGGAAACAAGCTAAAAGAAGTACCTACCGAAGCTCTGAGCAAGGCTAGGAACATAAGGGACCTCCGGTTGTCTGATAATCCCATTCGGTGGGTGGGCCCAAATGCTTTTCAGTCTCTGGGAGGGTCACTAAAGGAGCTGTATCTGGATAACATGGGGCTGGAGAAGGTAAGTAGGCTACATACCTGCCAAGCTCTTTTAAAAACATAGGTAGCAAACCCCTTTTTTATCTTATGCTTCACTTCAGATGTCACAGAACTCTCTGGAAGGTCTGGGTCCAGGGCTGAGAAGTCTGTTCTTGGAAGGCAACCGGCTAGAGGAGGTACCCGACCTCCACTCGTTCACTTTTCTGGAGGTCATCAATCTGGCTGAGAACCCTCTCATGTGCGACTGTCCTCTACTGCCACTTCGCTTGTAAGACAACTACTACCATCATATCTTTAATTAGAAAATAACCTGCACTGACTTTCTAAAGCTTGAATACATTCTTTATGCCAGTATGGACACTCTTATAAGAAGAAAATCAGCTTAGTGAAATATACTTATTTTCTATTCTTAGTTTTAAAGCTTGGATAAATCCCTTTCATTCAAGTATTTATTAAAAATACAAGTCTCCTTCCTTTTGATTTAGGTGGATTGAGAGAGTTAACCTTAAGGTACGAGCCACCTGTGCCAATCCTCCTGAATTGAGGGGTCGAAGGGTCAAGGATGTACATGTTTTCAAGGCCTGCCCCGGTGGAGAGAGCCTCCCCGCCCCACCCACTAGCACCCCAAAGCCAGCCAAAGGACCCAAAGTGACCAAAGCCAAACCAACGCACCTAAATGCCAACCTCAAGCTTCGCAAGAGTCCCACCGTTAAAAAACAGGGAGCCATGAAGAGAGCCACCCAAACCACGAAGAAGCGCAGCATGGCCTAAACGGGCTGCCTGTGCTGTGGCATCTGCATGGGTGTTTTCAAATCTGAACTTAAACCTAGACTAAGATTTAGCTTGTTTCAACAATGAATCACACGCCTCTTGCGAGTCAGTTTTGATTCACCACTTGCCGAGACCTTGCTTTCACTGTCACAACAAGGTTGAAGACTTTGTACAGGATGGTTTTCACTCTTTTAATGATGTTCTTGGCCTTTTTTTTAAGTGATTTGCACTTTGTGATACACCCCCAGTGCTCTTATGAATTCTTTACTTTGTTGTTGATGGAGGATCAATCGATATTTTTTTCCTTTCATAAGGTGACCCCTTACTTTTAGATACATAGGGTTAGTAGTCAAGGACTTATCTTAGCCATCCTATTGACCCCCACCATTAAGAGCCCCAAGTCTACCAAAAAGAAAATGACAGGTGGCGCAAAGTAATGGAACTATGTTTGAACTTTTTTTGTCCTAAAGGAAAAACAAAACAAGGAAAAACTAATGCCTTCTTTCTTTGAGGCGCAGGTCTCTTTATGGGTCATTTTGAATGGTCCCCGGATCCAAAGTTGTTTTGATCTACAAAATCATGTATACTATTGTATAGCCTCTTTGACAGGAGGAGCTCCAAATAAACATGTGGCATCATAAAGGAGGTCAAAGTCAGCGTCTCCTTTGGTGTGTAAGCAGATTGGTCCTGACTTCACTCCCACATCAAAATCCAGCGTGCCCCCAGTTGTAAGAATGACAACAGCAAGTCGGTACAATCAGGTCAGTTTGATTATTGACTAAGTCTTTACAACAAAAAAAGAAACATTGGGAAATTGAACATACAAAAAAATATAACTTTGCAAACGTGTGGTGTTAGAAATGTCGCCAATTGGTGGAACCTTACAGGAAGACTGAGGTAGTATTAAAACTAGAGTGGTCCTTATGAAATGTATACAATAATCTTTTAGGCACACCAAAAAGTACCTTTTAGTTTGCAGATCCCTGCACTATCTACTTTAAACGCAATTCTTCAACTGTGATGTTGTCCTTAGCTCTTATTGAACATTTGTCTTTATAGTTAGGGGCAGAGTCAAGTCTTCCCTCTTACTTTTCCAGTTTTGTCTGGCCACACGTTCTTTGCCTCACATCACAAATTCTTCATCTAGCTCCGAGTTGCTCTCCTCCATCTCGTCTATGGTCCCGTCACCTTGAGTGCTTTCCTGTAGGTTTTGGTTTTCATTCTCACTCTGGTCCATGGAGCTTTCCCCAGTAAAGCTCTCATCCAGGGATCCAAACGCTCCACTCTTGTCTTCCGCTGTCGACTGTTCCTTCATCTTTGTGTGCGTCACATTTTTCTGGCTGCTCCCGTCTGGCGACCGGTGTGGTTCCGGATGAACCTGCTGTCCCGCCTCCTCATGTTTGACTTTACCGAGACATACCTTTTGCAGCAGTTCTGGGGGATCAATATCGGTCTCCATCTCTTCCACTTTCACCCGCACAGCGATAACTACAGGAACAAGACTCAGTCAGCCAGTCATCAACATATATACACTGCTGTAATCTGTCAACATGAAATACAAAAACACTAAAACATCTTCTTAAATTTCATATTTACATATGCAAATGAGGTATTGTAGAGAAAAAAACAGTCAATTGACACATTTTCGCAATAAAATGTTCAAATTAGGCAGTGAAAAATATGGACAGAGCCATCTGGACAGGGCCTTAAATATACCTGGAATCAACTGAGTGAAAATTGTTTTACTTAAAAAAAAAAAATGTTTTCTTAAAATTTTTCAATGAAAAATTCGATTCCTTTTTTTTCTTATAATTTGGAGCCATCATTTGTGGTATGATTGATGGAGACAATGACATGAAACATCTAAAAAGCCAGAACAAGAAACACTTAGACCTGAGAGTAGGGTTAAGCTATTGCTGACTGACCAAAAAAGATGATAATCAGTTGCTAAAATTATGTTGTAACTGTAACAACCAAAGAGAAAATGGAGCTCTTTTTCCCAAACCGTCATGCTCTTGTTGTTTTTAATGATTTAGTCCCATGCACCATCAGACATAATCATATCTAGATATATAAAGCACTCGCTTTTGCACCCTACGATCCTGAGGACCGGTCTAAATTTTAAATTTTCTGAGTGCAATTTATGAAATGGAAGCAACTCATCAGCTCATTCAAATGCACTCTGGTCTTTAAGCAGCTGCTTTCCAGCACAACGTGCATCTCAAAGCTCTGCAAGCTTTCCCATGTGTCCCCTATGTGGTGACTGTTGTTCTCTGGTCAGGGAAAATTCAGCTTCGAGTTTCACACATCCTGCGGGGTGCTACTCGAACAGTTTCAGTGACTCGTGTGATGGATGGATTGAATCCAAATGAAAGATTTGGCAACCGGATTTCACACTAAACATGAAAACTGTGTTAAAATGTGAGCTGTTTCTCGATTTCAGACATCTGGAGTGAAAACAAATACTAAAATAAGCCCCATGTGAATATGTTGTGCCAATTTATTTTCTGTCTGACTAAAATGGATGTTAAAAGTGAGCTTAATAACCCCAGAAGCCAACATTTTAGCAGTAAAAGTAGCTTTTTTTTTTTGCTTGTTCCTCGCCAATAATGAGACATTTACAATACCCGAGCGGTTCACTTACTCTCCTCCTCAGGTTCAGTTTTGGGCTGGATGAGTGGCACATCTGGAGGACAGTTTTGAGAACTTTCAGCATTAGCTGCTTCATGCTGATGACCCGCATCGTCTTTTGCTTGGTTCATGGACACCCCCCTTTTGTGGCCTTTTCTTTCTGTAGAAAGCAGAAAAAAATTAATTTAAAAACGCGGCACTATCTGTAAAAAGAAGAAGAATCTAAATGTGGTGAGAGAAAAGTCCGTGTAGATGGCGATAGCAACACGTACTCCTTCCTTTGTACATGAAGGGCTTCGTTTTCTTGATTCGAACCGACTGGTTTACATTTAAATCAACTGGAAGAACGAAAAAAGAAAAGAAAACTATTTATTGTTGCATTAAAGTGGAATTAAAGAAGCTCACAGCACTTGGAGTATTACTATCACAGGTGTTTACCGGGTTCAGGAGGTGGCTGGAGCTGGTAGCCCACGAGCTCGCACCAGCCAATGGGGTAGATGTCTGGGGACTGGTGGTCGATCCATTGGTCGAACTCCTCGTCCCAGCCGTCGAAGTGGATAAGCAGAAGGCGGCCTACGCACCGCACAACAGTGGCTACGCACACCAGTCGTGGCTCCATCAGGTCCACTGCCTCCAGCTTCATGTTCGGGGAGAAGCCGTGACCCGGGTAGTCCTAAAACAACCAAGGAATTGCTGCCTTAATGAGCCGAGAACGTGCGCGGTATGTATTTGGATGCGTTTATCCGCAAAAAGTCTCAGGCAACGAGACTTCACGCTAGATGTGGACTTCCTGTCTTACGGCGTTGAACAGCCTCGCCGGAGCTGCTTTAGCTTTGGTTTCCTCCAGGTAACTTTCCCAGGTGAAGGTCTGAGGATCATAACCTGCAAAGGGCACAGAGCTTAGCTCTGAAGAAGAACCACAAACCGCACGAGGGCTGGAGACCAGCTGTGGTTGGGATCGGTGGATTAAAGAGGATGACTGTCGCCGTTTACCTTGAGGTGCGGTGAGAGGGATGTTGTTCTTTTTGCAGAAATTAATGGGCAGAATGGCGTGAGAAGAGGCATGGTAGCAGAAACTGTCCGAGCCATTGCTCGAGCTGGTACCGTCAATGCCCACCATTAGGTAGCCATCTAACAGCACCTTGGCATTGGAGGAAAAACAGGGATGAAGTCACTGCTCTGCCGGATTTCGCAACACAAAGATACCAAAAATGACTGAGTTACCTTGCGTACTGTGGCAACACAGATATTTCCTAGGTTGAGGGGATCAATGGCCTCCAGCTTCATTCCTTCTTCAAAGAAACACTCCCCCAAGTAGGTGATTCTTAGCTGTAGGTCACAAGAGCAAACCATCACTATATTGTGCACGTGTTACAAGGATTGCTTAGATTTCCAATATTTAGAAAATAAATCTATCCAGAAAAAGTATCAGACTTGTAATGCTACAATGGTGCACCTGTAATCCCCGTTAAGAGTTAGTATGAACCCTATTCAGTATGAAATATTACCTTTTTAAAGAGCGTTTCAGTACTCTGAGCGTTCCCCTTAAAGCTGTAAGATTCTATGTTGTTTGCTGTGGAAAAGAAGAAAAGCCTTCATCAACAGAATAGTGCTCCGAGAATGGGCCGATTAGCCTCCAACCAGAGCAGACAACCGATTTAAAAAAACAAAAACAACAAAATAATCAGTATGTTATACATTAGAACCTCTACGTATAAATTTAATTTGTTACGGGACCTACTTTGTATGTTAAAATATTCGTATGTTGGTTCAAATATTCTCTGTAATTCGTTCCATAGCCCAAAAACCTATGATAACTCCTTAATGAATACTGCAGATAATGAAACGTAGCAATAAAACAAATGCATTACATAAGAGAGATGTAAAAATAAATAAATTATAAAGAAATTATCAATAAAAGGGGTTTTCGTTGGCACTGAGAAGGTAGAGGTAGTGATTTTCTTTCAACAATACCGATGAATGAGATTAGAAGAAATAGCATCAGGAAAGTGCTTTAGACAACCCTTGTTACTAAATAAGTGGAAGCAGAGTGTTCACATTCAATTCAGTCTTTCATTCTCTCGTTTCCTCAGCGCAGACCCTGTTTTCAAACCTACCGGATGCTTTGTTGGCATGGCCCACTTTGCTGGACCAGCCTACCGGATGCAGAAGGGGACTCAACGAGTGGCACCAGAAGTCGGCCACCACATTCTCTGGGGCGTCGCTTTGGTCCATGTACACCAGCCGTAGGCGGCCGCCGACAACGTTGTCTACGATGGCCATGCGGGTCTGGCTTACGTGTTTGGGATCTACCACCTCCAAACGCATGCCCACTTTGAAAGGGGTCTTCATGCTATCTGCCAGCTGGGAGAGAGAAAACAGGAGGGGGGGTTGCAAAGTGAACTACTGTAGGTGCTGTGCGTTTGTTAACTTTGCTTAATGTAGTATCCGCTTCACCCATCACCTCCAACTGAATCTCTCAAAAACTGAACTTCTTGTTTTCCCAGCCAAACCAACCATACACCACAATATTCACATCCAGATTGGATCCCTGTGTCTGACTCCATCATAGGTAACAAGAAACTTGGGTGTCAGGATTGATGACTAGCTGACCTTAAATATCATGTTACCTCCGTCTCAATCTTGTCCCTTCAAACTACTAAACATAAGAAAAATCCGGCCATACCTGACCCAACATGCTCCTGGTGCAGTCTATGGTTATATCCCACCTTGACTATTGTAACGCACAGCTGACTAGTTTCCCAGCCTGTACAGTAAAACCGTTATAAATGATCCAGAACGAGGCGGCTTGTCTGGTCTTCAATCAGCCCAAAAAGTCTCACATCTGTTCACTGAGCGTCACTGGTTACCCCTCGCCGCCCGCATCAAATTCAAATCCCTGATGCTAGCCTACAAAGTGCTTAAGGATACGGCTCCCGTCTACTTGAACCCTCTTGAAAAGGCTTATGTCACAACTCGGTCCCACCGGTCATCAATGGATTGAGGTCTATCAGTGCCTACAACACCCTTCAGACAATCCAGACTGTTTTCATGTGTTGTTCCACGATGGTGGAATGACCTACCAAGCGCTACAAGAACAGCAGCGTCCCTGTCTATCTTCAGGAAACTCTTAAAGACCAACCTCTTGGAAGAACATCTCTTATCCTAACTCTTACTCATACCTCTATACCCCCTCTACTACTCTTTCTGCACTTCCCTTTCTCTCTTTGCTGTCACCACTGATTCTGACTAGGGATTTTCCTCTAGAGATCTCATTGTCATATTGATGATAACTGTAACATTGTGTCTACTTTAAGTCACTTTGGATAAAAGCGTCTGCTTTAAACAAAAATGGATATGATATGGATATGATAGAGGATTTAACTAATTTTACCTTCAGGTAGAAGTCAACAGGCACAGTGGAGGCCCCCACAAGCTTTTTCATCAGGTAATCCTTCCAGTCCGGGACATCCTGCACATCTTCAGACACATTATCAGTATTCATAAGATAATATGTACATTTATTATACATATATATGTGTGTGTTGAGGTTTCAGCGGTGCTTCTCACCTTGTGGAGGCACCAGCAGCTTGCTTGTCATGGTGCACCACCCGATGGGGTTCAGCTCCCCCGAAACGAGGCTACACCAGAAATCGTGGCTGCCGTCGTTCTCAAAGCCTTCGTATCTCAGGAGAGCTTTGTATCCTGCGGACAAAAAGCTCCAGTGTCTCCTATCAATGTTGTTTTGCATATCAACTTTAAGTGCAAGCCTCGCTATTCCCGAGGCGCCTTCATTGTGGCATCCGGCCTGGCCCACAGGTGACGGTGTCAGCTGCTCGTGAGTGGCACAAATGGATTGCGATTTAAATAAATAAGAAAACATCAGTAAATGCACACACCAGCCACCTGGACGACAGTAGCAATCCAGTAGACTTTGCTGGGGATGACTGCGTTTGTGTTGAGGACCTCCACCTTCATCCCGATAGTGATGTCGTCCCAGTGGTCGTACAGTGGAGCCTGAAGAGGGAAAGGCTTTCATCATTGTGTCAAGTGCTTCAACAGCTACACCATTTCCAGAAATTAACACTTGGAGCACATTTTTCCTGAGTCGAGTCATTCCTCGTCGATCTGATGGTTCTACGCCGCAATCAGGACTTACGTGTGCGAAGCAGGAGACCGATGCGCCCAAAGACGCCTCCTTGTTCAAGTAGCTGCCCCAGTCGAAAGCCGCGGGGGCTGCAAGAGAGGAGCGTTTATACTTCAGCTGAGAACTTCTAGATTTTAAAGTGTCAAAGAAGCCACGGTAGTTTACAACTGACTGATAAAACTAGCCTAAAGACGTTTTGTAGCTGCTCTAATAACAAATATTAGAGGTAAAAGCAAGTTTACACCAAAAGGTGGCAACATTTTTGTCCAGAGAATCTGCAGTGTGTTGTATAGTATCTTTGGAACATTACACGTATTTTCTCAGAGATAGTGTGTATTTGTTTCTTTGTTTTTACGTGAGATACCTACAAGGGCAGCAAACGTAGAAATAAAATTTTAACTTAGTAAATTTGTCATGGATTTATTGCTTTACTGAAGGTCATTTCTACCCTTGTTCTGGTAAAGGAGCATATGTGTGGGGTACACACCTTTTCCATCTACTTCTGTTGGGCCCGCAGTGACTTTGTTCACCTTTGTCAGCACGGTGGCTTTTTTTGAAGGAGGCCTTCCCTGAAGAGAGAAATCAGCAACAACTCAATGATAGATAAAATGGATAAACGCATAGATAAAATTGTATGGTCATAGATATGTGAGGTTATTAGCCAGGTGTTTTATCACACAGTATCCAGGTAAAGAAATAGACATAGATCAAGGGGTGGTTTTTCTGTTGTTCTTAATTTTCTTTCTTAATAAAACACAAGAACCTAACAAGCTGTTATTGAAATTGTGTTATTTAGTCACAAAATTAAAGCCTAAGATGGCTTGTGTGTGTCACTTTGAGTGAGATTGTCTCCTTTTTATTGAACTGATCAGCTCAGAGGAAAGAGCAGTCACTTGTTAATAGAGAGGGCAGTGGTTCTATTACAGGGTTACGTGTGTCAGTGTCCTTGGGCAACAGATAATGAACCCCAAGCTACCTAAATGCACCTGTAACCTGTATCTTTTCAAGTTTGGATTGATGCATTTGCGAAATGCATAAATATAAAAGCATAATTCTTCATTTTCCCCTCAACATTCACACACTGACAACGACCTGAGGACTTCTTTAACTAATCTTTATCATTATTTACTTGACAGAAAACAGATGCGGCTAATGCCAGATGGAAAAGCTGGGAAAAAAAATCAGGGAAAACAAAACACTTTTTAGGAAAGCTTTCATCCATGCACTTATAATGGCCCTCCAGGAAATTGTTTTTTAATTAGTGCTTAGAAATATACAATACAAAATTGTGTATCTTCACCCAACACAAGCCGAGTTGAACAGTGATTCAGAATTGCTCCTCTCCACCCAACTACCATATTCTTTACTTAAATGCCTCTCAGCATTATTAAAATTGAACCACAGCTGAAATCAGAGATTACATAAAGTAAACTGATGCAATTAGTTGTTCAAACCTGCAGACGAGCCAGTATGGAACTCCTCTTCGAGTTTGATGAGTAAGAGCGTGAGCAGGACGTACTGCAGAAACGCTTTGTCCTCGAAAAGAAATTGTTCGGACTGCCCGTTGCCCCGCACATCTCACAAACAGCTGGAAGGAAAATAAACAGAGCAATGGGATAAGCTGTATTTCTGGTGACGCTATAAAAAAGTGTTGAAAAGACATATGGTTCGATCTTTTTCTTCATTGTAAATTTTTTTTTAACTTTGTTTGCTTACTTTAGCATTTAAAAACTTGAATACACGCACAGTTGTGTTCTAACAATCGGCTCCCCACCTGGTCGCTCATCTGAGCCTTTTCCTTTAGGCTTCCGACCTTTTTGTGTGAGATGTTCTTCTTCCCGTGCCATTTCATTGTTTTCCCCCTATTTAAAAAATAAATATAATATAAAGTGTGCTCCTTTCCCGTCTACAGCAACGTCCATCTCTGTTTACTCACACAAATATTTCTCACGGCTGATTCAGCTGTAAAGCTCTGGTGTTGGATGGCGGGCAGACAGGTTCTACAGCCCGCTCCGCTGCAGAAGGAACAGTGAGGACGGACAAAAATTGTTGGGGCAGCCCCCGGCCTCAGCTTCAGAGCAGCTGTAGGCGGCCTGGTCTCAAAGTACTCCTTGCCAAAATGTTCGCTACAGAGGTGAGAGGTGGTTGTAGCAACCCACTTGGTCCGCGTTCGCTGGACCTGCTTTTCCCATTTCCGAAATTCGGCTGGGTCTTTTGGGAATCTAAACAGCGTTACACCATCCTCTGGTGTTTTACCACATCCGTAAGCCACACAGTGGTAGGGCATCTTAACAGAAGGACTGTTGATTCCTTGAAGCTTAATGCATGGCCTATCTCAAGTGGGTCCTTTATGTTTTCAGAAGTAAGGTGTCTCCTTTGAGGTAAACAAAGGAAAGAAAAAATGTGTGTTAAAATAAGTACACATTTTGACGTATAAAACAATTTCACCTATATTTATAGACAGGAGATTGGGGAAACCTATAGTAAAATTTTATGACTACTAGTACACATATACCTTTTCTTTTGCTCCCCAGCATAAGATGAGAAACCTGAATTCAACTTTGATAATTAAATAACCTTCTAAACAACAAGAGACAAAAAGACCAGCTAACAAAATTAAAACAGCTGTCAATAAAGTGGGCATATATATAAGTTGTCATCAGTGAGTCTAACCACATGCTATTTCACATGCAGGGTAAACGCTAAGAGTTTGAGAGGGAAATTTGTCCAAATACAAAGTTGATATTTGCTCGCAATTATGGTAAAGGACTACTTACCGAGTGTTATAATATTTCCAGAATTAGCTAAATGTTTCACACAAGCTCAAGTGTTAATATATGGGGTGAGAAGAGCCAACTTCTTCGTAGCACCCTGGTACTGTTATGGGTTGTGAGGTCGCCTTAATTTGACGTCATCAACATCCTTCTTCTATTTGAAGACAACTATAGAATTACCGTATTACTGCCATCTACTGGTATGAAAACTGTGGGTAAATCTAAGTTCAGGGCTTTCCTTGATGAAATGTTAAAATTTGGGACCCTAAATTCTTGGCACAGAATGAATTCAATACTCACCCAGGGATTGTTTCCAGTATTTTATGAATTATACTACCCATATAATTTGCTCGCCAGACCACGACTGCAAACATTTTAAATGTGTTAAGGTCTTCCCCCCAAAAAGTGGAAATCCACCTAAAATCTGTCATTCATTATTGAGAATTTGAGGAGTTCCATTTAAACATAAAACTGTTCATCCTTTTAGAAATATTAAGATACATGAGCTACACCACTGATTTACACTGCACCTCTATCATGTCATTTTTATATATTTATATTTATATTATGCATTTAGATGCTTTTATCAGAAGTGACTTAGATGGGAACAGTGAGAATTAACAATCCATAATATTGTATAATATAAAACGATTTACAATAAACACACAATATCAAGATGTAGCGTATGATAAACAGTTAGTGGGTTAGCTTGTAATGAAATGAGGTAAACCTTGAAAAGCAGTCTGAGCTCAAAGAGGCATGCCGCTGCCTTGGAAGCACACTGTGGCTCCATTCAACCTGAGAAAGAAACAGTGATAAATAATTAATTTTGACGGTGTTGTTGGGCTGTGATTTGCTTCGTGAGGAAGAGCAGCATCTGTTTTAAAAAGTTTGAGTTGGAGTTCATGTTCTCTCATCCAGTTGACTATTGCCAAGACAGTCTGAGATTTGAACAGAAACCAGTGGAAATGACAGACCCACTTGGGTATAATCTCTGTGTAAGTTGTACAAGAGACTGCGTGATGACTGTGTGGTGTGCATTACAAAGGGAAAGGCCCCTCTGAGCCTCGGGAGACCCCCGTGTTGAGATAGACAGATACTGATGTTCTGTTTTTATACAAACTCTTTAAAATAAGATAAGTAGAAAAATGAAAAGGTAAATTGTAATAAAAAAAAGTAAAAGAATAAATAAAAGGGAAGTGGCAATGGTGAGTATTCGACAAGGACTGGGAGACACTTAAGAGCTTTAAACAAAGCAGGGTGATTATTCAGAGGTAAAATTTGAGGGCAAAGAGCAAGAGTGAAGGGAGTTGAGCTGATGACTTTACTGGAGTGGAACTTCGGATGTGAACAGGAACTACATATAAAACAGTGACCAGAAAAAGGGAACCAAACTTAGAGCAAATAAAAACCAAAAGAATGTTAAACCAAGAAAAATGTTAGAAACTGAAAGAAAAAAATCACTAAACGAACCACAGATCATAAAACACAGAAGTCTACAAACCAGAATTTGACAAAATAACCCAGAACTCACAGCACTGCGGCTTTAGTTGCAAAAATCGTTCTACCCCTGTCTTGTAACCAGCTCTCATGAGGCACACCCAAGCAATTAAAGATCAAATAATTACCTAAATTCATCAGACTCAACAGACTCACACACAAAGCTTGGGCAGGTTGGAGACATATGGTGACGTCAGCTGTTTGCAGGAGATTTTGTGAGCCTGGCCTTTGCGGTATAACTGTGCACTTGAGGTTTATCTAAGTTAAATAAACCAGCATGGCGGGTTCGGCACTTTGGAACGGCAGATTCCCATCTTATTTACACATATCTGAAGATAGGGATATGTTAACCGTGAGATTGTGAGGCATCAGTTACCACTGTAGAGCATCCTGCTTATGGTGTCTGCAAAGCAGCTGCATGTGAACAGTAAAAATCGCATTTATGGTGATGGTTGCATAAAAAAGAACGTATTTAGTTCCTAAACGTGGTCATTTTTTTATTGACATGTTTTTATTTCTAGCCCCGATCAAGTGTAATGATCGGTGGAGATTGTAATATGAGAACAATGCATTTAGATCCAATCAGGATGGAATTTTGTCAATATTACTTTATTGTTATTACCAATGTCCAACCGCTGTTTTGGCAAGGTGTTGTTGTGTCATTAACTGAACAGTAAATGTCCAGTAATTGTGTTATTAAATAAAATGGGGGGGGGGGGGCAATTTCAAGCATTAGTCTTATGCTCACTTTGTGAAAAGTGCTTGAGTTGTATAATAATTGAAAACATACTTAGTGGCACTGATATCTTTACTTTTACTGGAGCATTCCAGTATATTTGTGTCACCAAAAATGTCTTTAGTGTTACTTTACGCAATGCTGAGGGTCATTGTCATGCAGAAGGATGCACCATTGTGCCAACCTGAATTTTGGGGAATATTATAGCAGGATCTCCTTAAGAGATTACGGGACAGAAGATAAATGTGGCCATAGGATGATGCTGGCACCAACATGCTTCACAAAGCCACTTTGTGTTTTGAAGTCTGGTTGTGTCGGTTCCATATTTCCCTATATGGTTAGAAATGTCAGTTTTGTTAAGTTTTTCTGCAGGTCTATTTTCCACCTTTGAAGAATCGCCTGGAGGCCTTCTGTCATAAGTCACACTGCGATCAACTCCTCGCTTGCTTATTAACCTTTGCATTTTTGAGCGAACATTTTATTTTCATATTAATAACATCTCATGATTCCTCAGTAGTATACATAACAACATAGTTTCTCATTTAAACATCGACGACGTTCTAATATGTTGTGCATTTAATTTGATCATATAGGAAATTAGAGCACAGATTGAGGAGAGAAAGGAATGTAATCAAAGAAAAACAAAAAAATGTAAACAAAATACAAATGAACGCCAGCTCTAAATACAGTAAATATTAAATGTAAAAAAGAGATGATCCCTTAACTTTATTTATTAGGATTTATAAAATAAATGCAATAAACCTTAACAGACCATAAACTTGGACAAATAAAACATCCAATAAACAAGAAACACATGAGACATTTAATTATCATTATTCATTTAGCTGAAAACTAAGTCAACATGGTGACGCATTTAATGAAAAGCTAAGCACATCACATGATACAATGTCCTGTCAATTCACTTTTAGGAGCAATATCATGAATGAATCCTTTTTCTTTACATTGATTTAGGCTAATTCCTTAACTATGTAGTTCAGTTCATTGAGATGATAGACAGCAGTTCAGTCTCATGGATGTCTGGCCTTTGACAATCTTATTTCTAGAATTTTCTTTCCGGTATTATTTTTTCATTATGCCAGCGTGATTGGGTTCATTAGTATGACCAAAACTGTATGGAACTTCAAACTTTCAAACCCTCTCAAAAAACCACGAACAATGAAACTTCCTATTTTTCCCGTTACACCCCTTTTTCACCCTACAGTCCAAATTGATGTTGATGACATTGTTTTACATAAAAAGAAGATAACTAACAGTTCATGAATATCTTTAGACCAATTACTATTATTCGTTATAAATATTATTATCAATCATTCAATATTAATATTTTAAATTATTATAAATAATTTAATATTAATATTGTATATTGTTGTATATAATCATTTAATATTGATATTATATATTATTGTATAATATTATTACTTTAGGATACTTTATGATATTAGGATAATATTATATAATATTTTTAATCTTACCTATTATATTATCCTCACATATATATTTATTACCCTATTATAGCTGCAATTTTTGTAAAGGTATGTCATCCATCCATCTGCTTATTCTCTAATGGGGTCGTGGGGGGAACTGGAGCCTATCCCAGTGGTCAATGGGCAAGAGGCTGGGTCACCCTGGACAGTCGCCAGTCCATCGCAGGGCCACACTGAGACACACAAGGACAAACAAGCACACACACTCACAGGGGCAATTTGGAATGTCCAGTAAACCTAACATGCAGGTTTTTGGACGGTGGGAGAAAGCCGGAGAACCTGGAGTCCTGGGTCCCCCGGGGACTCGAACCCAGAACCCTCTTGCTGTGAGTCAATGGTGCTAACCACCACACCACACCACTGCCCTGCCCTTAAAGGTATGTCAATATGAACTCATTTTTTCAAATAAAAGCCGATTTTGGTCGCACATGAGTTGTGCTCGTGTACAGCAATTTGAGGTCATGTCACATATTCACTGTTAAGTTGAGGTATGTGCTTCAATTCAACCATTCCAACACATTTAAACAAAGCCCTTTAACTACGTTGTTTCTGTAGTATGCCTAAGGTCATTGTGCTATGGAAAGAAAACAACTGTCCTAGTCTCAAATCTCTGACTTGTCCTCATATTTAATCCAGTGTTTCATCGATCATTGTCAGTTTCCGAGTCACTGTTCCTAAAAAGCATCCCCATAGCATGACAAACTCACCACCATGCTTCACTACGGGTGATGAGATTGAGTGGGTTTGTGTGAGGCAGCATCAGTCTCAATGGCCATCTGCTAAGATACCATCTCCCTTATCGCTTTTGGCGGACTCTTTTCAAAGTGACGACTTTTTCTGGCCGCCTAAACTTGCAGCACAGTGCATGACGGTGACCCTGCAGAGCTATATGACAGTCTCCACTGACAGGCTTTCCGCTTCCTTCGGTGTTACTGCTTAGGGCCTTTTTGCATCTCGGTCCTTTCGCAGAATGCCCAGGTCTTGTGGCTGCCAAACAAGCTCATGTCATCACTTCTCCACCACCGTGCATTGACCAAGGCGTGCACGAAATACGCTACACTGTTTTCACCAAACATGGTGCCGTGCATAAGAACCCAACTATAGAACGGTTAAGGGAAATAAAAACTCTTTGGATTTACTCAATCACAGATTTTCTCTGAGGAATTAGTGCAAAACACTATTAATAATTGCACTGGTAGGTGTGGAGCACATTATTCAGCATCTGTTTGGAAACCAATGCCTACAAGACAGGGTGGTTGGTGGTTGAACAATATGTTCTTGGAGTTTGAGTCAATGGAAATAGCTTTTTAGACAGATTGCATCTTCCTTCCAAATGGAGCAACCTCCCAGGGCTTGTTAAGTCTCACTTTCATGAAAGGCTCAATCATCTTTAACTGAAGTGATGTTTTAACAGAAAAGTTTCACCTTTTTCTTTCAAGTAAGTCGTGCCTGTAAATCCCTCTGGGTCTTATCCATATCAAATAACTTTTCCGATTTTCTCAAGAGCTCCAGAATTTTTTAGATTAAAAAGGTTAAATAAAAAAGTCTTCTAGCATAAAAGATAACTGTTGAATACACTGCCAATTCAGTTCTTACAAGTGAACTTCACAAACAGGGGAAGACGAAACTTTGGATTTCTGCGTTCCGAAATATCCCCATATAACGCTTTTCTATCCATATGTTCTGCAATACGGGTGTGTGAGGCAACAAACATACTTCGTCCGCCACTGCCATTGCATATTTGACAGTTTTATTTTCTCTTTGCATCCACTCATCCTCACCCGCTGCCACCCGCAGCACCGCCACTTCGCAGGCAAACAAGCCTTTTCTGCCGACATTATTCATCCGGACTCCGCTGGAAAGGAGGCTGAAACGACGGATGCCACCATGGAGGCGATACCCGGGAACGGCTTATTTACACCCGAAGCGGCCCTTTAACTTTAGAGGGAAGCCGATGCGTGTGTCTCCCTCATCACTTTTACCGACCCCCTCCTCCTCCGCTGGCAGAAATTTATAAAGAACAAAAAATCCGACGAGGGAGGGAGGAGGGGGGTTGATATACGCCGAGGCTGAAATCGAGAGGCGAACCCAGGGAAAGAGGAGTAATTTGTACTCGGGACTTTCCCCCTCTTAGTACCCCAAAAGGAGGGGGAAAAGTCGCAGTGTTGGAAACGAAGAGGAATGAGCTTCTAAGGGCGTGAAAACGTCTGCAACTGTGGATACTTTATATATTTTTATTTCGAAAAAATATGGCCGAGAACGTTCTGGACTCTGGCCCGCCTTCAGCCAAAAGGCCTAAACTCTCCTCTCCGGCACTTTCCGCCTCCGCCAGCGATGGAAATGGTACGTTTGGAGTCATGATATAATTTGTTAAGATTTTATCTGTCAATTCCGTCCTTATCGGCGGTTTATGTGCCGGTAAGAGAGGGGAAAGGCTGGGTTAATATTCTGTTTTTGTCGTAGCTTGCTAACGTTAGCTTGCTAGGAGTGTGTGTGTCGGACGTGACGAAGGGCTCAGGTGCTAGCTCACATGCTAACAACCGTTTCTGCCGGAGGTAGCTGTTAGCTAACTGTATGCTAACAGACAGTCTGCGAATCCGCAACTGACGGTCCCGTGGTTTAATGGCTACTTTTGCCGGATTGATTATAACTCAATCCCAAGACAACTTGGTATAAAGTTTCTGGTGCTTAATAGCTTCGCGGTTCTGACGTGCATCTACAGATACTGAAATAATTCCTAAGAGTTTTTAAGGCTACCAACGTCTTTAAGCACCTTGTTTTGGCCCCTCATCAAACTAACGTGAGCTGTCGTTGGTCATGTTAACGTTTACCACTGTAGAGATTTCGGACTGTGGTGCTTCTAACTCTGCCAGAGAGCTCAATTTGGCCCAGTGGATCGGAAATATTGTCAAGATTGAACTGCCATTTGTGATATATTTATTTCGAATGAGGGTGCATGTATGGCAGAAGCTGGAATGATGGCCTAAGAGGAAAAGTCGAGCGTGGATAGCGCCATGCCCAACCACTGTGACTCAAACCAGGGAGTCAAGTTGACGAGCAAATACTTCATCCCATCGTCGTTTTCTCAACCGACGATCAGCTGTACGTTAGGCTGTCTGTTCCCTGCCGGGTTGTCATGAGGCTAACGGCTCAGTTCTCCAGACGTTGAACCCTTTTGCGACGTTTCCTGACATGTTCTGTGGATCACTGCAGTGCTGTCAAGAAAATCACCAGCGTGCTGGGATGCCATTTATTGCTCCCAGCTTTATTGTTCTCGTAGGTTATTGTTGTGGTTCATTTTGATTTCGAAATATAAAGGCAAACAAAGACAGTCTAGAACAATTAACCCTCAAATTAATCTCTCGTTCAAGTTTATAAAAGATGAGTAGGGCAGCTACATGATTATTTTTATGACCGGTAGGTATAATTGACTATAAAACGTCAGGAAATTGGGAAAACTTTTATATTAGCTTTGACCAACTGACATCGTGAAGCTTTAGATATGGACAAAAAGGAAAAATAATTTCAGTGCAAGGCAAAACTGTTTATTTATGTATATATATATATATATATATGTATGTTTGTATATGGCTGCAACTTAACTTGCCACCAAAAGGTATTCCAGCTATATTTGAGACTCACGAGTGCAATATTTTAAATGGTCAAATAAACATCTTGTAGAACTAATTAATTTCCAGATGTTGAGTACAAACATCAGCTACAGCCGTCTGAGCTTTAAGTGACCCATCCTGAGGTGTCTAAGCTGTGTACAGATGAACTCACTGGAAACAAACTGATACTCTTGAGTTTATATGTATCGGCTTTAATATGTGGCTTAAGGTTACTTCTATGAACTGCCCCACTTGTTGCCACGTCTGTACTAAACGTCTTTGCAACATGTTGCATTTTATCGGGCAGAGTCTCTCTAAGCAAGCCCCAGTGTTGTGTATTTGCACACATCGATGCCCATACTGTCTATATAAGGTAAACCCATGTTTTGAAAAGCTCCTCTTTTGTAATTTGTTATGGCACTTTATTTCTTTCTGATTAGAGACAATTATTCATAGACTTCTTAACAGCTTTTACGCTAAGCGTGCAGTTGCATTTTCACTCAATCATGGTGAAAAATTAAGGATTATACCAGCTTAACATGGCTGTGGCCTCTTTGTCCTCTCCTCGCCCTTTCCAAGCTCTGTATACCATCTCATGCCCTCTCCTCCCTCCTAAACTTTGTTTTTCCTTGTTCCAGATTTTGGTTCACCGTTTGACTTGGAGCACGACCTGCCGGATGAGCTCATCAGCTCTAATGAACCAGGCTTGATCAACGGTGGGGACCTCAGCCAGCTGCACACCAGTCTAGGTGGAGGACCTGCAGGGTTGGGTCCCAACGGAGGAAATGGAGGGGCAGGAGGAATGGTTCTCGGGCTTGGCTCTGGAGGAGGTCCTGGGGGTGTGGGTGGAGGCCAGGACGCAGTGGCCAAGCACAAACAATTATCAGAGCTTTTGCGCGCCGGGGCAACTGCTTCGAATCAGCAGGGCCATCAAGGAGCAATGGGAAGCCCGGGAGGCCCCACAGCCATGGGGCAACACTTGGCGAACATGAAGGCGTCCCCGGGTCAAGGGCCCCAGCAGATGATGGCTCAGGGGCAGCAGCAGCACCTTTCCCCTCAGCAACAGGCCAGCATGATTCAGCAGCAACAGAATTCTGCCGCCGGAATGATGAGCATGAACAGGGCCATGATTGGGGCGCAACAGAAAGCCAATAATGGACAGCAACAGCCAGGCATGATTGGGAACCAGGTGATGAATGGCTCCCCAAGGATGGGCTTTGGTAATCAGGGAATGGCTGGCAACAGCAACCTGTTGGCCGAGACCCTACAGCAGCAAGGGCCCGGGCAGCCCGGGATGAGAGGCCAGCAACCTGGAGCAATGAACAAGGTAAGGACTCCGTAAACGACTTGCTTAATTTATTGGAGAAATGTCCACATTTCATTTAATTGACTTTACAAATGTTTAAAAACGGCTAAATTTGAGGTTGAATGTGTCTTCACTTAAATCTTTTTATAAAAGTTATATATCATCATCTACATATGAGTAAACTCTTAAGGAATGTCCAAATCATTTCTATTTTAATTTAAAAAAGCTTTATTTCAAATGGCAACACAAAATAATTACGTTAAACAACCTTACATTATTGTCATGTGTTTGCTTCTTGTGGACCTACCAGAAAAATACACTTTTCGTGTGATTGACAGTCCCACGAGAGAGATGGCAAAATGCTGTTGACTGAATGTGGCAGAGACACTTATGTTTGATTTAGTCAGGGATCAGACACAGTGAGAGGGTTACCATATCAGGAAAAGGAGAATTATACGCTGGAGGACTGGTTGCAATGAGAAGGATATGAGGAAAGACACAGGAGCCGTTCAGATCGGGAATGGATTGTTGATCTCAAGGAGATAGAATTCATGTGGGGAAACCGTTCATTTCACATTGCTGTCAGACACATTTGGCTGCAATGAAAGGCTAAATCTTCTAATTAGAAGAACGTTTCACTCTTCACATGTGGGGAACTTCATTTGTCTTAAATTAAATAGAAGAGTGGGTGATAGCGGCATGTGTGATACAATGTTGTGTCTTTAGGGGATGAGAACACTGTATTTACCTTGGGTTTGAGAAGAGTTCTGTGTGATTAGGACCTGGAAGTCAGCTTTTACTGAATTTCTAATCAAGACTTACAAAATGTTGGGAAAAACGAAAGAGAAGCTCAGACAATGTGGGTTAGAAAAGGCCACAATTAGATCTGTATGTTATTGGAAACAATTTCTACGTTAAAGAGCCAGGACTTTTTATTCATTTTGAACGATAACATTTCTAAAATTTTACATACTGAAAAACAAACAAACGCAAAGATTATTTTACTCTCTGCAAAGTAGGAGTGCCCCACAGCTTCACAATTTTACAGGGTCACGGATTGTTGTATTGAGGGATGTAATGTAAATCAAGGCCGTGATCAGCGAGAAAGAGTGAATGTCCTGGTAGTAAATTCAAAAGGTAACTCGGTCTGAGAAAAATTCCTGTATTAACAAATCTACTCAAATCCGATGATGTGTTCATTGCACCCCAGTTTTGTTTTGCTCAGAGGTCCCCGTGATTCATACTTTTCCATACCTCCAATCAAGCTGTATTCATGTCAATGAATTGGGTACATCCACCAAAACAATACAACAGTCGTACTGCGAGCCATTTTCCCCGTGAAGCACAGCTGTCACGAATATTCACTGTAAAAAGAGCTGTGCTGACATGAGGATGGACCTAGAATCCCTCTGTAAGATGTTTACAGTATTTTATACATGTAGCACATACCTGTACTTCCATGGCAACAATACCATATTTATCTGCTTTTATTGGTACCAAACTGTTCTTCCATAGCGGGGAATTAATGCTAATTAGAATTAATTTGGCGTAATGCGTTGGATTTGTCATGCTTTTAAGGTAACTGAAAGTTTCATTCATTCTTTATATGAGCTCCAGTACATGTTCAGACGTTAGGCAGAAGCTCAGGCATCATTATGCCGATGAATACGTTGAGGTTTTTTTTTTTTTTCTTTTTCCAAAGTAAGCTATAGTGTGACATCATTCCTATCAGGGAGGCATTAAGCCCCACAAAGTCTGTGTGAACTCTGCCTACAGAAGGTCAAAGAAACATCATCAGCACCTTTCTGAAAAGTTTAGAAGTATTTGACCAAAAACTCTGAAACGGTCCTTTTAAGAAATGAAGTATTTGGAATAAGAAATTGGATCTGTCTCCGTTCTTAAAAGGCGTGCACATGCGGCTGAGCTCAACCTCTGCTCTGCACAGGGGAGAAAAGAGAGAAAAGTGTTACAGGGACAATGACCCTTTGGCAGCCGACTTGATTTGACATCACAGTGATGGAAACCGGGGTAAACTGTTCTGAGCACAATCGGAGAAAAAGGCAGAAAAGTTTCTCTAGTCTGGGACCATTTCATGGGGCTCATCACAAGGGCACAAAGTGAGGGCATTTTAAAGCTGTTAAATGCTCGTTGAAATGGACTCCAACAAAGAACAAATCCGATTACTCAAGTAATGAATGGAATAATGGATGCAACAGTTGAACACCTTATCAGTCGTTTGGTACAGCCAAAGGTTTTAAGGTTACCACCATAACAATGCACAAAATCCAAGATTGCTTCCAGTTATTACTACACTCTAAAAAGAAAAAAGTGGGCTATATGTTTGAAGTTGACCTGCTGTCATTAATGGGGGTGGTAATCTTTTGATGTAATTTCAATCATAGCTGCATAATTGTCTTAATTTTTCTGCATGAAAACAGCCGTGAGACACTAACAGAAATGCAGATTTTGTCTTGTTTAAAAAAAAACAACAACCTCTGATGGAGCAGATCAACTGACTGTTCGATGGTGATTTATGATGCTCCTTGTTGCTTCTTTACTCTACCATAGACTTGTTTTATCGGCCGTCTTCAGTTTCTGTTTAGAACAACGAAAAGACAAAGAGACGTTTACTGGAGATGTGTTTAAGCACCCAAAAAACAAACAAAAACAAAACAATGTCTTACTTCATAATTGCTGACGTTTGATAGTGAGAGGATCCTTCCAAAAAACTTAATCGCATGGGGGAACGGGCAAAAACCTGGATACAAAATGTTCTTCCCCTTTTAAGAAGTACAATTTCATATAAAGCCATATTATGAAATCAAAGTACATGTCGTACCTGAGTGTCGCATGAAAAGGAGAGCATTTTTATAGGTATTTTTATATGCAGTGTGATTTCTTTAGCTTATGATTTTCATTTTTGCTTTATTTTTTAAATTTTTTTGATAGATGGGGATGATGGGCAACCCAGGTGGCCCTTTTGTAGGTCCATATGGTGGTCAAGGAAATCAAGGGCTGGGAGCTGCGGGGCTGGGCCCTCAACTGCAGAACAAAGGTCCCATGGGCAACAGCCTGTCCCAGTTCAGTGTGGACAAGAAGAACCAGCCCATTCAAGGAATGGGTGCCATGGTATGGCATGCAGTCAGACCCATATTAAACTTTAATTACTCCCAAAAAAAAAAAATGTTTTAAAAACCTGTAATCTTCTGTCTTTTATTATTATTTTTCTTTCCTGTTCACTTATGTATCACCATCTTTTGCCAATTCCCTCTGACTTTGCTTCCAGGGCACGCAGCAGTCACAGGCAGGTGTGGGTGGTCCCTCAAGTGGACCCGTCGGGGGAGCCCAAGGGATTTTGCCCGGCGCTCAGGTGGGCCTGGTAGGGCCCAGTGCTCAGGCCTCCGCAGCGACTGCCACGGCCGGAGCACCACCAACCGCCGACCCGGAGAAGCGGAAGCTGATCCAGCAGCAACTGGTGCTCCTGCTCCACGCGCACAAGTGCCAGCGGCGGGAGCAGGCCAACGGAGAAGTCCGGCAGTGCAACCTGCCCCACTGTCGCACCATGAAGAATGTGCTCAACCACATGACGCACTGCCAAGCTGGCAAGTCCTGTCAAGGTGTGTTGAAAAGGTTGATTCTTAAAATGATCATTAATATTATTAAGATGACCATATCTACCAAAATAAACACTGTTGGCCGGCGCAAGAATGACGCAAAAACGTCATATTTTGGTTGTATTATCAATGATTCCATGTTCTCACTTTGTAATCTTTTGTCATCCATGCACGTTTCCCAACTTTCTCTGACTTATTGCTGTCCTTTTCCATCAGTGGCTCACTGTGCATCCTCAAGGCAGATCATCTCCCATTGGAAGAACTGCACGCGACATGACTGCCCAGTCTGCCTGCCACTGAAGAACGCCGGAGACAAGAGGAACCCGCAGTGTGAGTGTCTGTATCCGACCAAACAAAATATATATATTCATGAATATACATACACAAGGTTGTTGCTTGGAAACATACCGGGTGCATAAACATCCAGGGGGCAAAAATCACGGCTGGCAGTCACAAGACCAGAATAAACTCCTTTATTTGCTTACATTTTTGAGCATTTGTGAATATCTTTGAATCCATCAATTATGAAATCGGTAATAAAGCCCCATTTCGCTGTGCAGAGCTCCCTGAAACATGTATGCTGGAAATATTTCTAAATTATCTTAACTGATTTCCCACTTTCTACCTTCTCCATATGGACACACATTGGTTTTCTCTGGGCTCAAAATGTCACAGTGTTCATGACTTGTTTATTCTTTCAAACTTTCCTCATTTAATAGGATTGACACCTACATTAAAAGACACTTGTTTGATAATTTCTCAATATTTCAATATCTCGTTGCATATGACTTGAGATTCAGTCAACATATTTCTGTAACAGTGTTCCAAGTTATTCATTTGATCATTTCCAGCTGCCTCCCCATACTGAGTTGCTGTTAAATTTCTAAATGAGTAATAGATTATGCACATCGTTTATCATCAAGTGTTTTTACAGCACTAATTTAATTTGTGTGCAGCCAGCTTCTGATTATTTTTTCTCTGTGTAGTTTTAAAAGAACATTCAAATTATCAGTTTTGTATTTTGTGACATGAATATATTTCGTTGGACTGAGTCGACTTTTTGTGGCGATGGTCCTCATCTTTTTGCAGTTTCCAGCCATTTCCATCTATGTTGTGACTCATGATATTTACTGCCCTGTCGCTTCTGTTGAGGAGTTTGACCCCACCAAACCAACTGAGTTGAGTTCTGCTTTCTGCCCCTTGGTTGGTCGCACTTTAGTGATGGCTTTGAACGAAAACCCATCAATTTGTGGAGCAATAACACATGGAGCACATTTTTAAATGCTGATAAAGTCCAGCTTTACTTTGCGCTGGATTAGAACCAACAGCTTGTGAATTTTTGTGACCTGATTTGTAGTGTAAAGAATCAAACTGCTTTTGCTTATATTTGTAGTTCGTATAGATATTCTATATTCTATCATTGACCAATTCCTGTCTTTCCTTTGCAGCTCTGCTTGGCGGGGCTGCTGCAGGACTGGGGACATCTCTTGGGGCAGTTCCTGGTAGCCAGCCAAGTAATCCCAACCTCAACCCACCCAGCCAGATCGACCCAAGCTCCATAGAGAGAGCGTACGCTGCTCTGGGCCTCACCTACCAGGGGAACCAGGTTCAGCCTCAGACCACTCAGTCTAACATGCCCAACCAGGGGCAGGCTGGCATGAGGCCCCTAAATCCAATGGGTAAGAGAATCTGGAATTTGTTTGCCGGTTTTCCTCTTAGAAGAGAAAGCTTGTTCCCTATCGTACTGTTTTTTGGGATGCAAAATCTCTCCATGTGTAATTTCTCATTATTTCCTCATATAGGTGTTAATCCTATGGGAGTCAACGGAGGTGTTGGCGCCACGTCTCAGAGCCAACAAGCAAGTCTGCTGCAGGACACCATGATGCATCTCAATGTGAACAGCCAAAGGTAAGAAGGGAATCGAACACCAAAAACACTTTTTGACCGATTCCCTGATGACAACCTGTCAAGAGGGGCTCTTCTTCCTCCACTAAGTTATTTAATTATCCTCCTCGTCTCTTTACAGTATGCTGAATGATGCTGGAGGGGTAGGTTCCATGCCCACAGCAGCCCCGCCCTCTGCCACAGGCATAAGGAAAAGCTGGCACGAGGACATCACGCAGGACCTTCGAAACCACTTGGTGCACAAGCTGTGAGTATTGACCGGAACCTCGGTGTAAAATCCACACTTGTGTTGCAGATTGAAGTTGGTATATTGCTGCCCTATTTTGTGCCTGTTGCAAACAGCATCTTGTAACTAACACACGTCTTAAACGAGCAGTCCAAGACTCGATGTTGAATGGAATGAGCAACAAGCATGTGTTTCTTCAGTAGAGATGAACAAATGACGGGGATCTAGACTCCAGTGTTTATTTTCAGGATTACTTATTAAACTTAAATCAGCCAATTTTTCTCTCTTATGTGTTTGCCAACCCACAGCGTCCAGGCTATCTTTCCAACTCCAGATCCTGCTGCCCTGAAGGACCGTCGAATGGAGAACCTTGTGGCCTATGCTCGAAAGGTTGAGGGTGACATGTATGAATCAGCCAACAGCAGGGTGAGTTGCTCTTTTAATTCTCCAAAAACTTGGCAGACAGGGAAAAAAGACCTGCTGTGAATAATACTTTTAAAGAAAAATCTTTCTGATGTTGGAAGGTGAGACTGACAACTCAGAAAGATGATTAATGTGATTACTTTTCATGTTTTGCTTTTTTCGTGCAGGCTGAGTACTACCACTTGTTGGCAGAGAAGATCTATAAGATTCAGAAAGAACTGGAGGAGAAGAGGAGGACCCGGCTGCAGAAGCAGGGTCTGGGCATTGGACCTACTGGCATGGGTCAGCCCCAAACTGGCCTCCCTCCAAGTGAGTGCATGTATTATCTACAGTCTTGAATCGATTTCTGTTAAAATAATTTCTAAATCCCAGCGAATTGAACTGATATATGACATTCTGGGTTCGATACACTTTGCCCTTAAGAGTCATGTGGTGTTTGGTGATAATTAACTGTCCCATGTTTAGGTAAAAACCTAAAACAGCTTATCAGTCTCAACACCTCACAACCAACCATAAAACAATCACAAGATCATGACATGTTGGCCTCTTTTAAGTTGACCACAAACTCCTGTCAGCCTGAGACTTTCAGGCTGACAGTTGTAGCGTTGCTCATATTGAGTCACGCATCAGGATGATGATGATCCCACACACAGAAAGAGAAAAAGGAGTGACATGTTGCAACAATCCTAAGTCCAGACCGTAAAGCAATTGATATGCTGCGGCAGGGCCCTAAGAGAGCTGTGTATCAACAAATGCTGCAAACTTTAATTCACTTGAGCAACATTGTAAAGAAGAGAGCCAAAATTCCTTCCAAACCAAAGAGAGCCAAACCAAAGAGCTTAATGTCACACAGGAAACAACTGCTGCTCCTCTGAGCTCAGCCTGACCTCATGGTGAACCTACTGTGGTCTCCACTAATGGGGAATATGGCGATTCTCTTGAATTTTTTGTCTGTTGTCTTTCCGGTTTGGCATTGTGTTACCACACACCTCAGAACACCTGGTCTTTCAAAACCTATGCTTTAATATAGATTCTAACATGGTGATGATTAATTGATGGAGTGGACTGATACAAGGTCTGGTTCCTGTTGAAGCTGTGAAGGTGGTGGACTTTCTGAGTCAAATTTTGTTAAATAAATGTTCAACCAAGCTTCTATTTGATGGATTTACAGTTCCAGACTACACAATAAACTTTTCTTTTGGGTTTTGTATTAGTGTTTAAAACTGTAGAATGCCAGGAGAATTAACTCGCGTCTTAACATAACTACATCAGCTAAATGAGTCACTGACCATCTCCCGCTCATTTTTACAGATGGTCCACTCCCTGACCCTTCAATGGCGCGACCACCTGGACCAAATCAGATGGTCAACAGGATGCAAACCCCAGGTAAGGGATCTGCTGGATATTTGATGCTGTCAATCGTCAGGCAGCTTTTAAATATGAAGCATTGTGTTGATGTAAAGCCTTCATTACAGCACACGTATACAGGTCTTCCTGCACAAGTATACAAATGTAGATTCCTCTTTAAATGGTTGCTCCCTTCTTGTTTTTACAGGTATGAATCAGTTCAATCAGATGGCGATGCAGTCTATGACCCAGAGGTCCACCCCTCCTCTTCCCATAGGAACAACTGGCAACCAGGTCAGTCCTGAAAAAAACAAAACAAATAAGGTTCACTCAAGAGAATCTCCATCTTGGCTTTCAAAGAAAAAAATAAGCAATTTACAAACGAACCATGAATTAGTTAGCTTAAGTGGAAAAAAACTCTGCTTAGAAGACTTTTGTAAGTGTTCTTTGTGTCTTTCCAGATGGGAATGGTTGGACCCAGAGTCGGGCAGCCCAATGTCAACCAGCTGTCCAACCAGTACATGTCCCAGGGCCAATTTCCTGGCTCAGGACCCGGAGTCGGTGGGGCTCAGCCGGGCATGACCCAGCCTGGAGCACAGGGAAGCATGGCACAGGTGCGCCGACCTGTTTTGGATCTTTTGATGGCAGATATGTGACCATTTAAATGTGTCTTTGTCAAGATCCAGAAGGATTGTCTCTTGTGATATGTTTTCACAAAGCATCTCATGTGCAGTATTTGTCGGGAAATGGAGCAGCAACAGTCAGTTAGATAATAAGATGTGTAGATGCAGGTCAACATCTAAAACCTGCAGGACAGTGGCCAGAGTTTGACACCCGATTGATGTGTAGAAGTGCTAAAATGACCACATAATTACGAGCGATGATACGGCATTAGACACACCGTAATTTGCAAACAGATTTTTAGTTCTAACATTACCACAAAGCTGTACAGATGCTGTACTTGGATGTGGTTTTCCATTGTACAGTGGGTTGTAATCTGAACCGCTAGCTAGCTGGTGAGTTCCTGAACTTTTCTTGTTTTAAAGCACCTGATTTCCCTGTAAAACTCCCGACACTCTGTCTCACAATACCATAACATCCCTGTATGGCTCTTGGGTGTTTGCCAGGCCAGGTCCCTTGGCTCTTATTCCCAACAAAAGGGTCCTACTTCAGTCCCAGAAGTAAGGATAGAGAAGTGATTGGCCGTTGACACAAAGGCACTCACCTGTGTTTAAATTCTGCTGATTAATGCACTTGCCTGCTCAAAATGCAGGCTGATGCTCAGCATGAGGGCTCTGTGTAGTATTTGTAAGTGCTTCTTATCAAGAGCACTCGTTGTTCTGCACATGTAAGACCTGAAACAACTGATATTTACTGGTTAACATAGAAGCTGCATAGAAACGCCTTCACATAGATGCTGAGCCAGACGATTGTATGAGTGATTGATTTCCATATATGATTGATGTTCTTTAGCTGTTGCCTTTTTGTGCCTTCAGCCTTTTAAAAGCTGTCTCATCATTACTGTCCACAGGCGCAGATGGGAACTCCTCCCTCTCTCTCGGTTGCTAGTCCTTTAGCGCAGCCCGGCTCAGCCGGTGGTCCCACAGGGGTGTCCACGGTGGGGCCAATGGGCCCCCAGAGCGTGGGCGGAGGGGGTCCCAATTCGTCTATAGGAGCCCCCGCCTCCTCCGTGACTCCATCAAACGGCAACCAGCAGCCCAACTCCATCCCCCACTTGGGAGCCATGCGCGTGGGCTCTCCCTCTCCCGCTCACAGCCGTTCACCGACGCCCCACCAAACGCCCCCCAGATTACCCGGATCCCAGACGCCACAGCCACACACGCCGGGCGCTCCCCAGCTGGCACCGTCTTTAGCCCACCAACAGAACCAGCTGGGCCAGGGCCCCGGCTCCAACAAGCCACTCCAGCAGCAGCACATGGGGCCCTCTGGCTCCACCACTCCATCTCATCCCGGGCTGGCGTCCAGCACAACGCCACACAGCGGACAGCTGCCACGCACTCCGGTCAGTGCTGCGTTCACTTAGAAGATTTTATTTTCATTATACTTACAACAAAGACACTAAGAACATCTTGCACTCATTCTGTAGCAGCCGTGTCTATTTTCCCTTTTCTAATCATTTGTAACATATACAGTACTTAAATTATGTTCATCTTGCTTTGAAAGTTGGTGCCAGGTACATCAGGGCAGTTTCTGAATGTTCTTGATGAGCAGATTGTGAAACATCTTGAAGAAATGACTTTTGTGTGGGGTTTTGTTTGCTGCAGATTTTCTCTCCAGAGTAACTTACCTTGTGTTGGGCGGCGACGCCGTCTGCCTTTTTTATCACTGAAGGCATTTATTTTAGGCTGTGATTGAATGTTTTGGTCTTTTCATTCAACATAATGAAAAGGTGCAGTGTAATGATTAAAAATCGGACTAAATCTCAACCATTAGATTAAAAATTATGACAAATTCCATTCGCCATGGACTGCTCTAATTACACTGCAGCAGGCTATCGTTTGTGCGCACAGTATCAGTGGACTCGGATTCAATTGATGGATATATTAGCCTATTGCACATTTGCCTTGTTGATGTATATTATGTTTCCAATACCCATTGATGCCCTTCCTGCTGTGGTGGCGTGTCCTTTGCACCCCAGTAAGTTTTTGTTTGTCTTTATCGCTGCAGTTGTCCCAGAAGGGCTCGTTCCCCGCAGACAGTCAGGCCCTCACTCCAGCCTCTGTCAGCAGCCTGGACACCTCGTCCCAGCAGCCACAGTCGGACGCCTCAGCCACCAACCTGGAGCCCAAGATGGAAGTCAAACATCAGGATGAGGAAGAAGACGGGGACGGGGGCAGCTGCTCCAAAGGAGGGAAACTCAGCAATCACAAAACGGAGGAAAAGCCCATTAAATCAGAAGTAAGGAAGGAAGAGTGTTCCGGAGAGGGTGGGAAAGGGGTTCCTATGGATACCTCCTCGACATCAAAGACAACAGGAATAAAGACTGAAGAAAGGAAACCGGAGGTGAAGAAAGAGGTGAAAGAGGAAGATGAAACCTCGGATGCAGTTGCTCAACAGGCTCCAGTTAAAAAGAAGAGTATGACAAACTTTACTTTTTACCACTTTATGTTTATTTATTTATTTTCAAATGGGAGAATTCATTATCCTTAAAAGGGATTCAGTGCCGCTCACTTTGCCCTCTCTCACCTTGTTCTCAACTCTGATCTTTTATCTTTTCAGTCTTCAAGCCGGAGGAGCTCCGCCAGGCGCTGATGCCCACACTAGAATCGCTCTACAGACAGGACCCTGAGTCTCTGCCCTTCAGAATGCCCGTTGACCCACAACTGCTATGCATACCTGTGTGTAGCTCCATCGTACTTTGAAAGCTTTTAGAAAATTTCCATCTCCTCCGTGGATGTATTGATTAATTTGTGTGAAAATTGTGTTGTTCCAGGACTACTTTGATATCATAAAGAACCCCATGGACCTATCCACTATCAAGAGAAAGTTAGACACAGGTTTGTGTTGGTTTATATTCATTTCAGTGTACACTGCACTGCACTTAAATGGTGAATAAACCTGAGTTGTACAGTTTGTTTTGGACTCTATGGAAACCTAAGCTAATATTTTTATTCAATTCCCCATGCAGATTTAACATCTTTCTTATGAACCAGGCAGTATTTTGTCCTAATTACTCTGTTTGTGGCTATCGTTTTTCTTTTAGGTCAGTATCAGGACCCCTGGCAGTATGTGGATGACATCTGGCTGATGTTCAACAACGCCTGGCTGTACAATCGCAAAACATCACGAGTCTACAAGTACTGCTCCAAGCTGGCGGAAGTTTTCGAGCAGGAGATCGACCCTGTTATGCTAAGCCTCGGATACTGCTGTGGACGGAAGGTGAGGCACTGGGGCCAGTCATGAGCATTGAAATGGTTCTCTAGATGTAGGAACGATGAGTTGAGAAGCGATTGGCTCCTATTTGAAAGCAAAATAAAGCGTTTACGTTTTGTTTTTTTCTTCCTTTTTTGCTTCTCTTGTTACTACTTACAAAATACTTGTGACCACGTGCCCATTTTACAATTATGTGCAAATGAGCTGGTATGACTAAAAGTCTCTGATTATGTTTCAGAAGTAGAAACTCACTTTGCTCTCTCCTCTCTGAAAATGGAGACAGTGGAGTGAGTCCATGGCTAAATTTGGCCAGGACCATACCATCCCCATATCGCATTTCAGCCTGCTATTTTTGTGTTTGCAGACAAATAACGAAACGGATTAGCTTTGAGGGGGCAAAGGCCGAATAAATGGTTAATTTGTGACAATGGGACATCCATGCATTTTACCCAAGGGTTTTTAAAGCAAGGAAAATACAGAAACATGAAATAATATATCACCATGAGTCAACTCCTCGGTTGGATCGATCATAGGTTGAACTGGTCTTTACTTCTTTTTCCATGTCTTATTTATTCCCTCACGTTACAGTATGTGGCTCAGTATTGATGACTACTTCCTGACGATACTGACATGACACAAAGTTTTTATGAATCGGCGTACCAAAATGCTGATGTTCTCCTGTCAAACGTGCGCTTTGTTAGGTCTGCAGAAGTCTGTATCTTTTAGTTCAAAATTCTCCCTGGCCATTCACACGTTCCCCATCCTTCTCTGCTTCTTTCCAACAGCTGGAGTTCTCTCCTCAGACACTGTGCTGCTACGGGAAGCAGCTCTGCACTATTCCCAGAGACGCTGTTTACTTCAGCTATCAGAACAGGTATGGAAGGAGAGAATCATAGGCTAAAGGGGAGGACTAGATAAGTGATTCATGTGTTAAAGGAGGGGAGAGATTATGGTGTAGCCAAAAGTAATGAAAATATATGGAGACACAAATTACAGACAGACAGAAGGTCTTATATCTGTATGGTGTGGTGATTAATTTTGTTTCCCTGAACGATTCCCTTCACTTCACATTCCCCTCCCCTTTTCTTTTTTTTTTTGTTTTGTTGGTGAAACCTCCATGTGATGCTTAATACACTGACATTTTAACAGTCAGTCCTCTTATCACATAATTTCATTAGAGTGGGCTCACCCTAATGCCAGACTTTCACGGCCTTTTTAGGTCATCTGATCACAGATGGACTTCTCTATCCGAGTGTCTTTTGAATTGGCTACAAACCAATAAATGTGTGTAATGGTTCAGTTTGAATAGGCCAAAGTTCTTAGGGTATTTTTATTCATCTGTTTATTTGATTTTTTTATTAATTTTTTTTAGGCGGGTATAGACTTTCCAAGAGTTGCCTGCAGGAAATGAACCGCCGTAATTAGGATGTAATTAGAAAGATTTTTAAGTGTTGGTTGTCCCCAATTGTGGGATAAGAGACTGGATCTCAAGCAACTACTGGGCTCTCTGTGCTTTGAGCGTAAACAGTGGCCTCCAGTAACTAGGGCCAGTGTTTACAGAAAAAGCTGAACAGACAAAGTGGAAGAAAGTAGTTTTTCTTTTTTTTCTTCCCTGGTGTTTGGGGTTTTTTAGAACACCAGCTGAACTGTACACAGTGAGCATGAAGACTCAAATGTTTTCAGTGTGGTGGCCTCCATCTTTTTTTTGTTTTTATCATCCTCCCTGTCCTCAGACTTTCTGTCAAACCACAAAAAAGCACAGCAGTGTGAAAGGACCGACTTTAAAATGAGCGAGCATCTGCCTGCGCTTCTTATCTGTTCAGTGTCCCGTGTATGCCGTCCTGTGCCCCAATTCTCCTGCTTAACTTCCGCTGGCTCTGCTCTGTTAGCTGTGATGCTGGTCGCGTTTGCTCATCCTGTCGTGTCCAAATTGCTAATCTCTGCTCTGCCTCGGCTCTCTGCTGCGTGTTGTCTTGGATGTTCGTCTTGTCCCGTGCTTTCCACCTGTCGTGACATCAACCTTTGACTCGCTTTTGCCTTCGCCTGCCATGCAACTGCAACAACTCCCCCCATTTCCTCACTCCTCAAAATCATGACTGGCTGTTGCGATGACGACCCCCCCCCTTCCCCCCTGCTGTCCTGCACTCCCTCCTTGCTTGGCTGCCCGTGTCCCGCACCCTTTGGTGACTGCCCTCCCGTGCGCTGTCCGTGATTGACTGTGCTGTGGGGAACGGTGTAGTTCACCAAAATTTGGGCTTATTGCTGACAGGTACCACTTCTGCGAGAAGTGCTTCAACGAGATCCAGGGAGAGAACATTTCCCTGGGCGACGACCCCACCCAGCCACAGACGTGAGTATTGCTCCACACGACGGGCACCTCTACATTCATTCACCACAGTTTCAGGTCCACTGCAAGGACATACTCCATGTACTTGTCATTAAAGTCCTGTTATTGTGTTACTGTAGAACAAAAACGTTGCGTTGCAGCTATGCATAAGATGCTAAAAGATTATTTCGTCATGTTTTTCCTCTGCTGAACTTTCAGGTCAATTAACAAGGATCAGTTTGAGAAGAAGAAGAACGACATGTTGGATGCCGAGCTGTAAGTTACGTCAGATCCTAACCTTAGAGTCCCAGGGCCTGACAGTGTAGAGTGATCTCTAACCTGTCCCTGTTTTCAGGCTTGTTGAATGTTTGGACTGCGGCCGCAGAATGCATCAGATCTGTGTTTTGCACAATGACACAATCTGGCCATCAGGGTGAGTAACAAAACTTAAAAAACTTTTTTTTCTTGGCTCTTTTTCTATTTCTGCATCCGTCTAAAAAAAATTGCATCGTGTTTTTATTTTTATTTGATATAATTTGATTTGTGTCTTTGCATTACCAGTTTCGTCTGCGACGGTTGCTTAAAGAAGACAAATAAGACGAGGAAAGAGAACAAATATTCTGCCAAAAGTAAGTGGCCACACATTGATCCCAAAATATCTGAATGTTGTGTTTTTTCCCGCTGTTATATTGCATAATAGAAACTGGGCCACTCACTTTATATTCATAAAACTTTTGACGCATTTATGTCAGACTGTGTACATCTCAGTTTGAAATATGCAGAAAAATAAGTACATTTCACTGTATGATTGTTTCTGTCAAGTTGTGTTTCTCTTACCGGCTTTCAACTGTTGAATAACTCCCACAAACAGGGTTACCCCAGACTAAGCTGGGATGCTTCCTGGAGTCGAGGGTGAACGACTTCTTGAAGCGTCAGTCCCATCCAGAGGCCGGAGAGGTTTTCATCCGAGTCGTCCATGTCTCTGACAAAGTGGTGGAGGTTAAACCTGGCATGAAATCCAGGTAAAACAACAAGCATGAACACCAACAGAGACTCCTAAAACGGCTGCTTCCTTTTCATTTTTCTTCTTTTTGTTTGATAGTTTATTGTAGTACACAAGAGGAGAATTTTGGTCTTTAATGATGTTTTGTCACTGCAAACTCACGTTTGTGTCTGTTAGGTTTTCCTTTTAACGATTATTTCTTCCCCCTCCCGCCCCCCAGATTTGTGGACAGTGGCGAGATGTCGGAGTCTTTTCCGTACAGGACAAAAGCCCTTTTTGCATTCGAGGACATTGACGGTGCCGACGTCTGCTTCTTTGGAATGCATGTCCAGGAATACGGGTCTGATTGCCCCCAGCCCAACCAAAGGTCAGAAACCGCGACAACATTAGGCCTTTCTTAAGCTGGTTCACTTTTGTGAGATTTCTAAAAATGCGATTGTTTCTCTTTTCCTCTCTCAGGCGAGTGTACATTTCCTACTTGGACAGCGTGCACTTTTTCCGGCCGCGCTCTCTAAGAACGGCGGTTTACCACGAAATCCTCATTGGCTACTTGGAGTATGTCAAAAAACTGGGGTGAGTTCTGCCGCACGTAGTCGGGGAAACGGTTCCATTATGGTTTACGAGCACCTGCTCCTTTCATTCACGCTCATGCTCATCGGTCCCATCTTCACCTTTGCCCACCTTAGTTACACCACTGGCCACATCTGGGCATGTCCACCCAGCGAAGGCGACGACTACATTTTCCACTGCCACCCTGTAGATCAGAAGATCCCGAAGCCCAAACGGCTTCAGGAGTGGTACAAGAAGATGCTTGACAAAGCTGTGGCAGAGAGAATAGTACACGACTACAAGGTACAAACGGTCATAAAGAGATCTACACGTGTGGAATTCATGTTTTGGTCTTACACTTTGGTTACATCTCCCTAAATTCACTGTGCTCTTACCTCAAAAGGACATCTTCAAGCAGGCGACGGAGGACCGTCTGACCAGTGCCAAGGAACTGCCTTATTTTGAGGGCGACTTTTGGCCCAATGTGCTGGAGGAGAGTATTAAAGAGCTGGAGCAGGAGGAAGAGGAGAGGAAAAGGGAGGAGAACAGCACTTCCAATGAGAGTGTCGATGTAAGACTCGAATCCCTGTGTTTGACCACTGGACCCAGAAAACATTCTGCGGTTTTTAAAAAGTCCATGGCCTTATTTTATTTTGATTAATTTCTACCTATTTCTTCCTCTTCCTTTCTCTGCAGGATACAAAAAGTGACAGCAAAAATGCAAAGAAGAAGAACAACAAAAAGACGAGTAAGAACAAGAGCAGCTTGAGCCGAGCCAATAAGAAGAAGCCCGGGATGCCAAATGTCTCCAATGACCTTTCACAGAAGCTCTACGCCACTATGGAAAAACACAAGGAGGTACAAGGAGGAATAACAAAAAAAAACTAAAAAAATACACATATGACTGTTTATTTATTTGTGGAATGGTAGAATTACTTTAAACTGATATAGTCATTTTTCCCAAAAACTATGCAAATGTTCAATAATTTGCTTTTTCTTAGTTAAATGAACCAATTAAAAAGAGAATATTTTGGGCCAATGGCTCATGTTCTAAATGTTTTCGAGATTTGGTGAACAAGTGGAAGAAATGGAAGAGAGAAAATGGATTTTCATTGGTTTCACTACTTTTTAGTTCTAGATTTTGCTAATTTAAAGTTGCTGCATTTTTCTTTTCTTTCATCTGCTATCCTTTCTCTCCCCTCCCCCCGTAGGTGTTCTTTGTAATCAGATTGATCGCAGCCCCGATGGCAAATGCCTTGCCCCCCATTACAGATCCAGATCCGCTCATGGCCTGCGACCTCATGGACGGCCGGGATGCTTTCCTGACAATTGCCCGGGACAAGCACCTTGAGTTCAGCTCTCTGAGGAGGTCCATGTGGAGTTCCATGTGCATGTTGGTGGAGTTGCATAACCAAAGCCAGGACCGCTTTGTTTACACTTGCAACGAGTGCAAGCACCACGTGGAGACCCGCTTCCACTGTACCGTCTGCGAGGTAAGTTTGGCAATTCAGGGGATTTATCTATTTATTTATTTTACGGTAAAATGATTTTAAATGCTCAACTTTGCCTGTTTTCTCTGCCTCAGGATTACGACCTCTGCATCACTTGCTACAACACTAAGGGCCACGGGCACAAGATGGAGAAGCTCGGCCTCGGCCTGGACGACGAGAGGGAGCCTGCCCCGACCACCCAGAGCCCCGGGGACTCGCGCCGCCTCAGCATCCAGCGCTGCATCCAGTCCCTCGTCCACGCCTGCCAGTGCCGAAACGCCAACTGCTCGCTGCCGTCCTGTCAGAAGATGAAGCGCGTCGTCCAGCACACCAAGGGCTGCAAGAGGAAAACCAACAGCGGCTGCCCCATCTGCAAGCAGCTCATCGCCCTGTGCTGCTACCACGCCAAGCACTGCCAGGAGAACAAGTGCCCCGTTCCGTTCTGCCTGAATATCAAGCACAAGCTCCGGCAGCAGCAGCTGCAGCACCGGCTGCAGCAGGCCCAGATGCTGAGGAGGAGGATGGCCAGCATGCAGAGGGTCGGCCAGCCGCCGGCGGGGGGAGGCGGCCCCGGGGGGAACGGCCTGCCGTCTCCAGGAGGCAACAACGGAGCGACGGGCCCCGCCACCCCCACCTCAGTCGGCACGCAGCCCCCCACCCCACAGACGCCCACCCAGGGGAGCATGCCTCCGCTTCCCCAGCCGCAGGGAGTGGGGATGAGTGGATTGGGCACTCCAGGTCAGCAGCAAAGCGGCGCCATCACGCCTCAGCACCACCTCCATCAGTTCCAGATGGTGGGTGGAGGCGGGATGATGAACTCCCCGCAGCAGCAGATGGTGCCTCAGCTCCAGCAACAGACGCCCAACGTCCAGCAGCTCCAGCAGCAACATCCTGGAGGCTTTCCCCAGTACAACTCCAGGCCCGCCGGGGCTTCTCCTCTCCACCAGTCCCTCGGAAAACCTGGACTGAGTCCAGCCACCCCACCTCAGCAGCAGCAGCAGCCCAACCAGGGACAAGGGTCCATGCCGGTCCACGTTGGTCCCCCTCTGGCTGCCGTGGAGACGGCCCTAAAAATACAGCGTCTTGCAGAGACCCAAAGACAACAGGCCCAGGCCCAGATCCGTGGCCTGGGGCAGGGGGGCATGATGCCCTCGCACCCGCACCACCAGAACAGCCAGGCCCAGATGGGAATGCCCCACATTGGGGCCCAAGGTATACCCCCCCAGGCTCAGGGCGGAAGGACTATTCTAGACCCACAGCAGCAGGGAATGCTGGGTGGAATGCAGCAAAGTGCCCCTCAGTCGCAGTTGCCGCCTCAAGTCCAGCAGCAGCTGCAGCACGCCCAGCAGGTCGGCGGGGGCCAGCTTCAGCCGGCCAACCAGCAGTGGACTGCTGGGGGTCCGCAAATGAACCCACAGCAAAGGCAAAGCATGATGGGCCACATGGCCCCTCAGCAGCAGCCAGGACTTCCCCAACAACAGCAGCAGCCAATGAATCAGCAACAGCCCCAGCCCGGGCTGATGCAAATAATGGGTGCAGCAGGAGGAGCGACGGGGGCCGCTGCTTCCATAGCCGGGGCGGCGGGACCGGGGAACTTGCCCCAGGCAGCGCTGCAAGAGCTCCTGCGAACGCTGCGCTCCCCGAGCTCCCCGCTACAGCAGCAGCAAGTTCTCAACATCCTCCGCTCCAACCCCACCCTCATGGCCGCCTTCATCCGGCAGAGAGCAGCCAGGTATCAGGGCCAGGGAGGTCCCGGAGGACCGGGGGGACCCACGCAAGGAGGTCCCGTGGGTGTGAGGTTCCCAGGAGCTGCTGGGGGGTTGCCCGGCGTAGGTGGGCCTGGAGCCAACCAGCTTCCAAACTTAGACGGACAACAGCAGGTTAATGTGAACCCGAGCGGTCAGGCAGGGATGAACAACGTCCAGGGTGGAGCAGGGGGAGGGAACCTCAACACCTTGGCTCAGCTTCAGCAATTACAGCAGCTACAACAACAGCAGCAGCAGCAACAACAACAACAACAACAACAGCAGCAGCGCTCGATGGTGCCAGGAAATCTGCAGCACCAACAGATGGCTGCACTGCAGCAGCAGCAGCAGCAGCAGCAGGGAGCCATGCAGGCAGGTCAACAAGGCACCATGACAAACATGAATCCTCAGTTCAGAGAGCTGATGAGGAGACATCTGCAGCAACAACACCACCAACAACAACAACAACAACAGCAGCAACAACAACAGCAACAACAACAACAACAACAACAGCAGCAGCAGCAGATGGGGAACCAGGCGCAGTTCCAGCAGCAGCAGCAGCAGCCGCAGGGCTTCATGCAGCCCGGACAGGGACAGCCGGGGATGCCCCCCTCGTCGCAGCCTCAGCCTGCAGGAGCCGGGGGACTCCCCCAGCAGCCAGGAGGGGCCCAGGGGGGGCCGGGACAGCTGAGCCAGCAGCAGGGCTACTCCATGTCCCAGGAGGCCGCCGTGCTTCAGCAGAGGCTCCAGCACCAGATGCAAATGCAGCAGCAGCAGCAGCAGCAGCAGAACTCCATGGGCGGCCATCAGGGACAGGAGGGGGGGCCCAGCGGGGCGGTCGGCGGGGCAGCACTCCAGCCCGGACAAGGCGGGGCAGGGCCGGGGCAACAGCAAGGCGGAGTCGGGGGGGTGGGGGGCGGGCCCGGCATGTCGCAGAGCACCCAGAGCATGCTCCACCAGAACATCCACCAGAGACTCCTGCAGCAGCAGCAGCAGCACCTGCGGGGGGGCTCTCCTGCCCAGCACAGCAGCCCCATGAGCCCCCAGCAGCAGATGGCCCAGTCCCCCCACCCCCACCTCCAGGGACAAGGGGGGCTGGGTCCTGCCGGGTCGCTGGGCAGTCAGGTCCGGTCCCCCCAGCCCTCGCCGAGGCCGCAGTCGCAGCCCCCCCACTCCAGCCCCTCCCCCCGCATGCAGCCCTCCTCCCAGCCCCAGCCCTCGCCCCACCGCATCTCCCCGCAAACCCAGACCGGGTCGCCGCACCCGGCCCACCTAAGCCAACACCACCCCGGCATGGCGCCGCCGCAGCCCCCCCAGGCCGGGCAGCAGCAGGGCGTGCCCCCCCCGCCGCAGCCCGGCGGCCCGGGAGACCCCGGCCAGTTCAGCTCGCCCGAACAGAACTCCATCATGTCGCAGCTGAGCGGGATGGCGGCCATGCACGGGGGGCCGGGGGGGCCGGCGGACATGCTGGGCGGGAACAACAACGGCAGCAACGGCACCAACAACCCGGAGCTGGGCTCGAACATTAACCACAACCTTATGTAGCCTTGTGTGTGCGGACGCTCTGAGCCGTCGCCCCGGGCGACCAACTGCCACGAGCGGCCAGCGAGACGGGACTCTTTGGGCTTTTAGAAGTTCCTATTTTTTATTTAAATATTTTTGTGACGTATAAATTTGAACTGAAGCTTCCTTCCTATGGGAGATGCAACATTAATCTTAGAAGTCAATAAATGAATAAATTAAAAACAATGGTAAGTTATTGCTGTTAATATATATCTATATATTTTTTGCCAATTGTGTACAAAAGGCAGAAAGGCAGTGTTTCAGGTGAAGATATTTCTTCCTTAAGTATATGACAATATTTTTGGGGACTGATGACTTTTGCCTTTTTATGAAGATTTTTAAGACTTCAAATGTGGCTAAAAATGAGTGAGCTCATATGATGTAACCCCTTTTTTCATATATATATATGTGTATATATATATATATGTGTGTATATATATATATAGATATATATATATAGAAGGTATATCTTGTTTTTCCTCCTCAAAAACCATGTCATGATTGTATCTATTTTGCAGAGTATGTTTATTTTACTTCTGTATTATTTTGTTCCCCTCTATGAATTGTAAAACAAGCATCAGCATATCTTCCTTAGTTTTTTTTTTTTTTCTTTTCTGGGCAGTTTTCCAGAGAATTGTACATTTTACAGAGACTGCAGCAATTTCCATATGTATATTTATTTCTATTTGAGGTAAGAAGGGCGGGTTAAATGCAGTTTGATTTTTGACAGCTATCCTAGTTTTTTTGTGTGTGTGTGTGTGTGTGTGCGTGTGTGTGTGTCAGGGCTTATAGGTCGGAGTGGAACCTAAACAGTGTTTTGGTGTAGTGGGCGACGTATTTAAAAAAAAAAAAAACTAAAACAAACAAAAAAAAAGTTTTTTTTTTCCTTCCTGCAAACGGCGGCCCACAGCATCAGAACGCACCGAAGCCCACGCCCTTCCTCCCGTGAACGAGCACACTGTCCGTACCCCGCTGTCTACGCTCAGCCATCCAGCTGCCCGTTTTTGAGCTGGCACCCCCTTTTTTTTTCTTTCCCCCCCCTGGAAAACGCCGCACACGCATTACAGCGGCGCTTATAAACTGTGACTCGTCTCGTGCTGCAGAGGGGGTTCTGAAAATCCTGCCTGTCCCCTTTCACCCCCTAACGGTTATCCCTCCAGAGCTCTCTGTTCCTCATCCTCACGACTGCCTCTCAGCCGCAAGGTTTAACTCAATGTTAGTACTGTACAAAGTAAGAAATGGTGGACTTTAGCTTTTGTGTGAGGAAAGCGAACGAAAAAAGACAAACTGTACATATGAAAAAACCTGGAGCAGAGGGGTGATTTTTTTGTTGAGTTTTCCTGCTCCTTTCCCTGCTTTAATTGGATATTTGTATGTGGAAAGCGGGAGTGCTCCTGAGCTACTGTACAGTATTTGACGTTTTGCGTCGTTTTTGTTTTTCTTTCCTTCTCTAATCTGTACAGTATGGGGTGTAGTAGGTCACAAGCACCAATGCGCCTTTTTCTGTGTATTTTTGGACAAAGTTTTAGAAGGGGGGTGGGGCCCACCTTACAAATCTGAAAACTTTGGGACGTGAAAACCTGCATGGAGTGGAGCCGAAGCCAGGAGGCGACCCCAAAAAGACTGAAAGAATTTGGCTGTTTGATCCTTTACGGAGAGGACTGAACAGACACGGTGTTCACACCCTCACTATTTTTCTCTAAAGGTTGGGCTTGTTTTGCTTGGGGGGGGAGGGGGGGGGGCGGGGGGGGAGGGGACACACATCAGAACCAGGTTGCAATATATCTTGAGACTTATTTTATAAGAAAAAAAATCATACTGTCTTTTATATATAGATATATTATTTAATTTTATTTTTTGGAAATAAAACTTGAAGCTACAGGAATTATTAGATAAAAGTTTTGTTTTGTATTAAAGATTTTATGGTGATGCAAAAAGACACTGCAGACAGTCGTTTGGTTTGCCCTGGGGAGGCTGTGGAGTCCATTAAACCATCCTTTTGATGAGATGTTTTATGTACATGAATATAGTTGTAAACATACTGAATCACTGTACAAACTGATGGCAACTGAACAATTTTTTTTCCGTTTTTTTCCCTAAAAAGACTGGAAGTAAGACTATTTAAATATTTGTTTAGTATTCAAATGAAATCTCTGACCACTTTTTTCTTTTCTTTTTCCTCTTTTTGTTCTTGTTAACAATTTCGGTGCTTGCTGAGAGAAGGCAAAAATAACTATTGCTCCATTTTCATTAGGTTCCTCTTTTTTAAGTTATTTTGGTGGCCTGATTGTTTTTTTTTTGCCAATAAATTAATTGTACAATAAAGTATGTTTGTACCATTGGGAAAAAATGTCTTTTATTTTCTTTTTCTTGCAGGAGTTTTAGCTGAAGCACTTAAGAAAACTTTTTGAAGTGTTTGAAGTTTTTATATTCTTTTAATTTTATTTTGATTGACTTGATATATGGAAGCAATATTGTTCCACCTCAGTGTCTCAGAGGATGTTTATATTTGACGAAAAAGGAGGACAGAATTATTGAAAGCTCGAGTTGAATAATAAAAGCCGAACATGCCTTCAAAATAGAAATAAAGAAAGTCTACATTATCAAACCTTAGTTGATGATTCCCTACTCACTTAAGCTCCTCTTCATTATGCAGGCTCCATTGTTCTTAAACTGCAACTCCCAGAGCTCGATCCTGCTGAGAAACGTTTCTTTTAGTTTTTGCCTGTGAGATCTGAGCAGAAAACGCCCAGCTTTGGTCAAACTTTCAATTTTGTTAGTACTTTACCAAATCCTCTGTGTATCTGACTGGGAACAAGCAGCATCTTTTACCTCCTCTCTGACCTAAAATGTCTCCAGTCGTCTTGAGGGCGACCTGTGGTCACACTGTGCTTTCAATTAGTCATTCTAAAGATCCTAAAAACAGTTAAGCAGTTAATTAACTTTGAGCTGTTAACTAGTGAAATGATGTGTTTTCTTATAGAGCAAAGCACCCTGTTTGAATAAGCAGAAGTTTGAAAAAAAATCCTATTAAACATGATCAACATTTATTTCAGTGTTACCATAGAAACAGTCTCTACACAAGTCTTCGTAGACTGGAGCAGGTAATGTGCAGGGTTACATCACGATAAAGTGCAAGATTCTGCGCTCGGAGGTGGATGAATGCGGCGCAAGCGACAACATTAGGCAACGCTCGTTTTTTTTTTTCTTCCTTTTCATGTCAGTGCATTTATACTGAATATGGCATCAGCTCCGTGGTAACAACCAACCGTAGAAAAACGATCCTGTTCAGGCACCTGCATGACAAATACACAGGTATCTAAAGAATAAATATACATTCAGGTCAATGTAGAAAAATAAGGACTAAAAAACAGGCTTTTACCCCCCCCCAACCCTAACCATGTTCCCATCTATTATCTCCTTGTATTGTCTTCATAAAATCAATGGAGGATGGTGCTTACAGACAGAGAAAGTAAAAAAAAAAAGAAGCTCCTGGTGTGTATCTGACGGATGAGGAGAGGCATTGGTCTTCTAGTGCGTCAAACAAACGACAAAAATTGGGCGACATCAGGCACTTCCAATCCGCGCGGCTCCGTTGCCGCACAGAGACTTCTTCTCTGGATCACAAGATGCTGAGCCGTCGTCCTCAGTGCGGAACAAAAACAACACGAGGGCCCAACGGACGCCGCTGTGGGAGATTCCACAGACGTGACACACCACAGGGCGGGAAGCCGGCGGTGTTAAGTCTCAGCCTCCTCATTAGATATTTGATTTGTTTGGAAAATTCTGTGGGGGAAAAAAAGTTAATGTTCCTCCTCTACTTTTTTTTTTAAGCCCCTCGACAGAAAACTCTATTTCTTTGATTTTCTACAGTCATCTCTGACTAAACAGGCCACTGGTGGACACTCGTTCTCATGCCACGTTCCAGATTTCTGGTTAAGGGTCGCCTCTCGCATGATGAGCGTCATGTTTTAGGACAAAGAGCTGGATGCCTAGCATTCATAGAACTGCACTGGGGGGGAGAAAGGCATGCAGGCGGATCAGGCCGTCTCCCGGAGGACTCTGAAACGCGCACAAGACCGGGCCACGTGTTGTTCGGTGATAACAGTCTGTATTCTGACGGGTCCATCGCTGTGTGTCCACCTCACTGGAGTCTGGAGTATGTACACTATGTCTTAGTGTGGAAGAGACGTCTGTTTACATGCACAGAGGAATCCTCCTCGTCCCGGCCTCACACTCGCCGTTGGGGTGCTCTGTACTGTGATTGGTAGTTGAGGTCGGGATTAAAATACTGTTCCTGACACTAAGTGTCCACATGGCAGATGATTTTCGGCTCCAGTTTGGTGCGACGCCGTCATTTTGAACCTGTTGTTCTTTCCACATTTCTAGAAAAGTGGGCTACTGTTCGCTTTTTAGGTCCGATGACAGGGTCATCCCCCCCCCTCCTCCAGTGTTTTAGTCTAGTCCACTGCTACTGTCAGAGCAACCAGGACTAAAAACAGGCACTTACCCTGACCCTAGCCCCATGTGCAAACACGCACATCATTTTAAAGATGTTTACAGATGACCTCTGACCCGGGGAGCCACTGGACACAAGATGTGAGTCATGGTGGCCGCACCTGTGGGACATTTTTTCGGTTTTTCAATGCTTTAACCAGTGACAAATACTGGTTTATGCATATGCCACCTTGCTTTTTCCTGGGGCTATCTTTTTTTTTTTTTTTTTGGTTTTGGGGTGGGTCCCAGTCCTGCTAACTTGAATTGACCCACAGCCGAGGCCTGCCCACAGAGTCCGGCGACTCTGTGCATGTAAACGTTACCACTCGGTGAGCCGGGCGGACAGCGAGAGCGAGAGGCAAAGAGAAGAGAACCCTTTTCTCCACCGCCTCTCGCCAAATGCACTAGTCAGTTCCTCCAGCTTCCATCGGGCGGCGTCTCCCCTGGCGACCGGCTCACACCTTCAGGCCCAGGTCTCTGAAGAAGCCTTTGGCCACCCTGGACTCCCTGAAAGTCACAGTGAGCGAGTTGAGGGTGACGTCGGTGACGGTCACCTCCCCCGGGCCGAGGACGGGTCTCCAGGCGGCGTCCCCCGGGGCGGCGGCGGTGGAACTCCGCCCGTCCGCCCCCTCCCGTCCTGATGGAGGCAGGAATGTGCAGACCGGGTGTCAGAGGGTCAGACAACAAATGGCATTAGGCTTTTAACAGAGTTACCCCGCCCCCCCCACCCCTTCCCGGCTTTCTGATCTGGATCTCTGCTGTTAAACTGACGCGTCATTGACAAGAAAAGGACGGCATTTGATTTAAGGCCACTTTTTTCCCTCTACAGTTTAACAGACGCTAAGAATTTGACATCTTAACAAGTCCAGGCTGGCTGCTCTGTGAAGCTACACACACTAATCCACTCTGGGTGAGGCTCCACTCGGGTTTGGCCTGGAGCTTCACAAAAAGTCTCAATAAACAGCCATTACAGTCAGCTGCTTTTCCCAGTCACACACTTACTGCTTAAAACACCACCGCTCTTCTTCGCCACCTCAGTCTCAGCCTCCTCTTGCTCTTCCTCATCCTCGTCATCGTCCACGCTGTTCTCCTCCTCCGCTCCCAGCACCTCCCAATCTTCTCCTGTCAGATTCGGGGGGCCCTCCGACCTCCTCTGTTGGCTTTTCCGGTGCTCCTCCTCGCCGTCGGCGTCCAGGGAGCGCGTCAGGGACAGGCGGAGGCGGGGGGCAGGTTTGGCGTCCATCTTGTGAGCGCTGCGGAGATCCATGGTGTACATCGCATTCTGAAAGAAGGACGAGGACGCTTGACAATACGGCAACCTTTTTTTTTTTTTCTTTGTTTCACATACACAAAACTTACCTGCAGAAGGACTTTTTTGGCTTTGGATCCTTTCTTCTTGTGGCCTACGGCTCGCTCCTTCTCCTCTCTATAAAAGCCAAACCAGCCTGTTAAGGGGCTGACCGCAAAAGGTCTTTGAAACACACACAAAGGGAGCATTTTTAGGTGCAGGCTGGCTTAGACTTCCTGTCTCGTTTGAAAAAGAAGCCCCGCTCTCTTTAAAATCTCAGGTATTTTGGATCACGAAAGTCCTCCCTGAATGTGTCCCCGAGAAGTGAGAAGGTAAGCAGCAGCCAGGCGCTGATGATCAAACACCTCTGATTGATGGAAAATCTGAGCAGCCCTGTCAAAGCCAAAGTTTTCTCCATTTGCTGCTCTGAAGCCACAACTGCTTAGAGAAACAACTGTCGCTTCCCATCAGCCTGGGCGGGCTGTTGTGGTCTTATCTGAGCTGTGCGGACCATTTGAAAGATTATGCAATATAGCTGCCGATCCTCCCTTCAGTAGGTAGCTCAGCAAGTCCCTTCCCCGAGGTCAGACTGCACAGTGCCATAACATAAATGTGCAGGACTGTATGGGGTTCTGATCCCTGATAGAAAGCTACATCTAAAGCAGAAATAAACAGGCTAAGAATTCTACTATGTCAATTATCAATACATCCATTATCGTTACAGTTTGTTCCCTAACGGGTTCGCAGGGAGCCTATCCCAGCGGTCAAAGGGCGAGAGGTGGATGGTCCGCCAGGATGGGCCACACAGAGACACACAACCACCACATATACTGACACTCACACTCACTCCTAAGGGCAGTTTAGAAAGTCCAACCAAGCTAACATGCAGGTTTTCGGACTGTGGGAGGAAGCTGGAGAACCCGGAGAGAACCCACGCAGACACAGGGAGAACATGCAGACTCCACACAGAAAGGTCCTGATTCCCCAGGGGACTCGAACCCAGAACCCTTTTGCTGTGAGGCGATGGTGCTAACCACCGTGTCGCCCCTGTGTTTTACTGAAGGGGAATTATGTTGTTGCCGTTACACTTAAATCAACAAGTTACAAACTGAAATTGGCCGCATGGTGTGTGGCATTGACGGAGCGGATGATGTTTAGCACAACATCAGCAGCACTCAAATTCCCAGCCGACAGTTCAACCCATATCCAGGGTCAGGCCACAGTCAGCCCTGACTGTTCCCGCTCCATGTGCAGTCTCTGTCTGCAGTAGAGTGTAAAAGCCAGGTCCAGAGGCGTCCTGCTGTGCTCTTGTCTTAATCTGTGGTCAACAGGCACTTCTCTCTGCCAATTTGTGAAAGGTTTACGAAGGTTCCCACATGTAAACAAATGTTAAAAGAAATGGCATCCCCCCCAAAAATAAATAAATAAAGGGAGAAAATAATCAAGGTGCGGTAATGGGTGTGTCACATTTTGGGCCAAAACATGGAGGGATCTTAAAAGACCCATGCTTTTGTCCGATTAAGAAAAAAAAACACAGAAAAAAATTCAGTTCTGACATTAAAACCTATGAAAAAGGGTGTTATTGTTTTTGGTATGGCCGCATCAATTTTAGGGTGTGTTTTTTCGTGCCAAAGGGGAAAAAAAGGGCATTTCACGTCTCTTCAGACAGCTGATTCAGAACCCCTGTCAGTGGGGACTAAACACACATGATAACTCCGGGTTCTTGTCATTTCCTTAGCGATAGGACACAGAAAAGCTCAAATGACGAGTCAGTTTTGGGTGTTTCCCACCCACAAGGTGCGCAAAAGCCTTGTTTTTCCCGTGTCTAAACGTAGCCTTCATCAGTCTTGTTTTGTTTTTTTGTCCTTACTTTTCCTCGAAGGCCTGCACCAAGCGCCGGTCCAGGATGTGCTCCTCGGGTTCCCAGGTGCTGTACCTGTGACACATGGAGACAAGGTACAGAGGAGCCTTTTTAGGTTTATTCAAACCCCATTTTTCAGCGGCTTCCCTACCAGGTAGCTTTTAAAAATCACTTCATTTACACAGAGTTTCCTATTCAAACGTTGACAACACACACACTGTCTCCAATGAAAGTGGATGACATCATCTACACAGGCAGCCTTTTTTGCAATCACCCTTCAATCCTCATGTCTAACCTTTCTATTCTATTCTATTGTAGATCTTTGTCAGTAAGTTGATCAATCAAACAAGTATTCTTTCAATGGATTGGATTGATTGATTATTCTGTTTAGCTGAACAAAATGTGTTAATCACCAATATATAAAAAAGTATTGACTTCCATCTATCTTTCAGCCTATACTGGGATGATGGGACCCAGAATAGGCTTAAATAGGTCTCTGTTGGGTACATTGATGATCACACTAAAGGCTTTCTCTTTTGTATTCAGTCGTTAACGTAAGACGCTCTTTACATGTCTAGCTTGCTCGTCTTGTGAATTCAAAAGGAACAAAAACGACAATCACCGATTCTTTTGTAAGTTCGGATACTCACTTTGGAGGCCATCCCTTCCACTTCAGCAGATACTCCACATTCCCCTGTGGAGACAAAGTTCAGCTGCTTCAGACACAAAAACCACCTTGTTTTTACCCTCCTTAAAAGACAGATACACCACTAACATGATAAACAAAAAAGGATATTTAAAAAAATAATCTTTATCATTTCTGTATTCTTCCTGTCTATGAATTCCAAGTAAACAATTTTTCCAGCACAGAGAAAATAACTTGAAGGCATTGCTTTCTCTGAAGCAAGTTCTCCTTCTAAAGTGATTAACTAACTGGATGCCATATCTCAAACAACTGGCTACATCTCGCATGACACAGGCATTCAGGTCCAAATATTCCTCTCTGCCACATTACTTGGGATTTCTAATTAACTTTCAGGGTGTTAAAGGCTGTCTGAAAGGTTGGCTCCCATCTATGCAGACTGATAAGGCCGGTCGGTGTGATCCGCTTGGATGGGAAAAGCATCTCAGCTCCACAAAAGGTTCCACTGAGCTTTTAGTTTCAGCCAAAATTCAGCCCATTTTTCCCCCTGCTCCTCAGCAAACAGACAACAGATATCATTGTATTATTATCATTTAGGATGTGCCGTACGATGCTTGTACTCCAGCCAGAGCACTCAGAGTTAGTCATCCCCAGTGACATCATCCAGTAATAACCCTCCGTGCTCTGAGAGGTATTCTCAGAGGGTGAAGTCACCGCTTTTCCCGACTTCACTCGACTGGGCTCTGATGAAAGCATCCCAATATCCAGCGTTACTCCGAAAGGCAGCTGGGAGCATGTACAGTATGAACGGGTTAACTTGGGGCTTTTCGCTCTAATGCCTGAGAACTCTCCGGTGCCTATCTTTCAAGCTACATTATTTTTTTTATTTTTTTTTACAGTTTGAGCACAGAGATGCTACAAAGAGGCACCCTTGGAACAACTGTGAAAATATGATCAATGTTATTTGCGTCTGTGGCTTTAACACAGCCGTTTGTTTTCTGACTGATATGCCGAGCAGGTTGGAGGAATCAAAATATTGACCAATTCTTTGGTTTTTCGATGAATTGTAATGAGGTGGCTTTTGTCCCTGGAAAACCACAAATACTTTAGACAATAAGAACTTTTCACCCTGTCATTTAAGAAATTAAATAATAATAAACAAATACTTCAAGCCTCCCGCTTATCAGGGTTAAGATGTTACTTTATCTTAAAAATGTTGCCTTAAAATTTTTACCACGGCTGAGAGGAGCAGTGGAATAGAACTCTGTTCTCAGAAATGAACAGAGGTGGGAAATGGGAGTTTTGGGTGCCCCCTTCAGTGCCCGTGGGAGCCGTGGCTGCTAGCAGCGCACCTGCACGTGTCAACACAACAGGGTACCAGACCCCAGACTCAACCTGGGAGCGGACAGCCCCCCTTAACAAAATAAATAAACACACACGCGTGCGAAGACACGGCGTTTGGCTGACACACTCCAGGAGCCGAACACCTGACGCTGTGAGCTGTTGGGTGACAACAGTTCCCACGTTCCATTAAAGCGACATCCCCTTTTCACCCGCCTCCTTTTAAAAGCCTGCAATTAAATAACCAGATTAGACGAGGAACGGCGCTACTAATCCCCCAAGCTTTTATTAGCATCCAAACTAGCCTCTTCCAAAAACATTCAACAATTTTTAAAAATAATAATTAACAAAAAAAATATATAGAGAAAAGAATGGGACTCTATTGCGCATGTAAACAGACGTTTACGTTTTAGAACCTTTACCTTTCTAACTCTTTTCTTGAGAATTGATTCCACGGCGAACACTTGCTCGCCAATTGCCGACAGCTCCATCTCTGCGCACTTCCAGCTGTCAGAGTAACGTCCTTCTCCCCACAAACTAAGCTAACGTTCGCTGCTCCTGACGGCGGCGGCGGCGGCGGCTCGCCTCCGTGCTCCTCCCCGCTGTCCTCCCGCAACCTCCTTCGGTTTCTCTAACACTTTCAGAGTCAATTCGTCCGGAACGACCCCCCCCCCCCCCCCCCCCCCCCCCCCCCCTCCCCGCCTCCTGCTCCAGTGACTTTACAAAATCTGCGACACATCTGCACACCGCCTCGCGCGCGCGCCCGTCTCCACAGAGCGCGCTCCCTTAAGGATGAGTCTGCGAGCGCCGCTATCTATCTGCCCCACATCGACCCCGTTGTTAGCCTGAGTACCAAAAAAAAACAAGAACACAACTCACTCCTTTTGTTTAAGCAACATTATCATTTAAAAACAAACAAACAAAACAAGTGTCACACTTATGTCTGACTTTGGATACCGGTGGTATAAGTCTGACATCAAAGAACAGGGGGGAAAAAAAGTAACTGAGCTGTTTCCACTTCGAAGCGTTAACATATCACTTCCGGTTGGGTGAGTTTTAATAATGTACAATAGTTTAACACCCTGTAATTATCGCTGACCTCATGAAAGATGAATGCAGCCTCAGGGGCTGAAAAGCCAAGCTCCTTTGAACTTGCACTGTGCCTAATGCCCGGCAGGGGGCGACATCCCAAAGCCATTTTTTACACATACAGGCACAGTGGGGTTTAGAAGTACTGTATTGGGGGGTGTTGGGGTTAACTCAGATTTGAGTAGTTCAAGCATCAGCGAGTGAGATGATGCGTTTGATGCCATTTTTTTCCAGCGGTTTTAAAGAAGAGACCAATGTCCCCCCTGTGCTTTTCTTGGATTTCCTTTCATCTTTCCATCCCACCTGTGTCTTCAGCTGTTAGGGTCCAGCAGAGGAACTGCCACTCACCAAGTGCAGGTATGAACGGCCACCGTGGGAAAAGGTTGGGCCAGATTGTAGGTGAGATCTTTACAAAAGCCGGTGTTGACGTTTTATAGAGTAAAAGGCCACATTTCTCTCTTCATTGCCTCAGATTAATCGGCGGATTCGCTTCTTTTTTAAGTCTGTTTGTTTTGCAAAGTAGAGCCATTAGTCGCAGGATGGCAGAGCACACCAACATGGTCTGGAAACACCAACGCTCCTTTCAGACAAAAACTGATCTCAGTCTGTCAGTTTCAATGAGTGCCCCTGTGATGTTTCTGTGGAGTTATGACAGCTCCATCAACAGCCAACAAAGCCCTTGTTAAGATAGTAAGAATTGTCGTGGGAAATAAAGAATGGATGATGAAATTAGGAGGGGAATCTTTTTTCAAATACATTTTTTAAGGTGGTTTCTAAATTCCCCTTTTGAAATGGATATTTCTTCATTTTAGGTGGGAAAAAAAAGATTCTGATATGATGAGATGGAGAAGAACACTAAACACTTAAAAACAGGTAACTCATCTATAGTTGGGAGAAATGATAATGGTTTGAAAAAAAAAACACTCAGACCAAAGTTGATACATAAAGTGCCATTATGAGCTTTTTATTTCAATGAAAAAATAAAATACCGTGACAACCGGGGCTCCTTAAGCAATAAGGACTGAATGGATTGTCATTGCAATAAAGCCGATGCTGAATGTGCGAGTGGATGATGTGTTTGGGCAAATAATGAAACCTCCTCAGCTGGTCTGACGTACTTTCACCTGTATGTGGAGACATTAAAGGTCTAGCAACTGTTCTAAGTCAGTATCAGGCTGTCATTTCTCTCCAGTTAGACATGAAACCACTGATATCTTGTGATTGTGGGTTTGTCATACCACTTTGAACTTCAGCGTTGGACTGAAAGTCCGTGGCATTAAAGGGAAACCTGTAACAGTAGCTGCTCCGTATAATGGAAATGCTCTGGCTGCTGCTCTTCTAATAGTATGATGTTGTCTCCTGAAGTGGTGCCAAATGCACATCCCCTCTCAACACATCTTATCAACACTTACCCCCCCCCACCCAATGTAAACAAGTTAAGGCCGATGTTCTCATTAAAAGACAGGACATAGAGTACAGAGCTGGTACATCTGAAAGCTACAACAACCAAATCTCTCACCGATGCTCGTTTCGTAAAGCCTCATCCCAACGCACATCTGGCTTCGACTTCCCATCAGCTTTTCCTTCGCATTCCAAATTTCCCTCTTCGGCTCTCCACTTTTTCTTCCATTTGCAACTTCACAACTTTCCACCACCCAAACAAACCCCCATAGTCTCCTCACACGGAACCATAAACCACTAATTCTCGCTACTGACTGTAAAAGACTCGTGGACCTCTCAGGTCTGACAAGAGACTCTACAGGGGATGAGGAGCTCCTGTGCTACAGAGGGCTGCCGTGTCTCGGAGCCCGAAAGAGACGCCTTCTTAAGAACATGTAAAAATAATTTGACAAAGGAAATCTTTAGTTGAAAATCAAAATCAGTTTGCTTGCTTTGGAGCAATAGACATCTTTTTCTCAGTAACAGCGGCTCAAATCTATTTGCTTTGTTTTACATGGTCAAAAAGACTTCGTCCAAAAGGAAAACGAATGACATTCATTGTGTTCCTGCGTATATTCTATCATTTGAAATGTTAAATTCCGTTCAGAGTTCAAAGAATGAAGATACTTTATCTAATGGCTCTGTCAATTCCAATCGGTATGGTATTTAGCTCTGAAAATTATCTAGAGATTGCCTTAAAGTCAGTAAGAAAACAGCCACCATTTCACAGTTTTCTAACAAAACGCTCCTGTTCCAAACCCAACTACAAAACACAGTGATTTTGGTGGATTTTTCTCACAAAGGTGAAAGCTATCCTTTACATCCATGCTGATGTGGACTTTACAGGATTAAAAGCTCCAGAGTGAGCAAGACGAAGGGGCTCCTAAACTAAAGAACAAAGCACACCGAAACAAAGAAATGAATGTTTCTTATTCAAAGTTGGAGTGGGCACACATCTCAAATACATTCAACTCGGCTACATATCACCAACTGTCACGGTCATTTAGAAATGACAATAAATTTCATTGGTAGCTCCCAGTCCGGGATGAGCTCAAAGAATAAAAGTTACTAAACTTAGCTCCAGTTCTATTAATGCATTTTGCGGATACACTTTTAACTGTTAATTGGTGAATTTACACTCTGATTTGTTGAGATCAGTGCCAGTGTTCAGCACAAAATCCGGTTTTGCAAAATCTGAACATCCACGTCGGCACGTCTCCTTCCGTGGCAGAGCTACTAAGAGCGCCTTCTCTTTGTTAGTTTGCCCAAAACATGAAAACAAAGTCAAAACTGAGTCAAGATATACTTTGATCTCAAATCACCAGAATTACAGAGCTGATCTTTTTTTTTCGTCTGTGCCCCCAACCCAAAAAAACAAACCTTAATATCCAGCCAATCTAACCTGTTGATTATCACATCTTCATACAAAATAAATTTGTATTAAAGGGCAATCTTTTTGTTTTTGTAGTGCAATTCCCTCTTAATAATAAACAGACTTCATTATTTCACAGGAACCATTTGAGCGAGGAGAGTTTCAAACGACAGGATAAATGAGGTTCCTCCCTTTTTAGAAGCAAGCTGAGGCAAACGTCCACCGGAGGGAGCACTTGGCCTGAGTGTTGCATTGCTTTGTTGCCGTATAAAACTGCTGAGTCGGCAAAGGTTTCTACAGTCCGTGCCGGGGTTTTTTCCAAACACAGAGTGGGCCGCGCGGCAAACCTCTAACGTCGGCTGGTGAGGTGAGGGGATTCGGGACGGGACGCACATACGAGGAAGGACACGTTTTTGGGGAGAGCGAGGGGCGGGAAGGGCGAGATTTGGGCTGGCCGAGGAGAGAGGCAAAAACAAGGACGAGCACTGCGACCGAAGCAGGGAGGCTCACTCCGGGAGGCAGGCAGATGGATTTCATACAGCCTAAAAAGGCAAAACAATCAAAGATAATAACGGACTGAAAAATATGCATCAATATGTAAAAAACAACAACAACTAAACAACAACATTAATAACAAAAAAAAAAAACCCAGACAAGAATAGCAGGAACAGCATAATATTTTCAAAGTCTCGGCGCTGTGGTGTTGTTAGAGACCGTGTTGCGACGCTTTGATTCTCCCTGCAAAGCGTTTGCTTCCCTCACTGCTTTGGATCGTAGACTTAGTGTCCAACAACGGCCGTGTAAACAAAATCCCAAGAAAATGGGCGCGGGAGGGGGGGGGGGACGTCTGTAAGGGGCGCATCACTGCGAGCGGCTCCCGGCCCGTCCCCGCTCTGCCGTCAGAGGCCTCAGCTGTCACACCGCCACGTCTGGTGTGCCTCCACTTCTTCTGAGACCACCAACAGGAGTTCACAGTTCTTCCCTCGCAGCTGCTGGCGCAGAAACTTCCTGGAATTGGTGGTTAAAATCAAAAGGGAAAACAGGAGAGTCACGCTGTTAATGAAAAACAAACAAACACAGACAATATGTCGCCTCGTCGGAAGCTTGATGTTTCCAGCTCCCATCCTTTAGAAGTATGCTGCTATGTATTTGCTGGCAGAAAAACACAATTTTATGTGTATTTTACTTGTTTCAGGCAATTTGGAGACGCAACCTTTACCCTTGTGACTGGCAGCAGAGATGTTCTGCCGCCTCCAAATTTCTCGGCGAGATCATCGTACATATAAATATAGCCAAAACCACAATAGCACAGACATTTTTAACTCATTCGCTGCCAAAGACGTCTATAGACGTCTTTTCAAATCCAACCGCTGACTGCCAAAGACGTCTATAGACGTCTTTTATGTTTTTCAATGCGAGTGGCTTGGGGGACGATCGGCGAAAGTTTTTCCGTAAATATCGGCTTCTAGACAGAGTATGGACTAACAAATTTACCCTCTAGGTAGCTGTGCCACTTTTGATGGGAGATTAGCATAGATTGTAGGTAAATAAAAACAAACGCAATGGTTCGCTATGAGAGAAATGGCGCCGGTGAGACGCACGTCGAAGAAGAACGGAATGAGGTAGAAACAAAATCTTTTTTCCTGATGAAAGAAGAGAGTCTACTCTTTCTTTTGGTGTGTTCGGTGTTTACATAGTCATAGCACAAACTATTCTGTGGCTCTTGAAAAATCAGTCAAAATTCTCAAAAAACTCTGGCAGTGAGCGACTCTCTGTTCTGAAAATGGCTGGCAGTCAATGAGTTAACTGACCGCCAACGGTGGTTTTGTCAGACTGAGCAGTGATTGGTGGTTAAAAAAACTAAACGAAAGAAACAATAATCTCATTGCAGTGGTAGAGCAAACAAACAAACAAACAAAAAAGGTGATGCAGCGCCTTCCCACGGGCCTGTGTGGAGGTGTTCATTTCTGCTCGAGAATTACAAACGTGCGCACCCAGGTTAGGTTCTATTTCCAAAACCTATTGTGACGCTTTTAAACAGGCAGTTTTAACTCTTCTGCTGGAAGGTCCAAATTTTGTAAAATGAGGTTGTAATATTAGAACTAGAGATCCCTGCAAAGTAAAACCTTGGAGGCAGCACAATTTAGGGGGGGGAGAGGTGTGTAGATCCCCAGAGGATGGGATATCAATACTCCCAAAAAAATCTAAACTAAACCCTCAAGCAAAGTAGTCAAATTAAAGTCTACCATAAATCTCCCCAATTACAACAAAATAATATAGCTTCAGTTTCTCTCTGGTCTGTCTAATCTATCTGGACTCAAACCACAACAAATACCTGAACTGATGTACAACACTACTGCTAATTTTACTTTCCCTGCATTCCTTATATTGCCACACAAATGAGTATATCTAGATCAGTACCCTTTATAAGGGGTTTTTGTAAACACTGGGAGAAATAAATCCAACTACCTGCAAATGAGATGAACCAAGAAGACACCAGAGTAACTGAAGCTTTGACTTCTTGCATATAAATATGCGTCAGCTGCTGTGAAGAAAGTCTTCCAGTTGACAGGCGGTGCAATGCTTTACTTTAACAAGCAGCAAAACAATCCAGAGCGGGGTTTTTTAAACAAAATCCTGGTGGCGATACGGCACCTTCCCACAAGAATGTGTCTTCAGGAAACTCTTAAAGACCAACCTCTTCAAAGAGTATCTCCTATCCTATACCCATACCTCTGTACTACTCTTTCTGTACTTCCCTCTTTATCTCTTTGCTGTCACCACTGATTCTGACAAGGGATTTTCCTCTATAGAGCTTATTGTCATATTGATAACTGTAACATTGAGTCTACTTTGTAAGTCGCCACACAACACTCTTACCTGAGCTCATCTGGATCGCCGATGGGTTGCGGGCCACGCAGCTTGGAGTCTAGGTTGTAGTAGACCCCTCCCACCTCCCGGACTCCGATCCAGTGCTGGCGTTTGAGCGGCAGCCGGAGGGGCCCCCAGCGCAGATTGGATGGCACGTTCAAAATGAAGCCCTCCACATTGGATAGCTCAATGCTTCCAACGTCCCTGCAGAGGCAGCGAGACAGCCTTTACTTTTGGCAAACTCTCCAGTTTGCTTCCTTCTTTGAGCAGAGAACATCATGAAACAAATGGAAATGTAATATTGCGGGTTACTACAGAGTAAATGCTGTTTGTGGTTAGTGGTGTGAGTAGTTCTCTGATCACTCATCTGATTAAAAATCCCAAAGTCCTTCTTTATTTGTTGATTAAATTAACACAAACTTAAGACCTGCTCAGTGTCAGCTGTGAAAAGGAGCATCGTATTAAACAAAATGATTTGTTGAGCAGGAAGTTTGTTCACTTACACGTGCAAAACCTTTACATTCATAAAAAGTCAAACTGCAAGATTCCACTGAACCCTTCAGCTCCATCAGAGCTCCACGTTCCTCCACACCAACTTGTTGCTTTTGTCTAAAAGCATTTGGGGGCTGCTTTCTTTTGAAGTCATCTGTGACTGTGGGATCATTGAGATTCAATCAAGATCCCAAAACAGGTTTACAACCTCTTAGAAAAGAAAACTGCTGGATTTTCCTCCTTGATTTTCCACTGTGTGGTTTTTCTCTCTGTGTTACATCAGTAGGCGACAGACTTTGGGGCTGCTATTTCCGTCACTTGGTTAAGAATAGCAATGATTTAGCTCCTGTTCTGCCCAAAGCAGGAAGGCAGGAATGGATTTATTTGATAAAACAAGTCTTCTGCAGCTATCAGCATGTCATGTAGGACTGGGATTGAGAAAGCCGGGACTCAGACTGAACCGTCTCCAAGACTCCGTGATCAAATGGAACTGCTGACTAATCAACCCGATGCCGATTGGCTGGTTGAGGGTCAAGGGCTTGACACCGAGAGCCTCTTTTAAAGAACTGACCTCCTGTTTACCTCTCAAAGATCTAAGTGGGCTCTCCTAATCTGCAGATGCGAGGGTTGTTTTGACAATCGCTGTTCCCATGTGTTCTTATAAAGGAGGAAAAAACAACAGGAACAAGAGACAAACAACAAATGATGTGGATCCAAGTTTAACTTTTGATCTTTTCACTGGGTTACCAACCCCCAAATTCATTGGCCTAATAATATATGCAGCTACACAACTTTACAAGGGAGCTTCCATGATAAAGACTCTGTTTTAGACAAAGAGAAAACAAACAAAATAACTAAACATTTGTCTCAACCCTCACGTAAAAAACTACTACTTATCAACAGCTCAGATGCAGTTTGTGTAAAATGGAAAATCCTGGATATTTTTTGCACTCAGAATTCCCAAGAAGATCTCAACATAAGATCTAAAAACCCAAACTCACGGTGATAGTGAGATTGTTTAAACATAACTATTCTGACTGATCGGAACACCTCGACAGGAACAGAAAATAGCACCCAGCAAGGTTTTGGTTCATAGATTCATTTGGCTACATAGCTCCTCTTAGAAATTCTTTACAAACCAAAACAGAAATATGCAACACAGCAAAAGTGCTCTGTATACTAAGGATATGAAAGGAGAAGTTCATATCTGATTTATTATAACTTCTGTTCCTGCTCAGAAACTTTTAAAAAAGGGGATTCAAATGAGCGACTCGACCTTTAACATCTGTCTAGTCTCAACCACTAACTTGAAATATGTGCACTAGAGGAACTAATCCAAATGGGCTTTGAAAATCAAACTGATCAACTGACATGAATGTGGGTGAAACGGAAAAACTCTGAGACTAAATAAGCTGCCATTGTCCCAAAAATGGTGAACATAACAAAAAAATGATAAATACAGCTAAAAGGTCGAGAGCTCTACATACCTTCTTTTATCCCACCAAACTGCCTCAAACCCTCGGGTCTGCAGAGCAGCCATGATGACATTTACATCGTAGTTCCCATTTCCCAGCATGCTCTTTTTGTGAGATGTCATCATTGTGCTGGGAGAAAGCCTGCAACGGTTGGATGAGAGGAATCATCTCCAGACAGCTGGTGCATGGCTGCTACGTACCGATGCGCGGCGGGCGCGGCGGCGGGCTCACCTTTGGTATATCTCCTGCAGGGCGTCCCGACTGAAGGCTGTCCCATCCTGGAAGACGTTGTTGAGCGCGTGCAGAGCGCAGAGCTCCCTCCGCTGCTTCTCGTGATAAATGGCCGGGGGTGTCGGGGAAGGCTGGGTGGAAAGCGGAGGGCTGAAGGAGGAAGAGGAGGAGGAGAGATCCTGCTGCTGCTGCTGAATGTCCCTGGGATCTCTGCACCTCCTCTCCTCCGCTCCCCTCAACGCTTCCCCACCTCCTCCTCCTCCGCCAGCTTTCTGCTTGCTGACCTTCCACGGCATGCAGCCCAGCTCCTGCAGGCCGCCTCGCCCCTTCTCCTTCCACTCACCCACCGGGTACGGAGTGCTTCCCATCCCCGGACGCTCGCCGCCACGTACGCCTCCTCCAGCTCCACCACTACATCCACAACCGCTAGTTTTCAGGACGCTACATGGGTGGCATGGCAACCGTTGCCATAGCCACCTCTCAGCCTCTTGGAAGAGAGGGGCTCGTGGGTTCCTCCGTACTGTCTCGGGTGAGGAGCGGATAGAAAAGCAACTGAGCAGCACCTGCTCTCTCCACCAATCAAAGCGGGATTCAGAATGGGATTGTGAGCAAATAAACTCAAAGGAACATATTCTGGACGCTCCACAGTGAGAGATTACTCCGCCAGCAGCGCAACAGAGGGGGTCATCAATCAAACCACCATCACGGTCCCCCGCCCTTCCACTTCCTCCATCCTCTGTGCGTTTGCGAGCGCGTTGACAGTCGTGTCCACACTATCACCGAGCTTTTCGCTTTGCAGTTCTTTCCATCACCAGAGTGCTGACCACAAAGCTTCACTTCCACTGGAACAGTTGCTACGACGGCTTGATGCTCAGCGGAGAGGAATGCCAAAAAAAGCATCTGGAAATGGAACGAGAGAAAAAACAACAACAACAATTGTCGTGATCCAAACACGATGGCTCGAAATAAGGAAAAAGTCCAAGAATCAAAACTGTGAGGAAGCACATAAATGACATCATACAAAAGGGGAGTCCAACTGTTTAAGTGAAACTTCCCAAATCCCTGGTGGCAACTAGCTTTCCTCCTTCAAGAAATCCTTGAAGACCCAGCTATTGCTTGTCGTGTAAGCTCTAAATGCACTTATTTCCTAGTAGCATATAGCACTCAATGTATGGTAATTGTGTAGCCTATGTTAAATGTTATATCCTTAATGTTAAATCCTTTTCTAGCATGTTGCATTCAAGGTAAGTGTGTGTGTAAGTCCTGTTGTAGTTGAATGTTAAACCCTCTTTTTGTAAGTCGCTTTAGATAAATTTAAATGTAAATGTAAAAAAACTCAAACATTAAGCCACCAGTCTCCTTCTTGTTTTTTTTCCAGAGGACCCCAAGATGAAATGGGTAAACATTTGCAGCAGCTAGGACCAAGTAAGAGGAAGCACGTCGATGGGTGAGCTAGCTTAACATGACAACAGGATTCCCAAAAAAAGCTAACACTCAAGTTAAGGAGGAGCTGCCGCTGGTTTGGTCCGCAATCACACACCTATGAATACAATCGATGCCTTTTCGAAGCGGATTTATGGCAGAAGTCTCCTAGCTGCTCTACGTGACTCTCTCGTCTCCTCAGCAAACACAAACATAACGCCTCCCTAACGCCTTCTAACTTGACCCCCCAAGCCCCGAAAAGCGACCACTTACCCGCCCGTCTCGCGGCCAGAGTGTTCTAAACCGGTCCGAAAAGTCAAGACTGTTGACTGTTCTTTTCCAAACGGCTGTCCAGTTCTTTGTCCCTGGCACTTTTTTTTTT